CCAGCTACATTCACTATGAAAAGTGATTGATGCAAAATTTGCACTACAGGTACCCAAATCGATTGATTTGCAGCAAATTGGTGCAAATCAGATTTGGGTACCTGACAGAGCAATGCGAATTTTGTGACTTCGCGGAGTGGGGCGCGATTGTGGCATCGGCTGTGCTGATGGGAATCAATGACTAAGCGTGGACACTTATGACGCACTCGAATTCTCCCATCTCCCGCGTCCCACCTCCATCGTTCTCTTTGCGTCCCCTTACCGTTCCATCAGTCACCGGTCACCATCGCTTCCGTGCCCGTACATCGTGCCAGTGTGCTCTTCAAACCATAATGGTAAGTGCTTTGCTCTCGCTACCCGCCTGATGCATGTGCTGACGCTGCCCTCTCCCAGTCTTAGAACATTTCGCCACTGCCGCACTAAAGTAAGTACCCCATACTTTACTTGTCATATACACGCTGCCCTAATCTGCCCTGTGCTTACTACCAACGTGTTGTTGGTGCCTTACCCGCCCCCTCCCCGGTCTATCCTACCTCCCACCTCTCCCTGTTCCCACTTTTCCCCGCCTTCCCTGGGCATTATGTGCTACCCATGCCATGGTGTACTGTATTTAGAACCACGCCCTGTATTGTAGTCAATATCCCAATATATCGTTGTGTGCTTAAGTTACGCTGTGCGAACCCGTGAATACCGGTTCATCGATATCCAAGGGCAAGCTGTAAAGGGCTTATGCGAGCTAATTTGCACTAAAATGTGGCAAATTTTGCACTTTGAGTACCTAAAATCGATAAGCAAAATCTTAACTTTTTCCGGCAAAATTTGCAACTTGGTTTATAGCAAAATTTGCATTACTGTAAGCAAAAATTGCACTGAAAAGAGGCAAATTTCACGCGTAAACAGTGCAAATGAGTAATGCAAAATTCACATCATTCAAATCCTACAGTGATTACTGACTACTAGGTATAGCTAAGAGCAGAATGTGCACACACCAATGCATGCACACGTCGAGTGCATGTCGCAGCGTGCATGCTGGTTAGCATTAGCCGTGCACCCCAGAGCACATGCCGATGTTTTTGTCGTGCGTGTCAGCATCTGGTTGTGCTGGTTCGTGGTGCGGCTGCGTATGCTGTGTGCTTTGCACGCATTGCGCACGTTGTGCAACTTTGCACGTTGTGCGACTTTGCACGTTGTGCGCTTTGATTTTTAGAAAGGCGTCGTTTAAACTCCCGCCGTTCCTCTGCCAGGTCGCAACGCCGACAGCGTATGCTGGCGCGCGAGTTCGCTCTTCTTATTGACCTGTGCGCGGAGAGCGAGGGAGGCGAGGACTGACGGAGAAGCTGCCTTGACCAGAGCAGATGTCCGCCAAGCCTCCGCCTGTATGTGGCTCTCCTCAGGTATGCGACAACAGCGAGGGTGCGGTGAGGAGAGGAGGGAGGAAACAGAGGCGAGTGGAATTATGTCCAAATGCTTGGCGTGAACCGTCGGCACTGGTCCCGAAATGCGCGACTTAAGCCCCTGAGCACTTTGGGCCGGCGCGAGCTTTGAAAACACGGTGTTCTGTATCGTCCGAATACCACCATTGATGACATAACAATGAGGGCCTATAATACGTCGTATTTAATGAGGAATAATTACGACGCTCTATAATATAGGTAGCTAATTTGACAAGACTCTATAATATATGAAATTATACCGTGCAAATCACTAGGCGTCTACATTGAATACGACTCTTTGGGTGACCGTCTATAGTTGGCTATATTACATAGCATTCCTACAGTGCGTGTCTATAATTCTCTGTCAGACCGAGCGTTATAATATAGTGCCCGAGTCCAGCCTCATAATGTTCTCTTTCTCACGATGGGCCTCTATCGTAGCCCATAGTGACGATCGTAAGTACGCTCACATCATAATACTCATAATTTTTCCCCACTTTCTGTGATGGGCAATGGCTGCGACGGCCCTTAAGCTTACACTCCAGGGCTGTTCAACATAATCATGCCATCAGCCATTTTTCAAAGGGGACCGAGGCATCGTAGGTCCATCATCTCTTGATCGTCTTTACAGTAAAGCAACCAGTCAGAGCGACTATCTTGGTAGTATTGTGAACTTCATCTGCATCATCGTGCTGTAGTTAGGGTTTGCCAGGAGGACGCGGTTTGATTTGGAAAGTCGCGAGTCGGATCAGTGTCTGCCGAGTCAACTCAGGGGTTCAGTCGCTTAGCTGCGCTTCAAGTGTCAAAGCTAAGATCTGCTCGTAATGTCCTTTGCCACAGCTTGGAGTAGATTTGTCTAATGTTATTTCTAATATCTTTGGTAAAATGTGCAGTTATCACAAGAGAAACAGGTAAGGAATGGCATGGGCGCGTCAAAAAAACCCCAATATGAAGGAGAATCTACCAACCAGCCTGGCAGTTGAAGTGCTCCAAATACTGTGTTTTTGGAATTCAAGTAGTAAACTTATGAGCCATCCTCTGAAAGACATTCCAAGCGTTTTTGACCTCAATCTTGAGGGTAAAAATTGGGGTAAAAATTCTGCAAAAATAGCATTGGTTCCTGGCCAGCTGGACACCTGATCATGAAGGGTTTACATAAATAGTAGTTTCAAAATTTCGAGTCTGGTTATCCTGTACAGAATTGACGTCCACCGATATTGCAAAGATTTGACATCATTACTTATATGAATCTAGAAAAATGACATTAGGACTTGCTCCCAAAGGCATGCTCTTTTCACGCTACATCCTAATGTGATGCTTGTTCCAATACTCTTTAAACCTAGTATTCAACTCTTCTTGACATGATGAAAATCGGTTTGATCCAGTAAAATAAGGCTCTGTTGTACGCATAATACAGTACATTATTCGGTCAAGCTTCAGTTTCCCAAGCTTTGTCATTCCCTGGACCTTCCGCCAAAGCCCACTGAAGCCTCGGAGTACTTTTCGATATTCAAGTTAATACGAATTGCAGGCCGGTAGCTTTTCTCTCATTGAGGGTTTTTAATGCACCGTTCCGTAGCTTTTATTAGCTTCTCTTGTAACCATCAACGTTCAAGTTCTATCTAGAAACATATCTCCGAGACACAGACAAAATCGAGCTCAAAGCGTCTCTACTTTTCGAGTTGAAGCTAAGCCCGCCAGTTACCCGGAATGGATTGCGTGGGATTTTGACTCGGCAGACACCATTCCGCGACTCGCGACTTTCCAAATCAAACCGCGTCCTCCTAGCAAACCCTATGTAATGCACAATTTTACGCAGGTTGGGATGACTGAAACAACTGAATGCATAACCTCGCGCGCTTGTGTGATGTTAAGCGGCTAATTCCGTCGGTGTGAACAATTACCTCCGTCGTCTTTGATGTTGTCCCCTGATAGGTTACAGCCATCTAGCGCTTGCACGAAGAGTACTAGTCATGCATCTTCAACTTCCTGCTCCATACGGACAAACCATTTTCAGCCTCGCCGATATTGAAGGGTGGGCAATCATGCCCACCCTCCTAGGCTCGCCCGCCCATTCGATTAGTCGACATGTGTAATGTGTTCCTAGCAGAGTGGTGAGTCAGCCGAGGTCGTAACTCCAAAAAGTCAAGTGAGTCGGCCAGGATCGATATGCTTGTCCACGTCGACACATGGAAGGGCTTTTACTTTTGTCTTGGATGAGTCAAGGCTTTGCTACCGGGGAATCGCCTGCCGGTGCGCTGCTGCCTCACTCTCTCGTTAGCCCAAATGTCGTTGTGTTCCTAACAGTACCTAACTGTATGCAGCGTGATGCGTTATCACTGCTTGTCCGCGTGCTCGAAACGAGGTGGCGACCTCTTCTTCGTCCTCAGGTTCATCGCGCAATGGCCTTATCGCACTGTATCAGCGCCTATATGTTACTGCCGCCTCCCAGGTCTTGAAATGTGCTCGGAGCGGGAGTTAGCATGTTTTAAACTCAAAAATTTCCAAGCTATCACAGCGCTGTTGTCTTGAATATGTGATGGTTTCCTTCTGCTAAGAGCATTCTGGACAACGGAGGCATATTCGTGCAATGCGCCTCCATAACCTACTCGGCATATACCCCAGGTTTCCTCGGTATTGCTCGGGGCCAGCCGATCAAAGCCACATGGGTCGATTTTACGGAAATCAATGACCTCCCAGTGGTACCTGACAATTGCTGGCATAGCATACCCATCGTGCGCTAACGTTTGCCAGCTTGGATCCTGAAGTTGGACATTGCGCGCGTTCGCGCTCGCTGGTTTGCAACAGGCTGGCGTCTTGGTCTGCCAGAACGCAGGTCATGGGACGATCCGCGTCGAGGATCTGCACATAGAAATAAATCGGGGTGCTTCGTTATCACCTTTCACATATAGGTCATTGCTTGCCAATGGTCAAGTGGGCCACGAAGACACAGTAAGGCGTAAGGCCACCACGTGCCTTGCCCGTCGCCTTGTTGAACGATCATGTCTAGACGTCGAGCATCCGCATGCTTGCCGTGGTTCAGTGCCCTGGCCGTGCGGACGCGCTGATGCAATCCTGTTTGATTTTTCCAGAGATAGTCCAACATATGGCCATTGGCTCCAGAGGGCTCGCTGTGCGCTTCCGTGTGTGTAGCGAGGCGTCCTGAGGCCTACAAAGTCGCGATCCCTCTTGGCATTCCTGTCTCTTCAGCAGATCGCTTCTGTCCTGCCTCACCTAGCCTCTCACCCTTCTTCCTATTCCTTCGACTCCTCGACTATCATGCGCTTCACTCTTGCCACCGTCATTGCCGCTCTTCCTTTCCTCGTTGAGGCTATGCCCACGCCCGATGCTAGCGTGCACATTCCCATCGCAAAGCGCTCGACTCTCGTTCGCGAGGGTGTCGTCGTCAAGGACAGTCTGGTTGCTCATCTCAACCACGTGAAGGCGTACGTATCCTCACTCACTCTCTTATTCGCGGTGTGGTGCTGATAACTTAGCTACAGTAAGTACCAGCGTGGTTTTGAGGCATACCAGCGCAACGCTGGCAAGGCTCTCCCCGCGGCCGCAGCCAAGCGGGCTCAGGGCACCGACAAACTTACTGACGATAGCTCTGAGCTTTGGTATGGCTCCATCTCTGTTGGCACCCCTGCCACGACCTTCACCGGTGAGCCCTTCATTCCCATGTTGACCGATAGTGGGCGCTGACTTTGTGTGTGTGTGAAGTCGACTTCGACACTGGCTCGTCCGATCTTTTCCTCCCCGGGCCCAGCTGCGGCTCCACCTGCTCCGGCCACTCGAAGTACAACCCCTCCTCTTCCTCGACCGCCAAGAGCCTTGGAGAGTCGTTCTCACTCGAATACGGTGATGGCTCGACCGTGTCGGGCACCCAGTACACCGACACTGTCTCCATTGCCGGTCTTACCGTGACTGGTCAAACTCTTGGTGCCGCCAAGACGTACTCGACGGGCTTCGAGTCGTCCCAGTTCCCCGCTGACGGTTTGATGGGCATGGCCTTCCAGTCCATCTCGGACTACAACGCTTCGCCTGTATTCCAGACTCTCGTCTCGCAGGGCAAGACCACCTCACCCGTCTTCGGCTTCAAGCTCACCTCATCTGGTGCCGGCTTGACCATCGGCGGAGTCGACAGCTCGGCGTACACTGGCAAATTCCATTACACCGACGTTACCCAAGAGGGTTACTGGCAGGTCACGACCGATTCGGTCAACGTCGACGACCAGGCAATCCAGTCTAGCATCGCCTCGGTTGTGGACAGCGGCACAACGCTCATTGTCGCACCTACCGACGATGTCCAGAACTTCTATGAGCAGATTGGTGGACAGGATGCCTCGAGCACTGTCGGCGAGGGCTTCTACACTCGTGCGTACTCTCTTGCATTTATAAACCTCAGGATGCTAATAGCTCGCGACAGTCCCTTGCGACAACTTCCCTTCCGCCTCGGTGTCCATTGCCGGCACGACCATCGACATCTCGTCGACGTTCAACCTCGGTCAAGTCAGTGAAGGTTCGAGCGATTGTGTTGGTGCCCTCGCTGGTCAAGACACCCCTGACAACCTCTGGATTCTTGGCGACGTGTTCATGTCGAACACCTACACTGAGTTCGACTACGGCAACAGCCGTGTTGGCTTCGCCACCCTTGCTTAAGCGCAAGCATGATGTGATGGATCATTGTAGGAAAGGGAACTTTGGGTAGCAAGAATAGCTGTTTAAAACGCTTCTGGTGACGTGCTTGGACGATTTTTATAGGATCTTCACGATAGACACGGAAGAACGCTAAGCTTATGATTACGTGTATTGTTTCGTGCGGATTTCTTACCACCCTGCGTGTTTTGTCAATGATTGACCCAAGATCTGGACAGCTTGGCTTGACATCATGTAGACGTGCTTGCTTTTTGCTCAAGAGAAATCCAAACGTTTGCCTTTAACCGCCCAAGACGATGTTGTGTTAATAAAACGTTATGAAGACAGCGTTAGGAAGTTCCTAAAATGAGTCAGGAACGTGGCTAAAAGAAGCGTTAATCAGCGAGATGATCGAATCATCGCATCAAACCGAACTCCATTTGTACTGCCGCCCATGGCCGCGCTCTGCCGCGCTACACCGTATGTTACGGTCGTTATCAGCATGGACTACAACGTGCTACTACAGGCCCCGCCGTCGGACGATCAAACTCTCCGAACGACGCTGCACGCTCTACATAACACTCTCTGCGCCCCACTGGCCTTGCTCATTCACGACTGGGAGGGTCTCACTGACGCTGGAGACGTGTGCTAGGAAAGTATCCTCCTGACTAGCCGGGACAAGACTTCCGCCATGGCGACACCTGTAAATGAGGCGCATACCGCCTTCTTGAATGGTATCAATTCATGGGCTTTCTCTCTCTCCGCCCTGGTAAGCGTCATTTCATTAGCACACCTGCTCTGAGCTATCTTCTAACCTGCGTTTTCGTCAGACAATATGGTGGCTCTGCCATCGTCGGAGCTGGCCCATGAGCGTCATCTTCTCCTACATACTCGCAACTGCAGCGTTCGCCAGTAAACGCGCAGACCTTAATATGCTGCGCGCCGCTGGCTATTTCTTTGCACATTTTCTAACTCTCGGGCTCGTAGTGATCGTCTACCGTCTTTCGCCGTTCCATCCTCTTGCTGCTTTCCCTGGACCCCTGCTCTTCAAGGTTGCGGATCTCAGGTTGTTTTTCAGCGTCCTCCAAGGATACAGGTACCTGGAGATAGACGCCATGCATAAGCAGTACGGTGACGTTGTGCGCATCGGTACGTCTCACCGCTGGTTCTTCCGATGGAACCCCCAGACCGACACGATGCAGGGCCCAACAAGCTGTCCTGGCTTTCGCTCGGTGTGCAGCACCAGTTCTACAAGGGGTCCAAGAGTTTGGACAAGAGTCTCTCGTACCGTGTACCCGATCGCTCCTTCATCGGCCTATTCTTTATGGAGGATCGCGAGGAGCACGCCGTGAGGCGATCTATGTGGGCGCCTGCATTCTCGCAAAACATGTGAGTCTGGCCAGTCGCTCGCGCTCTATTCAACTCATGCCAGTGTCGCAGGATGGACCGCTACTGGCCTATACTCTGGCGTAGTGTCACAGAGTTCATGGAATGTGTGGAAAGGCGTGTGGACAGTAGGGGGATTATAGACATTACCAGCGCGTTGCAGCATTGGTCATTTGACTTCAATGTACGTAAAGACCTCGCATTGCATACCATCGTCTCTGACTTTGCTCTTATAGATTTACTTCATTTTCGGAAATCACAGCTATGATGTGCGTTTTGTATCGCATTCATAGTTTAGACCCAACCAGCTGACTCCTTTACAGAGTATGATGGTAAACGGTGATCCACGAAAGCTCGTCGAAACCGGACAGGAGGCAACCGTGCAATTTGAAGCGTAAGTCACTATTGACTCTGCCGCTGAACGGTACGTGCTGATGGTACTCTAGTTTGGGGGACGTGCCTTGGCTGCTGCACATCCTGTGGTATCTCCCTCTTCCCAACCCAATGTTTGTCTTGAACAACTTCGCCCTCGAGATGATCCGAAAGCGAAAGAGTCTTGGAACGCCTGACCCTCCTGATCTCTGTTCTTACCTGGTGGGTCTTGCACTTCACGTCTTTTGAAAATAAACTAAGCCATAAATCAGCTCGGTGAAGACGGTAAACATGAAGGCCTCAATGAGCAAGAGCTGGTAGCTGAGACTGCGTTCGCGATCCAAGCAGGTACGTCACGCACAGTACTTACATCTTCAGCACCTTACCTTACCCGTCTGAACAAAGGTGGTGACACAAGTGCAGCCGTTCTTAATTTTGGCTTCTACCACCTCATCACGAATCCCGAAGCATACAAGAAACTCCAAGCCGAACTCGACGAAGCATTCCCGGACGCCGACTCCGACGAAATCACGCCGCAGAAACTCGCGAGCCTACCCTACCTCAACGCAGTTGTCAAGGAACAGCTCAGACTCAGCACGCCCTTTGGGCAGATGCCACGCGTCATCCCTGGCGACGGCCTCGTCCTCGAAGGGCGCTTCGTTCCCGGCGGCACAATCGTTGGGTCGCCGACATACGCCATGAATGTCACAGAGAAATACTGGTCTCCGGACCCGCTGAAGTTCCGTCCTGAGCGGTGGTTGCCCGGCGGACTCGGGCCAGGGTCCATCACGGACGAGAACGCGTTGTCGTCGTTCCAGTTCGGTGAGCAAATATCACTTGTGAATTGTTGCTCCTCCTTGCTGACCTATGGATCCGCCCTATCAGGTCCCTTCGGTTGCCTTGGCAAGGCTTACGCCATTCGCGAACTGCTCCTGATGAACGTGCGGTTTTTGCTCGCATACGATGTCGCGCTGGCACCCGGTTACGACGGTGAAGAGTTCGTTCGGAAGGTGGTGAACATGAAAACGACGATCTTTAGGAAGAAGCTGCTCCTACAGGTCAGGAAGCGCCGTCGATAATCACACAATATTGTCGAAGGACATCAACCTCATGATATCTATCAATGAATCTACTTGCCTTTATATCTGACAGCTGTCTTATTTATTTGCGCTTTGCTCCGTATTAGTCGAAACCAATATACCTGAGATGTGTTGTCCTAGTCATGCTACTTGCGAAGAATAATACATATCTGCACTCATCATAGCTCTGCCCAACCTGCGTCCGTCTCGTCCCCGTTAACGGTGGACAGTAAGAAGACGATGACGCTTGCACTGAGACGCATGCCCAAACCTCTATATAGCTGTCCAATGCCGGTATGTCTCCGCCAGTTGTCGTTCTCGGCTTCCTCCTCAGTACGCTTTTTGCGATCGGTTTTGAGAGGCAAATCCGACCTCTCCTCAGAGATAATATGCCACATCGCGTCGACGACGCCGTTGTACGGCACGGGCCGCGTCTCCACACACGTCTGCAGCGGCTTCGCTGTCCCGCGGGTCTGAACCTGCAGTCTCCTGCGCACAGTCTCAATGGGAAGTGTGACGAGCAGCGATGCGCAGTTGCCCAGGAGCTCGGCGATGCCCCATACCACGGGGTACGTGTCTGCCGCTACGTGCGGGCCGATGCCCATGTTTCGGGCGATGTACACGGGGAGCACGATATGCAGGAGCGGACGAAGCGTGTTGTCGAGAAGGGTGGGGATGAAGAGGTGCGGGTGCAAGTAGATGCCCTTGAGGCCACCTTCGTGAGTGATAATGTGCGAAAGGGCATGTATGGGCCCGGTGTATGTCTTGTGGCGCTGCATCGCCGACTGGGCAATGAGACGCGTTCGGACGAGGTCTAACGGGGAGAGTAGGAAGCCGGTCACGACATGGGAGAGCACTGGCAGGAGCAGTGGTGGCCCGGAGAAGTCAGGCGTCGCAGAGAGGAAGAGGGATTGAAGAAAGTTGTCCAACACTGGTTGAAGGTTGGAGGACAATACGTCATGGATGCAGGACGTCAAAAGACCTCAAAAGACGTTAAGCTATCATATCTCAGCTCAGAGATGTCCAAAGCCTTACCTTTCCATAAAGATGTCCACCCTTCTCCCTGGAAGGCGACAATTCGTTTCACCATGGCCCATGTAGTATCTGCGGTCCCTGGCGGAATGATGTACTCCGGCCGTGTCCCCTCATCCAAAATGGACGTCCTCACTACGTATCCATTGTCGTCTACAATGCGCGGCGTTCGATTCCTGGGCACTGTATTACCTGAGGGATCGGCGAAGTAGGATTCATCATCGGACGACTCGCTAAACTGGACATCCGTGTAACGTCAGAACGAGTTTGGAAGCCACTAAAACGTGATGCTTGCCTGTTCTTCTTCTGGCTCCTTCTCTTGCACTACTTGGGACATCTCCGTTTCTCCCGTTTCTCGGGGTAGCCACTGAATCTGAAGGAGTAACTTGCCGACTTCGAGAGGCATGGCAAGTGCAGTACTGGTATACTGCATGACCGCAGACGCGATGAGGGATTTAGCAAGGAGACGAACATCGATGCTTGAAGGTTCTGTGAGGTCTAAAGAAGGGGAGAGGTCAAAGATGGAGTTGGTGTTAGGCCGTGTTGACCACTGGTAGCCTCCTGCAGAGGAAGCTGCGGCAGCGGACGCGTTCTGGGATGAAGATGCGGGAGATGGAGGAACAAACGTCCATGGTGAGGATGGAGGGTTATAGAGGTCTCGGAGTGACGAGCCAGAGCTCATTTCGAGCGATTGTGGATGTGAATGGGCAACGTTGCAAGTTGGCTTACAAGACGCTTCTAGGGAACGGCAAACGGCTCACTCTTCCATGTGTCTCAGCCCAAGTATGACGCTGCCACCCGGCCGCGGGAGCTCGGCTCTTTGCTAATAATAAATGATATACGTACAAAGACACCCCCTTTTAACTTGCTTCCTTGGCTCAGCTGGTTAGAGCGCTGGTCTCATATGCCTATGAGGTTGCACATGCAATCGTAATCCAGAGGTCGCCAGTTCGATCCTGGCAGGGAGCAAATATTTTTGTTTTCATCAAGCATCTAGTGTAGTTATTTTATATTTTATATTTGTTATTCAATGTATAGTCGAGCTCATGGACATGCAGTTGTTATCGTTACAACACGCCTGATATATTGAGAATGAGAATTAAGCACTATCCAAGTGAGCTGTGTTCATGATGCTAAGTTGCCTGTCTGGGAAAGTTTTAGCGTGGTGAGACCTGCACTAAGCGCTGGAGCGACACGGTGACTTCGTGCCTTCATTGCCGGACAACCTACTTATCCTCGGATCCCTCCACTACAAGTCGCGACTCACCTTCCAGTCACAACAGCTTACTCCCGATAGGGGAACATACTACATACTCACTACCGAGCTCGGTCAAGATACCCCCGTCGTTTCTTGTCCATGGTCCAGAATATCCGCAAACGTCCCGCGGTTGAACCTCCCCTTCCCCTCCGTTCCGCCAAACTTCCGCGTTCGAGCACCGACTCGGATCTCACGTCACGCTGGCGTCAACTGGGACAAGACGCCAAAGGCTTAGCTGTGGATACCGTTTCCTATTTCTTCGGTGGTCTGTCGCGCTCGTCCACCGGGTCTGCCCAATTCTTACGTCTTTCCAGGTCCCGAAACCTCCTCGTCGTCCCAGCCAAGGGTAAACGGCTCATCAACATCAACACAGTGCAGACCAACTGCTCCTCCCCGCCGCGCGTCGATGTCATCCACCTTCAAAAAACCTGCAGATCCCCAGCCAAAGGTACCGTCCTCCTGACTGGGGCCCAGATACCGCGTTTACACAGGCCTAACGCGACGTGATAGTCGTTAAAGTCTCTTCCATCACAATCTCTGGACTCCCTGGTTTCGACATCAAGTGTACCCAGTCTCACTAATGGAGATACATCCCCATCTTCCAGCCAGTCGCCAAACGGCACCTCGTCTAGCGGTCTTGGCTCTCGACACTACAAACGAAATCACATATTTCATAATAAGGTTGGATCTCTGGCTCGCCTCCCGTTCCCGAACTCATCCTTTATCGGCTAATCAGCACAAGGCGAGAGTGAAAGAGATGCAGAAGGCCGACCTCGAGAAACTGACGCTAGAGCTTTATGAGCTGAAGCGAAGGGATGGATACAAATCAAATTTAGACACCTTCAAAGGCACGTACATCCGCGAGGTTGAAAATGCGCCACACTAATGGGTCGGCTGTAGACTTCGTAAACTACGGGGCTCGGCTGGAGCGTGTGGACCAAAGGGATATTCTGTCTCGTATGTCCCGTTTTCTGTCACACTCCTTGAGACCGTGCTGAAGGCCAATCAAGCTTCGCAGTCGATGACGGACCTTCATGAGCCTGAGCCCTCCAAAAAGCCACCTTTGCGTCGCTACTCAGACACCCATAAGGACGAAGAGGGACTCTACATTGGTGAATTCTTGAAACGCGCAATCAAGGACGCGAGGGAGTCTATCAAAAGGTAAGAGGCTTTACTGTATAATTGAACAACCTAATCGTGGTTGCATAGACCTATTCCCAAACCTTTCGATCGTTACGGGAACCGCATCCGGCTCACCCTGTTACGAAAAGACCAAGAGATTGAGGACCACCTGAGACCGAAACCGCCACCTTTGCCAACATCTCTCCTTCCAAAAGAAGCAGATGAGGTGTCGAAGCTGCTGACTAAGAGAGGCTTGATATCGAAGGTCGCTCGAGAACAAGTGTCGGACAAGGACCTGGTCCGACTTGGGCCTTCACAATGGCTCAATGACGAGATCATCAACTTCTACGGGCAGATGATCTTGACGCGTTCCGAGGGTGCGAAGGAGAACTCTTCCGCCAATGGCGCTGCCAATGTACCTCTGAGGGCACATTATTTCAACACATTCTTCTGGCCCACGTTGACTAGCAAGGGGTATGATCAAGGTCGATTAGCGAAGTGGACAAAGAAGGTACCTATTGCGTTGTCTGGCTTATCACTCACTCACTCACACCTCGCCCTAAGCTCGATTTGTTCGCCAAGGATATCGTTCTTATTCCCATTAACCATAGCAATATGCATTGGACGGCCGCTGCTATCAACTTCCGAGAGAAGCGGATAGAGTCCTATGATAGCATGGGCCACTACCAGAAAAGTGTCTTTAAGGTAAATCCAAGCTAGTTTCGATGGTTGAACGACAGGGTATTGACTACCCATTAGCCTCTGCGCGATTACTTGAACCGAGAACACCAAAACAAGAAGAACGCTCCGTTTGATTTCACCGGTTGGGTAGACTATGTTCCTGAGGTGACTACCCACCTATTGCTTTACGGTTTAAAATTAACTTTGTACTGCCAGGAAACTCCTCAGCAAGAGAATGGCTTCGACTGTGGCGTGTTCACTTGCCAGTTCATGGAGTCGTGCTCGCGAGGACGGACTTTCAACTTTACCCAGAAGGATATGCCTTACTTGCGCAAACGTATGATATGGGAGATCGGGAACGCTACGTTCCTTGACAACCCTTGAGACGCGTTCACGAACAGTCGCTATCTTGTCCTTTCAATTCTTGCTTTCGCTGTGTTATTACTGTCGAGTTGTTCTCCTGCGTTGTTGCATCCCTTCTATTAATCTTCAACGGCCTATATTGTAGTTACTTATTTCCTACCTTAAGCCTCACTCACCTTCCGAGGTTCACATTCAAATTCACTATACCAGCTCGCGCGCGTATACGCGCTGGCGAAGGACTCTCTTCCATCGTGTCGCGAGTGATAAACGACGAAACTTGGTGTTGTATTGATCACCGCCGAAACCACCAGACGACAATGAAGAACCAGAAGACGAAGATGAGGAATAGGATATACCAAAGCCATCGACAGCCCTGGCGCTGGGACATGTTGTTCATCCGTCTGAACGTGCCAGCGAGTATACCGCCTGTCTCCGTGAAAGCGTCGTTCTGCGGAGTGATGCAGCGTCAGGAAAATCGGTGTCCGAGGAGGCATGAGCAGAGGACGGGGCACTGCACCATTTGTGAGAGTTGTATTGTCGAATCCTTCACTTCCCGTCCAATCTCAACAGTCAACTGTATGCAAACCCTATGAGTACCTGAACGGTGCGTCGAAATCGTAGCGACGACGTACGCCTTTGAGCAGCTTGACTTTAGCCGCGAGCCCTTCGATCTGCTCGTCATTCTGCCCCTCCAGGTCGTCCACGTATCGCTGCCCCGCGGGCTCGGAGCCGTAGCTGTCATGTGGCGAGGACCGCCCCGACGCTGGAGGGGTCACACCAAGAAGAGAAGAACGATCCCGAAGTGAATTCGTCGCTCTGAATCTGCACGAGTCCTGAGCAGGCAACGACTTGGACAAAGTGGGAGGACAGGAACCTTTGTGACATTGTAGTTCAAATCAAAGGAGGCCGGTTCCGACTACCAAGGGTTACTCAGTTTTTCCGCTCTGAGCTGCTTCCAATAAATACGCGAGGGCTTGTCAGAGAGTTGTGTTAAGGGCTGACCGCACACAAGGGAGGTATATGACGCAGAGCGCGGCCAGGTCTGACAAGCTTCTTGTGTAAAGTCCACGTGGAGAAACGTAGCACACTAAGTTTAGAATTCGTCGTTTTGGTAAATACTGTCCTACTCTTCCAAACGTCCAAGTACCAACATCAAAATTCGTTTCCCGGACTACAATACCATGACGAGCTCAGCCAAAATTTCCCAACCAAACAAAAAGGCTTGCTGATAAATTCCTAGTCCTATGGTCTAATAATACACTGAATGAAACAAAATTATATGAACACCAGGCGGGTGCAAAGGTAAGCGCCATGAAGCCAGTTATGGAGCATGAAGAGAAGAACGAGCGCCGAGGAACCAGGGCTGACATGTCCAAAGACGCGCGCAAGCGACGAATATAGGCTATACGTATATGTATAAGTCAGAAATGGGAAGAAAGATATGAAGGCCTTATGTGGATATGCTAAAGATGTATGTGGGGTGAAAGATGGAAAAGTAGAGGCCCCGGGGGTACGTGATACATAAAAAGTCCGCACAAAACACTCATTCGATACTCATTCGGTTGAGGTTCATGCTCATGGTTGCCCGCCCAAGGTGTTGTGATCCCTGGGTCCGTGCATGCGTCTTGCCCCGTGTCACTGCGGGGGTCGTCAAAACACCGAAAAACAAGCTGCATGAGGTGGTACATACTCGACGCCTTCAAGCCTTTGCCGAAGTTTCGCATCACGATAACGCTGAACACTATCGTCACAATTAAGAGGATTATGGCAATAATGGCTAGTAACAAGTCAGCAAAATTATCGACTAATCTCAATTAAGCACGTACAAAAGGTTGCTAATGACTCCCACACGTTCACATAACTAGTGGTCTTGCGCAATACGAGCACTTTGATGAGCTAGATGCATGTCAATGATCGTACATCGCACCATAATTCACAAGCCTACCTTGTATACGAAATAGACCAAAGCAGCTCCGCAGCCAGAGAGGAAAGTCCACATCATCAGCTTGTTTTCATGGCGGACCGCAAGATGTCCTTCGACCAGTAGTACAACAGAAAGGGGGAGGGCAGCACACGTAAGGTAATACTCCCAAGTGTGCTTCGTGAGAACGAGCCAGATGAACTGTACGCAGAAGCCAACCCAGAGGAAGACGTCGAACTTGATCAAGCAGATGAAGATTTGGTAGCTGGCGAACATTTTCTTGATCCGTCGGTCCGCTCCAAGGAACTTGTATACCTTCCAGCCGAACTCATTGTAAATCTTCCATCCGAGGGCAATGTATGCTATTTCCGCGGCAGAAATAACGCATGGAATCACGGTGGTGAGAACTTTGACAGATATGTGAAGGAAGCCACTAGTCGAGGTTGTATAGTCTTGTATTTCTCCGATCTGAATGACAGCATATAGGAGGAACAGCAGATTGAAAACCCTGATACGAAGTGGTGGGAGTGTGAGGTCACTCAGAAAACGCAAGGAAATATTGCTCACGTGAGGCAGATAAATTGCAATGTGTTTCGGGCGTACACAGCGTCAACAGCCATCACAAGCTGAAACACGCTGTATAAACTAAGCAACACGCAACTCAAATTGGAGAAAAGGTCGTACTGGGCTAGAGCAAAGATACTCAGATACACAGGCATTTTTTCCGCGGCTTGTGTTTGATCAGTCTGGGATAGCAAACCATCCTCTTGCCCTGTCTGCAACCGGACGAGTAGGTCGCCTTCAATGGCCAAATCGATGATGGTCTCAACAATGACTGTGATCACGAACAGCCTACATGCCCATGAATCTGGTATGAGCTGAGGTGCCACGTTGAGGTGTCAGAAGAGTTGCAAGTGACAACTAGTCGGCTCACTTACTTTACTCCACACGTTCTGCTTCTCCGCATCTGTTTCGGCAGGGAGTGTTGTTGGTGGGTAAGATGAGGCAGGGAAATCCTCCTTATCATCATCCAAGCTTTTGCCGATAGAGTAAGATGGTTTGTGGTCGAACGACTCGGATGGATCTCTTGGGTTGGATGAAGGAGTTTGAACGGTGAAGGTCTGGTGACGGGAATTTCTCGAGTAGGGAGCAGCGTACTGGTCAATGAGGTCGTCATAAGAGCTCTTTGCTGCTTCATGGCGGGTAGCTGCCGAGACTTGGGAAGTCGAGAAATCACCGTAGGTGGTTGTCAGTGGGCGGGACATGGTGAATGAGCGTCAGAGTTTGGTGCGGCCTGCGACTTTGGAGAACAGGTTGAGGATTCGGAAGGAGAGGACAAACCGTCTGAAATGGAGGATCAGCGGTTACAAGGAGAGCTGGAGACGCCAGCACTAGTAGTGATAGGGAAGGAGCGTGTGGTGACCGTGGTCGCTGTTTGCTGCGCTTTGTCGCGACCGCTGTAGAAGTTGCCACTTGGGCTTGTCCCTCGTTCTATTATTCACAGCGCGGGATTCAACTGCCCGTTCCCGACTTCATCTAATTATGGGTACCCCTACCATTTTGGGACACGTCGGTCCTCCACTACAAACGACTGTGGCGACACGCACAACCTTTTGACCCTATAAGCGCCCAACCGGTTGAGCGCCGCCTCCGCTGAAAAACGCTCTCAGCACCATAATCATAGACATCAACCCATCCTGCCCTTAGGCTAAACCACAAGACGAATATTCTCCGAGTGTTGCTTCACTCTGCAACGACTCCCGTCCTCGTCTGTGGTGATAATATCAAAGATGATACTCCACTCAAAACTTGGGTCAGAACTCTGGTTGAGCTTGAGCCGACAACACTCTTCTGAGCTGTCTTTTCCTTGAACTCGCTCTCTGTCGCTCTCAACTACGTCGTTGACAGACCAACTCTCGTCCCAAAACGCCGGCGACTGAATTGGGCACGTAGTAAAACGCGCTACGGGCCTAAAACGAAGGTAACCAACACTGTGACTGAAGACTAGGTGCTGTAGCATGGCAAAGGGCTAGAGCGAGTTACCCAGCACCACAACTGTGTAGGTACCCAAAACAGGGATTTATGGACCGTTCAATCCGCCATGAACGTTCAAGCTCAAGGCCGAAACCCCACAGTCTTCCTAGCCGACTCCGCGCATCGATTGAACAAGCGTGGGTCGGTGCGATAATCTACACAGTCAGGGCGCAAGGGACACACGGCGATTAGAAGCTGATTCAAGCTAATTGAACCCGTCCTTATGGTTTTTTGAACTAGAATTCTTCCGGTAGGAAAGCGAGATTCCTGATTTTGCAGCAAAATGGCTGGCTCGGGGCCTGCTGTGGGCTGCTTGCCACATGCGTTCAAGATATGGCTGTCAAGGTACTTGACCACGGACTCTCACGTCAACGCCGTACAGTCCGAAGATTAAAGATATGGGACTTGATGGTCCCTCGCACGCGACAGGCTCGCGACAACGCCAGCGAGTTCAAGAATAAGATCCGGAGACCTTGAGGTCGCAATAAACCCATGGAACGTAAGGCGGCGGCGGACCAACGCACCGGAGCGCCGACGTCCCTCGGAATTCCGTATAAATATGTTCTAGATCTGACATGTGCCCAGGGTGACCACGACTTGACGCACAGAAAGGGGTTGAAAACACCCTGGCAAGGGCAAAGATATGTTGCGTGCAGACTGCGGAACGGAGCTTTTGAGCCAGGGACGCACCTAGGTGCCCGCTTCGAAATATCGAAATTAGCCTTTTCAGCTTCCACATCGAGGAAATGTCAATTACGAACTCCGATCACCACCACTCATTCGTTGTGGTCTGTTGTGGTCCCCGGTCCGTGGTTCTCCTCTCTGCGCCTTACACACGATTGCGGTTCTCTGTGGTTCTCTATGACTCAAGTTGCTCGTCATTTTCGCCATGGCTGGCAAAACCAACGGCTGCTAGGTGTCTAGCTTGGGAAATGTTCCCTTGGAATCTGATATGAACCACAAGCTAAGCCGCTTAGCGCTTCCTTACTCGGGCCGGTGCTAGATCTTGGATTTGAACACCTCCGTTCGACCATGGTCGAGACACCTGAAATCAAGTAATGTGCGCTCTTCGTGGCAGCCATATTCTCGCGCCCTGCGCTTCCTTCGCGACTTTATCGGCCGACTTGCTGAATTTTTGCGATCACGCGTGGCCTTCCTGCCAGACTCAGAACGCTTCCGCCGGCTGCTGCGTCCGTGTCATCCTGTCTTTTGGTCCATTCATGCATTTTCGAATGCAGCCGTAAGTGAGACAAACACGTAAACTTTCTTTAGCGTTCCCAGATCGATCAAATGCACGACGGTAGCTCCGTGTCCCTGCATCACGCGGAATTGGCGGCGGACGCACTGATCTCATGCTTCCCTACTCTTGCTTTATACCGTATAAAAGACGAGTTTATTGACATTCTAACTACCGCTTTCTTTCTTTCCTTTCTATCATCTCTCTCTCTCCTCCACTTCCCTATGGAGTCTCAGTCGTCTTCTACTTGCGGCAACACCACGTCAGATTGTGGCGCTACTACCGAAAAGCCCCCACCAACCCCCTTGTTGGAGGTCCCTCACGGTGTAGCCACGCCATCGACCGTGTATTCCCCTTACACCCCCGGCATGTCCGACAAGGACAATTTGGACTATTTTTCTTCTCAGCATTATATCCATTCCACTACTACTACTGCAGTCAATACCCCCAGCGAGATTCCTACGTACAACAAACTTGAAGATACCTCCGCTGACCCCCCTGTTATTCCTGACCTTACTCTTGCTACCACTTCCGGCTCCGTAGAGTTCGAACGCTTGACTATTAGATTGGTCTGTTCTTGTTTTGTTTATTTTCTTTGTGGTTGGGGAGATGGAGGTAAGCGATTCCTCGACTTCGAACGTAATGTTTGTGGTTATTGACATATATTCAGTCACAGGAACGGTCCTTCCTTGTACGTCACCGTCAAGGATGTACGATCAATCTTCCATTTGCTGATGTGCTTTCCAGATTTTGAATTAGACTTTCACCTTACTACCATGACCTCTTCGCTTTGCTATGCCACCCAGACCGTCGGGTAATCTATTACTCGACTCTGCGCGCGAGACGGAGGCGCTAATCTTCCCTCAGTTTTGCCCTTGGAACTATCTTAGTTGAACGCGTGATGAAACTTTTTGGTCAATTCTGGCTCTTGGATGAAGAACGATCTTATCTCCCAGCTATCCCGGCTCTTCGGCGTCTTATCCCCAATCGCTTCCTGTCTCCCCGCAAGTCGTCTGGGGTGGGATATTCGGAGGCGAAGTCCCGTTTAATCACCCTGCTTGTGTCGAGCATGATTCACCCGTGCTTCTTCATTATCCTGGGGCTTTCGCGCCGTTTCTCGGACCTGCTCATTGCTTATGCTTTGGTGGGCTTTGCGAGGTCTTTGATGACGGGTAAGTGGCCTCTTTACATTCAGGCGCCGGTAATAGTTGCTAATGAGTTTACATTTTAGCTTCTCTGTGCGTGCCTACATTTTGTGGGACCTAAGCCACAATGCTAATTCAATACTAGGAATGCGTATGTCGCATCTACTCCCAGTAAGGGGCTCGGTATCATCCTTGGCTTCTGGAGTAAGATTCTTTCACAGTAATGGTGTTGTGCTCTGACAGACAATAATCTTCAGGCTCAGGCTCGTTCCTCGCTCCGCTTGTCTGTCAGACCATCATGGCGACCGGAGTTCCTTGGAGGCACTTCTATCTCGGCTCTCTTGTTTTGTCCGGGATCAACATCGCCTTCCTCATCTGGGCATTCCGCCCGACGGTGAATGAATTCGAGGCTGACAAAAAGGCAGCTATTGACACCATCAAGTCCGCCTTGGCATCCGAAACCACCGTCGCCGGGACGGCGTCCGAAGGCAAGGAAGATGCGTCCAAGTCCGAGTCCTTCCACGCTCCTCAACCGGCGAACAGTGAGTTCCCACCGATTGTGGATTGAATGCTTTCTGATAGTATCCTTTAGCTCTTGCCCTGGCCTGCCGCATGCCTTATCAGTGGGCTTTCTCTGTTTTCTCTGGCCTTTACAACGGAAGTGAGACCACCATGTCGGCTTTCATTGTGACCTTCCTTCTTGGTGCCCGCGTAGGCCTTTTTACTCTTTTTATCTCGCCGGATGTCTGAGTTTCGTCTTTATTTCTCTAGGCCGCAAACCCAAGTACTGTTGGTTATGCAGGCAGCGGCTTCTGGGGAGGTATGGCCGTCAGCCGCTTCCTCTGGGGTTATTTTACTCCCAAGTAAGTGGTACACTTGATAAACGTTCACAGTTGCTGAACAAGCATTATAGACTCACTTATACACAACGCAAGCATATCATTCACGGATGCACATGTAAACATATTTTCCTTCGTGCGTAACATTGGGCTAACCTTTTTGTTCAGCCGTCGCATTTTTAATGTCCCTCTTAATCCTTCTGATTCACTCCGATACCGAGAACTCCTTCGGCGCCGCTATCGTAGGCCTTGTCTATGGTCCTATTTATCCAGCCAGTCTCGGCCTCTCCACCGAGGTTCTGCCTCGTGAGGTTCACATGGTTGCCATGGCCATTAAGTTCGTATTTTAACATTCATCGGATCATGTGTACTGACTAGCATGGGTAGCTCCGCGATGGCGAGTTTTGCGAGTGGTGAGTGCGGTTCGACCCTTCCGGCTATCAACTCTGCTGACAAGTCGTTCAGCGCTTATGCCATTCATTGCCGGTGTTATTCTCACCGACTTCGGCGTCAAAAATCTTATATATATGACCATGGCTCAAGGCGCAGCCATGACGGTTCTCTGGGCTCTCTTCCCGTCTTCCCCTCCATCACGTGTATCATCTTCCAGCAACGCTTAGACGACTCTCACTGCATCTAGATATTAGAGTGTTTGGACCCCTAGAGTCCGCACCTTTTCGGTTTTTTGGGTAACGGTTACGCGCGTCGGTTCATCGGACGATATATACTAGACTCAGTACAATTCGTGGACTCACGTTTCTCCTCTCTAATCTCTTGCTCTTCACGCTTTTATATTTCTCTGCATCCTCATAGGTTCCTTCATTTGCTTTCTTCTTGCTCTTATCATCATCATCATGATTCCTGCTTCACGCGCTTCCATTCTTATTCGCTGTACGATTGTGACATTACTCTTCCTGTACGTCAACGTCCTGGTTCAACACTTTCTTGTTCTTGTATGATGGTTATCAATAGTTCTGTGTTACATGGGTTTTTTGATTTACATATGTGCGATAGCCATAAGGGGACAAATAAATACGACCACAAAGCAAAGCGAAAGCAGGTGAGGTAATATAGATAGGTGAACTAATTACTGTCAGTATCTGTAGATGACCCTGTCTCTTCGCCCTCTCCATTATCTGAAAGACGACTTAGTGACGGATTTAAGCTCAGTGATATAGCTCGAGACCTACCCATAAGATAGTTGGGCTCAATACGCGCCGGCGGTGGCGGGCGTGGCGGACTGACACGCTTTGGTGGTGGTGGTGGTGGCGGCGCAGATGCTGCTGCTGCTGCAGCGGCCGCCAGAGCGGCCTTTCCTTGGCCAGTTTTGACGCCTTTGGGTCTACCACGCTTGGGGGGCCCCGTGCCGGTGGCAGTGGGCTTCGGAGGTGGAGGTGCAGCGGCTGTCGCTAGTGTGTTAGTGAAAGGTGTGGTCAAAGCAGGCGAGGGACAGTCGAGCTCCGTAACAGAGGACGAGCGAAGCTCCGAGGGCACCTCGGGCTGGGAACGACACGCACCGGGAGCTGCCTTTGTGCGGCATGAGGTGAGAATGGAAGTGATGGATAGATGACTAGAGAATGTCTTACCTTGGTGGGTGATATACCTTCTGCTTCTTTTACTCGGGATACCGGTGAGCCTGCAAGATGTTAGCGTGCGACATTGCGATAGTGGCGGTTGGTGACTGACCCGTCGTCTTCTGCTTCTTTTGCTTCTTGGCAGGCGAGATTTGAGGTGAACTTGGCTGGAGGTCTCTCAGCCTCACACACTTTAAGAACCAAGTAGACCTACTTGTTTTCGTTTCAAATTATACTCAGCCTCGTCTAGACAACCTCGTAAGAAGAAGAAAAATGTTCAACCCGGTTGTACATACCGGCACGTTTGCTCTTTGACTTCCCTTTGCCTTTGCCATTTACTGAGGTGTCATCTGATGCCACACCCGCATCTGAGCCTAAAAAGGGGGATGCGGAGCGCCCAGGTTCCATTGCTCTGAAAGAACGGTTCACACGACATTGAGTACAATTGCACTGACTGTCGCTCACTTGGTTTTAACGCCCACCGCCCCACGGGCGGCTGTTGCCCTCCGGCCAAGGCCCATGCACTTGCTAAGATGAGGAGCGTATCTGCTCGCTGCTACCTGACGAGGCTTTGGTACTAGGCCAGGGTAAACAAAAGACTAACTCACCTTCCGTTTACATACCAAGCATTCGAAGTTACCAATATCATCCGCGGACACGCTAGTTCCAGCATTTGAGCCGCTTTCCTCCTTCACCGAAAGTTCGTGACTTCCGCTTGCGGGATCTTGGGACGGTTGCACGCTCGTGCCATTGGGGTGAGCTAAAGTACGAACGGTATGCCCATGACTTTTATTGTTCTGCGATTGCCAATGAAGCGCCTACCCATGCCACAGCTACTGACGTCAATGTCGGCAGCTGCTTGAAGGACAGACGACTGACCGTGTATTACATACAGCACATACTGCCCTGCTCTTTGCAACCTCATGATGTGCGCGCAGCGCTATGTCCATGGTTAGGTCATCAAGTAGAGCCGAGAATAACCTGGATGCCTGTCATGTCTCCACAATGAGCTCGTCGTAAGGATGCGTCAAGACTTACGTACCAGGATGTTAATCGTTTCATCCCTCTCAGCTTTAGACATGATGGTGTGTCTTGAAAGGTCAACAAGGACCTATGACGCGCTGCTTATCCAGACAAGTTGTTTTGAGTGACAACCCCGATCACACTTGCCCTAAATGATCGCGGACCTCGAAAGCCTCAAAATGGCTCATGGTTAAAGGTTCCGCGGCACGAGCTGTTTTCATTGCATCTTCAGCTTCAAACGTCGTAATTTCTGAGAAAAATAACACCCCACTTTTCATCGCGCAAAGAATGATCACTATGGCTGAAAGCAAGCTGATAGGGAAGTCTAATGTCAAAACAATTGAGAATGCTTAGGCAAATCAGCTCTCAGTTCAAGTCAAGAATTTTGTCGAGCATGGAATTTCATGTACAGTTCATTTCACTCATAGCTTGACCAATTTGGAGCCGTTGCCTCGAAGAGTGTTATCGGCAATTCCTTGCAGGATGCGACTCGTGTTTTCCCTGGAAGTTGGAGTGCAAGGTGACTGAATAGATCGGGCCGAAGATCTGGAACACGTGCCATATAGCGGAGAAGCATCTTCGCTCACGCGTCATCGAACCCCAGCTGTGGAATTTCGCAAGTAAATATGGTAATTCGAGCACCACCACTCTAGTTCGCAAACAGACGCCCACGCTCGCTTCGACACATCCTCAGGAAATCAGAATGTCTTCTTGAAACCTGGCATGAGCGCGGAGCTGGTTTTGGTCTCGTTCAAGCGCTCAAGGACTCCCTCGCAAAGCGAACACATGGGTGGAAATCAACTTCGTTCCACTCCTATTCATCCTTGTGAATCTGCGGCCATGCTTGCAGTGGGAGCTACCCGCCTGACCGATCCACCTGACTGTAGATTTGTTCCTATCTATTTCGGTCCCACTTTCGACGCTTGATCACCGCCGCTCTATGGAACTGATGGACAAGGCCGGAGTACAAAAGCCCACCACGACTCCGGTTCGCTCTGCTCTGACCGAAGCATCACCCAGCCATGGCTCGCTTCGTCGCGCTGTGCTCCGCCCTTGCGCTCTTGGTACAGTTTTCCCAGTGCGCGTCGAATGCAACAAATTCAACGATCTCTGATCCGTCGAGCTATGTTAACGTCTTCATTGGTACGACAAATGGAGGACATGTCTTCCCAGGTCAGCATACCCTAGACGCATATATGCACATCGTCAGCTCAAATTGCCAACGTAGGCGCGACCTTGCCACACGGACTGATCAAAGCTGGAATGGATACGGACTCTCCGGGGAATGTAAGAATCTGGTATCCATCCACCCTGGTGCATGCCTGACTAGTCGTAAAGCAAGCTGGTTATGACGCGAACGCGACTTACAACGCGACGGGATTTTCTCAGCTTCACGACGAAGGCACAGGAGGAGTACGTTTTAACACGGCACGAAGTCTGCGGCAGCGCTAACTCTTGCCTGCCGGCTAGGGTGTATCGTTGTCAAACTTCAAGCTCTTCCCTCTCCCGAACTGCACCGACTTTAGAGCTTGTCCGACGTCAATGGACTCAAGAAAGACACTTCGCGTTGTTCTTCCTGATGGTAAAAAAGGATAACTTTCCCGCGTTAGGCCCATGTACTGAATGAACTTCATTGTCAGGCACCCCAGACGATGCGGGCTCTCCCGGTTACTTTGCTTCCAATCTAGTGCGTCTTATATGGGGTCTCCTCAAATAATGCTCAAATCGTATTGGTGACAGTCAACTGGTATCCGAGTGGAATTGACAGCTGCAAGCCGCGCCGCGCTGCATCGCTATACATTCCCAGCTTCATCGACTCTTCCTCGGATGATCGTGGATATCACAAATGATGGCTTGAACAGTAACACAGAACCCGTCATCTCTGTGGACCCGACTTCTGGTCGCGTCGTAGGTTAGGCGGATTTATGCAACACGGCTCTACTGTGCTCATAGCTGTTGCTTCGTAGGTGGCGCCAGCTTTGCGGGATCATTCGGTCCTGGGAGATACAGTGTCTACACTTGCGTCGACTTCAAAGGAGAAGGATTTGACTTAGGTTCTCCCGTAGAATATGGAGTATATATTACGGACGAGCCAACACAGTACAGCACGACATTTACGCAACTCTATTCTGGTACTCTCTTACCTTGACTGACCTGATTCTTGCTAACAGGAGAGCAATCAGGTTTCGACTCGGAGATGGGTGCCCTGCTCGGTTTCTCGCCTTCGTCTGACAGCTCCGATGGAACGACGACCATCCTGGCACGGGTTGGCGTGTCGTTCATCTCCACCGACCAAGCCTGCTCGAATGCCGAGACCGATATTCCTGAGTGGGACTTTGAGGGAGTGGTCACGAACGCTCGCGACACATGGAACGAACTCCTAGGCAGAATCCAGGTGGATACTACTGGTGTCGACGATGAGATTACGGAGCTGTTTTACTCTTCGGTAAGCACAATACTGTGCATCACGCGCATACATTGAGATCATCTGCAGTTTTACCGCACGCACCTTGTCCCCGCTAATTGTGAGTGGTCCCAGGCTTGCTATAGCAGCACACTGACATTCTCACAGATACCGGCGAGAACCCAAAGTGGGAGTCAACAGAACCTTACTATGATTCGTTCTACTGCAACGTGCGTTTTCATTTATGATATTCTACTTGATCTCCAACGAATGTTTGCAGTGGGACACGTTCCGCAACCTTTATCCTTTGTACTCATTGCATGACCCGGAACGCTTCGCTGAGATTGTCCGAGGGATGATCAACATCCAGCAACACGAGGGTAAGGGAACATGTTCAATATGTTGCATTGTGACTTAAGCTCGTTCTAGGATGGCTTCCCGAGTGCCGGGGCGCCACCGTTCAACAGTACATTCAGGGTGGAAGTGGTGAGTAATGAATGACATACACAGAAGAAGACCAGGTTAATTTCGGCCGTGCTAGATGCTGATCCAATTTTGGGAGAATTCTTCGTCAAGTATGTTCGCTACCATGAATGCAAGACATGGTGGGACTCAGCTGATGAGATATGCAGGTATCATGGGCAAGCCGCCTCCCTCGGGGTGTCCTCCGACAACTTGTTCCAAGCTTTGCTCGTTGATGGCGAGAATACATCTACAATCTGGAACCTCCAGGGTCGCCTGAACACTGCTTGGAAGCAGTATAGTGCGTAATCAGGTCTCGAAGGCTTCTCCGCTCGTAACTCGCCTCGTAGATTTCATCCCTTCGGACCTTTACGCCCCTGGAGGCGCGGCAACGAAGCAGGTGTCCCGGACTATAGAGGTAGCCCGCTTTATTACCAAGAAGATTATGTAACTGATTTTGTGACAGAGTGCATTTGATGATTTCGCCATTGCTCAAGTCGCCAAGATCTTGAACCAGACAGACATTGCCAACGAGGTTTGTGACATTCGATCTTGCTGGCCATGTTTTACTTCGCCTACGCACTGTACTCACTAGTCTGTCATTAGTACTACTCTCGTGCCGGCTACTATGTCAACGTCTGGAACGAGAATGTCACGTTGCCCGGGGATGACACGGTAAAGGGCATGATGCAGGTAAGCAAACGGAAGCAGCAAGTTATGTTGTATCTCATCTATCGTGTATAGCCTCGGTTCATGAATGGAACATTTAACTACACTGACCCCCGTCATTGCAGCGTGAACGACCCGACACAAGCGACTTGTTATTTGGATGCTACCAATCACGACGGCTTCTACGAGTCGTCACCTATGGTTGTGAGTGCCCATCATACTTGCATGTGTGCTCGCGATTGAAGATCATCCTTCATAGTACTCGCTGGTAAATGATATGCTACGTTTGATCTGACCAGGCCTGGGCTTGACTATGCTGCACCAGTTCGTTCCCCATGACACGGCAAAACTCATCGAACTCGCCGGTGGAAACGAGTCATTCGTTCATAGGCTCAACGTCATGTTCGAGCAGGTACGATGAGCACCTTTTCTACCGCGAGGAGTTTTGGCTGAATTTTTTTCAGCACTTCTTCGACATTTCGGATGAGCCCTCGATGCAAATCCCGTTCATGTACCACTATGTCAACCAACCAGGGCTTAGCGTCCAGCAAGCCCGAGAGACGATGGCTGACAACTTCAACACGACTGTGATAGGTATTCCTGGAAACGACGGTGAGTTGGTCGGTGCTCCCCTGTCGAATCATCCCTAATACAGCATTGCGGCGGACCGTGACGTCAGATTCTGGTGAGTTTCTACCATTCCCAAATACACACCACAGATTCTAACCACCATATGCGTGTTCGCAGGTGTCATGGGCAGTTTCGCCGCCTTCGTACTGCTCGGGATGTATCCCGTTCCCGCAACGCAGCAATACTTGCTCGTCTCTCCGTACTTCCCCCAGGTCTCGTTCTACAACCCCGCCTTCAACTCAACCACGACGATCAAGGCGACCAATTTCCAGGGGAACCCTGCGAACGGCACCGGAGGAACAGTATACATTCAGGTTGGTTCGCTCGTAGCTCACACCATCCCTTCCTGACATCCGTCGCCCGTAGAACGTCACGGTGAATGGCCAGCCATACAAGTCGAATTGCTACCTCGACTGGGATGTCTTCCAGTCGGGCTCCACTGTTGAACTGACGCTCACCGACGATGCCAGTGTGGCGTGCGGCGACACCGCTGATGCGCTCCCTCCTTCGCTGTCCACAGGAGGATTCGCCTAAAGACAACTCAATGCTAGATTGCTGAAGCGCTGATGTTGTTGTATTTCCCAGAACTTTTTGTTCGATCCGGATTCTGCAATAAAGATAAATTGTCCATTGTTCTAATCCGAGTCTTCCGCTTTTATGTACACGCAGTCAGCGACGTAATTACCCAAGAGTAAGTCAAAACCATATGCATTGAATTGTTCGTGATAAATCATATGAGCAAAGTATGTACTTCGTCAGTCGGTGAGTCGGTCATGGTATGTAACTCTATGGAAGCAAAGGCAAGAATGGAGGCAGGACGGAACGTAGTTCAATGAAAGGGCGTCGGCGCGTACTCTGAGACCAGCAAGCAAGCGGGCCCGCTTTTTGTCCGTCTAGTCTCGGGTGAGACGCGAGATTGTGAACACGGTAAGAATAACGGCGGCGAGGGCACCAATACTGGCCGGCAGAAGCAGTTCCTTCGGGACGCCCATGACGAGCTCCGGTTCGGGGGGAGGAACGTGCACCATCGCAGGCGGAGCCTGCGCAACGGCCTCGGGTAGGGTAGACTCGACCTTCTCCACCTCCTTGACCTCCTCCTGCGCGGCAACGGCAACCTCGGCGGCCTTGACCTCGCTCTTGTCCGCACCGGCCTCGGCCCAGTTCTTGCCGCCCTGAATGAAGAGCACGACGCGGTCCGAGCCGGTCGTGCGCGCGATCTTGACCGCGTCCGCGATGTCGGTATCGCTCGTCATCAGCACGCTGTCGCCGTCCGCGTCGGTGTACGAGAGCAGGAAGTCGGTCGGGTCGGGGCGGCCCTCGGGATCGCCCTCGTACTCGATGAAGAAGGGGTCTGTCGCGAGCTTACCGCGCACAATTTCGCGCAGCATCTCGATGCTGTCGTGCCGCGCCTGGAATCGGTGCGTGCGCCCGCTCGGCGTGCGGAACTTGAACACATACGTCCCGTCATCCTGGGGCACGGAAGAAAACCCAGTGATAGATGGGGCAGAGATGTCGCCGCGTCGACGCGCGTAGCCTTCCAGCACCGACTCCTCGTCGACGACAGATGCAGAGTCGTTGGGGTGGACTTCTGATTGCGGAGACTGCAATCTCATGTTGTGGTTGGTCAACGACATGCCATCCGTGGGGGCACGAGAACCAGAAATCATGGACTCGGTGTCCTCTCCCCCACCCAAGGAGTCGAAGAAACGACCCCACATTGGGCCACCTTCGGCATCGGCATTGCCTCCAGCAGCCTCAGTGGTCATGGTGTTCATCTCAATACTCAACTATTAGTAACATACGCAACACTAGCGACGGCTGGCGGTGCACACCTGTTCAAGCGTAGCGTACGTGAGTTTCAGCACGTCTACGATAGCCACCAGACGGCCATCAGTTTCGACCACAGGAAGGTTGAGGTAGTGACCATCTTCGAATGCGTGAGAATCACATATTGCGTGTTAGCTAATCGAGAACTTACTATGCATCTTCTTGAGGGCATCATGCACAGTGGTAGTAGGAGGAGCGGTGTCAGGATGAGGGGTCATTACCCGGATGACACTGCACATATTTGCATCGAGTCCAGCAGCGATGACACGAAGAACGACATCCTTGCTGGTGAAGATACCGGCAATCTTGGGATGAATGCCGCCATGGTTCTCCATAACGCACACGGCGGTCGTCCTCCGCTCCTTCATCAGCCTGGCGACCTCACGGACGGTGGTCTTGGGCGTGACTGTCGCGGGATGAGTGCGAGAGTCCATGATGGTGGTGAGATCGGGCAAAGCCGTCTTCTCGCGAAGAGCCTCAACATATGCGAGCATAGCTGCAGCCTGTGGGTTGGTCGACATGTTGGGGCCGAGCTCGGACTGCACACCAGCGAGAGCAGAGTAGAGCTTTTCTGAGGCAGAGGAGCTGCGCTCGACCTTGTTAAGAGCCTCATGGAAGACCTTTGTGATATCAAGGAGACCGACCACGTTGCCCTCCTCGTTACACACAGGCTATCTCCAGTGGTCAGCACTGAGCAAGTTCTAGAGATAGTCCTAGGAAACGCACCAAATGCCTGAAGTGCCTCTGGACCATGAGCTGAAGAGCCTCCGTCGCGCTGGTGGAGTCGCGGGTGACCATAGGGCCTCTGGTCATGATCTGGCTGACTGGGGTCGCGTGGGGGTCCAAGCCCTCAGCGGTCACCTGAGCGTACAGTTAGCGCAAAAAACTGCCACTGGAGCTGTTTGGGACCAACCCTATAGGCAAGATCCTTGGCAGTGAAGATACCGCTGAGACCCTCCTCATCGTCAACTACAAGGACACAGTCCGTGCGCTTGGCGGCACAAAGCTGACTGGCCTCTGCGACAGTGATAGTCTCTGGAACGGTGAGGGCGGCACTGGGCTTGAGAGCGGCGACGGTGCCTTTGGCTACCTGTAGCTTGGTACCGCGCTTCGTGCGACTACCACCGAGTTGCTGGGCGGTGGATATGGTGCGCTTGCGGGAAAGCTCGCCCTCAATCTTTTTGCGGATGGCCTGCGGGTAGAGTTGTCTGTCAGTGACGGATACGGAGCGCTGGCGGACACGGGGGCGGATGGTCGCGGTGTCATAGTTGTTGGGAGGCTTGGAAGGAGAAGCGGGCATGTTTGGAAGAAGGAAGGAAGACTAAGGAGAGCGGCTGTACACGTGCAGACCAACGCCCGGTATAGTGTTGTAGCACGAGGCCTGTGGTTTTTTCTTATGGAGGAAGAGGACTGACCTCGTCGCGCTTTGACTGCTTCCTCCGAGTCTCTGACATCTGACCGGAGACCTGGGACATGGCTGGGTTGCTGGCGTGTCTGAGGGAGGGACCGGCTGCGTCCGAGTGGTCGGAAGGGAAGGGGCGGGAAGGAGAGTGTGACAATGTCGGAACAGGAATACGCGACATCTAAAGGCGGAAGGAAGATGCCAATGAATGTGTCTTGACGGAAAGTGCGCTACTGCTTGAGCTTGCTCTCTCCTGCTTTTTAGATTTATGACAACCATGCAATCCTCCCGGCTCCGGAACAATTCTCCCTGTTTGGCCATGTTTGACTAGCAACGTATATTAATGCAGGCGTTTCCAGGTCGTCATTGTTAGAAAAACATGTCTACTTTCAGCCTCTACCCCTATTGCCTCGACTCCTCCTTGTGTACAGGTAGTAGCCCCCTCCAAGCAACACGAGCACAGTAAAGTTTGCTACCAACAAATCTGAGCTTCAGACTTTTGTAGCAATGATACAACTCACCTGCAACAAAACCTAGCGTCCCTTGAAACACGTCCAACACAAGCTCGACTACGCTTCCTCCAAGCTTGATTGCCCCGCTGAGTAACTCTTGAAGTAGGGAAAAGATTGCTTGAAAGACAGCAAGTACCGAGTACGCCAGTGACATGGCAATACCTGATATTGATGCCACGAACTTGCTCACAGCAGATGATAGAGACGCCATTGTGGGTCCTAGATTGTTCTTCCTGCTACTACCCCCGACTTCAACCCCGTCTTTATACAGCAGAAAAGGAGATCTTTCGTCATTGGAGCGCCCCACACGCTTTATGTTGTCATTCGTTACGATAAGTATCCGAACATAGATTTAGGTCTAACACAGAACTAGCGCGCTAATAGCCGGAATGGGTTTAGTGCAGGCTGGGAAGATCAATAGCGACATTCAAGCAGCGACCATCTGCCTCCAAGATCATGCTTGTCCATCCTTCAATCTCTCCTTGCTCCGCCGGCGGGGGGCTGTTGCGGCGCCAGCGTGCTTCCAGCCCATCTGCCGATCAGCTCGCGAACCTTGCCCCAGGTCTGGATGGCGACGGGAGGGTTGCCGGGCTTGTTGATAATCGCGTTGATCCTCGCGTCCGCAGTGGTGATAGCATCACGCGTGAAAGCAGACTGGTAGTACCTCTGACGCAGGAAGTGCGCAAATACGAGAGGGCTCAGGAGCGAGTTGCGGAACGTAATGGCGCCGAGCAAGACGCGAACGAAGATGAGCAGCTCAGTGAACGCAACGACCCGCATCGCAGTGTCGTAGTTAGCTATCAGAGGTGTCAGAGCACTCTAACCGGGGACATTGCCATATAGAAGTCACCTTTGACCCAGACCTGCAAACGCTTGGCCAACGGGTGGGGCTGAGGAGGACCACCCTGAGTAGCAGGAGGGGAAGGAGGGAGGAATTGGGGCATCAAAGTCGTACGAGTGAACGTGAGGGCGTGGAAGAGAGAGAAGATGGTGTACGGGATGAGAGCGACTGCATCCAAGGATCAAATCGCATCATTGGAAGACAAAAGCAAACTGTCTTACCAGCAACCGGCTTCGAAGTCCACCAGAAGAAGGCGAGGAGAAAGTATTGGACATTCTGAACGCAAAATGAGTAAACGCGTCCGGTTTCGTACATCGCAACAGTAACACACCTCGTCCAATAGCGCGCGCCTGATGAATGCGATGTTCGGTTGAGGAGTCTGTTCCCGTTCAGTTTAGCCACCGAAGTTCCATTTACGTCATTTTCACCAACTCACCCCAAGCGACTTGCTGCATGACACGTTTAGCCCACAAAGAACACACAACGTGATGAGACGAAAATGAGACTCACTGGCATACAATGATATAGCTCAGCAGAGCTCCGGCGAAACTAGCTGTACGTGACAAGAGGGGTCAAACGACAGATGCTAAAGATGGAGCGAACCGCACGCACCTTTGTACCACCACGCCGATACAGTTTTGAAGGTCACCCACCCAAGGAAGTACCGCAGGGCACCAACCAGGAGCACGAAATGGCCTGCTGCCCAAGTGTAATGCTACAGGTGTCAGTTACAACGTGGTTCAGCAAAGGACATGAAGCGACGCAACAAAGAACACGTAAATAAACGTGAGTCGTTTTCAATACATCAAACTAGACAGAGAAGGATAGACGAACCTGTTTCGTTGCCATGAAGGGTTCGCGCGTGCGCTGGATTCAAAGCTGGAGGTAAAGGCAGAAGGAGTTTCCAGAGCAGAGCCTCAGAGCAAATGCGCGGTTGACGCATGCATGTGTCTGGGCAGGTGTTGGCTTTAGGGCCGGCTCGCAGCTCCGGCGGTTGCGCCGCCCACGCGCCATTTCGTCATACCGTTTATCTTGAGAATATCCAGCTTCTTCCGAAGTACAAATATCGAGATAACACTATTCTACCTGTCATGAACTTTTGACGACTGCATGCATAAAAACCAGAACGACAAGAAATGCGTAAAATCACTAATATAGTGCCGATGTTGTAGCCCTATACCACTACTGACTCCATTGCACGCCTGACTGCTTCATCTGTTTCCGCTCCTTACCCTTCCGATACTTCTCCTTCTCTACCGCCTTCTTTCCCAGCGTCTCAATCCGCCGTGCCTTCCCAGCACCCCGTTTCGATTCGTGCTGCTGACCCTCCTCCTCATCCATAACCGCCTCGGCGTCATCGTCATCGGCGCCCTCTCCCAGCGGCATGTCCTCCCACACCTCCTCCTCTTCATCGTCCAAATCGCCTCTCCGACGCTTCGTCCCAGATGGCGCCTTACCGCCTCCAAGGTTGACATTCACCCGCGGAGGAACCGAGAAGCCGAACGCCTTCCCGACTTTCGCCAGGTCCAGAGCGTTGATGTCGAAGATCTTCTTCAGCGAGTACGATGCATATGACTGCAGGTATGAGCGGAAACCATCTTTAGCAGACTGGTGGAGGAAGTAGTTCTTCTGGAGTAGCTTCTCAAGCTAGGCAGAAGTGTGATGAGTGATCAATCCAATCACCTTCAACATGTAGTGGCTTACCTGACTCTGGACATTTGCAATGCGTTCGGCGGGGAAGGTGTACTCATTCAGAGGGACCTTGGCCTGCTTCAGATACCTCAAGAAGCCCAGTTCGCTCGGAAGCAAGAAGAGCAGACTCTTGCCGACTTTACCCGCACGCGCTGTACGACCGACACGATGGATGTAATCGCGAGGGTCGTCTGGCGGATCGAACTGCACAATCCAGTCCACCCGAGGAATATCAAGCCCACGAGCAGCGACGTTCGTGCAAAGAAGGATGCCAGACTCTGCGTTCTTGAACTCGAAGAATGTATTCGTCCGTTTTTGTTGTTTTTGCTTTCCCTAGAGTGTACGGTGCAAGCTTTATAGGTAACGACGACTTCAGTAGCAAGAACTTACGTGAAGATCCAACACAGGGATATCAATGTAATTTAACAGCTCGCCATGGTATTTGACAGAGTTGCAACTCGAGAAGAAAACAATAACTTTCTTCTTGAGATTCTTTTTGAGAAAGGTGAAGAGGAGGAGGAAACGGCGTTCGGACGGGCACACAACGTAGCCTTGCGAGAGAGTGGAGACGGTACTCGTCGTTTCCTCCCCGTCCACGTCGATGTGCAGGGGGCCTGGTCGGAGTGACATTCGTGCAAGGTCATTTACCTTGGTTGTTTGAGTTGCAGAGAACAGCATAGACTGCCGATTTTCTATTCGGATATCAGTCAATAGTTCCAAGTCTCATGGAACTAGAACGCACCGTTTGGCAAGATCGATATGATCCTTTTCATCTCCTCTTCGAATCCGACCTCCAATATACGGTCCGCTTCATCAATGACGAGAGCTTTCAAATTTCGGAATACAAATCCCTTCGTGTTCTATGAGGCAAATCACGTAAGTGATTATATCGCACGCGGGTGTGCGCAAACGCACCTGCAGATGATCAAGTAACCGTCCAGGGGTTGCCACAAGCAAGTTCACCCCTTTCTGAAGCTTCTCAGACTCCGCACGCTGATTTGCACCTCCCATGACCACACCGAACGTTTGAGAGTGATAGGCCATCAAATCTCTGGCGACCTCAAAGATCTGCAGGGCCAGTTCTCGTGTCGGACTGACGATGATAATGCCAGTACCTATTACACTATCATTGGCATTGGTCAGATCCATGGACTAAGGATAACGCTCACCATTCCGAGGCTTGAACTTCATCCTATGCAGCAACTCCACACAAGGTATGAGAAAAGCGAGCGTCTTGCCAGATCCTGTACGAGCTGCGCCAAGAACGTCTCGTCCTGCAAGGAGGGGAGGGATCGACTTGGCCTGAATGGATGTCATAGTCGAGAGGCCCATGTCGGCGAGGCCTTTTGAAGTAGCTTCCGAGAGCTCGAGGGAGGAGAACGGCTCACGAGCAGGGGCCTCCTGAGAGGGCCCTGCCTCTGGGGCCTCTGGGGCCTTCTGAGATGTAGTCATTTCGTCTTGCGAAACTTGCAGCGAGACAACGGGGAGGATGGGAGGAGAAGCGGGCGACTACCCTGAGAGATATGATAAGTGTTAGTATGTGCCTAGCAAGCCAAAGTCGCCTCGAGGAAATTTCGACGGGGCGGCTTTCGGAACTTGCCGAGGGCCCGAATCTTCCGCAACGAGCCAAAGGCAAGTCAATCTATAGCAGTACTTACCGCGACAGTCTACACTTTATGACATGTCACTAGACGGCAAGCTAAACGCTACTAGTTTGCTGTATCACTCAGGCATTGTGCTAGCGTCTCTCGTAGTTGGAGCGCTCTTGGGCTACCGGTCTGGCGCCAACTCAGCGGTTCTTCCAAGTGTCCCGTTGGAAACCAAGCCCGAGTCCAAGTCCAAGTCGGGTGAACAAGAAGAAGAGAGTAGCGACGAAGAGGACGAGGAGGACGACATCGCCGACGGAGATCTCAGCGCTGTGAAACCGGGCATGTTCCAACAATGTAAACTGGTAAGTGATCGCCTTGCATTTACATGTCCGTCCGTAACCGTATGGCAGGTACTTGTAGTAAGGACGGATCTGAAGATGACGAGTGGGAAGATTGCTGCGCAGTAAGACTTTCATCGGCCTATCTTTGCCTGTTCACTCATAGTAATACCTTGTCACATAGGTGTGGGTAAGTGGAAAAGGTTTACATTTATGCTCGGGCTTACGGTGAAGCCCAGACATGCGACTCTGGCATGCTACAAAGCCCTCATGAAAACCAATCCTCAGGTGAGTTAATGTAAATTGCGCGCGTTCTTTTCGTTGATTATCTGGCTAGCTTGTTCAACACTGGGAAAGAATTGGGCAAGCCAAGATAGCTTTACGAGTAAATTCCGAGGATGAGCTTCTCGAACTTGAAGCCATTGCCAAAAGTCTGAACCTATGCGCTCGTTCAATACTGGACGCGTAAGTTCACCATCTATCACACGCGCACTTACTTTACCATAACCATCTTGCTTCAGAGGTCGGACACAGATTGCCGCTGGCTCGCGGACAGTCCTAGGTATTGGTCCTGGTAAGCGATATCGCTGTATTCGCAACTGGCTGAGTGCTCACAACACTTCAAGCTCCCGTCGACCTCATAAACCAAGTGACTGGACACCTGAAACTACTTTAATGTCTGCCTTTATCCTCTATTGCTTTCTTGTGGGTTTAGCCGCCTACAACCTATTTCCTAGTAGCCCTCTGCTTCATGTGGTATGTATCCGTGCTTAGTCGGACCAGCGACCATAACATTGTTTAGAGCTTTCCCTGGATACAGCAAACCAATGACGAGCTTGTCGGCCTCTGTGCTCGTTGCAGGGACATTGTTCTTGCAGGCTGTCACGTTCGATCTAATCGTTCTATACGCATCTCGTAAAGCACCTACTACGATGAGGTGGTCTGTCGTATAAGATGTAGTGGCGCGTTACTACAATATACGCGGTTAATGAGGAAATGTCCCAAGGCTAGAATTTTTAGCACCTGAGGATATAAAATGCCCACATGCGCGTGTCGAAGAGTTGGGTAACTCAAGAAATGAGGAGCTTTTCAAACGCGCTGGTGCCGACGCGACGCGCAACACGCAACGTCACATGTCACATGCAATGAGCTCATAAATAACCATCCCAAAACGGGGGAGCCGGCTCGGAAATTGGAAGGGTCTAGAAGAAGGCCAGTCCGCGGTTCTCTGCACTCCACCGCGTTCCACTACAAACTTACTTCCTGACGTTGTACAGCGACAATGCCATCATCCCCGACCTACTAAATTCGCGAGACCATCGACGACTCCGACGACGGCTCCCCTCAACCCTTTCCTCACGTTCTGCAGGATGGCCTCTCTTTCACTCGTTAGGGCTTATCAGCATGCTTTCCACTCATATCCACATCGCACGCTCGCCGTTACAGGAGGAACTTTGGGCGCACTCGGCGATGTTGTCGCTCAAATCTCACAGAACCTTGTGAGTGTCAATCTGGGCGCCCCTTTCCAGACCTAATGCGCTTGAACCCTGCAGTGGCCAAAGGAGCATGAGCAACGTCCCGGCTGGGATGTCGCCCGCACGATGCGCTTCTTCTGCTTCGGCTTGGGGATGAGTAAGTGGCTACACTATGGGAGTCTTGTAGTAAACCTTGAACCATATCTCCCTCCGAGGCCCTGTACTCGGTCGCTGGAATGCCTTTCTTGAGCATAGATTCCCTTTGAAGACCATCAAGCTACGAGGCCGACAGAAGATCAGCTTCAAGGCACTCGCAAAGCGCGTAGCGGCCGATCAGATTCTTATGTACGTACTCTATTGATATATCTCCTTTGCCGAGATAGCTCATCCAAAGTGAATTGCAGGGCTCCTGTTGGGGTATGTTGGATGGCCCCTACTTCACTCAAACACTGACTTATAAATGTAGTTGGTGATCTTTGTGGGCTCCATGGGCCTCATGGAAGTTCGGAGTCCTGCCCAAATCCGAGAGAAGTTCACCGAAATGTATGGGCCAGCGCTGCTTGCGAATTGGCAAGTATGGCCGATGGTGCAAGTGAGTAGAGTACACAGCTCAATATTAATTGCGTATAAGATGGCATTGACGTCTGCTTCTTCAGCTCATCAATTTCCGATATATGCCATTGCCCTACCGTATACCATTTCAATCAGCCTGCGGTGTCTTCTGGAACCTATACCTGTCTATTCTGAACGCTAGGTATGATACAATTTATTGCACTCGTGCCCTTTCATTGACACCCCTCAAGGGAGGATGAAGTTCTAGATAGACAAGAGGCCATGCGACGGACCGTTGACAAAGAATAGAGTTTTAAAAAGAATCTGATCTGTTTTTCGCATTTTTACTAACATTTTTGTAGGTTACCTTAGCCATACTTACTAGTCATGCATGTTTTCAAGGTCTGCTTTCAATGTTCTAGACTCATGTTTTATAGAATTCTGTCATTCACGTAGCAGGCAATAAATTCCAAACCCCGCTACTACGTGAAAAGGCTCGACGACTATGTCGCGCCATATTTTGGCTTGAAGTACGCCGGTGGCAGCTTGCTCAACACATCCACGAGGGGACGCTCGACCACCACCAACTCCCCGGGTCCGAAGAAGTCTGCGCCCAGGATAGGGCGATACTGCGTGACCATCTTGAGGTGCTGTCCGTCTTGCCCAACGGTGTGAACTCCTGGCCGCGGGCCGGATGTCGACTTGCGACGTTTTCGCGGGCCGCGCCAAGAGCCTTCCCAGTCAAGCTTAATCCTGCAAACCCACGTCGATCCCCAGAAGAGTGCGTCCTTCGAAGACGGGGCAGTGTCTTCGGGAGCTACCCCGTTCGTTTGCACGCACGACGCAACGGGATCAAATAAGACACCGAGGACGGGATCAAAGGCCCCTGTAAAGTTTTGAGGAAGTCGGGCGTTCAGTTCCTTGGACCACGAAGGCACATCGCCATTCTCGACATCAAAGGCGTGGATGGTGTTATTCGGCAGCGTTGCTAACAACGTATGTGGCGCGTTTGGGATGAACGAGAGCGTGGATGGAGATAGTGGCAGTGACGGCAGCGTGGTGTGGTACTGCGTATTCGGAAAAATGTCAGCTAGTATCGCTCAATCACCGCTAGCAGCAGGAACACGTACCTGTAGGGAGTCGAGGTTGTAAACATTTATTCGACCTGAGTCATCCGCAGATGCGGCCCATTGCCCGTCGGGAGAAACAGCCAGCCTGACGACACTGGACAGTTCAGAGCCCGCTGAACTATTTGACTCTTCAGGTTCATCAATCCCGGCCTCCTTCGATACACCACGTTGTATTCGTCCAGCAACACGTCGGGATCGCTCGAGGTGTTGATCAAATCTTCGTAGGACAGATGGTTCCTCAGTTGACAGGTCCATATATAGAATGCGGGGTTGTGTCGCGGTGGCCATCATAAGTTTTGACGAATCCGGCGTGAAGGTAAATGAAGTTGCTCCTGTAGATGTAGGCGCTTTTGATTTCCCATTTGACGACAAATGAGCTTGAAGAACGCTGGCAAATGATCGTACTCGTTTGGGTTTGATGGTACCGTTAGGCTTGGCGCACATTATGAGTTGAACAAGAGAAAAAGATTGAATAGAGAATACGTACAGTAGTAGTTAGTTGGAACAGCCTTGATTCATACATGTCGGATGCCACAAGCCAGCGTCCGTTGTCCGACAGCGCTATGGCTATCAGGTTTGTCCGCACATTGAGCTCCATGTCTAAGGCCTTTTCCCAGCCACCTTTGGGCTCAGGCTGGTCATTGTCAACAGCCTGCACGATGTCGTCCAAAGTTGGAGTTTTGAGCACTCGCCAAATCGTAACACCACTTTCATGCATGCTTGCGACTAGACGTGCCTGGCGGCTGAAGCATATCTTTGCTGAGTACCCTATGCGTCGGTAGTACGAATCTTCAAAGGTCATGACCACACCGTTGGCGATGGGGTTGACCATACACGGAGCAGCCGCTGAGGACGTTGCCTTTGCAGCAAGAGCGGGAGTGAGGACCACAGACATGTCGAGCCCGCCGGAAACGAGAATGGGAGCGACTGTACGAGCTTTTCGTTTATGGGCGGGAGGGAGTGGAGCGTACGGTGGCCACATAGCCAGAGCACGAACGTCATGCGAATGCATTCTCCTGGAGGTTGATTGTGTCCAACGCCCCGAGGCAGAGCTTATAGCTGGCGCAGACGAGCCTGAGGTGGTGGTCACGTAAGAGAACTGGATCACCTTTTGATCGACGCCGGAAGTATACACAGAGGTACCATCCTAGGTCAAAAATATTGAGGCCTGTCGTCATACATGGTCGCAGCGTACACTTACCGGTCCAACAGTCATGCATAGCACATCAGCGCCATGAGCAGTGAAGCTGTGCAACTGTGTGCAGGTTATATGATCCCAGAACTTAACCGTTCCAAGCGAATCACCTGAAATGATTGTTCCGTCACTGGCCGACGCGTCAGTCTCGTACTCATACTTTTAAAAAAGATAGCTGACCCAAGGACACTAACAGCCCATACCAGTGTCCGTTCACCCCTGATTTTGTCGGTGCTCATCCGATCCAGCACTCGCCCGGATGCAACATCCCATTTGCGCATGCTGCTGTCTGAACCTCCAGTAACGAGCCAAGAATCTGACCAATCCTCCTCATCATCGTCGGAGTCCGAGTCGTCCTCCGCGCCTCGTGACGGTTTATTCCGTCTAGGTTGTGATGGAACTGGTGGTCCCCATGCAATGCTGAGTACACGACATTTGACGCGATCAAAGCGACGGTGATGCTCGAGCGTATCGGCCGTCAAAGAAAGGAGTCGTACAGAGCCATCTTCACACCCTAAGGCTAGGAGAGACGATGCGGGGTTAGCGGCAATGCACCAGATAGCTCCTCCTTGAGAACTGATCGTGCGCTGGGATCGTATAAGCACGTATAATAAAGCCAGAAAAGAAAGTTAGGGTGCCCACCTTTATGCAGCCTTTTTGCAAATCCCATTCGACAAGCTCGCTCCCTCCTCCTGAGCTGAATAACCGCAGCTCTGACCAAGTAGGAGAAGCATCAGGCGACATGGCATCGGGATAGCGCAAGACAAAGGCCATCGAGTCTATCTTGGATAAACATGGTCCTACAAGGGTCTTGTTTCATTGGATATCTGTATCACAGGCGGGTTGAAGCATGTTCGAGAACATACCTTGACTGGCTGCCAACCTTGAGGGGCTTGCACCCTCCCCTCTTCCGCAGTCCACTCATACAATTCGATATTTCCATTAGCGTGGCCCACGGCGAGCGTACCGAAGTTGTCCTTGGTTTCCCGTTCGCGATCCTTTCCTGTTCTTTTGCCTGAAAGACGAGGCAGTGGAGAGGGAGGAAAGGCTAGTGCGGTTATTGGCGAAGGTGTAAAGTCCACAAATCTACAACGATGGACAGAGAGAGGCGGTGGCGCTAACGACGGCAGAGACTGGTCCATGGCTAGCTCGAAAACGACGCAGCAGCCTGCAGGACCGACCAATGTCCTTGAGATATCGGACGTCGGTGACGGTGACCTTGGCGGTCCGCTAAGCGAGGACTTTTTTCCCCTTTCCATTTGAGGAAGACGCGCTTTTCACCCTTCGACTTCCGCGTCGCGACTTGCTTGCAGCTACCGTTTCTCCCTATCCCCGACCTCACGCTCAAATTTTTCCTCAAGAATACGACCAACATGTCCTTCCTTCGTGGTGGTGCAACCCCCGCTGGTGGTGTGAACCAGGAGCGTCTTGAAATGGCCGTCAACGAGTGAGTATATCGCACTCGTAATACTCGAACAAATATGGCCTAACGCTCTACAAAGGATGGACATGATCACGGATGTCTTCAACCGCATTGTCAGGTGCGAATATCATTAACGCAGTTCGACCTCGAGTTTCTCATTTGCCCCAGCTCGTGCCACAACAAGTGCATTAGCACGCGGTATGCTGAGGGTGACTTGAACAAGGGCGAGAGCGTTTGCATTGATCGTTGTGTGGCCAAATATTTCGAAGTCAACAAGAAGGTTGGCGAGAAGATGCAAGCAGCGGGTGCCAACGCAAGCGCTGGAGGCGGCCTCTCACTATGAATAGCTCACCATGACTGTGTGCAGTATGTTCGCCGTCCATTCAGTCAGAATAAAGGAACTGAGCTCTAAATTTGTAGCAATTCCACTACTACCATCGCCGAGACGCCCAGCCAAACTACCGCAAATGCCCAAGGAACAATGATATACATGGGGGCCCGCAAGGACGATAGTCCCTACGACTCGCTTGTGGGACTGTCACTGACCAGGGAAGCACTCCGCTAGAGTCTTGGAGTGTTTGTTCTTAGCATGTTCCTCTAATCTGCATTATTTACACGTCGTTAGCATCATGATCATGCATAATCTGAATACATCACTCACGCCGGTGCCCGAGTTGTCAGAAGCTAAATAATTGTTTAGCGGGTGTTTGTAGACGAACAATGCAAGGAGCGCACGAAAGACTGTCTGCAAGTCTGGCAGATGATGTTCTTGGCTGCCTCGTTGACTTTCGCCTGGCTCTTAGACCCCTTGGGATCGTTCTTAGCAGCGTTACGCTCGCGCTTTTGAGCAGCTTTGGCACCCTGTAACAATGGTTCTGGTCAGCGGGAGGTTATCGGGGAAGATCAGGTACTAACGTTGCCCATGGATCAGAGTCTCTCAGAGTGAAGGTGGAACTTGATAATTTGACGCTAGCACGATGCTCCGACAGAATGGGCTAAAATTCCGGGAGCTGTAAGCGGCTTATTTCCTGAAATTTCCCAGTCGACATAATGTTACGTAAGTCCGAACTCCTTATGATCTCCGTTCCTGATGATCATGGTCGTGCCTCAGCAGATTTGCAGCAAGATGTTTTGCTGGCCAGAAATGGAGACGTGATTCAGCACCACGTCGGGTTGATCTCTCCTGCCCAGACTGAGTCAGATGTAACCAGGGTTATTTAACTTACTCACCTCCTCACCTGAGGGTATAAAATATCCACCTGAGTGACCGTTGTCCTATCCCCAACGCCTCCTTACTCCCTCGTGCCCCTCCCTTCGCTTCTCAAGCCCAAGGTCCGTTCCGTCTACCTATAGAACAGCGGCAGGATCTTTTCTTTACACGTTTTGTTCATTGCACCTATTCGTCGACTATGGACAACAAGCTCGAGGACATCGCCGCCCAGATTAAATTCGACATCCTCACCCCAACTCAGGATGTTGACAATGAGAAACTCATAGAGGAGGTCTCAAGGAGCTTCATCTGTGAGCATATTTTTGCAAATATTCAGCCGAGTCATCTGACGAAGAGATGATTGCAGCGGACACCATCACGGGTAGGCACATGCCTCCGCTGCTGTCCTTGATTTACTCATTGTGTGCACAGTTCCTACTAAGGAGATGTACGCCTATGCCGTTCGTACCTCTGTTGGCGACGACGTCTATCATGAACCCTCTATGCTCGCCCTTGAGGCCCACATGGCCAAGATTGCCGGCAAGGAGGCCGCCATGTTTATACCAAGTGGGACGATGAGCAACCAGCTTGCACTGCGGACACATTTGCAACAGCCCCCGTACTCCGTCATTTGCGACGTGCGAGGCCATATCAACAAGTGAGCGTTACATCTACCAAATGCAAGTGGTCCGGCGAGTCTAACTCGACGATAAGATATGAGGCGGGCGGAACGTCGTTCCATTCAGGGGCCCACCTGATCTGCGTCAACCCATCCAATGGTGGGTTTTTCGTTTGTACAGTTGCCTAGTGACTCAACATAACATTTCAGGGCATCACTTGACGCTTGAGGACATTCAAGATTATGTCGTTGAAGGTTCTGATATACACACGTGAGAAGGGTTCTTTTGCAGTTGAAAGCAACACGCCCGTGCTGACCAGCTCATTTCTGTACAGTTCTCCTACGAGAGTCATTTCATTGGAAAACACCCTCAATGGCACCATCATGCCTCAGCATGAGGCAGTGGCTATCTGCAATTACGCTCATCAGCTTGATATCCGGACACATCTTGATGGCGCTCGGTTGTGGCACGTAGCAGCGGAGACCCGCACCCCAATGCACGAGCTCTGCGCGCCGTTTGATTCCGTCAGTTTATGTTTTAGCAAGGGACTCGGTAAGATACCCTATTGGTCGCCTCCTTATCATAGCCTTATCTCTCCTGATTTAGGTGCACCCGTTGGGAGCTGTCTCGTCGGATCGAAGCAATTCATTGCCAAGGCCCGGTGGTTCCGCAAGCTTTTTGGTGGAGGAATGCGTCAGACTGGTATCCTCGCCGGCGCAGCAGCCTACGCGCTCACTTACAACTTCCCACAACTACCATATGTCCACACTTTGACCAAGGAGCTGGAGGATGGACTCGTGGAGCTTGGAGCGAAGATCATTAGTCCCGCTGAAACTTGCATGGTAAGTCCGTAGAGTATCTGTTGCACGCTCGATCTCATCCAGTATCAGCTCTTCTACGATCCGGCACCGATCGGAGTCACCTACCAGGAGATCGCTCATCGAGCATCCGAACTTGCCCGGCCAATCGCTGTTGGAGGGTCGCGGCTTGTTGTGCACATCCAAACTTCTCCCGAAGCTATCGCTGATCTACTCGGGGTCATCCGCACCTTGAAGGAGGAGAAAGCTCGCGAGGGGGTCAACAGGCTGGTAGACACCATGAATGGTGTTCGCCTCAACGGTACCAATGGATGCCCCAACTGTGGAAAGGGAGCCAAGCAGCTGGCTTCGTCGTCGTTCAACATTTATGCAAAGCCTCCAAAGAAGTCGGCTTGAGCATTATATATATCTTGTCGATAGACAGATAGGATACTGCGGGTCTGGGATAGACTAGAGGTTTATTTTGCACACATAGGTTAGAATCATTGTCGTTACTAGAGGTATCTTGCCAGTGTCTATTTATGCTATATCATTTTGTTTTAGCTCTCTCTCGTAAGATGGTCACAGCTGTTGCTTTTTGAGATTTTCCTGGCCACTCGGGTGGGCAGGTTGTTAGATCTTATTGCGAGTAGGTTATGTATGGGGGACGGGCGACACCGTGCGATCCTGTACATGCACACGTGAACTGATATCCGACTTCCACATGAACTTGGTTGAATGTTCCCTCCAGGCTTCTGACCGAATCATGGTCCGAGTTTCTTAGATCTGCGGACTTCGGGCGCCCGACCGATGCATGACCAAGCCTATTATAAGAACAATATATAATCGCCGTACGAACCAACTTGTCCAGTCAATAAAGCCGGTATGCCCTCTCTCACTGACGCCAAACTTCAAGAGCTCTCTAGCCAGATCGCAGTAGACGTTCTGACCAAGACTCAAGATGTGGATAACGTCGCGAAGCTCGAGGAAGTGTCTCGATCATTCGTATGTACGCTATTGCCAGTACTGGTCGAGTGATGGTCTTGCGTGCTGAATACATGTTGCTTCAGCTGACACTCTGACGAGTGAGATAACCCAATGCTCCATATGTTTGGCGGATAGATGACGATTGGCCATCCTATAGTCCCGGCCCCTGAGATGGTCGCGTATGCGGCCCGCGCTTCTCTGGGTGATGACGTATACTTCGAGCCCTCCACTGCAGTTTTGGAGGCTCATATCGCCCAGCTGACTGGGAAGGAAGCTGGCTTGTTCCTCCCGACAGGAACAATGTCCAACCAAATTGCGCTTCGGACTCATCTACTGCAACCACCCTACTCAGTCATTTGCGATGCTCGCTCACATATTTACCGGTAAATAACGCACTCTCTATTAAGAGGTAAGTCGTGAACGTGACTGAACTATACGCAACAGGATGGAAGGCGGCGGTATGGCTTTCCATTCGGGAGCCAATAGCGTGGCAGTTGCTCCGTCCAATGGTTTGTGAACTTCAACCTGTGAGCTCGCGTAGGCTGAATCGTTCATTTGACGTTAGGTCACCACCTAACTCTGGAAGATATTGAGCCCGAAGCGATTATGGGCACAGACGTACATATGTATGTCGCCCTGGGTGTTAGCGTTCCTTAGCTGAAGTCAGCCTGACATTTTTTTCAGTGCCCCAACGAGAGTCATTGCTTTGGAGAACACATTGAACGGGACAATCATTCCACAGGACGAAATCGTCAGAATTTCGAGTTGGGCACACCAGAAAGATATGAAGATGCACCTTGATGGTGCACGAATTTGGCACGTCGCTGCTGAGACCGGACTGTCTCTGAAAGAATTATGTGGTCCATTTGACTCTGCAAGTCTCTGCCTGAGCAAGGGTCTGGGTGAGTTCCGATGCACATGTGTCCGCGACTGGAGCTAGCGCTTACCGCTGATTATCGATTTTTTGCTGTAGGCGCGCCCATCGGAACATGTCTTGTGGGCTCCAAACAGTTCATCACGAAAGCACGGTGGTTCCGCAAGGTTTTCGGAGGCGGCATGAGACAGACAGGCTATCTCGCCGGGGCAGCTGCCTACGCACTCACCCATAACTTCCCGTTGCTTCCGCGCGTACATGCGCTAGCTAAACGGATGCAACAAGGCTTGGAGGAGCTCGGCGTCGATATCCTCAGCCCGGCCGAAACTTGCATGGTGAGGGCCCATACGGGTGATCCAACTTTTCATCGACATCGCTGACCTGCGCCACAGCTATTTTATGACCCATATCCCATCGGGGTGGAGTACTGGGAAATCGTCGAACGAGCCGCAGCGCTGCTTAAGCCCATCAAGCTGACAGGTTCACGCTTGTTGTTGCACATCCAGACGTCACCACAAGCCATCGAAGACTTCCTAGAATTAGTCAGAACGTTGAAAGAAGAGAAAGTGGCAGCAGGCTGGACTCTGGCCAATGCAGGTCCTAGAAGGCGTCCTCCAAATGTTTATGTCAAGGCTGTCAGACCTTCGGCGTAGGGAGAACCACTTGAAAGATGCGGCAAGATAGAAGATAGACGTCTGTATAATACATAGGAGCGAGATTTACCCTCTGCCAATGTACCGCTGCTTTTCATACTCCTTCCATAAGTTCTTCATCGTAATTTTACCACTTGCATCCAAGGACGCCATCATCACTGCATCTCGACTGTGCTCGCCCATGATACTGCACAGCGCATATAAGCCCGGTTCTAACTCTCGTCGCATCTCCGCTCTGATGATACAGAAAGGATCATTAAGAACGTCAATGTAAGCAGTTAGCACGTATGCAGCATGCTTGGCGAATGGCTTGGCTAGTGATTCGGCTTTTTGAGATTCGGCGGGCGACGGGTCAGGTCGAGCGAACGAGCGAGGGACGGTCTTGGTGGTGAGTGTGACAGTAAGTCGGGCGAGCGCGCGACCTTCTTCGATGGAGAGGAAGCGCGACGAGGAAATCCATTTCGGAAGCGTATGCATGACTGTCCTAGTTTGCTTTCCACCGAGGCCAGGGCGTATGGTTCGAAGCGTCAATACGAGCTTCCGCAGGAGCATGCCGAGGTGGGCTAGCGAGTGTAAGAAAAGATCCCTCCGGAGCCGAACGAGAGCGGATAAGATTGACACAGTGTGGTGGAAGATGGAAATATTGGTTGTACTGTCGTGGGTCGGCGACTCGGTTGTTACTGTGGCCAGTATTGTGACTATACAGTTCAAATCTGCTACTTTGATAGCAGCAGGCTGTTCGAGATAATTCAGCAGACTCAAAAGAGCACCATGCCTTGAAACAAACCTTGTCGGAGCAGTACTGCTCAATGAACCTCAACACCTCGTCTTGGTCTGCGGTGTACATTTGAGATACAATGTTCGCAAACAACACTAGGCAGCGGGAAGCAAACTCTTGGGTGGGCTTGAGAGTGCCTATACCGAATACTCAGGTCAGACAAATGCCAGAATCCGATTCAATGAAGTTGCACTAGCCTTGCGGTGCGTCCCGCATCACAAGGCGGGACAGGTGGACCAGCGTTAGTTGCTCTTGAGGCGAAGCTTGTGCCAAGACATTGAGCAGAATACCCAAGAAGGTGGAAAAATCTTGTAACGAAAGTTTGTTGCACGATGACGAAATCGATGAGTCCAGACTCCCGGCTGGCGTTGGAAGCTTAGATTGGTGGCAAGGGGATAAACCGACCCAAGTCACTTACTCGAGGTCGCTTCCTCAGATGCAAAGTTAACATATAATGAAATGATGAATGCAATATGCACGTGGCGCGTGGACGTGTTTGACCCTCGGAGTTCTTCATAGAGGATCGTTATGATATGAGCGACAACCTTGATGATCGTCTCATCTGCAATCGAGGGCTTGGGGGTTTTCAGGAGCGTGCTCGCCAGATCTCGACCAAAGAAGCGTTGGACATATTCTATCGCGCCCTTCGTCACATTTTGACATTAATTGACGCCTGAATATACGTACTTTCGTCATGGAACCAATTGCCAAATGCCAGTATCTCAGACCAAGCTTGCAACCAAACGCAAGCTTCCAATGAAAACAGTGAAGACACATCTGTGACTTGTTGTAATATCGATGCTACACTTTCTGCAAGAGCCCCATGCAACGCTGTCAACGACGTGATTATGGCAGGTGCCAACCTGATCCAACATTGTGAGTTCATCGTTTTATTGCAAATATTGGGAAATACCTTGTCCTGCTAAAATCGCGAGGGATGGCAGCCAGTAGTCGAAGTATGCAGGTGAGTTCAGCATTAGGTTGGTGGTAAGAACATTGCATATTACGGAAGCGATCCAGCATCGCGACAATTCTTTGCTCCGATTGTCGTTCAGGGGACTGGAGAAGACATCTGATGACCAAACTGTCAATAGCGAGCGGGAATACTGCAGTACGAACTCACATGAACTGCACTTCTATGAGTTCCAGTGTGACATCAAGCAGTACCGTTGAAGTGCCAGAGTATGGCGGGAGTTTTTCCATTAGATATTCCAGGTATTCCGCAGTGAGCTGCATGTGTCTTAGCATGCAGAGACAGCTTTCTAACAACAACTTACCGATGGATCGATGAGGCCTGTGTGCTTGCATATCCGCACAGAAAACTCTCTGAGTACAGTAAATTGATCATCCACGTCAGCTCCCTTTCTCTTCATGAGCTCGAGAGCCCCATCAATCGTGGGTACTCTCAGACAAACTATACTCCGCATTGAACGAGTTATATATTCAGGGGGCGAGTAGAGGAGGACCGTGTAGGCTGAGCATGCATCCAAAACCTGTCCGGGCTCAATCTTGAGCTTCTTCAAACTCTTGGCTGTGCAGATATCGGAGAACGCCACACTGCTCAGGGGTTTGAGCTTCTCCTCCACCACGGTGAGGGTTGCAGCTGGAGTAATTGTCAATAAAAAGAAATGCTTCAAGGGTAAGCCAAAATTACATTGGAGGTTTTGTAATTCCCAGAACTTCGCGGAGTGCATTAGTGTACTAAATATACGTCCTGAGTTGAGGTCACGCAAGCCCTGTCTATCGACTTCAACATGAGGAAGAAGATGGAAGAGAGCTTGTATCAAGCGTATCGCCTGCTCTTCAGATGCAATCTCGCTATAAAATTATAAGACGAAGTTGAGTAGTGCAGTGGATGAGATTTACTCCAGGAGGTATAACCATCGGTCGAGAAGGACATTCAACAAGGCGACGGAGGCGGCTTCTCCGCCTATGGGCTGGGCAACGAGGTGGCATACTGCTCCGGACCATTTCGCGGTTTGCGGCCGAAGATTTTGGTCAATATATGCTAGACACTTGTCAAGCACGACAGGAGCATGTGAAGTGGCACTCTCGGCAAGCAAGTTACGGAACTACCCACAGTATTAGTAAACTGTGTGGTATGCACGAGGTTAACTCACTATCTCAATTGTAAGCTCAGGAAGAGTTTCAGTATCGTCGATCAAGGAGACAAGCCGCTCGAGCTGTGTGGTGAGGTTAACCTCTCGGTGCAGCCCCAGAGTATGCATCCGTTTCATGCTGTATGTAAGTCGGAGCCCTGAGCTGAGAACGATTTGAGCTGCCCATGTATCGGTTCGCTTCGTAGACTGCAATGCCTGAATGAGAACGTCACATGCCGCACAAACAAACTTGAAAGCTTCTTCAAGTTCGGACAGGATGGCGGCACGATCCTCTTCTATTAGCGAACGCAACGGTAAGGCCGAGACATAGGACGCAATGAGTTTGGATGTCAAGGACAAAGCCACAGCACGGTTTTCTACATCGTCGCTATGATCAGTGCCTCCTGCTGCACTCTTGCGACGTTTTTTGCGCTTTCCTTCACCAGTAGAGGATGCCGTTAGCGATGCGTCAGCCTCGTTGAAGTCCGCCCAGTTCTGCTTGAGAGAATTGATCAATGCAGACGTAGAAGATGAGCACTGGCTAGGCGTGAGGAAGATACGGATAGATTTCGACAGCCTTTCTAGATGGAAAGAACTGAACACTGATCCCGTAGAGCAGAGTTGGTAATTCATCATTGGGTCGGTCAAGCGGAACAAATATTGGTCCTTAGTCGCCGTGAGGATGTTAGCAATAAGGCTACTTATGGTCCGTGTTTTGGAGTGATGCTCGACAACCAAATCCCACAGCTTGAACACGAACGGGGAATTTGGAGGTATCTTAAAGAAATATGAGTGGGGAGTTATTAGTTTCGGCAGCCATCTACTAACATGTATAAGCCTAGGAAGAATGGGCTGCAGGGCATTATCGACCAGATCATAGTCAACTTGCGCAAGACATGCTAGAAAGACCAGGGCATGCGGAGAGAATGCATGAGCATCGCCTGTAAGAGTATAAGGTTGACGAATAGGGCAATATCTGATATATACACACCCTTCCAGCTTAGAGCTGCTATAGCGGTATCCCTTGTGCCGACCAAGTACAAGTGTAAACCTTCATTCGGGACAGTCACTAAGCCTTCCTTGTCGGCAATGGCAAGAAGCTCGGCTCGAGTTTTCCACAAAAGCTCGCTCTCTGTGAGAGGGTCCATCATTGAGCCAAAAGCCAAGTAGACGGCGGTAGCGGCTGAATGTATTGGGTCGCTTTGACTGAACAAGGCACTGCGATGCCTCCGAACAGACTGTGTGAACGATGTAAAGAGCATTGGCAACACCGGCAAAATCTTGTCAGGTGAGGAGACGAGCGCCGTCCGGAGAGACTGTACGAAGGCGTCGTCCCAAGACGCCTCCTTCATGTGGCGCAACACATCAAGGTTAAATATGGTTTCTACCCCTGCTGCATAAATATCCGCAAGCAGGGCTTGATGAGCAGAATTGATGGAGCCGCGAGTCAGAGTGCCAGCAAGTTGCACCCATCCTCTAAAGTGCGCTTGCATGAATGCAGCATAGATCTTGCTTGCAAGTTAGACGAAGGATCGTTTCATAAGGTTGCCACATTACCTTCTTTTTATTGGAGGAGTTAGTTAGAGCATGACGATATGACGAGGTAATCAAATCGCATAGGTATAGACATTCCTCAACTTCCTGAAATCCCGACGTGACCTGTATTGATGTGTCAAAGCATTCAAGAAGCATTTCAATTGGGAACCTCTGAGACGAAATTGGCCAAAGGACTCTGAGGCATGATTTAACAGCATAACAGAGAGGCCGCCCGGTTGATAAACCAAGCTCGCACAAGAGGCTTAAAAAGGTGCGGAGAATGGGTGCCAAAGAAGTGCGGTTCATGAGCGGAGACAACCAAGGTCTTTCACTAGCAGGTGTATGTATCAGGATATCCTGGAGCAATGCCCAGAACCGGATGTCAGCAAGTGGCCGGACATGGCTGAACAAGACTGTAAGAAACGCAAGCGGACGATACGTCGGACGCGACAATACTGACTCACGCATTCGCACTTTTTTCCTTCGAAAACGTGGTTACTATCCAATCCGCGATAACTTCTCCCTTGTTCGGTACATGAAAAGAGGTGTTGTCCCAAGCTTGACGCGCTATTTCGATCTTGTGCAATCCTCCAGGCTGTGGTGGGTCTGAAGCACCTTTCAAAGTGCGTACAAACTCCTGCGACGATGTAAAACTTGTTGGTACTGTCATTTTCTTCAGATATGGAAAAGCATCAGTTAGTGCCTCAGAGGGCTGGTTATGAGGTTAGGAGTCAATATCAAAAAGGGAAGAATTTTTGGGACCATCGACGCCGTTCAAACGTTCACACGCGATAAAAAGTACAAGCCCCTATAATAACATTCGGGATTATCCCTTTTGGCGGAACCTAGCGGAATCGCAGACTTAATCATTAGACTGCTCCGATCGTGAGTCATCTCCGGGGGAATCCAAGGAATTAATAAGGTGTTGACGAAGCTTTCTTTCCACACTCATGTCTTTAAGCCCACATACTGAACTAAGCCAAGACGAAGTTCGGAAATGTCAATCTATGCAAGTCGAAGAGTGGGAAGTTCTAGAGGTAAGCTCATGGCCCCGTTCTGGTCAAGATATGTGTCAATTTACGGGATTGTGATTCCCCAGTCAATATATCCGGAGTGTTGTATTTCCAGAGAGCATGACCAAGGGAATATCAAGTTGGAGATTCCAGTTGAGCTTGGAGATGAGCTTACCGTCAGCATAATGGATGATGGGAGTCTTCCAGCCCTGCCTTCGCTACCTACCAGCCTAAAATCAGGACTCCCTTCCGAGGTGATCGAGCGTCCCCACCAAATCCAAGAGCATTTGACTACGTTGCCGCCTTTGCTTTTGCATCTCATCCTTTCTCCAGGATATCCTATCTATGCGCCTCCCAAGATTGTCTCTTTCCAGACCAACTATAATTGGTTACCCTTAATGAATCTTCTGCAGGAGATGTTACTTGACATGTGGAGCCCTGGCGAAGGCACCCTATACACTTGGGCCGAGTTCATCCGGAGTGGTGACTTCCTGCAGCCCCTGGGTCTCAAGGATAACGATCAATTACGGTGAGTCATTAAGTCACAAGAGTGAACTAGTGTTTAATAGGGCTAATGTCAGAATCCCACACCCAGCACCTCACTTGTTGCGTCGTGTCTTAAAATCATATGACGAGAACATGAAATTGTCCCAGTTCTCCCAGAGCTCGTTTACATGCTCTATATGCTTCACTGTGCTCAAAGGTTCGCGATGCCTCCAACTAGCTTGCTCTCACGTATTCTGCCGGACATGCTTGGAGGACTTCTGGGGACTCTGCATTAAGGAAGGTGACGTTGGAAGAGTAGGGTGCCCTGACCCGGAGTGCGTGAAAGAGCACTCCGAAGCGAGTGAGGAAGATGTGCGAAAAGTTGTTTCCGAAGATCAACTCAAGCGATGGAAGTGGCTTCGGCAGAAACAAACACTTGAGCGAGGTGTGCTACATTTGCATCAGTGCCCGGATAGTTGGATATCCTATATTCTGACGTTGAACGTCAGATCCATCCATCATTCATTGCCCCATGGAATTCTGTCAGACACCCGTACCAAAGCCTGCGGAGAGCGATGGAGACAGTGGATGGGCACGGTTGCGGACATGTCCGTCGTGTAGTTATTCTTTCTGCGCATTTTGCAAGCGTACATGGTATGCCCACTCATCATTGAGACTGATGTTATTGACGCAACAAAATGTACAGGCATGGACCATTAACTGACTGTCCTATCTCATTCGCGGAGACGTTCCTTATAGAATACATGGAGCTGCCGGTTGATTCTCCGAAGCGCGTCAACATCGAACGTCGGTTCGGAAAGACTAACTTACGGAGGATGGTTGCCAAGTACGAGGAAGAACAGATGAACAAGAAATGGCTAGAAGATTCGACTATGGCCTGTCCCGGCTGCCGTGTGTACGTCGAAAAATCGCTGGGATGTAACCATGTACGTGTTCGGTGCGATCACCTTGCCCTGATCGCGACTAACGTATCGGCGTAGATGACATGCTCAAAGTGTGGGCAGCACTTTTGCTACCGTTGCGGGGCAAAGCTGTTCGCGGGTGATCCCTACAAACACTTCTCGACACCCGGCCTCAGCTGTTACTCGAAACTGTTTGATTTTCAGAGCGCCGACGACAATGAGTGGCAGCCTGTCGAGGGGTTTGAGTTTGTTTAGAATGTGGCATGATAATCATATGGTAGTTTTCTAGGAGACGATACTTGGGACGATGCGTGCGCGGATATAATGCAATGATCTCAGTGGTGATGAGGACTCCTGTCAGCCCCGCGCCCGGTGGGGGTAAATTAAAAGTCAGCACAGGGGTAGAACAGAGGAGTGTCATTGGTAGGTCCACCGGAAATCCTGAACCAGTCCGCAGTGAGCAGAGGAGACAATTTCGGCGCTAGCTGGTCGGGCGTGTTCGCTGCTGATTTTTCTTCCCTACCCTAATATTTCTGTCCTTGAAGGCGCTCACTTTTCCTGCGTTGTTGGGGTGTGCTCTTATACATATATATATTTCGAGAGGCGTCGAGCGGTTGTTTGATCCTTTCGAATCCGCTGCGCACTGGCACTTTCGTCCGCGCCGAGCGCAAGGTGGACTCAAACCGTTCTGTGACGGTTTTCCAATACCCTCCTATTGCACATACCCCTCTACATTAAATCTACTTGGTCTCGCCTTTCTTTCCTTTCCACCACCAACAAACCCCCGCGACTCCATATCCATCGTCATGGACATCTACACGACATCCTTTACCCATCCACGCAGGTCGCGACACTTACATTCCCCTTCCTCTTCCCTTGACATCAACAATGGCTCTCTCACTCAACAACAGAGTCAGGAGCCATTTCCCTCGGCACACCATTTCAGCCATGCCCAGGCCAACAACACGACCGTTATGTCAGAAGTAGACAGCGAAGCTTTGGAAAAACTCGCCGTCCTTGCGATGACTATGCACGGCGTCCACATCTCCTACTTCATTGCAGACCAAAACAGAGGGTGCAACTTTCATATCACCGGTGCTGCGCCTCAGGTTATGATGGCTCGAGGCATGCTTCTGAAGGATAGCCCCGTTCAGGTGCGTGAAAAGTGCCCCTTTACCCCTCTTTCTATGATTTCATACCAATGTACAGCAACGGACAACAATCAAAGTAGCGCGTTCTGATATCCTAGACTCTCCGAGCTCCAAGCCATCCCTCAAGCCAGACGTTCGCCGGAGATTGGATGACATCGCGTCTCAAACACTGGCTCACATAGCTGTTGTTAACAGTCCATTGTCACTCTCAAACAGGACGCCTCCGGACGGAATCAGCAGCAATGCCGGCTGGTCTGGGTTGGAAACCGAGCGTGTTTGCGAGCTTGTCGTCACCGGACACGGTGACGCAATCGAGCTCGGACGCGTACGGCTGCTGGTGATGCTCGATGAATTGGTATGACCCATCACACATTGGTGTCATCAATAATATGCTAACCTTTCTCCAGAGCGGATTGCATAGTGAGTATGTCGAGATTGACCACAAGCTGCATGCCGTCATCGCCGGTCGCAAACGTCAAGTTCTGCAGTCTATTCAGGAAGAGACCGCGACCAACGTATACTACCCCTCTCCTCTGCAGGGACTTGTTGGCCCAGATGTTGCCACTGCAACCGCAACTTCTCCTGTCCGTCAGAACCCCAACGTCATTTGGATCACAGGAGAATTCTTTGGCGTTCAGCGAGCTAGGGACATGTTGTGTAGCTTCGCTGCCAGCAAGGTAAGGTCACATAAACTACTTTGATCTTGATCCCTAATACTCGTGGTAGAGCAAGTCGGTCATCTCGAGGGACACGGCCATATTGCCTCGCAAGATGGACTGGATGGTCTTGGAACGCGCCGAGGATTTGAAGTCGATCATGAGCGACAATGCAACATTCATTCAATTCCCCCCTATTGGTAGTTCAACAAGTTTAATCACTGTATTCGGCGATCAACGGGTCAATGTCCAACGTACCATTCGTTCCATCATGCAGCTGGTGAGCTCTCTCTGTGAGTCACAATAGTAACGCTCGCTAACAGGTTTGGCAGGCTTGCCAGTATTATGTTGCTTCATTCTGGCTTTTACCGATCCAATTCAACGTGCTTTTACCTCCTACCACGCTTAATGCTTCCCAAGTCACGACGCTTCTCAAGCAGATATCACTCGCGACCGGGGCAGAAGTGGTTTTCAAGAGCATGTGCTTTGAGATGTATGGGCTAGAGTATGAAGTTCGAGCGGCCGTCAATATGATTCTAGACCTCGACATCGTCAAGGTATGTCTTACAGTGTTGTCATGCATGGATACATTATTGAGTCCTGGATCAGGCTTTCCATCACGAGATTCGGTTCCAAATTGAACTTGCTAATGAGCACCGGGAGTTCATTAGTGGCAAGAAGAACGGCAAGATCAACAAAATCATGCAGACCACCAATGTGAAGATCAAGTTCGAGACGTTCAACGAGCACAACTTCCTCATCGACGTCTCAGGGACGGATGCTTCTGTTCTACAGGGCCTCACGTTACTTCAGGAGGAATTGCCGGCAGAGGTTTCCTTCCACGTTCCCGAGGGTTACCACAAGCGTATCATCGGTATCGGAGGGCGGAACATTCAACGCATCATGAAAAAGTATGGGGTTTACGTCAAGTTTTCGAACGCCGAAGAATTTGCGGCATTAGGCGGATACCACGACAACGAGGACAACGTGGTGGCTAGAACTCCCTCGAAGAATGCTTCTAACTTGGAGAATTTGAAGCAGTCTGTTATGGAGATCGTTAACCCCAAGGTGAGCATCGAGAGTTGCCCAATTATTAGAACAATCATTCATTTTTCGCAGGATAAAGACTACGTGAATGAGACCCTGTCGATTCCCCGACGATACCACAGGACCCTTTTGGGAGAGAAGGCTATCTTTATTCATGATATCGAAGCAAAGACGAACTCCCGCGTTCGTTTCCCGGACAAGGAAACCGCCTCAGACGTCGTGACGATCTTCGGCCCCGAAAGCCAGGTTCAAATTGCTGCTGCTATGCTTCTGGTAGATCCCCACTTTGTAGCTGTGCTGTAGATGCTTATGCGCGATTTCAGGAACATGTTCCCTTCGAAGCCGACATGGCGGTTCCGCCCAACCCGGAGATCTCTAAAGTATGCGCTGCCCCAGAATTTGCAGCCTTCGTTGAACGGATCAAGAGGGATTTCTCTGTGTCAATTACTCCTAGCACCAAATCCCTGGGAAGCGCCAATGGGGCGCAGAGTACTTCAGAGGGCTTGGGAGAACATTCATTCAAATTCCGCTGTCAGAGGAGCAACAGCGACTTCCTTATCTCTGCTCGAGAGCTTCTTGAGCAGTTCCTTATAGACCACAACATCCACGTCTATCCCTCCCCTACTGCCCACACTCATAAACGCGGCGACTCTTTTGCTCAGGCATTCCCTCACTTCGATAGCAAAGTCCTGTCTACGGCAAGCAGGCGACATGGTACAATCTCCCTCTCTTATGTGACATTCATGCTGATATTGTACTGTTTAGAATCTGTGGAACTGATTAGGTCCTCTGACATTCTTGGCGATCGGCGTCTCCGACTTGCCAATTCCTCTCCTGACGTCAAAGCGTTGTTCAATGCCCCTGCCTATATCTATGATCTGGAAGGAAGTGAAGACTCTCACTCTGCGTATTCACAAGACTACTGGACGCCGCTGCCTCCCATCGTGAGTGACTCTTCCATACAAAAGATCTTTCTTTGATGGTTTTGGTGTCAGGGGTCTGGGCTGGCCTCACGAGCTAGACATACCGAAGATGCCCTCAAGCGCGGCTCAGATTCCCTGCTCGAGTCCAAAATCAAAGATCATGTTAACAAGCCACGCTCCCTTCAGAACCGTGCACAGTCGCTTGACTTGACTCACTCCCTTTCGCGTTTTACCGAGCCGTCATCGCGTTTACCTCAACCTGAGTCACCTACCACATCAACGGGTGGCACTGGAGGGAACTCCAGTCCAACATCCGCTAGTGCCCCGTCGTTCCCTAGCGTTTACGGGCCACGGTCATCGGCGGTGATTGGGACTTCTTCTCAACGGTCTTCGCGCATTCAGGACGATGAGACCGCTGACGAAGTCAGCAGAGTCATGTCCAACCTTGGATTGTGATCTGCGCAAAAAAAGGCTTCTTTCATCCAGGGACTTTAGGTAAAGTATCTAACCCAAGTATACTGCAATTCTCAACATGGCTTTTCTGAATCCGTATTTCATCGTTTTCAATGTGTTCTTACACTGCTGCTTTCTGCTCTATCAAAGCTGGTTATCTATCAAACATCTCATTCGCTGCAATTCCCGTCAACGGTCTGGTACAGTCCCCATGATTCCTCATTTCCGTACTTCCTCGTCTGTATATTATATCAAATGATATTCCTACAGTAGTGGGCTGGCCATATTGCTATCGCTCTTATAATAGACTAATTCGAAAGTCATGCGTGTTCGTCTTAGTTGACTATCCAAGGGACCTCGAATAATACAAAGTCGTAGTACTCTTGCTCCATCAATGTCTGGTATTCTCCAGCAAAATCCTCATTTCCACCCGCCACCTTTTTCGGTCTCCCAGAGCGGGGACTTAGGTAGCCAAAATGATCCGTGAGCAATGCTAGCGCCTTCTTGGTAGTCTTGGGTTCAGGCTGTGTACGGACAATATCAATACAGCGTCTGTATGGTGGATCAACGAACGAACCTTGATTGCAAGTCCAACATAGTTGGACGGTAGACCATATCGTAGGACCGACTCGACGAATAGTCTGACTACCTTCAGGTGAACGAGGAGCTGGAACGACTCAGAGAAATTTGTCCGCGATAACCTAAGAAGTTCCGTCTAAAACAACCAGAGTTCGTTCTGAGTTCAGTTCGAACGGAAGCCTGTAATAAACCATACCCAGAGCTCCTTCTCTGTGGTGTCAGCCATGGCGAGTTCCTCTTTCTGCTTCACGATTTCATCTTCGGAAAAGACGAAATCTCGGACAATGAATCTGTTTCATGAGGAAAGCAATGAGCACCAGCCAACCAACATGTTTGCAGCCTTACTTGTTCTCTCTGCATTTCTGCGTGAACTCATCCCGCACCCGTTTGAACACCACGACGCTATAGAGGGTATATTCGCTGTCTGAGGTGATTGAGCTATCGATTCGGTCAGATTATTGCGCATGATAACGCATCAGGGCTTACATCGAAGATCGAGGGACAACCATGGATGTCAGCCGCTCGTACTTGGAGTTCCACTCCTTGTTGAGGTTACTGAGATCAAGTAGTCAGGACACGCCATGGTACAAGTGTTGTAATCCTCACTTCGGAACAGCGACTATCATAGTATCCAAGTATTCAGATTCGTTGATGATGTGTTCTTTGGACACGATGTCCACGAGGGAACGCACAGATAGATTCCCGCTGGTAACACAAGTCAGGCAGTCGTGACATAGAAGGCGGATTAAACACACGTTTTCTTGCGTTGCATCTGGACCAAAGAGCCTTTAACAAGGTTATAGTTGTTGAGCTTCGCCTTCATGACGTTGTCGATAGACGCTACTTCCTGTGCAACGTGGGTTTAGGTACGAGCTGGTCCGCGGCGGGACGCATTACCTTGTTCAAGAGATCGACTATCTCCCGCAGGCTTCTCTGCACGCCGTACCTGCCTTCGTTCCATTTCCAGCCCTTAAACAAATAATCATCCACCGCCCGCTCGTTAACGAGGATGTGCTGAGAGAGCTTGGATGGATCGTTGTTAAGTAGGTTCCGAAGGGTATCGACCGTCTTCGCGACGACGGACGTGAAGAACGTGTCCTGCTTGGGAAGCTCCTCAGAAAGCGCGATGAGGGAGTCCAACGTTCCTGTCTGGTCCGCGCATATGAGTAAACAGTGCGATGTTATGCACGAGGGACATCAAAGACCTTGAATGAGGGGATGCCGAGCTCTGCGATGGTGTCTCGGGAGTACGCCTTGGATTGTTGGGATAGCTTAGTGGTGATCTCTGGAAGTAGACCCTCTGCGTCGCCATCCTGGGGGACGGCGATGAGCCAGGTGCTCTGATCGGACGGCATATTGGCTGTTGGTTGCACTTCACCACGAGGACTAGGAGGCAGCCTTCCTGAATTAGACCATTGACACTGCAACAATACGTACAGAGTCCTTGGACCAGCTTGTTTGTTTTTGTGTATATGTGAGGGTAAACCGCACACCACGAGCAATCTCAGCTCACTCTTTGTCCAGTCCGAACATGCTCTTCACTGTTCTTGCCCGCAGAGGGGCAAGTCGCGCAGGCGACAATTCAAGGCTAGCTCTCTCGTCAGGGCGGCGATGGATATCGACTACGAAACCTGCACCCATGCTGGTCTCCCCAAAGGAGCTGCAGCAGTTGCTGCCGTCTGGCCAAGTTTCTCTTTTGGACGCTACCTGGTTTATGCCCGGCACGCCGAGGAGTCCTCGCGAGGAACACTCCAAAGAGCGGATTCGCGGCTCACAGTTCCTCAATCTAGATGAGGTTGCAAACCAGCACGAGCTTGGGTTGAAGCATATGATGCCTAGTCCACGCGTGTTTGCGGATGCATGTGGTTAGTTGTCTGGTTGTGCCATGACAAGCATGTACGGGGATTGCTCATGGACATGTAGAGAAACTTGGAATTAAACCATCGTCTCATGTCGTTATGTGAGTCTGTTGTTAAGTCCTTAGCCTTGCCTGAATGAGAGCCTACATGAGCCATAAGCTCTTCATTCTAACCTATGCTTATGTGCAGATACGATACGCACGGAGTCTTCTCCTCGCCGCGCGCGCTCTTCATGTTCAGGGCTTTTGGACACAGAAACTCGAGCATCCTGAACGGAGGGCTCCCTCTTTGGGAGCTGGAGGGTCATTCAATTGATAACGCGCCCCTGGAACCAGTCTCAAAGGCTTCATATCCTGTACCACAGTTAGATAAGGAAGTTATTCGAAGTAAGCGTGATGCCGTACACTGACAAATGACAACCCCCGACATGACCTTCACGCAGGCTATGAGCAGGTCGTGTCTAATTCATTATCGGACCCGACTACCGATTCTTCGATAGAACTGCTCGTCGATGCCCGAAGTCGTGGAAGGTGGGTTCAGAAGCGCCAATCCAGCTCTAATCTGATCGAGGTCTTCCGGATTCACGCCCACAGATTCCTAGGTACAGATCCAGAGCCTCGCCCGGGCATGTCCTCTGGACACGTTCCACATTCATTCTCTCTACCTTTCAACACTTTCCTAAAAATGCACAAAGACGCTCCGGTGCCTTACACCACATTCAAGTCTGTACCCGAACTTAAGGAAGCGCTCAAGGAAGCTGTCGGTCCGGACAACGCAGAATCGGTGATCAAAGGCGAAAGGAAGATAGTAGCATCGTGCGGAAGCGGTATGACAGCAGGAGTGCTTTGGCTGGGTCTCAAGCTTCTCGGAACTCCTGATGTCGCGATTTACGATGAGGTTCGTTGTCTGTTCATGAAGTTTTCAACCATCGCCGTATTCATCATTTTCAAAGTCCTGGACGGGATATGCAAGCCGATCGTCTAGCAAGATTGAAAAGGGTACATAAAGTAGATACACGGTGTAAGTCATTATAGAAATTCTAGAGGTATTGCCTATTATGAGATGTTATAAACTAGAACCCAAAGTAAGACAGTCATAGCATAGTGATACATGTAAGGTACGAAGACACCATAAGTGTGCGGACTGTTTGATAAAACTAGAGCATACAAATTAAAAATACATGGGTTTCAATTGTTGAAGGAGAACCGGCGGGGCAAGCCCAAGGTTTCAGCATTCCGGTTGACGATCCAGGATGACCATCAGGCCTTTCGTTCCCTTGGCAATGTTGACATTGACTGGTTTTTGGGAATCCCTTGCTCGAGAGCGAGCAACTTGTGCACTATATTTGACCTACACCCCAGGTGAATACATGGTGTAAATTATTATTCCGGTCATGAACATACCGTCACTTTGTAGCTACTGTTTTTGCGGAATCTGGATCGAGAGACTTTGCATGTCCATCTGAATTCAAGTTAGTACATAAAATTCGACGTGATGATAGGCTACGGAACGCACTCTTCCCGGACGAGGATATTGCCACCCATCTTCTTCGCTGTTAAGTACAACTCTCTTCTTGAAAGGTTGAGCAACTTCGTGGCGTCAACTCCACCTTCGCACACGAACTTGTCGGTGTGAGAGATTCGAGGACCATAGGCTGTTATGGTGGGTTTCTGCTCCTCTACACGAGAGTGGCTCGTTGGACCCGACGAGCTGACGATGCTCGGGAGCGGCGCTAGAGCGCGGTGGGGTGCACCGAGTGCATGAACGAGCTGATTCTTGCCAACAGAGAGAAGGGATGACCGAGTCTCTTCGAGGCTACACAGAGAGCTGGCAATAAGATGGAGACCCATGGTGATGATGGTGGTGGTGATTCAAGTGCACGGAAGACGCATTAGGGAGGGATAACGAATTTATGCCCATGGTTTTATATGTTTCCCACCAAAGAAGCCATCAACGGAGGTTCGTCCACTGCGATTTGACGCGTTCATTCATCTGCACGCGACGATGATTGTGGACCTTAGAATCCACCCGTCTAGATCGTTTCGACCCAACCCCAGCACGAGGTGGGGCAAATATAACTGCAAGTTGTTGAGGTAAAGGTGAAAGGGGGTCTTGATGTGATATTATAAGGGGGTAGGCATTTGTATTAAATGCGGGATGACTTCAACGAAATGAAACTATAATTTAGGTGATAAGCACACACATGATTGTTACAAGTACAAAAGTGATGGAGAAATGCGATCTTGCCGGACACGGATACAATTATAGATCTAGAGTTGCCTGTTATGAGAACAAGTGATGACCTTGAGCTTGAAGGACACCCAGAAACGGTGGAGGTCGGGGTGGAGGGACTATGCCAACGACATGAGCTGGTCTTGCGGTGTATTGGACTTCGATGCGATACACGTCGCCTTTCCTGAGGAGAGTCACCTTCCAACTACGTAAGTCCGAGTCAGCTAGATAAGGGACCAAGCTTCGAAATGCGATTACCTTTCGGCCAGGAGTAGATTGTATTCTTTTTGGGTGACTTCATCTAGGAATCGCTGCTTAGCGAAATGCACTGCACTTGCTAGTCGTCCACCGCTCGGCATGCGGTCGAGACCTTCAAAGAGATACGAGCGAGTGATATCACTTTGCCGAACCCGAACCATGTCGTAATCTGGTTGCGTAGTCGGTCAATGCGCGATGGTCGGTCTGGGTTGACCTTGAATATACTTCACCATCTTCGTCCCCCACCACGTGTACGGGGTCTATGGCCTCGCACCCCACCACCTCCCACTCTTGGCGTGTTCGGTTCCTTCGCCTCCGCACGAACCATTTCATCGGGAGGAGTTTTACCACCGAGGGCCTAAGCTTGAACGTAGTTGCAACAAGAGGAGGACAGGCATACAGGAAGAGAGCCGCCAGGATACAGGCTGTACATTTAACTGGACCTTAGCCAGGTGCGGCACAGCCATATGATGCCGGCCGTGTTCTAGCATCACCGTCACCCGCAGCCGCAATTAAGCTTAGTATAAGAGCTTACTGTGAACAGAAGACGAGCGACGACCCGCGCCAATGAGAATCACCAATGAGAATTAGCTAACTTGACGTGCCCGAGAACGCGCGTCCATTCCCTCCGCCGCTCGGTAAACACCGGAAAGTACGGTGTACGTGGTCGCTGATCAGTAATCTTTGTGACCGATACCGGCGGTAAGTAAGCGTAAATGTCTTGGGGCACAGCTCGGCCCCCGAAGGTTGAAGCTCAAGCTGCTGACAGTATCAGGCCATCTCCAGTCAAACTTGCAGGGGAAGTCGTGAGTGAGAGCGGAAATGTTGACCGGTGACCATTGAAATCCATTGAAATATAGATAGACGTAAAATAGACGTACAACCTCATCCTTTGCATCCCTTGGGTGGGCTACTTACTCTTGCAACCTCATGTTTCATGAGAAAATTCGAGACTTGTTGGCACCCCACAGCAGATAATTGACGAGATGATAATCGAAGAGTGAGAAGGCCACACGAGTACCATGTGTGGGGGATTCGATAGTTATTACTGCCAAGCCACGTTACCGTGTGCAGGTGACTGGTGTTGAAGATGTCCGCCATTGACATAATGTGGGCGACTATGAGCCAAACGCAATTGACAGCTACATTAGTGCGATTCTAGCCCGTTTTCGCTAGCCCAGCCTCGATTAGATGTTGACACGATAGTGGAAGGTGGTCGAAAGCAATACAGTGATGTAGATGTGGCGTCCATACCACACTCGCAGAGGAATTACAAAGTCACAGCCGCATCTCCGGTCTAGAACGCCCGTGTTAGCACCGATGCTCAATCCTTGGACTGCATGGAGGCCATTAGCTGGCACCCAACAGTTGGATTTCATCAGCGACAGATAGAGGGAGGTATGCGGAGAGGAAACGGGTTACGGAAAATAGGTGTTGTTGCAGAGTTAGGCTTGGTCTCTAACCGTCGATCCTGCAGCTGGACTGAGCCAGTGTATGTAGACGCGCTTCGAGTACTGTAGCACGCTGCGATGACAGGCAACATGATTCTTCAGCGGAGGTTCTGAGAAATAGGCTCGGTTCCATGAAGCAATTGATTATTCACTGAGTTATCTGTGCATGCTGACCAAGAGAGATTAGTGAGACGAGAGACAGGAGCGCTGGATAGCAGGTCGGGCGCCAAAATGCTCTGAGCAGCCTCAGGACAAGGACCCCAGACAAACTGGATTAATAAGCCGCCTCTCCTGGGATAGACTAAATGGGGATATTGCATCCCGTTCCGCACCTTAATATGGCAGCTCGGGGCCGGTCTGAAATCACGCAAGAAGGCTCAACTTTTGAATAATCCGTCGCATTACCGTAAGCCCTACTCAGAGCAGGATGCCGACCGCTATATATGCCCCTAGGCTACTTATGCATCGATTTCAGCCACTAGCCGTCGCTCCTTTCTTTCATCCAACCCACTCAGCAGCAGATATGCTCGCCAACGCTTTCCGTTCATCCAGGACTTCCCTTTCCATCGCGTCCCGACACGCCTCTACGACGCGTCTAGCATTCGCGCGTCATGAGTCTACCGCTGTGAGCGAAAAGCTCAAGGAAGCACGCAAACTCAAGGACAAACTCCAAAAGGACTGGCGGAACCCAGTACTCCTCTACTCTGAAGTGAAGCCACGTACATTGAACCCAAGTGCAGTGAGTTTACCTTCGGTGACGCCGATTCGTTCCGTGACTTACCAATGTACCCAGGACGCATACCTTATAGACGTCCGGGAACCGGATGAAGTGGCTCAGGGCTCCATCCCTTCGTCAGTAAACCTGCCACTGTCTGTGCTCGCCAACTCGATGCACCTTGCACCGTCAGTGTTCTACGCACAACATGGATTTCAAAAGCCGAGAAAGGACCAAGAAATTATCTTTTACTGCCGCTCGGGGGTGCGCAGCGCCAGTGCTTGCGACGTCGCTAAGCGTAACGGGTTCCAAAAGTGCGTCGTTCCTGATCAAGCTGATTATCCCAAACTGATGATTGTGCAGTGTCCTGAATTACCAGGGCTCCTGGCTTGATTGGGTATCGAAGGAAAGCGAGAAGCTCACCACCGCATGATGGCTGATCGTTTTCTCTGGACTAGACCTTCTTAGACACACCCACTTGGACTTGTACTATAGCCAACGCATCATCTTCATCTGTATTCCGAATTTCGGGGCCTTAGAATAGCGTGCTGGAGTGTGCGTGCTGTGAATCCGCGATTGCGTCTTAGGATTTCCCGAGCTCGGCATGTAGGACACCCGAATGCGTCATATCGTCATCTCTTCACAGACAGGACCTGAGTTGGACCCCGGATGTCCGGGCCATGTCGATGCACCGCCACCCGAAAGCGTCCTTTGCATTTACACCCGCACCATGCTCGCCCGCAATATAGTCAGAAGAGCGCAGAGAACAGTCTCTGTTTCGTCAGTGGCAAAACCTATAGTGTCAAGATCCCTTTCTCTACGCTCCCATGATTCTCTCCGCAGACCTAACTCGCTTGTGTCTCGATTGCACGAGCGCCGTATGAGTACCCCTGCGCCGCAACTGAATGTTAGGTCCGCTCTTGGTTCTTCATAGCAATGGCAATGAATACGCTGAAATCGACTCTTAAACGCGCTTTACAGTGAATTATCAACGGAGACCTATCATGAGCTTTCCGATACGACCATGAACATCATGCTGGAGAACCTGGAAGAACTGTTGGACAACTCTGGTCAGTCCACATATGAAATCGAATACGAGGTATGCCTCCACGTTCATCACAAGGTAGACTGCTAATGGACTCTTGTCTACAGAGTGGGGTCCTCACCCTCGGCCTCGGGGACCATGGAACGTACGTGATTAACAAGCAGCCGCCAAACAAGCAAATATGGTTATCTTCACCATTCAGGTATGTGTGCTCCTCCGTCTGCCGCAGCTTTACGCCTCACTATTGCTTGTCTCGTTTCCCGCACTTAACCCGTGATGCTCGGCTTAAACTCATGAACCTCGCTGTGTGAATGCAGTGGTCCAAAGCGATACGACTATGTCCCGGCCGAGGACGATTGGCGGTACTCCCGTGATGGAAGTGGACTGGGAGAACTACTCAACGAGGAGCTGTCGCGGGTGTTCGAGAAAGAGGTCGACTTGCAACTTGATCACATTTCCGAAAAGGTCGAGTGAATAATGAGTTTGTAGGTGTGCATTCACATGCGTTGTCGGCTTCGCACTAGATGGCGCATGTTAAAGTATCTGTGTTGAATGCCAGGATACCAAGGATACAAACGTAGAAATCAGTGAGAATATTTGCGTGCAAGAAGTAAATAACGAATGTTAGTGGAGTAGTGAGGAGGTGTCGATGACAAATACCAGGATGGGGTTATGCTGCAGACGGTACCACAAATGCAAGTTGCGACATAATTACACGATAAGCGCGTTTACAATCCGAGTGGCGCATCCAAGGGACCGTAGTCAAGAGGGAAAAGTTCACGTCTCCGAGAGAGAAACAAAGATCCTAGTAATCTGGGCAAACCAAGCGTCAATAGACCAACGCAGCGAGCATGGCTTGTCTCATACCTATTAGTATCTTCATACCGCTCTTTGACCAACTGCACTTCTTGTCCACTACCCGCTGAGGGAGGTTGCACAGAATCGACTTGCAGATGTGGGTGCGTCTCGGAACGAGAAGGATATACTGCACGCGCGGGTGCATGGTTGAAGCCGTTTGGTTTGTCAACAGACAAAAAGGCATGTGGATAAAATTGTTCGGTCGTATGTGGGAGTTGATATGGAAGTGGCGGTTGCGGGCGAGGCACTGATGATGCACACGTACTTGGGCCAGGGGTTGATGGAGGGTTGACAAAGAGCAGACGGTGCTGGTGCAGTGCGTGGATCTCGTGCAGCACACTATTGGCTTTCCTGTACTCCGAGGAGTCAGCGGGTTGAGCAGGAGGCTGTTGGCTTTCGTCGTCATCTGTCCATGGTTCCTCCCCGTCGCTGTCTTGAGGTCCCATAGACGATGAAGTACTTGGTTCATCCGCGGCCCATCCTCGCATCGTTCCGTCGAGGACTGGTGGCTTCACCCGACGCCGTTTGAACTGCCGGTCCTCGAAAATATTATTTGAGTTACGTTGTGGCAATGGATGTACTTGTCTATGCGGTATCGATTCAGGAGCGAGATCGCTGGGGAGCGGCGGAGGAGTAAGAGGTCGAGGTCGCTTCAACATGGATAGCTGGGTGTCTTGTGTGGATAGTACAGCAATATTAATGTGCTGCAATTCGTTGATCACTTGAGAGGGTCAACTGCGTAAGCTGGAGAGAGCAACGTACCGCGACCAGTCCAAACCTGTCCTGGAGAGCCACACACCCTCACACAACGCCAACCCGGTTTACTCGGCCCGGCCCGCAAGTGGTGGCAGAGGTCCTCCTGGGTTCTGTTAGTGCACGTTTCGTCACCAGCGCTTGTCTGGATTAATTCTGTCAGGTCTTTCTGCCTGCCAACACGAGCTTGACACATACTCGCACCGGATCACTAGAGACAAGGCAGAGAAGCATGGCCAACCAAGATGTCTTTGCTGCTATGGGCATAGCTGGTTTTGGTAAGACCCAGAGGAAGAAAGGACTCGACCCTCGTCGCTTCGATCAAGCGAAACGCGAGGGTCCAGCTCCCGTAAGTCTTTCAAAGCTCGACTCGTGCCGGATGAGTGCTAACACTATCTGCAATATCATTCTACCAGAGTACTCGGACAGCACCAGAAACCTCCTCTATCGCTGTAGCTGGACCCTCCAACAGTGACTCAGATGAGCCCGGTCCTCGTCAACCACATAAATCCAGGGCGGCCGAGGCTGACGACGACGACGACGGCGACGCTGGCTCTGGGTTCGAGGAGCCAGAGTATGACCCAGACACCGAACAAATAGATGCTTCAGAGCCAGAATTCCCCATTACACACGAGGCCATACTCAAGGAGCACACCAAGGTCATCTCCGCACTTGCTGTCGAACCATCTGGCGCACGTGTGTTGAGCGGCTCTCATGACTACGACTGCAAGCTCTGGGATTTTGGTGGAATGGGAACCAGCCCACGCTCATTCAAGACTTGGGAACCTGCGGGGAGCTATTACGTGCGTGTATACGTTGCCAGTTGATGACGGTAGATTAATGCTTTTGCCTTGTAGGTCAATGACGTGAAGTTCTCAAATAACGGACAACAAGTACTTGTCATCTCTGGTACTATTCAGGCAAAGATATTTGATCGCGACGGAGAGGAAAAGTGAGTCATCTTCACCAACTTTAAGGCAGAATGGCCTAATGACCGGTAGGGCCGCTTTCGTCAAGGGTGATATGTACATCCGAGACATGAAAAACACCTCGTGAGTGAAATTTACACAAGGCAGTCTCACAAGTCACTGATGTCCACTATTCAGTGGCCACGTCGGCGAGCTAACACAATGTGCATGGCACCCCAAAGATCCACAGTCGTTCATCACAAGCTCAGCTGACTCGACAATAAGGTCAGCATTATCCTTGTCCTCCATTAGAACATGCGCTGATAGAATACAACAGAATTTGGGACGTCGAGAACAAGCGTAAACAGAAGACCGTCATCGTCGTCAAATCAAAGGAAAGAGGTGCACGAACTAAGGTTTTAAGTTGCGCATACTCAGCAGACGGGCGGGTCGTCAGTGGAGGTGAGTTTATCCAGTTAGATGATTTCTCGTTACTGATGGTGAATTAGCCTGTCTTGATGGCGCTCTTCATGTGTGGAATATGTCGTCCAACTTTGTTCGTCCTGACAAGACAATTGAGGGTGCGCATGCCATGGGCACCGAAACCGGATCCGTTGTATTCTCCGTAGACGGACATACCGTGCTAACTAGGGGCGGAGATGAGACGGTCAAGTGTGAGTATTTCTAGACGTCTCTGCATTTTTGGAGGGCTCATTCCAATCTTTACCAGTATGGGACTTGCGTGCGTTTAAGAAACCGCTTGCGACTCGGACCGATATTACGACACCATATCCGGGGACGAACGCCATCTTCAGTCCTGACGAGAAGTACATCCTCACAGGGTGCGGCTCGATAACTAAAGGGGCCAGGGGCAAGTTGATGTTCTTAAAGCGTGACACTCTGGAGGTGGCCAAAGAAGTCGACATGGACGCAACACCGGTGAAAGTCCTCTGGCATTCCAAGATAAATCAAATTGTGGCCGGTCTGTCGAACGGGGCGATTAGTGTGCTTTATTCTCCCGTGACATCGCTTAATGGCGCGAAGTTGCTCCTGTCAAAGGGCGCCCCGAAGAAACCCACTGTGGAGGATATGTCAGATGCGTTGGCCGCACCCGCCATTATGACACCACACGCGCTACCCATGTTCAAGGAGAGCGATGGTATTGTGAAAACGACGAAGCGGAAGCGGGAGAAGGACCGAATGGATCCACGGAAGAGCAGAAGGCCAGAACTACCTGTGACGGGACCGGGTCGTGGTGGCCGCGTCGGTGCGAGTGCGACGCAGCATATCGTACAGCACCTGGTTCGCGATACCACCCGCGACGAAGACGTGAGTTCTTGTTTCTGTTTCAGACCCTTTCTTGGCGCGAACCCTCGCGTCTGTCGCGTCCTCACGTGATTTCGCGTTATCTGTGATGCCGGTTGTTATGTGGATACTGACGTATTCTTTGACACGCCTTGTTCCAGCCCCGGGAGGCGTTGCTCAGGTATGCTAAGGTGTCGGAGGAGGATCCACAATGGACAGGAGGTATGTCGTTCAAACACGTATCTCTTTTCTCTATTTACTGCGCATATTCTGCTGGTGTGTGACTGTTTGTGGTATGCCGAGCGGGTGTTGCGGAGTCGGAAATTTGGTTGTTTAAACGTGTTTGCGTTGATCGGTTGGCTGACGTGGCGGTTTCTTCCGAAACTTTTTTTTGCAGCATGGCGAGCAAACCAGCCCAGACCTGTATTTGCGGACACCCCGGAGGAGGAAGAGGAAGAGGAGTAGGGGAAGATGGGCTGAGACATTGAGATGTTGTAGGGGGCGACGAGGGGGATAGGCGGTGCGAGGAGGGTGATGAAAAGGACTGAGTATTTCGGTGGACCCGTTTTGAGATCGAACCTTAATTCCCGTCGCCTATAAAGACCCAATGACTGAGTTCCGATCCCCCAATCTCAAAATCTCCCTCCCCTCTCTCCCCGTCACGCTGCGTGACAGGCTGGTCACGCGCCTCCATGAACGCGACCGACATAAAACTGAGTCCCCCAATCGCTGTCACGGCCAGCGACAAGCCGTCCCCTAACTCCGCCATCCACGCCGCGCCCAACGGCACAGACGGTGAGTAGCTTTCCCGTCGCCTCGGACCCATTTTCCCACGCGTCGCCGCTTTGTCTCATCCCCTTCCGTGTCTCACTCGGCCTCACCGCAGCAGCTGCCACCACCAACGGGCCCCTCTCACAGCACGACGTCAACGCCACCCACCCGCCCCCGAGTAAACTAGAGCTTGTACCTACACCACCCGATAATACACGCAGCTTGTCCACTTGTGCTGAGCTTTCTACCCCTCTCGACCCTGGCAAGTTTATCTGCATGTTTCTTTCTTTTCTTTTGCCATCTCATCTTTTTCTCTCGCATTGTATGCAGCCACCATTCCCGTCCACCCTCCCCACGGTACGCCTCCTCCTCCTCAAGGTGATCTCCTCGAGGACGTAAAAATGGCTGAGCAGGGTGACAAAGCCACCTCTGCACCTGTTCCTACCCCAGCCTCGACCAATGGCATCAACGGGATACACCACGAACAGTCGGATGCAGACATGGCTTCAACTTCTCAGGCAAATGGGCAGGCTAGCTCGCCTACAGGAGAAACGATGCCTATGGACGCCTCCACCTCTACCGTTGACTCTGCGGGGCCTTCTACTTCCCATACTACTCCTGCAGAGTATTCCCCACGAGAACGGCCAGATGCCGATGAGGATGATGAGAAGCCACCCCCTGCCAAACGTGCGCGCAAGCTCTCTGACGCTGACCAGTCGTCTCTGGCTAACGTAAGCCCTTTTCATCTTGTACGCCCTCACCAGGCGTGCTGATTTAAGACTGCTATGACCCTGATGAAGACTGCATCACCCCCTCCTGTAACAGCGTCGACTGTTCACTCCAATGGCGATACAGTCATGGCTGGCCCGACTTCTCTCCCTACATCGTCATCAGCAGCTAGCGGCTCTCTTCCCCTCACGGCCGCGCAGCACAAGTACTGCATGTCTACGGTACGGCAGCTCAAGAGGATTAAAGACGCTGCTGCTTTCCTCTACCCCGTTGATCCAGTTGCGCTCAACATCCCCCACTATCCCACTGTGATCAAGAATCCCATGGACCTCAGCACAGTCGAGCGCAAGCTATCGTCATCGCTTCCCCAGAAGTCGGACCCTAACCCGGCTAATCCACGCTATCATACCGCAGACGAGTTCATCGCAGATGTTCGGCTGATCTTCAGCAATTGCATCACCTTCAATGGTCCAGATCATGTCATCTCACAAGCTGGTAAACACGTAGAGTCCGTGTTTGACAAGCAAATCAAGCAGCTGCCCTCTGCAGTCCCAGTAAGTAGTCGTGCTTCTATCCTATTACAAGTCTCTCATGCACACCGCGCAGCCTAAACCCCCTGTTGTGAAGAAACAAGCTACCCCTCCACCTCCCCCACCGCCCGTTAAGAAAGCAGCCCCCCCAAGACGACCCTCCGCCACTGTGCCCGTGATCCGGAGAAACGAGTCTGAGGCTGTAGTCAGTCGTCCTAAGCGGGAAATCCACCCTCCTCCCCCTAAGGACTTGCCTTATGCCGATGTCCCGAAGAAACTTCGGAAACCAAAACGGGTCAAGGATGATGGAACTGTGGAGCAGCTGAGGTTCTGTAGCAAGATCTTGACGGACCTCCATAAGAAGCAACATTGGGCAATTGCTCACCCATTTTACGAACCAGTCGGTAAGTCTTGTGCAGCTATGCTCACTTGAATGTCTCACAACGACTATTGCCAGACCATGTTGCGCTTGATATACCTTCTTACCCCAAGATTATCAAGAAGCCTATGGATCTATCTACTATGCGCAAGAAGCTTGATAGTGGAGACTACCCGAACGTGATGAAGTTCTACGAGGACTTCAAACTCATGATTCGAAACTGCTTCCTATTCAACCCTTCTGGAACGCCCGTGAACCAGGCTGGTGTAGATTTACAGAAGCTGTTCGACGAGAAATGGAAGAACTTGCCTCCTCTGAAGGAAGAGGGTAGCGATGAGGACGAGTATGAGGAAGATGAGGCAACGGATGAGGATCGTGCTCGTAAGTTTTTGTTCTTCTCCCCTGGGGCGTTTCTGATGTGGTTGCCAGGTGCTATTGCTTCTATTGAAGCCCAGATTGAGTCCATGCGCGGCAATCTCCTTGCATTGAAGAACAAGGCGGTGCCAAAGGAGAAAAAGAAGAAGGAGAAGAAGGAGAAGTTAGCCCCCGTGGCTTCAACTTCAAAGTCCACTACTTCTAAGCCCAAGGCCGCCGCCGCCAGCAATGGCTCGACCAAGCGCAAGAAGAAGTCTACTTCAAGCCAAGAGGACGATACGCTCAGCTTTGAACAGAAGAAGGATCTGAGTGACACCATTAGCCGACTTGACGGTACCAAGCTCGAGAAGGTCATCCAAATCATTCACGAAGGTGTTCCTGAAATCCGTGATGTAAGTGTTGTTCACAAGTCCGACGGCAATTCGTCTGGTCTAACCAACTGTCCTCAGAGTACCGAAGAGATCGAGCTTGAAATTGACCTTCTTCCTACGCACGTCCTCACCAAATTGTACAATTTCGTCATTCGTCCTATACGCGCCCCACCAGCCAAACGTGCTCGAACGGGTAAAGGCACGGGTACGGGCGGATTGAAGCGGAAGAGCATGGATGAATCTGCCGAAGCGGAGAAGATTAGAAAGCTTGAGGAGCGGATGAAACTCTTTGAGCAGCAGGGCAGCGCATCCGCCCACTCGGTTCCTGCGGTGATACACGATGATGACAGCGAGCGTTCGTCTGACTCCAGCTCGGGTTCCGACAGCGACTCTGCCTCGGAGTCAGAGTGATGTTCTTTACTTACGCACTTGTGACCACTGTCTTGTCATAGCTACTCTACTGAACTTTCGCGCTGAGTATGTCCTGAGACTGTCACTACTATTGTCTTTTTTCTCTTTTGCTTTCGCAACGTATATACATACAGCTCAAAATTAAACGTAACGAACACCATCAATTGTAGTTAGAACTAATGTCTAGTAGCGAATCACCTATTCTGGCACGCAAGTTGCAACATTGGGTATTATTCTAGCACCCAATTCAGGAGGCCATCGATGCTCAGCGCTCATAGTTTGACAGCTGCAGGTACGCTACCGCCGTTTAGGCGCGCCCCCTTTTTTCCACTGTTGCCACGAAGACTTGCTATCCCGAGCAGGTGCGACTGCTTCTGGGACAGGGGCTCGAAAGGTATCAGGAGCGGGTAAATGTGATGGTGCTGGAGGTGCTGGATTATTAGCCGGGGAAGCAATAGAACTCCACCCTCGTGAAGAGGATGAAGGCTCTTGAGGCCTTTCTGATGAGACGGGGAGAGCTAGAGGTGCGTGGTTCCCTCCAGCTCTAGGGGCGTTTGAGGGGCCCGCAGAAACGGAGGCCCATCCGCTACTGGACGGCGGTGCGTATGGCGGTGGCGGCGGGCCTGACTCGGGAGGCGGGGGTGGCGCGGACGGAGGTGCGGACGACTGAGGAAGAGTCGCCGAGCTGGAGCTTTGGGTGTCCAGAGAGGTCCAGCCTGCGTTTCGAAATGCGGGTGCGGGTGCGTGTTTACCGGAAGTAGATGAAGGCGGAACTGTGTTGGGTGGTGAGGAAGTAGCTGGAGCCGCAGCAAATCTGCTGGGGCTGGGCTCCGCCACAGAACTGACCGAAGCCCAGCCAGCTTTTTTGAAACCAGTAGCCGGCGGCTTCGGTTCAGAAGTGGCATCTGGGGGTGCTGCCGTAGCGGGAGCTAAGGGTGTTGAAGTCGACGTTGTAGCTGGCTTCGCAAACTTGATCCCTTGTGCCTTTGCGAGCTTCCTCAGTTCTTTCTCTTCCCTCTTTCTCTCCTTTTCCTTCCGTTTATCAACCTCTTCCTGGGAGACCATACGCTGAGCTGACTGCTGCATGTCCCGGAAACGCGCTTTATGATGGTGAGCATACGAATTAGTATGCTCATCATATTGGGCTACGGTTTGGAACTGTTTCTCGCAGAGCGAGCAATAAAAGGCCCGTAGCGTGTCTGCAATTTCAGCTTTGACCGCCTCTTTCTTAGCCATGGAGTCCTTTCAGACAAACCGTCAGTCAGTGTGTTTCAATGCTGACTAACAGATGCGTACCTCTCGCGCTTTACGCTGGTCAGCAGTCTCTTTGCGCATGCGTTCGGAGTCTAGCTCTCGCCGCTGAGAGACGGTTGTCTCGATCATCTCAACGTCCTGGTTTATCTTTCCCAGCCCGGTAGCGTCATTTTTGACGTTGAATGGGATGGGGTCGACCCGCGCTACAATGGCTGAGGAGCAATCCGTCGCAACGTGGGTACAAGCTTACCGTCAGGCGATAAGCCTAGAGGCTGTCCCTCTTTCCATCCAAGTCTCGCGAGTAATGCGAAACCCACGTTAGAGCTCTTGATTTTGGTCTCAACAGTGATGACCTCCTGCTCTGGTTTGCGTATGTACTCGTCATACTTGGTTATGTCGCTTTCGCCAGGAAGGGGAGGAGATGGTGACCGAGAGACGATGGACATATTGTCGTCGCCGTCATCATCATCATCATCATCGTCCATTGCATCATCCGGGCGTGGGCGCTAGAGGGATGGGAGAGAAGGAAGAGGGCAGTATGGACTGGATCTCAGACGGCCAGAAAGTAATGCAGGGTACCTTCTCGTGTGCGGCGTTGGCTTGGGATGAACTGGCGTCTTGACGGACCATGGGTATCGCGTTCCACCGATCTACTGTTTCTGCGGACATGACGGCACTAGTGGCTAGACACTGGTAAATGGTGTGCGAAGGGGTCCACAAAGGCAGGATCAGGTCACTAGTTCCGTACCCAAGTCAGGTGATCCGCCGAAACGCGCACGCGACAAATGGCGGCGAGCGCGTCCCTCCGTTCCCCCTCCCTGGACACAGGACCATCCATCTCGGCGTCCTGCTCTCCCCCTGTTGGCTTGTTCAGCATGAGCTCAAGCGATTATTATGACGATGATCCTTTTGACTCTGTTGTCCTCAACGGCTTGGACGAGATCGAGGCCGCCTATTCCACCTCTCAACCTCCTAATCCGCCGGCTCAACAACCAAAGCCAGCTCCTCCCAAGCATACCGAATCAGATGACATGTTTGACGACTTTTCCTTTGATATACCAGACGATGAGCTTCGGAAACTTGATGCCATGAGTAATGCTGCGGACCAGAGGAAACCCCAGTCTGTCGCAGGTCCCTCACGTCCTTCAAATACGGTCCAAAGGACTCTACATGGTGATGTGCTCCAGCCGACAACACATTCAAAGAAGGCCAGCACCTCTAAGCCAAAGAGCGCGCATACACTCAAACCTTCCTCTCGAAACAACTCATTTGGCCAGCAAGCCCCTCAGACAAAGCAATGGGATCACACCGAATTTGCGAAGTCCGGGTGGAAGAAGCCCAAGTCTGCCAAGGGCAAGGGAAAGGCTTTGAAAGATGTGGATGAAGACGCTGACGAGGCAGAAGAGAACGTTGAGTTTGAGCAATTTCCTGCTCCTTTCGTTCCAGGTAAGCACGATTACCCTGAATAATGCTTCGTGCTGAACATGTTGTAGTAGGGTGCGTTCTTGGTGCCACTTGTATCCTGATCATGATGCGATAACACTCGTGCGGCACGCTTTTTCTTGTATAGCCCGGTAAGAACATCTCCTAACATCAAATCGTGTATATGCTCATGTTGCGTAGCCTCCGCCCATGAAATTGCATGTAGACATGCTTGAGGCCAAACATTGGATATATCCGCTAAATAAGCCCAGGAGAGACTATCAATATAATATCGTACGGCATTGTTTATTTGATAATACGTTAGTAGCTCTACCAACGGGCCTGGGCAAGACGTTCATAGCTGGAGTCGTCATGCTTAACTGTATGTGAACCGTTACTCCTGGATTCACTCATCGCTGATCGTCTAGATTATCGCTGGTTTCCGGAGGGAAAGGTCGTATTCGTGGCACCAACGAAGCCCCTAGTGGCTCAACAGATTGACGCATGCCACAAAACATGTGGTATACCGGGGAGTGACGCTGTAGAACTTACAGGCAACAACCCTAGGCCATACAGGTCGCAAATGGTATGACCGATCAAGATATCTTCACACCCGCCTGACCTTACTCTATACAGTGGGAAACGAAGCGCGTCTTCTACATGACACCACAAACGCTACTCAACGATTTGATAAGTGACAATTGTGATCCCGGAAGTATCGTTCTCCTAGTCGTAGGCAGGTCGCTGTTCCTTGTTTCTGTATACTTTCCTCTGACATTCCGTTAGACGAGGCACACAAGGGCACAGGAGATTACGCTTATGCCCAGGTAGTGCGATATCTCATGGCGAAGAACCCGCATTTTCGGGTCCTTGCTCTAACTGCCACTCCGGGCAGCAACCCAGAAGCAGTTCAGGCGATCGTGGATTCACTTCACATCAGCCGAATCGAAATACGGAACGAAGCCAGTCTCGACCTCATAGAATATATGCACAAAAAGGCATGGTATCGAACCCATGAAGTATGTTAAGGTGCTCAAATGTTATCCAACAGGAGATAAAACAGCACATTGTGCATATGTCAGAGGACATCGAGAGAGCCAAGTCATTGCTGAAGAGGGTGATGGAGGTATGCTAAGTCAGAAAGAGTGTATAACTTCACCCTTACTGGCTTAGAACGTCGGCAAACCCCTTATAAACGCTAGCATCCTTCCGCCTCTGGACATGGTCAAGCTGCACCCGTATCGATGCACAGCCCTCGTCCAGCAAATAGGAGCCCAGCGCAACTCTCAAAAATGGGCCATGGGAGCGCTTTCCAGACTATCGAATTTAGCTCGATGTATGGGCTACCTTGTACGTCATAGGCTGAGCACTCTTCAAAAAACTGTTCTTTACCGCATTTATATAGCTCGAAAGCAGCGCCAGCATGTGCTATCACTCGCTTCAGGAGTTTGCTAGTGGGAATTCAGCGAGTAAGAAGATAGCAGAAGGCGACGACTTCAAGGCACTCGCGCGTGAACTACAGACACAGCTCGACCACGGATCTTCCCTTCATCCTAAAATGGAGCTGTTAAAAGACCTCCTCGTGCAGCACTTTGGTACAAGAATGGGTGAGGATGAGGATGGCGGTGAAGACACACGTGCGATGGTCTTCATTACATTCCGAGACTGCGTCGACGAGGTGGTGAATGTGCTCAACCAAGAAAATCCCCTCATCCGGGCGACGAGGTTTATCGGACAAGGCACCGACAAGTCAGGTAGGAAAGGTTTTGCTCAAAAAGAGCAGCTACAAGTCAGTTCGCATCAGCCCGTGTACTCAGTCCCCATATTGACTCTGCGAGCAGACAATCCAGAAGTTTAAGGACGGAACCTTCAATGTTCTAGTGTCAACATCCATCGGCGAAGAAGGATTGGATATCGGCGAAGTTGATATGATCGTGTGTTACGATGCTCAGAAGACTCCCATTCGCATGGTGTGTGATATATTTGAACATAGTCAACAATAACTCAGCGTTTTCAAGCTTCAACGAGTTGGGCGCACAGGTCGCAAACGGGCGGGTTACGTCCATGTCTTGCTCGCCGAGACTCGAGAGGAGGCAAACTGGGACAAAGCACAAGAGACATACGAAGATCTACAGAAAGCGATCGTTCGGGGTGACCAAGTAGAACTTTACGGGGACGTCCCTCGCCTACTTCCTGACCATGCTAAGCCCCAGCCCCTGGAGAAGGTGATGGAAATTGAAGCTTATTCGCGGGACGTACCTCTGCTTCGCAAAAAGTCCTCGGCCGTTGGTGGTGACGATCCATCGGGAAAGGGAAAGAAGAGAAAGCGTAATGATGATATAGCGCGTAATATCCCTGCTGGTGCTGCCACTGGGTTCGTCAGTGTAGCAGAGTTACTCGTCAAGAAGCCTAAGAAAAAGAAGAAACGAGTGTTCAACGAAGATGCAGGGGAGGATGATTCCACAGATATGGAACTCGAGTCTGGCATATTAGACATACGAAGAACAGTTTCCACTCCTGCGGAGACCTCTTCCAGCAAGAAGACAAAGTCTGCTAAACTACGTAAATCGGCGACTACTGTTACCTCAAAGCCCGAGAAGGCATCAACGGCACGGAAGAAAGCAGCAAAGAAGAAACAACTTCCCCAGGTTATCGACGACGAAGACGACTTAAACCTAGGACAGGATACACTTTTAGCAAAGCGGAGACCAGATACGTCCGCTTCCTCTACAACACGGGCAAATGCAAGGACCCAGCGATCCCTATCGCTTTCTTCAACTGAACGTAGTCCACAGCAGCAGTCAGTTCTGCCGCCATATGACGAGGAGCTATCTGGTATATCACAGCGTCGTCTATCGCCCCTTACTGCCCAGAAGCATGATGTTATTGAATTAACTTCGTCGCCCGTCCCTTCAAGATCTGCATCCCCGTCGTGGAAAAACATAGATCAATCGAAGGCCTCTACCTCAAGTAACACTTCAGACAAGAATTCAGTTCAACGCCCGCTTGCTCAAGACTCGGATCTGGTGTCTCCGCCAAAAAGCATGGCCTGGCTCATTGAAAGCGACGAAGACCCCGATATTCATATCGTTGATTCCTCCCCAATGGCTCCAAAGCACTCGTCCCAGAAAGCATCAGTGCCACCATATCAAACTCCGTCAAAGCGTAATATTATAGAGCGTCCAACATCTACCAGAGCCAGAATGTTTGATGATAGTGTTATCATAGTCGAGCCCGGATCGTCATCACCCCTCGTTGGACTCTCGGCCTTGGACAACACATCTTCCCCTGAACATGCCTTCCCCGAAGCTACCTTCGCCGTCCGTCCCTTGGGGCAGCCCCGCCTCAAGAGGCGTCCTGCAATGGTGGACTCGTCGCCGAGCATGCCTCCCCCACCTCAAAAACGACTTCAGCGTAGAAACTCCGAGGACCCTGATTCGCCTGCGCCTGTGCAAGCGCCTCCTCCACCGCGGATGAAGCGTCAACGCATACGGATGAAGTACAACGCGTGGCTTAATGGTGAAGCAGCTCACTCGGGCGACGAGGTGTCCGAGGGCGCATCATGTTCGGACGACGACCAAGAGAGCGAGTCCGACCGGCGTTTCCTACAGGAACCTCCCGAGACGCAGGTCTCGCCGTCCTATGACCAGACAGTGGCATATCGTCAGGGTCTGATGACGCAGGCTCCTCTCGGAGGTCCGTTATTCGCCAACCGACCCGTGCGAGGAGGCCCGTACCTCCACAATGAGACCATGCGACGAAGGCCCCTCGTTTCAAGTTCCCCTGTCCGAACAGACGGGGAGCCAGATGAATATGAGTATGGGAGCTTCATTGTTCAAGACGATGCCGAGATAATATATGAGGGACCTTCAAGTGATGCGGGATGATAGGCTATCATTTCCTGACTTATTACTATGACTAGTGTTTGTCGAGTTAGCCATATTTCACAGATAATCATAACGGGATCCTACGGTGGCGTCCAACATTCCCTGTGGCGTTATTTAATGTCTCTTAAACATCTCGGCGGCATTTTGAAATGAATTTCCATCTTCGACTCTTCGTAAACTTACGGAGTTGAAGATTATGGAGTTGGATCTTGCAGTAATCCTCGAAGCCCAATCCGACGTATGATTGTGTCGTAAATAGAAGCCCCTATGGTTGCCCTATGGCGTCGAGCCGAAACATGTAACAGTGACTCCTTTTGTTTCTCTCGATCAGATGATTGGCGCGTGCTTGTACTTATAAGTCAGGGGGCCCATACCACACCTTGTTTTCTCCCCGCTAGTGCTTTACATCTTAGCCTCTCTCCAAGGCCCTTTCCTCAGATAATTACCACCTGGATGACTGGTCTTCTTGGTCGCGTAACATCTCATGTCGGCTTCTCTCGTGGTCCTCAAACCTTGACTTCTAACCACGAGCCTCGAAATACGCATCGTGGCATCCACGGTGACCCTCGTTCAGCTGCAACCAGCAAGTGGACCGGGCTTCTGAACACCCCATCCTTTCCACGCCGAAAGACCGAGGAAGGATTGTTCAGCCATGAATGCCCATCAAATGGAAAGTCTCTTGTTAGCCGTCTCTACGATGTCAAGCGTCAGTCTGTTGGCTGGGGTCGCAATGGATATCGGCCGAAGACATACAATAATCTGGCCTCAGATGAGTTTGTTAAACAAAATCTCTCTCGCAAGAAGCATGGAAAACCCCGTAGAAGAAAAAACCAGGTGAGCTCAGTTACCTGGTTCTCGACATAGGACGCCTCCTAATGACATTAATCAGAAAAAGCAAGAACTGCCTAGGGTACGTTGTTTGCCACCGTACAATGACATACAGTCAATCCTGTTAACAGCATATGAGCGCGTCGTCTGTGGACTCCTTGCTCATGGACGTCGACAAACCTGTTTGGAACCTTGCATTGGCAGAGAAAACTTCAATGCATCCTGTACTTGCAAGGCAGGCACCACGTTACATGCGAAAGCTACATGCACCTTTGCGAAGGGACTCGCGCCACATGTCTATCGATGAACGCTATGAACGAGATGCTACAGCTAGAGCAAAGCCAACGGCTTCTTCTCGCAAACAGGTATCAGTGGCCTCAGTCGAGATGCAATCTCCAACTACCAGCTTCGGGCGTCGCTCTCTCCCTATGACGATCGATCAAATGTCTCGCGCCTCTACTCGGGATGTGTCTATGACGAGCGCCGCGTTTTCTTTTTGTTGTGCATCTCCGGTGCCTATGAGCTGCTATCAGTCACCGGAGGCACTGACGCATCACCTTACGAATGAGCCAGTACAAAGGATGAATACGATCGATGTCCCTAATTGCCGTATATCCTCGGCCGGTCGATTAGCTGAGGACTACACCAATGCTGCGAACATTCAGGAGATCTCTGCAGCCTCTATAAACGAACTCTTGGTCGACGACTCTGCTCTTACGCCTATCTCGGCAGCGCAGGCTGACGCAGCTTCGCCGCAACTTGGAAAGACGCGCTCGATTGCTCTCCCCGACTTGGGAAGCTCGTCTTACACCCCACCAACGATTTTCGACGAGGACGCTATACAAGCCCCACGGACCCCTGCTCTGGTAGCTAAAGAAAGCCTGGCTCGGGGCATGTCCCTTCTCGAACTCGAGGTACTAAACTTTGATGATGCGAACGGCGAAATTGCACCATGGGACACAGGCAGTACCCTGAGAACATCGGCGACCAAGTCTCGGACCACGCGGACCAAGGGCATCGCACCTTATCGCAAGCTCAGCTCTCGTGCCAGGAAGCACAAGAAGAACTCGCCCGTGCACAACGGTCTTGACGGGCTCTTCTCCGGCGATGATGATGGCAGCCTCCTCCTGCGCAGATCGTCGGCGCCGTTTCCCGCTCTCTCTGGGCGTACCGACGGCAAACTCCCTGAGATCGTCACACTTGACCGCACGAGCACGCTCGTGAACAAGGGTGGGTTTGCGAGACTGTACGACGACCACGTCACTGGTGAGTATCTTTGACATTGGTTTCCGCTATTGGCAAACAACGGATATTGACCGCAAACATGATAAATAGACAAACATTTCCGTCCCAGATCAAAAGCCCTACTCCGTTCGGAGCCCTCCGTTGACTGTGAGGATCCTGGCGAGTTAGCCGACGACGAAGACGAGACTGAGGGACAAGTGGATGGACTCGCGAGCACGATGCGCTCGGTGATGCTGAACAGCGATTCAACTTGATACTAACCTTGATATTTTGACATCTTGTCACCTTGCAAATTTCGACGCCGGTCGAGATGGACTGACTGCATATCATCCTAATTTACACTGTATATTATCGCATTTACCTTGGTTTTTGCTTGTAGATATTACCTTGTATCCATAGATTGCCGAGTTGACCGCTTGTAGCACTTTGACAACGACTCATAACATTCTCACCTATCGAACTTGTCCATCGCTAGGAAAGTTAAGGCCAGTCTGATCACACACGTTGAACTTGCCCATCACTAAGAAAGCTGAGGCCACTCAGATCACACACGTCGAGAGGAGGTAAACTTTTTAAAGCATCGTGCCTCGAGGGCATCGTGCTGCCCCGTAGGGATCTTGAGCTCCGTTTGGTTCATGAACGAAAAGCGAAAGAAAACAAACAAACAATACAAGGAAGAATAATATATTACATCATCCCCATCCCGTCGTCGCCTTCGGCGCCCCATCCGCTCGCGACGACCTCCTCGTCATTACGATCATTATGCGATGCGTCATGCCCCTCCTCGTGTGCCCCATCATGCTGCGTGTCGTTCGTTGACGACGTCTTATCTTTAGACACCCGTTGCTGCTGCTGTTGTTGCTGCGGTTTGATGGCGCCACTCGGCGGCGGGGCCGTTGCGTGCCACGAGATCTGCACCTGTCCGACGCTGGGCACGTCCTGGCCCTTGGCGAGCGCCTGCTCGGCCGCAGCACGCGTCTTGAACGCCACAACGACTTCGTCGCTCTCGCCCGTCTCCACCGAGTCCACCTGGCCTGACAGCTGCGAACACGAGCAATAAAAAAAGATGATGTTGGCGAAAGCCGGTACATACGAGGCACAAGCTGTGCTTACCTCGTACCAGTCGCGAACGGCCTGGACGTTGTTGGCAGATACGCCCTTGAGGAGCAGCTTCTTGGGCCGGTTGTCGAGCTTCATGCTGCCGCGGGGCGGACCGCTCCAGGCAGCGCCCCTATAGAAGGGTGCCCGGCCACGAGCGCGCCCGCGTCCGCGTCCTCGCCACGGGGCAGGAGGCGCTTCACCCTGCTCGGCAATCCCAAGACTGGCAGCCTAAGAGATGGGAGAGTTAGCGTTGACCGTGAGCATAAGCCGAGTGAAGTAGATCTACACACCTCCTCCTTGAGCTTGGCCAGAGTCGCCTTGAGGTCCTCGGTGGACTCGCCCGCACCGTGCATCTCCAGCTCTTTATCCAGCTGCTCGCGTTTGCTGCGCTCCTCTTGAGACACTGACGACATGATAGCATCTCCGCTTTCCGGCGTCGGGGTCGAAGGCTTCGACGACGACGACGGCGCCGTCATCTCCTCTCCCAACTTGCGCAGGCGCGCCATGATAGTCTTCTTCTCGTCCGCAGACGCCGTAGCCAGCTCAGCCATGAGCTTCTTCTGTTCCTCAATCTGGCCCTCGAGGAGCTTCTGCTTAGCGGCAAGCTCCTGCGACGCCTGCGAAGCAGCCACCGGCCGCTTCGGCTGCCCATCGACAGGCTTCGGGGTCGGCGCTGGCGTCGGCTTCGGCACCTCTTTGCCCAGACCCGCAACAGCCGTCGCGGACGCCGCGAGCGCCTTCCTGCCCACCTCCCCGTGCCCCTCCATCGGCCTGTGCCAAAACACCTTGACGAACCGATTCCCAAACACCGCGTCCTCGCTCTTCCACGCCGCGTGCGCCTGGTCGTGCTCCGCGAAGCTGACGAGCGCCTTGGCGCTGCGCGCGTCGATGGCGACGTTCGTGACCGTCCCGAAGCGCTTGAACCAGTCGTTGACGCTCTCGAGCGCCAGCTTCTCCTCGGGAATCTTCTCGACCACGAGCGTCTTGTCGCCCACGCGCTTGCCGGGGCGGAAGCTTTGCGCGTCGCCATTGAACACGCCGCGCCCGCCTCGCGAGCCGCCACGGGTATGGCCTCCTAGCTGCTGTGGGTGGTGATGCTGGCCTGGCGGAGCCATACCCGTGTTCATCCCCATCATGCCCTGCGGACCCATACCCATGGCTGTGCCCATGGCGGCGGGTTCGACATCCATGGGGCCACTCGCTGGTGGCGGCTGCACTTGCCCGTCAACATTGGGCGCAGTGTTCCCATTCTGACGCTGTCCATGCTGCTGGTCGTTTTGTTGAGGCGTGAGATCCTGGATAACGGGCAGCTCACCCGCGCCTTGCGGAACGCCGTCTTCTCCTCGCGGCGCGAGCGGTGCCCGCTGGCGACCGGCAACAGGGCGTATGTCCATCTGAGCCTCGCGCGGGTCGTACTGGGCGCCTGGCATGAACGGCATGCCGCCGTTGGGCATAAAGGGGAGGAAGGGGAGGCCAATCTGGAACATCTGCTGCTGCATCTGGGAGAGCATCATAGCCTCGTCGCCGTGACTGTACTTGCACATCGCACCGCGAGAGCAGTATCCCTTACCTGCACAATGTTAGCAAAATAGTGTTCGCGATGAGCTTTGGGATGGTGGACGCACTGTGATAGTCCCGGCAAAGGCCCTTCCTGCGGTCTGGAGGCTGGTACCCCTGCTGTGGTCCCCGACCGTTCATACCCATACCCATACCCATGCCCATGCCCGCACCCACACCCATACCCATACCCATACCATTATCCATACCCATTCCATTCTGCCCATTATGACCACTCCACTGACCGCTTCGTCCGTTTTGATGGCGTGAGTACTGCCCCTCGCTCATGCGCGGGCCTTTCGGTATCCGGCCATCGGCATTAGGGTCCGGCTCAAGGCTGCGTTTCCGTCCCCGCGAATCGGGGGACGTGGACGAGCCGGGGATGAGGACGTCGATAGGTATGGGAATGCCGCCCTCGGAGGAGCCAGCGGCTGGGGCTGAGCCCGAGGGGAAGCCAAGCGAGGACGGGGGAGGGTCGGCGGCGGTGTAGGGGAGGTAGGACTTGGTGCGGAGGACGGTGAAGAGCGTGTTGATGAATGGGGCGCACTCTGCGCATACATTATCATCAGCGCGACGAATAAAAGGGATGAACAAACTGCGGACCTTTCTCGAGGAATTCTTCGAGTTGCACGGTCAGCTCTTTGCGCATCTCGCTCTCTGGGGCGTTGTGCTTGAGCAATGCGAGAATGTATTCTGCGAGTGCGCCAGGCTCAGCGTCGCATCTGTTAAATAGAAGGAAGCGGATGAGTGACGCGAGGACAATGGATATGGACGATGACGGACATTGGTTCGAGAGTGCGGACGAGCCAGGGCTTGAGGTGCTGGGCGGCGTTTGTGTCGAATAACATGTTGTTATATGACAGGTAGATTCGTGTCGAGGGGCCAAGAAGTGGGGAGGAGGAGGGAGAGGGAGAGGCCGATCTCGCTGCTCAACACAAACCGCGCTCAACTCGTCCGCTCAAACTTTCTACGCGATGACTAAGCATGCATATAAGCGAACCACTCGAACACGGCGCTGCATAAACTAGATAGCTATCGATACAAAAATCATACAAAAGCTGTACGTATTATGATGATAAAATATGTCAACCCCTCAGGCTTCTTCCTCTCCCTCCTTAGTGCCAGCCTTGCCCTGAAGATGCAAACCTGGCAATTTAAACATCTACATCGAGCATCAGTACCATGAAAAGTAACAACCAAGCTCATATCAAACACGCACCTCAAAGATGCTCTCAGCAGGCGCACCCCAACCAACAGTCTCCCCCGTCGAAAGCCGCGTCGTGCCCAGCGCAACGCCCACCACCGCGCCGCTCGCCGCGTCCACGATCGGACCGCCGCTCGATCCCGGCGGAGGCGCGGGCCGGAACAGCACCTGCGCGAGCTGGTCGTACGTCCCCGTCTAAACCACCGCAAAGTCATTTAGTTTTCGAATCAACTCAAAACGGATTTGTACTGATGGAAGATGAAAGATGGAAGAAGAAGAAGAAACAACGCACCTCGGAGCGCCCGCCATGGCTGTTCCTGTACCCGATAATCTCCCCAGGCGCCCAGCGCGCCCACACCCCGCCCGTCCACCACCTCCACCCGTCCTGCTCCGCGACCCACCGCGGGGGCTCGGTGTGCGTCGCGCAGTGCACTGCCACGCGTGACCCCACCGGTGCCGGGTACGGCGAGACGGGCAGGGTGTGCACGTCGGGGAGGCTCGGGACGCTCAGGATGAGCAGGTCGGAAGAGTGCAGCGCGGACGCGATTCCCGCGGCGGGGTAGAGGAACTCGCGCGGCTGGCCTACGATGTCTGCGACGGCGTCGTCGATGCAGACCAGTGTCCCGGAGGAGCCCGCGTCTATGGGCGTGGTCAGAGGGAACGGGTCGGGGTGGAGGAGGTCCGAGTGCTTTATCTACATTTCGTTACACATTGTGTCCCCATGAGCGAAACAAAATACAGAAACGCACCTGGTGGAACGTATGCGTGCAGGAGACAACGAGCTTCGATCCCTCCTTGCCAATAACAAACCCGCTGCACGCGCTGCTCTCAACAGCCTCCCCCTTCTGCGCAGCATGCACAACCATCACAACCCCCTCCTCGCGCTGCCCCGCGTCCTCCTCCCGCCCGCGCCTCCCATTCGTTCTCGTACCCGACGACGCCCTCGTCAACATGCCCTTCGCAGCACCCTTCTCCGACTCTATCACGTCCGCATCCTCACCCACACCCCCACACCTCACCCTCCGCTCCCTCCCGGGCCTCGACTCATACTTGAGCGTCTGCTTGAGCACCTGGCCCTCGCGCAGCTCATAGTCCGCCGCGAGCCCCGGCAGATCCATCCTGCTCCGCAGCCGCGCGTTCAGCGACCGCACGATGCGCTCTCTGAGCTGCGGCGCGAGCGGCTCTAGCGGCGGTGGGGGCGCGCCAGTCGAGCCGCCGGGCCAGGCTGGAGACGGGAATGAGGGAGACTGGTCTGGGGCGGGAGGCCTCCTACTTGGGATAGCTTGGACGAAGGAGTCCCAGGTCGTCGCATACTGACGTGTCGCCGCTGCCGGACCAATGCGGGTCGCTCGTCTGACGCAGGGCACGGACGAGCGAGCGACTGTTGCGAGCCTGTGCATAGTCACTGGTCAGAAGCAATGTGTTCAAGAGAGAGCAGTTTCCGTGGGACATATGTACTTGGCAAGATAAAGTGACCTCATACACGAGATTAGCACACGCGCATCTCACACCACACATCACAACAAACAATGCAAGCAAGCCTCGGGTTACACTGGAAGCGGATATAAACTATAGTAACAAAAAACCGTGTAAATCACTCTAAACAACCACATTCCACTCGTGCTCAATGAGCCCATTCTGAATCCCCGTCAAATGCTTCCATATCGGCCCTGAAATCGGACCCATCCCACCCGGACCTGTCGGGATCAGCACATCGCTCCCCTGGTACCCAATCTTCTCTACGGGTGTGATAACCGCCGCCGTACCTGCCCACAAGTTAATCACACTGAACAACCCAAGCGAGAAAAGAGAAATAAAAGAACGCACCAGTACCAAACAGCTCAACCAGCCTCCCGCTCGTCGACGCCTCACTCACCTCCTCCATCGTCACCGGCCTCTCCGACACCCTAACCTTCTTCCCCACCGGCATACCCTCGATCCTCGCCCCTGCCGCATGCCCCCTCGCGAGCGCCAACACCGAATCGCGCGTCACACCCGGCAGAATCATCCCGTCCAGCGGCGGCGTCACCAGCTCCAGCCCCCCGTCCGCATCATGGAACACGATAAACGCGTTCATCGTCCCCACCTCCGTAATGTAGTGCTCCGGCCCGTGCAGCCACAGGTTCTGCTGGTACCCCGCGGACGCCGCCGCCTTCTGCGCGACCACGCCCGGCGCGTAGTTTACCGCGAGCTTGTACGCGCCTGTGCCGCCCGGCGCGGCGCGGATGTACTCGGTTGTGCCGTACAGCGGCACGGGCTTGAATCCGGTCGGGTAGTACGGTCCGACGGGGGAGCAGATGACGAACAGGAGCGCTTCGGTGGGAGGCTGCACGCCGAGCGTGCCGTTCGTTCCGACTATAGTAGAGCACATGAGCGTACTGTTATAGCGTGGGTCGAGGATAGAAACACGTACTGAGCGTCGGGCGGATGTACAAGCTGTGGCCTGGCGCCTCAGGGACCCACTCCTTGTCGAGCCGGATAAGCTGCTTGAGCAGCTCGATCACCTGCTCGCCGTCGAACGTCTACACCACATTCACACATCAGAACCCGCCCGTTCACCACGAGGGGGCAAGCTCACCGGAAGAGCCAACCGAGCGGCACTGTTATTCAACCGCTTCATATTCATATCAGGCCGGAACATGGTCACATTCCCGTCCGCGCGCTTGTACGCCTTCATGCCCTCGAATGCCGACTGCGCATAGTGGATCACAACCGCGCTCGGCACCAGGTTGATCGTGCCGTCTGGCGTCCGTCAAAGGTCAGACGCGTTTCAGCGCACACGAAAAAGAAAAGGAAAGGGAAAGCCAGTGGAGAGACGCGGACGCACAGGGTTCAATCTGGGGCGCTTCCCAGCCCGCCTGTTCCGTCCACCGGATCTTGAGCATATGGTCCGTCTATGATGTACCCATGAGCACCGTGCTCAGCGCCAGCACACAACCTCCAAAACTCACAAATGTACGACCAAAGAGCAACGGCGCCCCCGGTGCAGGGAGCTGCTTCGGCGACGCCGTCTTGTTCACCTGCAACTGCAAGGCCTATCATGATACCGCCGTTGAGCACACACGGAAAGGAGACTCGAAGAAAAAAGAACTGACATCGATGCCGGGGAGCAGGGGCTGTCCGGCCTTGGCGTCCTTGCCGACGTCCCCCGACACGCCCGCGGCGTACCACCTGCGGGCGGGCAGCTGGCGGCGCGCGGTGTGCGCGAGGCGCGTGCGAAACATGGCAGTCGACAGTGACATTCTGTTTTCCTTTTGCGATTGGGAGGGATGTGCGCTCGTTCAAAGGCGGATGAGCACGCAGGGGAGAGAGAGAGAGATAAAAGACAGAGGGGGTGTGCGAGTCAGAGAACGCGAGAATCTAGTGTGGGGGAAGAACGCGCGCCAATATTATATCGTCCGAAGAACGCACAAGCGAGCTTCGGTTTTATACGGACATTACTCCCGGAAGACGGAAGGAATCTCCGGACCCTTGAGTGGCCCCTTCAATTTGACAGTCCTTTGCAACAAGCTTCAGCTAAAATGTCATTGATCCTACCGTAGCCCGGATCACCGTGAACTCCGAAAAGCCTACCTCACGCGTTCACCTGCTTCAAGCCACTGTCCACGATAGCAGAAATAGCCAGTCGCTGATCACAAGAACTAGCTCACGGAGGTGGCGGAAAGCCGCTGCAACATTCATTTTGTAGCGCAAGTACAATGGCCTCGATCCTGTGCACCGGCAGAGCCAGCTTCACCAGAATGCGACAACGCAAGATGGAACAAGCGCATTTCTATATATTATATCCATATGCGTGTACACGTCAATATAGTATCAAACTACATGAGCGCGCATACATAGGGTACTGCAGTATCGTATTCTATATGCTAGCGATGCATGATACAGGATGCAAGGAGCCGAGTGTGGCGTGTGGGGATGGGTCGTGGCGTGCAGGGAGTGAGTATGAGATGAAGAAGAGACCAACAAAAAATGAACGCAACAAGTTATAAAACAGGCAGAAGCACCAATCCCCCAATTGTCCGTGTAATAGGAAAATCCAGTCCCTAGTACGCAGCACGAGCGAGGCAGAGCGAACACACATAACGATACATTCACCGCACGCGTCCTAGCGCGCGTGCGCACAAGTAGAAGGATCGTCGTATAAAGGTCGCGTCCCAAATCAACATCAAGCCTACGACGACGCCACCGACACGCTCATCGACAGCTCGCCCGGCCCAGGACCCGACTTGGACCGCTGTCGCAGATGCGACGGCAGACGCTGCTGCTCCACAGGCGCCTTGCCAATGCCATACGCACCAGGCACGCGCGGGACGGGCGGCGGCACCAAGTCAGGCGGCGCCGTCACACTCGACGTGGAGCTGCGTCGTCGCCCCTCGGCACTGAGACTGGTCGGAGCCGCGTTGGGCAACCGGGACTGCGCGAGCGGCGCGCATGAGTTGCGCAGGTGAGCTATAGTACAAGCGGCCCCATGTCAGCCGTCCGATTGCGAGAAAAGCCACACTTACCCTTGTCGTCGTCTATAGCAGCAGCAGCGCGATAAACCGCCGGCGCCCACACATCCGCCACACTCACGCGCGACGCGCTATGCGAAACCACCGAGAGCGCGTACGCATTCTGCGGCCTTGGCCTCGCCCGCCTCTCCCCGGACCCCGGGCCGACGGCTGCGTACGTATGCAAGGACGGATCGCTGCCGAGCGGCGCAGGCAGCACGACGCGCACTCCGCTGTGCGGGTTATGCGGCAGCCCGAGGCGGGCAGAGGACGCGGTGCGCGTGGTGTAGCTGGTATGCTCCGTCGTCGCAGACGCGATCGACCGCGGCCTGCTAGCCGAACGCACGTGTTTGGCCTCTGCCCCTGCCCCTGTCGCCAGCGCCGCATTGGCGCCGGCGGCTGATAGCGACGACGAAGATGGCGACGGGCTGTACAGTCGGGACGAGGACGGCGAGCAGGTGTTGAACGACGTGGCGGAGCTGGGCGTCTCTGAGGAAAAGGGGGAGAGTGTGCCGGAGGGCGCGTCGGAGGTGTAGGAGTGGGAGGAGCTCGCGGTATCGGGCCGGCGGGAGTGGCGCGGGGGCGGCTGGAGAGGCGCCGAGGGGTCTGCGTCGTAATGGGCGAGCCTCGGCTCGCTTGAGAGGGGCGTGCTGATGCCGGAGCCGTATCTAGAGCTGGGGAAGGACGCCTTCTCCATTGCGTAGAGGGAGACAGAGCTGACGGATTGGTTGAGGACGAGGGGCACGGAGGAGTTGGGGGTGCCGGGGATGACGTCTACGGAGATGTCTGGCTGGGCGCGGAGGTAGGCTGCATTTGCCTCAAAGTCTGCGAGGTTGCGAGCACGTGTGGAGACGATAGGTTGGACAGGAGGGAGGGGGCGGGAGTTGCGGATGAAGCGGTTGCGGATGGTGCGATAGGCGACGACTGCGATGGCGATGACTGCAACTGCACAGACGACGACGACGATGACCACTGTCGTCTCCGTCATTTCGAGGCTCAGGAGGGGAGGAAGTAGGAAGGACACAAAAAGTATAAACGAGAGACAGGGCAAAGGAGCGTGTGGCGGCTGTGGTCAGAATTGAGACCAGACCACACTGAGCCGAGCAAGACGGACAATTAATGTCAGGATCTGGAAAGACTGAGGGTTAAATTTATGCAAGGCACTCGGACGGCAGCGAGCACCTTAAGATCGAAGCATCCTTGAGCAGCTACGCCATACGGAGGGGTCCACCTAATTTCGGTCCATTCGGTCCATTCGGTCATAATCGGTCAACTAGGTTTATTACCATATTTGGACGGTCGCCCTCCGAAGCACCTAAGTCTCTCCGCCAAGCGAGCCAGACTGTGTCACGTGACAGCTCCCAAATCGCCGGCTCCTTGCCAATTTTGGGTCTCCCGGAGGCTGAACCCCTCGGGAGCTTCTCTGCTCGCCTCCGGCTCGCCAACCCCTCCGTATGACCTATCTGCCCATCCTTGGATCTGATCCCTACTTTGGAGCTTCTTCCAATAATACCTCGTCCATAATTAGTATGCGTCGCTTACCCAATTACTCGCCGGCACTCGTGCTTCCCTCTCCGTTGTCGCCGTTCCCACCAGCTGGGCATTGCCCACGACGTCCCCGACACCGACGTCGATGGCGCCCTCCCCTACCACCCGCCCGACCCTCGCCCACGTTCCTCGCTCCACCCCAGCCCCATCCTTCGCCTCCGCACGCTCCCCCCAAACCTCCACCAAGACCGCCCAACCGCTCGCCAACCGCCTCCTCTTCCCCTCTCTCCCACCAGGCACACCCCCGCCGCCCCTATTCACCACCCCATGCCCGCCCGAGCTCACCGCAGACGCGTACGACCTCATCGCCCTCGCCCTGCGCGCCCACGTCGCCCCGTGGTGGTCCAAGATTACCCGCTACGACAAGGAGTTCCTCCCCGCGATCACCAGCACCCTCGCCGCCGTCCTCCAGGCCCTCCAGGCCCGCGTTCACGCCGCGGACGTCCCGCAGCTGCTGTACGCCACAGCGCCCGCTCTCCTCGCGCAGCACTGGCGCGACTGGCGCGAGGCCCAGGCGAAAGCCGGCACGGGGTACACGACGGGCGCGGTGGGCGGTGCCGCGCGCGCGCAGGTGTTCCATGGGCTCCAGCCGCATGTGGCGCTCGATGCGCAGGGAAACGTCGATGTGGAGTATATTCGACAGGCGGTCGATGGTGTGCTCCGGCTGTGTCTTCCGCCGCAGGACTATGCGCCCCCGGGCGAGCGGTACATTGTGCGCGAGATCGTCGTTATGATCGTGTTGCGTGTGCTCTTTCCCCGACTCACGGAGCCGTGGTTCATCGATCGCATTCTTCTCAATGTGCTCGGGCCGCCTCGGGATAGTGTCGTGCAGAAGGTACGTTGCCTCGATCCGCCGTCCTCGAATTGCTCATGTCATTTTTGCAAGGCCACCGATCCATCACCGGCATCATCACCCTCGCCTTGGTCGTTTGCCAACCTCATCGTCTTTGTTCTCTCTGCCGTTCAAGCTATCTCGGCTGCCGGTCTGGCCATTACAACTGCCTACAGACAGGCTAAACTCACCATCTCTCGCGTCAACGGGCCCTCGCGAGCACCTTCCCCTGCCAAGCTCCAACGTTCCCGCTCTGCGCCTGCAACACCAACTCCACCAGGCTCAGTCGACTCGTCATTCGAGCTTCCGCATCCACCCCTTCCTCGATCGCAGCCCCGTGGGCACGCTCGCCAGTGTCTGCGCGCCGCCGCCGAGATCATCAACGCGCGCACGCGGCTCACAGCAAGCCTGCTCATCGCCCTAATCGACGTGCCTTGCACACTATTCGAGTCCTTCGCCGACAGGTGCGTACATAGACCCAACATCCTCCATCCTCCATCTCCTGTCCTCATATCTATCCTACGTAGGTTCCTAGCCTACATGCTCACCGAACACGTCCTCTCCGCTCCCACCCTGCACACCATCCTTCTCACGACCAAACGCACCGTCTTCCCGCCCGCGCCGGCGCAGCCCGAGCCCCCGCCGACGGCCGCCGAGCAGGCGCACGCGCACGCGCAGCTCGTCGCGCGCCTGGTTGAGGCGGTTCCGCGGCCGGCGTCGGCGCTGCTGTTTGGCGCGCGGCCGGGCGAGGGCGTCGAGGAAGCCCTAGAGGCGCTGAGCGACAGGGCGGCGAACGCGCACTTGCTGATGATGTTTCTGGATGCGGTTTTGGTTGCGTTGTTTCCTGAGATGGGCGGGGAGGTGGTTGGTGTATCCGATGCTGGTGCGGGTGAGACGTATGCGGGTGCTAGGGAAGGGTCTGGGGGGAGCAGCGAGTCAGTTTCGTCTGGGTAATGTTGTGTTATATGACGCGTGCTTTGAATTTGTATTACGACAAGTCGAAGGACTTCGAATAGGTACGCGCCTTCGAGAATTACAAATTGCGCGGTTCTGAGCGAGACAGGGGCTATTTATGGGTATTTGCAGGGCTGACGTCTGTGTGACGCCAGAGCCTGAGTCGATCCTTCTTATCTCTCCAGCACTGAACAGTCGCAGACAAACATCGACTCCTCAAGCAGCAGATAATTGCAAACCATGACCTCGCTGCACCAGCCCCCAGCGCCTGCCATCCTCAACACTTTTGCAGAGCCCGCAGAGCTCGAGGAGGCTCTCGCCCAGTTTGTCGTCCGCGCACAGCGCGATGCCATCGACAAGAAGGGCCGCTTCACTCTCGCCATCTCAGGGGGCTCCCTACCGAAGCAGCTCGGCCGGCTTGTGGGAAACCCCAACGTCAAGTGGGACAAGTGGTCTGTCCATTTCTCGCTCCCATATACTCAAAGCTCAAAGCAGCTGACCCGTACACAGGCAAGTCTTCTACGCCGACGAACGCGCCGTACCCCTCGACCACCCCGACTCGAACCACAGACTCTGCACCGACGAGCTCTGGTCCAAAGTCCCCCTCCCCTTCTCGCACATCCACGCCATCGACGCCGACCTCCTCCCACAACTAAGCACCCCCGACAAATCCACAGACGACGCCCTCGACGAGCTCGCAGACGCCTACGAATCGCAGCTCATCGCCGAATTCGCACAAAAAGACAGCGCCCGCTTCCCCGTCTTCGACCTCCTCCTCCTCGGCCTCGGCCCCGACGGCCACACCTGCTCCCTCTTCCCCGGGCACGCCCTTCTCGCAGAGGAAGACCGCTGGGTCGCGTGGATCAAGGACTCGCCCAAGCCCCCCGCGGCGCGCATCACGTTCACCTTCCCCGTCATCAACCACGCAGCGCGCGTCGCGTTCGTCGCCGCCGGCGCGAGCAAGGCCGACACGCTCGCTGCCGTCCTCGATCACCCCGAGGACGGCCTGCCCGCGAGCCGCGTGCGCCCCGCGCATCCGGGCCAGGTCTTCTGGTTCGTCGACGAGGCCGCCGCGCAAAAGGTCCAGTACCCGCGGTCCGAGTTCAAGCTGTAATTAATTACCATTATTGAGAGGGACAGCGTCGGCGGCATCATATAGACTATAATAATAAAGTAGAAGAAGAAAGAACGTCAGCATTGTACTTGTACTCGGCGGGTCCCCTTCGTACGGCCCACATATGCACTTGTGTTATTGCTTTCCCTGGTCGTCGTCCACATGTAATCGTGACAAATCATGGCATTACGACCCCGAGGTCTAGTGCGGACATGTATTACAGCAAATAAAGGAAAAAAGGGAGACAAAGGGGTAACAGGCGGCCTATGACAGGAGGGTCCCGCGGAGAAACAAGGATACGAAGACGGTCGTTAATAAGCCAGAGCGACGGCTCAGCGCTCAGCAATTGCAGCCATAGTTCTGGGACGTCTCCCGGTCGATCTGAATCGGATCCGGGTAGTCGACGTATCTATCGCGCGCAACAATTAGGAGGGCCACAGAAAAGTGTAGCATGGTACGCACAACTGCTCTTCCTGCTCCTGCTGGAGCGCGTTCTTGGCGACAGTCTGGAACGCCTGCTCGACATTGATAGCCTCCTTGGCCGACGTCTCAAAGTAAGGAATGTTTCCCTTGGACTGGCACCACGTCATCGCCCGCTTCTGCGTCACCTAAAAAAAAGGGCGCAAACAAACGCCATTCAGCCACCAGAGAGCGAAGCGAGTAGCAGCGGTGCGTACCTGGCGCTTGTTCTCCTCGACATCGATCTTGTTGCCGAGGACGACAAAGGGGAAGTTCTCGGGGTCGTGTGGGCTCGCCTGGATGAGGAACTCGTCCCGCCACGAGTCGAGCGTCTCAAAGGACTTGGCGCTGTTCACGTCGTACACGAGCACGCAGCAGTCTGCGCCGCGGTAGAAGGCGACGCCGAGCGACTGGAAGCGCTCTTGGCCGGCGGTGTCCCAGAGCTGTGTGTGTGTATGCGCATTAGATTTCAGGGGAGAAGGGAGGATCGGATCATGGGGACGTGTTCACGTAAGCGGAAGGGGGAGCGCTGGTGAGCACGAGTAAAAGGCGGAGCGAGTAAAAGCAAAGACGGACCTGCATGGTGACGAGACGGTCATCGACCATGACCTCCTTCGTGAGGCTGTGACAATGATAGCGTGAGTGAATGAGCGAGGGCCGAGGGTGGAACAGGGGCACGCACAAGTCGGCACCGATAGTGGCCTTGTACTGGTTGCTGAAGCGCTTGTTGACGTATTGGTTCATGAGCGAGGTCTTGCCGACACTGTGAGTCGTTTAGAGAGCATAACAGGGGCACGATGAGATGGGGTATCGATTTGGGGAAAGCGAAGGTGTACGCACCCGCTGTCGCCGAGGATGATAACCTGGGCGATGCGCCACTTTAGCCTGGGGGAGAAGGGAGTGAGAGAGATAGGCGCACCTTGAGGAGTACGCGGCCCATGGTGTGTAGTTAGAGATGTTGGATGTATGCGCTGCTGTGGGCGAGAGGCTGGCGGGAGTCGTGCAGCAGTGGGGTGGCTCTGTCAGGAAAAGGAAATGAGTCGTCGTTGGCTGGGACGTTGTCCTTGTGTTGGCTGCCCGCCTCGGCGCCGTGGCCCGCATTCAGACCCCGCCCGGCCACTGCCGAATCACTGCCCTGTGCTAGCCATTGGGTGAATCTGGAGTAAGGCAGGCGTAAGTGCAAGTGCTATTCGATTTCCTCATATCCACTATAGCTCGGTTCGCGTCTAACACCAGACTCGAAGGGCCACGGACCGACTCGCCCTCCCCTCGGCTGCACTGGGACTGCACGCTCCCCGCTCTCCTCCACGATGGGGGAACCATCATGGCAAGAGCTCCTCCGCCTCCGTCTCACAGAGCGCAATGCGAAGCAGGCCTCCTTCGCATCCATCATCGAGCAGTGTACGTCTTCACATAACCATCCTACTTGAATCGAAATAAATCGTACATGTCATTCAGACCGCAGACTCGCACAGCAGACAAAGCTCCTCAAGGAGCGCAATGCCTCCCTCCTCAAGGCCATGGGCTCCGTACGCGCCAACCCCTCCTCGTCCACCGTCTACGTCCCAGGCACGAACGAAGAGTGAGCATCATCTGCCCACGCTCGATCGACCTTGTCAGATTCTTATTCACCACCACAGCAACCCCGTCCGCGCCGCATACATGGCCTCCCTCGAGTCCCAGATCTCCTCCCTCCGCGACGAGCTCGCCACAGTGTACAAGACCCAGGGCCAGAACGCCCAGCGCCTGCTCGCGATGAACGAGACCCTCCGCGAAAAGGAGGAGGCAGCCCGCCTCGACGCCGAGGCCCTCCGCAAGACCCGCGACGAGGTCGCGACTCTCCGCCGCAAGGTCGACCAGCATAACGAGCTCATGGCCGAGAAGGACCGCACCGCCCAGGTGAGCGTTTCCACTAACACCACCTTGATTATCATCATCGCCGCCCCCTCCCGTTCCCGCCGGCGCGTCGCACGCGCGTCCCTTGCGCGCTTTGCGCACCCTTATGACCCCATCCCAAAAGACATCTTCACCTCCCACCCCTTTCCCTAATCTCATCGCCCTTACCCGGTCCACCACGCGTCTAACACGTGCTTCCCCTACTCCCCTCCTTGTACCATCCCACCACAGGTCCTACACGACGAAATATCCACCCTCCAGCTCGAGCTCGGCCAGATCGAGGACCGCAACCAGACGCTCACAAAGGACAACGCAAAGCTCCTCCAGCGCTGGCTCGACGACAAGCAGGCACAGGCAAACAAGCTCAACGAGGCAAACGACTTTTACGAGGACATGCGCTCCCGCCACCAGGCCGTCGTCAACTGGCGCGACGGCGGCGGCTCCAGCAGCGAGACCTCGGGCGGTGGTGGTGGTGGTGGTGGTGGTGGTGGTGGTGGTGGTGGCGGCGACCCCTCCGACCCACCAGCCGGCTCGGGGTCGGGAAACGCACCGAGGGAGGGGGACCCGACGACAGCGACGACGACGGATGGGCCGCAGTCTCTGTCGGAGGCCAATCTGGAGCAGACACCGAATGGCTAGTCGTCGACGATGCCGACGCCGACGAGGTCGAGAAAGCCTAGCTATCCCAGTAGCCCCCTCCCTAACTTGCCTAATTTCATACCCACACTGTTTTGTATCGCATCTTTCCCTCACAGTAGTTGCTTTCGGACCACACTTTTTCTTTCTCTTTGTTCTTTAAGAATATGATACAGCGGATGAGCAGTGAATTCTAATGCATGTGCAATAGACATGTCAAGACTAGTCATCACCGAGCACAAGTGGAAGAAAACAACAGTTGTGATGGTCAGCTCATCTACCGCAGAGAATAAACAGAGCTGGGAACTGGATAAAATAAAGAAACAAAGAGATAAAGCCTTAGCAGAAACAGAGAGCACGGTTACTGTTAAAGGGAATAAGAAAGAAAAATAGGTGTTAAAGAAGAGAAAATAAAGAGTGTTCTCGGAAGTACAGTGATGTTGCTTCTTCATTCATTTTGAACATTTGAACACGCAGATAGTGGGCAAGGATGGAAAGTTCGAGGGGACAGTTTGTTGACGTTCGCATGGCTACATTGAGTTTGGTGAGACGAAAAAAAGCAATTGCGTGTCATGACTCCCAGAGCTTAGGCAGGACCCTGGCCCTGCCCATTAGCACCCTGCTGGCCAGCAGCCTGCTGACCATAGTAGCCTACATCGCCGTCAGCAAGAAGTAGAATGTAGAGCAGATTAGCACCCACCGCCCCAGTAATTCGAGTAGTAAGAGCTGGGATCTCCGCCAGGCCACTGACCCTGAGCACCCTGAGCAGCAGCAGCAGAGGGATCTACGGCGCCAGGCTGAGTGTTGGCACCAAGTCCCATACCGCCAGCAGCGCCACCCGGCGAGGGCTGCGGCATGCCGGGGCTGCCTGGACCAGCCCCAGGCGCCTGGTTGGGGAAGCCCCCATACCCGCCGAAGCCGTACTGGCCGTACGTATTGGGTGGTTGCGGCATCCCATACATCGGCTATAGTAAGCAAGTGCCGTGAGTTCCCCGTTCATTACCGCCTCGGCCGTTCCTATGGAAGCGACTTTAAAGACAGGAGAATCAGAGAATGATGCTCACCATGTTGCCGTACGGCGCCGCCGTTGCTGTGGGACTCATCGCGGTGGCCTGTCCGTCCGTGCGATCTTTGCCCCAGCTGCACTTGATCGGACGACCGTGGACCATCTGACCCTGCAACTGCACAATGGCCATGGCCGCGTGTTCGTGCGTGTCCAGCTTGACGAACGCGAACCCACGGTCAGCCTGCATGCGGATTTCGGACAGATAGCCGATGGACTGGAAGAGCGGGATGAGGTCGGCCTGAGTGCAGTACGGGACCAAGTTGCCGACGTAGACGGTGGAGTTGTACGAGGGCGTTTGCTGGACGACGGATTCGTACGAGAGCGGGCCACCCTGGAAGTTGATCGGAGCGGGCGCCGTTCCGACGCCGCCGCCGCCACCAGGACGAGGAGCAGGAGCACCAGCACCTACTGCAGGGGCTCCCTGAGTTTTCTGGTTCGCCCAGTTAACACGGATGGCCCGCGAGCCGAGCCATTCGCCGTTCATGGTGGCGATAGCCTGCTCGGCATCGGTTTTATCCCTGAAGGCAAGGAACCCGTAACCACGAGATTTTCCGGAGTTCATGTCCCACATGACGCGTGCGTCCGACATGGTGCCGAACGCGGCGAATGCCTTTGCAAGCACTTCATCGTTGACCTCCGGGCTGAGATCACCGACGAAGACGTGGAAGTGACCAGAAGTGTCCTCCTTGTTCTGTTGGCCCTGGTATGCCCAGTTCACACGAATTTCGGTGTCGAAAATTTTACGCCCATTGAGGGTCTGGAGGGCGGTCTCGGCAGCGCGCATATCAAGGTATTCGACGAAGCCGTAGTTGAGGCCACCATGCTGGTAGTTACGATCCGGAATGATCTTGACATGCTGGACGGGGCCGGCGACAGCAAAAATCTCAGTGAGCATGTATTCGGTGACGCGGGGGCTGAGGTTGCCGACGTAGAGATGAGCTCTCCTCTGTAGAGGACAGGAAAGGAGGGGAAGAGATCAGTCAGGATATGAGGAAAGAATGTTCGGGACATGTGCTTACCGGAGCCTCTGCGGGACCTCCCATATTACCCATAGGATTCATGGCTGAAGATTGGACAGAGAAGAGAGAAAGGGCTATTATGAGATGAGCGCCGGTTGGGATATTAGCTCAGGTGGGCTGGAGAGACTGACCGATGAAAGTGGAGAGGGGTGAGACAAGATATGGATGCCAAGTCCGTCAGACAGGAGACAGAGAGACAGAAATGAGAAAAGAGAAAGAGAGGAAAAGAGAAAAGAGACGAGGAGAACAAGTCAGAGACGCAGCGGAAGAGCGAGCGAGAGACTCAGAGACTCAGAGGACGAACTGGTCCGGCGCCACCACTCCCGCAGAGACATGGGAACCAGCTCACGGATATCGCCGCTTATCAGGCACAGCCACATTCACACGCCCATTAGCACTGCCCACAAATTGGCTTTACTTGAACACTATACTATATACTAGTAATTAATATTACTTGTTTGCAGGCACATTCAACAGCACACCACCCCCGCTGCTCGGGATATAGCTCACGTTGCTGTTCGTCGCAAGGGAGGCCACAATCGCCTTGCTTGCCTCAATCTTGCGCAGTGCCAAGAACGCCTCCCCAGCCTTGTCCAGCGCCTTTGAGATCGTCGAAGCCGCCTCTGCTTCTCCCTCGGCACGGATGACTGCCGCTTGACGCTCTTGCTCCGCCTGCAGATGGTCAGCAAACCATGTGGGCAACCGCTTTAGATGCGTACCTTTTCCACGATAAACTTGGCCCGCTCCGCATCTGGTACGGTCGAGACCAGTCAGCTAAAAGCTCATACAGCACTGACAGTGACGTACCTTGCTGAGCAATTTGCTTGGCTTCGACCGCCTACGACTGCGTTAGTGCCAGACCGCTGTAACTCTTATCAAAACTCATACCTGCGTGAACTCCTATATTCCCACTACTTGTCAACAAAGAATCAAATACATAGTAACGTGCAACTTGCCTTGCCGAACGTCAAATGGGTAATTGAAACATCCTCCAACTTGATGTTGAACTCCCCGGCACGCTGCAACAAATCTGCGCGTATTCTTGACGAAACCTACACACCCCGCGTTATATGCACCGAACGCGTGAGTACACACCACAGTAAAGACGCACCACTTCGCGTTGCGTGATGAGCTCGGCAGCATCGAACTGAGCCACAATGGCCTTCAGAACTTCATTGCCAATGGAAGGGAGCACCCTCTCGTCATAGTCGAGACCAAGGCTCTGGTAAATTTTGGGCAGGTGCTCGGTGTCGGGTCGAGACATGACACGCAGAGTTATTGAGACCATCTGCAAGTCCTTGGACCCAGTCGTAGTAGATATGTTCTTGGGGAAATGTCAGGCCATGACGCGTGTCAGAAAGTGTTGTCCTCTCACTCTAGGCTTGATGCGACAGTCATAAAGGATGGCGCGCTGCAGCCAGGGAACCAAAAAGTGCGTTCCTTCACCAGTAGCCTGTAGGTTATGAGTGTAGAGACCTCTCAAAGATTCCAGATAGGCATACCATGTCCTTGACACCCTGGAACCGGTCAAACATAACTGCGCGGTACCCTCCTGGGACATCGTAAATACTCGCTTGGGCGACTGCAAACGCAACACCGAGTGGGACTATATTGGACTCAGTCAGCTGCATACATATGACGATAATGCACAATCATACCAATGGCCCGCGAAAGAGCATTAGGAAGGGCCATGATTGAAGAGTTCGCAAGTTTAGAAGACGAATGAAGTCAAGGTAGTAGCTGAGGTCACGCCGGCAAAAGGAGCCGACACGCGTAGGAACGGAAGCATAACCAAACATCTCATCAACTGCTCCTATCTATTCCTCTGCCAACATGTCACTTGCACTACTGTTAGCGCTCTTCTCTATGACCAGATCGCCTCGTCTCTCTTTGTCTCCGCTCTCCATCCTAGCAGAGTGACTGCCAAACTGCATCGCACGCTTCTTGCGCGAGCTCGCCTCCTTGAGCCCGAGCCTGTACACCGCCAGCCTCAGCAGTGTCTTATCTCCGAATCCAATTGGCAGTCTGGGGTCAAGCTTCCGGTGCACCGGCAAACTAGCCAGATAGTTGACCACAGACAACGAAAGGAAAGGGTGCCTTGTCTCTTTCCCGTGCGAGGAGATCACGCGATCGTCTCGCCCTAGATTTCGAGTAGGTATTCTGTCGAGTTCAAGCTGGAGCTGTTGTGGCGAGATCAGTCCCTCCGAAACGCAATCTCTGCCACTCTTTGAACTCATACCTCGTCTATAACACCCTGCCAACCTTTATGTGTATAGGCGGTTTGATGCCGCCCATACCCTCCCATCAGCTCATCCGATCCCAGGCCGTTGAGTAAAACTCGGGCTGGACTAGTGTAGTCGATGTATTGGTCCCCTTGGCGCACCCGTCCAACGCCCCTTGCCGCGAAGTAGAGCGCCATGGCAAGACTCTGCGTAACGTCTCTGTAAGCTCCTTCTTTAGAACTCGTGTCTCGCCTACCAGGTCCATCACGGTCTCTCTCGGCCACATCAGTTGCTCGATGGTTGTGCGTGCAGCTTGTGATTCCTACTTGAGTGAGCTCAGCTGCTGTTTAGTAGGCAGCTCTCAGTACGCACAGCATACGGAACGTCAATCTCTACCTGCGGCCCATTGTGAGCATCTAAACACAAAACATAACCAGAAATTTAATGTCGTACAAAGTTCCAAACACGATCAGGACACAATCTTCGCAGCTCCTCGACTTCTTGAAGCCCGGTCACTCGATCGGGTACCAGATAAGACGGGCTTCCTCCCGAAACATCTCCCGTTACATTATTCTGTTTCTTCTTCTTTAATCCCGCCTGGGACCCTCCGACCTTGACTTTTCGAGGATTCTCAAAGGCGACGTTCAGCAAGTCGATGGGTTCGTTCGCCTGAACATGACTGTATAAACGCGTCAGACCCTTCCATGTTCCGATGGGTTGTGTGAAAAGGAAGTTACCGATGCGCAAGGTAAGCAACGACTGTACTGTCGATGCCGCCGCTGAAAAGTACTGCAACTCTGCTTCGTGGCTGATCCGAGCCACCTCTGAAACTTCATGTCACTATATGCTTTCAATAGCAGACTCATAGGAACGTACCCATTTTGAGGTATGCTGCAAACATGAAGCATCACGCTCATGTCTAAATGCTCAATCAGGCCGTTTACGGCCTTGTCAATTTCTTCAGGTATGACATCCTGATCTATTGAGGCAATCTTCGGTATATCATCGCGAGGTATTACTGTGTTGACCCGTTTCGGTACGGCCTATATCAACGGTCAGAGGATCAGAAGGTCATCAAGGCAGCCTGTATCTCACAAACTCCTCTTCTCGTGTAGAATCCTGACGCGAAAGCTGAGAGAAGCATGCTCCCATAGCCTATGATTTCTGAATCAAGCAAAGTCAATCAAGGAGCTCATTAACCTCGTACCTGACCAGATTGGTGACGGCCGAGGTCAAGGCAGTGAAACGACTCCGAGCTGACTTCGACAAGGTCGTACAGTGCATGGTAGCCTGCGGATACCGACGCGAGTATAAGATACGGCTTCTCGGTTGTGGGTGTATGCATTAATAGCGAGCGTCTTCCGAGGGGGTCACGGCCAAAGTAGAGACGCCTGGATCTTGCCTGAGCAACGTTCAATGGCGTCTCAGTATGATCCTATCTCTGTGGTTATGTGCTCACATGAAAATACACAAATGCATATCTTCACACAGACCAAGTCAGAATCTGATAAGAGCACACTGCATCGTTGACGCGACTCACGGGCCTTCAATGGTCCCAAACAACTTGGGTATGTCTTCAGGCGTCGGCAGCACTTCGATCGCCTCGAACAGCCGTACACCGTCGTTTTCGCGCTGATCGATCTACATTATCAAGACGCGCTTTGCAGCATGAGCCATTCATGGTCTACTGAAAGCAACGCGCAAAACTGACGTCTAACCCCTCGAAAACCTAAAATAAATTCTGTGAGATCGAGATCATGAATCCGGCGTAGAAAATCGAAGCTGACCTCTCCGTTCCAGCAAAGAATGTTTTCATCGCGTATGTGGGGTTGCTCGACAGGGTGGTCACCCCGCAAGCGCAGCTCGGACGCGTAAAGCTCAAGCGAGATCGAACAACCGCAAGTCTGCGTGTCATTATGAGGAGAAGTGTGTTTTTGATCGCCATCGGATAGTGTGACGCGCTCGGATCGCTGAGCGTCTGGCCCTGTATATCACACTGAGCTCAGCATCGAGTTTACATTGTCACCTTTCTTACAGCGTACCTCTATGTCCGTTAACAATCCGCAAGCGTGAGCAAAGATCTCCAAGCTCGTTCAGAGTTCTCTGATCGAGAGAGACACCTGGACATGTCCCCAAAACCGAGCAGAAGATGCCGCACATGGTGGTGAAAACAAAGAGCGATCCACTTGCGTTCTCATCAACCTCAGGGGCTAACCGCGTCGCTCCCATAATTACATTCAATGAAAGTACTCGGTGTGTGCTTGCATTTCTGATAGTACATACAACATGATTTTGACTACTTATCGTACTTAACACCACACTGAAGTCTACATGGTGAGGCAACGCGAAGAAAATAAGAAAACAAAGTGCGCTGCATTTAAGCAGAATAGGTACTGGCGGAGACATTGCCTCCACGACCAGTCCAGTTGATGTCTGAAATAGCTGTTATGAACGCTGCTGGTCGTCATGGACGAGTGAACTTACGGATATCCTTGCCGGCCTGGAGCTTGTCGTTCTCCTTGCCAGGGACGACACGGAAGGTGTGGGCACCGAAGTAGTCACGCTGAGGCAAAAGTATGAGAAACAAAATTTACTCGCAAAAATCGGCTGCATTTACCTGTGCCTGGAGGAGGTTAGCAGGGACGACTTCGCTCCTGTAGCCATCGAAGAAGGCGAGGGCAGTGCTGAAGGCAGGCGTAGGGATACCCCAGAGGACGGCCTGAGCAACGACACGCCTCCAGCCAGGTTGGGCCTTGTGGACGGCTGAACGACTGATTAATAAACAAGACCAAATTGATTAAAAGACTCTTACCCTTGTTGAAGAAGTCGTCGAAGAGCAGGGACTCGAGGTTGCCGTTCTTCTGGTAAGCGGAGGTGATGTCACCAAGGAAGACACTCTTGATAATGCAGCCGCCACGCCACATTTGGGCAATACCAGAGTAGTTCAGCTTCCAGTTCAGCTATAGAAACGATGTCTTTATCCAGCCGACACATCAAGTAAGCATATCAATACCCACCTCCTTGGCGGTCTCCCTCATGAGCATAAAGCCCTGAGTGTAGGAGATGATCTTGGAGGCATAAAGAGCCTGCTCAAGATCATCAATGAACTGCTGCTTGTCGCCGCGGAAAGGCTCCTTCTGGGGGCCGGTGATAGCCTTGCTTGCGCGAACACGCTCCTCCTTGATGGAGGACAGGCAACGGGCGAAGACGGCCTCACCAATGAGGGTGACTTGGGAAATACTTAGTAAATTCAACTTTAGCATCTAAATTAGTTACATACCAGGAGTACCTGCGTCGAGAGCAGCGATGGCTGTCCACTTTCCAGTACCCTTCTGGCCAGCCGAGTCGAGGATCTTAGTAACAAGAGGAGTGCCATCATCGTCGTTGAACTTCAAGATGTTAGCAGTGATGTCGATGAGGAAGGAATCGAGGACACCGGTGTTCCACTTGAGGAAGATGTCAGCAATCTCGGTCTCTCGGAGACTGAGACCACGTTTGAGAATGTCGTAGGCTTCAGCGATCAGCTGCATGTCGCCGTACTCGATACCTAAACAGAATTCCGTAAGGTTGGTATAAGCGTTCTGAGGAAATTGTAATAAAAATACGGACCGTTGTGAACCATCTTGACGTAGTGTCCAGAGCCGGTCTGACCGACCCAGTCACAGCAGGGCTCGCCGTTGACCTGAGCAGCAGTGGCCTGGAAGATCTCCTTGATGGCGGGCCACGCAGCGTCCGAACCACCGGGCATCAGCGAAGGACCATAGCGGGCGCCCTCCTCACCACCGGAAACACCGGAGCCGACGAAGAGAAGGCCCTTGGCCTCGAGCTCCTGGGTGCGACGGATTGAGTCGGGGTAGTGGGAGTTACCGCCGTCGATGATGATGTCACCCTTCTCGAGGTGAGGCTCGAGCTGGGAGATGAAAGCATCGACGGCCGGGCCGGCCTTGACGAGGAGAATGATCTTGCGGGGGCGCTTGAGCTTAGAGACAAGTTCCTCAATGGAGTGTGCGCCCTGGACATTGGTGCCTAGAAGGTAGGGCACGGGTTGAATTGTGTTTTAAATTATGTCATCTATGATCTTATCTACCTTTTGCCTCGTTGTTGAGGAAATCGTCGACCTTGCTGGTGGTACGGTTGTAGGCGACAACGTTGAAGCCCTTGTCGTTCATGTTAAGGATCAAGTTTTGACCCTACGGACGGCTTAGAACTGACAGTTGAATCGGGCGGCGAGGAGGGAAACATACCATGACGGCCAGGCCGATGAGGCCGATATCACCACTGTGTACGAAATTATGGTTAGCATGCGTGACGGAAAGGGACAATAAGCAACGTACGTAGGAGTAGACATGCTATGGATGTATGAGAGAGGATAGGGAACGGGATGAAGAGAGGAAAGACGATCGAGTGCAGATTAAGGAGTTCTGGGTGCGGACCGCAATGGCGTGAGATCTCCTATCGATTGACGGAGAATTTCCTCTCATGAGCATATGCACATTATTGAGATGCTGACCAACGTTGGCGTAATAAACAGCAATCCCCTATGAGCTAACGACTTACTCCGTCTATCCGTCATCTGGATTACAGGAACGCTGCTATCCATATGGCCCCCGTGCGGCGCGGCCGTTGGTCTACTAACACCTACCTATGTACCATGCCATCGACCGTCTTTCCCCTTTCACGACCTAGCGTTTACCCACTGGCATCGGTCACTATCGGCCTAGAGGAACGGAGGAGCATCGATCCGGGAGGCCCGTTGATCCATGAACGAACACTCACACACAACCTCGTCCGTGTGCTGAACAACAGCGCTAGTGGGTAAGCCAAAGTGACGCTTGGCCAATAATGATAAGATCGAGAAGGGTTTAGCGAGGTCAGCTTTTCCCACCACCGCGGTACGTGTTAGCAATGTGTTAGAACTTAGCAATCGTTCTTTCTCTCTTGAGATCCTCGTGCGCGCCCAAGCTTCAGCTTCATCCTTCTTCCGTGTTCGTCGACGATACTTTTACCAACGACTTCGCTAAATATACTTGCAAGCCACATTCAGTCGTACTACGGCTCGTGAGCCGGACTAATAGGCATTCTTTGAGCATTATATCCCATCGCAGGCAATAGAGCAAGGATGACTTCCCTCCACAACAGCGCACATCTAGGACTGAACCAGAACCACGACATTATCTGTGAGGGATGGATGCTCAAGAAACGCAGGAAGAAGATGCAGGGTCTGTCACTCACTGTCCCCCGCCCGACCCATCCCGCCTGACGCGTGTGTACATGTGCAGGCTTCGCGAGGCGCTACTTTGTCCTCCACCGCTCAGGGGTCTTGTCCTATTCCTTTGACCCCAAGCACCCTAGCCGCGATGAGATTTTCTTACCCAACGCTGCGGTATCCACTGCTCCTGGTCGGAAAGACATCCATATAGACTCAAACAACGCCACGTTCCATGTCAAATGTCTCTCCGCGGACGATTTCAACACGTGGATGTTCGCGTTCAGGTAAGTGGAACGCACACAACAAAGGTGACGCACAAGTAAAGTGCATCAGGAAATGTATTCCTTCAGAGTCTCGTAAATCAACAATGGGGAGGGCTACCCCTACTCAGCGGGTGGCCCATTCGCAGTCTAACATGGCCGGCGCTATCGTCGAAGCCATGGGGGCAGTATGTGTATTCTCCAAACAAGGCCAGTCGTATTTCACTCAGTTTATATCAGTCAATCGCGGAGCTTGAGCAAGCGATCGGTACGTTGGAGGCCGAAGAGGCGTCCAAGAGAAATCCTGGTTCTCTCAAGTCCAAGGCAGAAAAAGACAAGTACAAAGAGCACACCAAAGACGCATCGATGTTCAGTCTTTTCAAGAAGCGTGCGTGTACTCTCCGATTTCTTTCGGCCTCTCCAGTGACTCCCGTGAAGCTGGAGGACATTCCGAGAGCAACTCCTCGCATCGAGGTCATCCCGAGAATACAACGTTCCTTCATTTCCAACGTATCCAGGAGATTATGGATGCTCTCAAGTCGCAGCAGGCTGATTTACTCAGATCACTGCATGCGCCGCCCCACACGGACAATGCACCGCCCGCTCCTACGCTATTGGCAACGACTCCTGAAGAACGAGGCGACTTCCGCTCACCATCACGCTTCTCTACTCTCGCAGGACGGCAATCAAGACGAATGTCGCGGATGTCGGTATCCACAACTGCCAGCGACGCGGAATGGTTCGATGCTGGCGAAGAGTTTACTCTAGATGAGCCAACCCCTGAAGAGGAGAAAGCAGACGTTGCTGCCGAAGATGATGATGACGATATCCATGATTCCGGCTCGTCGGACGAAGAATGCCACCCCACTCCAACTCGTAGACCAAGTCGGGCCAGCAGGACACCGTCGCAGTTGAGCGCCAAGCATGTCGTTCGTCGGACACAGCTACCATCCGGTCCTGTTGGCGATGAAGGTAGCCTCTTTACGATACTGAAAAAGAACGTTGGCAAGGTGTGATGGGTGACAAGTGTTGATGCTAAAGTCTGACGCTATCTGTTGCTTAGGACTTGTCTACGATTGCGGTCCCGGTTTCATTTAATGAGCCGCTATCGTTGTTACAGCGCATGGCCGAGGAAGTTGAATATCACACTCTTCTCGATCAATGTGCGAAAGCCACCGACCCAGTCGAGCGTATCTGTCATGTCGCCGCGTTCGCTGTTTCAAGTTACGCCCACACCAGATATCGTTCAGGCAGGAAAGGCTTGTATGGCTTCTCATTTCGGTGAAATATCTGCGAATTGACTTGCGTTATATAATTTTAGCAACCCTATGCTGGCGGAGACATTTGAAGATGTGCGGATGAAGTTCATTGCGGAGAAAGTGTCGCACAATCCAGTCATCTTGGCCTATCATGCCGAAGGCGAGGGATGGGAGCTATATGCAACTTCGGCTGGAAAAACAAAGTTTTGGGGTGAGCCAATCTTCTCATGACCTTGCAAGGAGGATTACAAACTTTACTCAGGAAAAAGTCTGGAGATTATACCTCTTGGGGCTACCCATCTCAGGATAAGTGATGCACACTACACTTGGTAAGTGCTTGAGGATAAGAGGTCCAGACGTGCACCGCTTATGAAGCCAATGTATCAGGAACAAGCCATCATCGTTCATGCGGAACCTGATGATGGGCACTAAGTATCTCGAGCACGTCGGCAAAATGACCATCGAGAGCGTCCACGACAAATATAGCTGTGTTCTAGAGTTCAAACAAAGCGGCTACTGGGGCGCATCCAATGAGGTGTCCGGAGTTGTCACGGACGCTCATGGGAAGAAGCTAGCCACGCTAGAGGGAAAGTGGGACGAACAGATCGCGCAAGTGCTCGACTCGTCGCATCTCAAGGTACTGTGGCGAATGACGCCTATGCCGAAGGAGGCGTTGGAGTACTATGGATTCACAGCGTTTGGAATCACGCTGAACGAGATCACGCCTGATATGAATGGATGCTTGCCACCAACTGATTCGAGATTGCGGCCAGATATTCGGGCGTTAGAGGAAGGTGATGGGGACAAGGCAGAGGCGGAGAAGACTAGAGTGGAAGAGGCTCAGAGAGAAAGGAGGAGAGCAAGCAGAGAAAGGCAGCCGAGATGGTTCAGGCAAGACGGCGAGGAGTGGGTGTACACTGGGGGATATTGGGAAACGAGGAGCAGTAGTGGCTGGAAGGAGGCGTCTGTTGAGCCATTGTGGTGACGGGCATTGGACGTGAAGCGCGTCGGATGACATTCGGGCCATCGGCGATTGGCGAGAGAAGCCACGGCCGACGGTTGACTCGATCACTCGGCCCTGGCCCCTAAACTCCGTGGCTGTCATCTAAGGTACACAGTTTTCTACAATAACATATTAGCTACAACGAGCATCTCTTCTCCACTATTCTGTGCTCGCCATGGCCGTCAGCGCCCTGAGTAAGGCTGCCCGGCCAACGCAGCGTCTCCTCCGCCGCGGCCTGGCCACCCACGTCCCTGTTCACAAGGACTGCTCCTCGATCACGCCGCCCTATGAGCAGCTGCTCGAGAAGCTCGCTCTCGTGCGCGAACTGCTCAACAACAGGCCACTCACGCTCGCTGAGAAGATACTTTACAGTCATCTCCATGACCCTGCTAAGAGTCTTGCAGGCGGTGGTAAAATCCGTGGTGAAAGCTACCTCCAGCTCTCCCCGGAGCGCGTCGCGATGCAAGACGCTTCTGCTCAGTACGTCCCTGCCCAGACTCTGCTCATGTGTATGCCTAACCTATGCTTCATGACAGGATGGCACTGTAAGCTTGATCGTTGTCTTGTTATTTTCCAATCCGACATTGTGTCTACAGGCTCCAGTTCATGAGCGCAGGGCTCCCTAGATGCGCCGTCCCGACCAGCATTCACTGCGACCATCTTATCCAAGCGGCAGAAGGCGCAGAGACGGACTTGAAGGTAATGTACATCACAGAAGGCAGAGGATAATTTGTTGAAGTCTTTCCCAGCGTTCTATCGTTTCGAATCAAGAGGTCTTTGACTTCCTGGAGAGTGCTGCCAAGAAGTATGGTATCGAGTTCTGGAAGCCTGGTTCGGGCATCATTCACCAGATTGTCCTTGAGAACTATGCAGCCCCCGGAATGCTAATGTCAGTGACTCCAGCGCTTAAAGTCTCTTGCTTTGGTTGTTTCGGCTGACAAATCAGTTGGCAGGCTCGGAACTGGTGCGCTGTCCCCGCATAGCAGCCTCTCACCTGACTTATACATAAAACAGACTCGCATACTCCTAATGCTGGTGGCCTTGGAATGCTAGCTATCGGTGTTGGAGGCGCTGACGCTGTGGACGCAATGACTGGCACTCCATGGGAGCTCAAAGCGCCTCAGGTTGTCGGTATGTCGGCGCATTCTTCAAAGTATAGATAGTGGCTCACAGCTAGGGTTAGGCATACACCTGACTGGGCAATTGAATGGTTGGGCAACGCCGAAGGATCTCATCCTCCACTTGGCAGGCAAGCTGACTGTCAGGGTTCGTTCGTTTCTATTGCTCCAGCTGTCATGGAGGCTTATATCTGGTGCAGGGAGGAACAGGTCGCATTCTGGAATATTTCGGTCCCGGTGTCGCAAACCAGTCCTGCACGGGTATGTCCACAATCACTCCAGTTGTTTGTCCTAGGTTGCCCATCTTAAATGTTGCTACTGTAAAGGTCTGGCCACTGTTGCGAACATGGGCGCTGAAGTTGGTGCCACGACGTCGACTTTCCAATATACACAGAACATGCGTGAATACCTCATTGCAACGGGTCGTGCGCCGGTCGCACACGCCGCCGACAAGGCTGCTGCAAAAGGCTTCTTGCAAGCTGATGAAAAGGCCGAGTACGACGAGGTCATTGAGATTGTACGCGACGTTTCTCCCACGTCTAGCTCTCTACTCACCCTTGCCCAGGACTTATCGAAACTCGAGCCCATGATTAACGGTCCTTTCACCCCTGATTTGGCTACTCCGCTCTCCAAGTTTGGTTCCTTCGTCAAAGAACAAGGATGGAAAGACGAACTTTCCGCCGGTCTTATTGGTTCTTGCACTAACAGCTCTTACGAGGACATGGTGTGTATCGCAAAACTGAAGAGAGAGTTCTAACCAATATAATACAATCAGACACGTGTGGCAGAGTTGGCACGCCAGGCAAAAGATGCTGGTCTTACCGCCAAGGTACTTGTACATTAGCAACTTTTGAACGGTTGCTACAACTATCTTTCCCTAGGTTCCTTTCCTCTGCACTCCCGGTTCTGAACAAATCCGTGCGACCATGGAGCGTGACGGTGTCACGAGCTGTCTGCAAGACGTTGGTGCTACCGTCTTGGCCAATGCTTGTGGACCATGTATCGGCCAGGCAAGTCTTTGTGTTATGCCCTTTGTCGCTTCTTGGCTGACCTGCCACAGTGGAAGCGCGAGGACTCCAAGAATGAAGAGAATGGTAAGCTTACTAATAACGTCTCTTCAACGTACATTGATCCATGACTGCCTAGCCATATTGACCTCTTTCAACCGGTATGCGTATCGGAGGTTAATGCAACCTGCTTTATCTAACCCGAAATATGCAGGAACTTCAAGTCTCGAAACGACGGAAACCGCCTTACGATGAACTTCCTCGCGTCGCCCACAATCGTGACTGCCATGGCTTTCTCCGGGAAACTCTCATTCAACCCCATGCATGACTCTATCGACCTTCCCTCCGGCAAACCGTTCAAGTTCAGCCCGCCCGTAGGACAGGACCTCCCGTCGCAGGGATTCGCTGCCGGCAACACTGACTACTACCCCAGCCCCACCCCTGAGCCCCAGCCTGAGACGAAGATAATCATTGATCCTAAGTCACAGCGATTGGAGATCCTCGAGCCCTTCACGAGCCACTTCGGAGAGGGCAACGGTAACACGCGTGGAAACGAGCTCCCTCCTCTAAAGGTGCTGATGAGAGTGCGAGGCAAGTGCACGACTGACCATATCTCTGCGGCTGTGAGTGAATGAACACCTTGGTTGCATTGCATGAAGTTTGAATGCGTTCGTTTTTTTCTTCCAGGGACCATGGCTCAAGTACAAGGGGCACTTGACGAATATCTCTGAGAATCTTCGTAAGTCTAAGCTTACACAAGGTCTCCTTATTGCATAGATGACTTACCTGCTTTGCAGTGATCACGGCATGTCGCTTGCTCCACTTGGACAAATTGTGACTGACTTATGCGCAGGCTGTGAATGATGAAAATGGTGAAGTCAATGTTGCATTTGACCATGATCACGATGCCTCTTCGTCATCGACCGATACGATACCTGCTGTCGCCAAGCGCATGAAGGCTCGCGATCAACCCTGGGCTCTGGTAGTCGATGACAATTACGGTGAAGGCAGTGCTCGCGAGCATGCCGCGCTGCAGCCACGATTCTACGGTAAGCTGGATCGCCCTGCAGTCGAAATTTTATCTAACGCGAGATGCAGGCTGCGCTGCCATTGTCGCCCGCTCGTTCGCGCGTATTCACGAGACTAACCTGAAGGCAAGCGCACTCTTCACCTACGCTGCTTTAGTTCGCTAACTCTTCATCCAGAAACAAGGCGTTCTACCTCTCTGGTTCGCTGACAAACGCGACTACGCTCGCATTGGCTCGGGAGATGTCATCGAGACTGTCGGCCTCGCTGAGTTGATCGAGGGTAAGGCTGATGCGACCGTAAGCCTTCGGGTGACGAAGCGTGATGGCGGGGTCTTCACCATACCCACCAAGCATACCATGTCCAGCGACCAACTCGAATGGCTCAAGGCTGGATCCGCTCTTAACTACATTAGATCACAGCTGGCTTAAAAATCCGTAGTATTACTAGCTCCGATTACGGGTATATACAATGTCATTAAATGGCTTTAGTTTAAAGGGTACATTGAATGGTGCCAAGACTTCATGTCGAGGTTAGAGTCTTTCCTAGAGATGTGAGCTCTGAGGCGTTGAGAAGTTCGTGCTCCTTGAGGACAGATAGCGCTCCTTTAGCGAGTGTTATCACTGAGTCGGGCATTCCGGCGAGCTGAGCAACTTTAAGGCCGTGGCTGTCTCTGTTCACGCCCGGTTTCAGACGATGAGAGTACGCGAAATGATTGTCCTAAGCGTGGCTGGTAAGCTTGGGTATACATAGATGAGAAATTGCACTCACGTCGATCTCTTCGATCCCAGTGCAGTGGAAGCTTATACCCTCAAAGGAGCCTCGCCCGTGAGATTTGCCATCGTAGCCGAGAATGTCTGCTAGTTCGTGAAAGTGGGTGGCAAAGAGTGCTCGAGAACGATTGACAGTCAAGAGATGGTGGACGGTCGCAAAGGCAATAGCAAGACCGTCCTTGATGGTAGTGCCTCGACCCACCTCATCCATGATAACCTGGGATATTGTCAAAACAGGCTATAATTGCATGAAAGGATGTAGACCGACCAGGCTACGAGGCGTCGCCCGCCGCAAGATTTCTGCAGTTTCAAGCATCTCGACCATAAAGGTACTCCTATCGCGGAACAGATCGTCCTTAGCCCCAACCCGAGAGAAGAGTCTGTCCACGATACCGACGACGGCCGATTCTGCAGGGACGAATGAACCGGTCTGGGCAAGAAGGGCAATTAATGCTACTTGTCGAAGCACTGTAGATTTTCCCGCCATGTTAGGGCCGGTGATAACCTGCAAACGGGAGGCATCGGTCATTTCGATCGAGTTCGGAGTGAAGACTCGTCCCGCAGCAAGAAGTCCCTTCTCGACTGTGGGGTGTCTACCATCAACGATTTCAAAAGACATGCTAAAACGGGGCTTCAGAGCAAACAAGAGCGCTGACTGGAAGATTACATACTCGTCCGTTACCTGAGGCTTCACGAATCCCATCTCCTTAGCGAGCCTAGCGAAACCAATCGTGACGTCTAGCTCGTCCATGATGCGCGAGTTTCGCCTGATATGCTCTGCACAGGCAGCTACCTATCAGACTGCATTAGGTGCAAAAACTATTTGAAACATGCCGAAAATACCTCGTCGCGTAGCATTCTGAAAGCTTCTTTCTCAGCCTCGGTTATGGCGATACTAATTTCTGTGATTTGGCTTCCGAGTAAAAACCATGGCTTCATGGTCGAGTGAGAAGAGCGGGCTTAAACGAGGAGGGGGACACTTTACCTGGTAGAAGAAAGTGCTCGTCGAAGCGTTCTCCGATAGCTTTTGAAATAGCGGGGAGGCTTTTACTTTGCCGGCATCCTTCTTGTTCCGGCCGACGTGAACATGAAGGCCATAGATAGGGGATGAACGAAGGGTGAGCGAGGGCGCAGCTACATTGTGCGTAAGTCACGATACCGCCTACAGTGCAAGGGCTCACAATACTCAAGTTGCAGCTCCTGTCCCATCTTGACGCGACGGTCGAGCAGGTCGTTGAGGGCTCGATGGAGGCTAGTGAGCGCGGGGGAGAAGCTATCAAGACGTTTAAGCCATTTCGTAAATTTATAGCTTTGGAGAGGCGCACTCGGGGTTGATTGTCCATTTTTGACCTTCAAACTTAGAAGCCGGAGAGTTGACAGAGTCTTTCTTCAACGTATCAGTGTCGGCATCAGGATCATCAGACAGTTGTTCAGCGGTTGGTGGGCTATAGTCATGTAACGCCGCCTTGATGCGATCCGAGAGGTCACTTAGGTCGTTCATGCGAGACACCAAAGTTTCGATACTCTGCCAATCCTTGTCTGTGGAGGCGACCTTCTCCTTTTGTTCCATGTCTCGCTCCAGCTGAATGCGTTCCTGAATCGAATTCCAGGTAGTAACCGTCTTCTGGAGGGCAAGAAGATCACTAGGGTCACCTCGCAGGAGAAGGAACTTTTGAACGATGCGAGATGTATCAGAGAGCTTCATGAGAAGTTGCTTGACGTCCTCGAGAAGGTGTGGGCGTGTGTAGAACAACTCGACCAGCGACTGTCTGGCTTGTATTTCTTTGATTGATGTACTTGGTGAGCCTGGGCTCGATTAGAGCGCAACTACAGTGAAGAAGTAGTTCACTCACAAAGCCATCGTGACAGCAGGCGAGTGCCCCCACTTGTTACTGTTCGCTTAACGACGCTCATGAGGCTTCCACTAGTCCCTCCCTCGCGAGAAGTCTCACGGATTTCCAGAGCCTTGATCGTATGAGAATCAATTTGCATGCGAGTATCAGCGATGTCACGGTTCGGCATAGTCAACGTGGGCATATGTTCCAGTAGGTTGACACGGAGGTAACTTGTGAGAGTACTGATGGCACCGGCTTCTTGAGCAGTGTAGACAGAAGCTTCCCGCTTAGACTCTTCAGAAGCTACGACGTCGTCCACGATGTGGTTTGTAGGTAGAAATGACTCTGAGGCTAGTGCTGAAGTTGGTGCATAAGAGACAAAATGGCCGTCCTCGTCTACAGCTCTCCGTACAGGATGTGAAGAATCCGACCGGAGCGACGAGTCAAGTACGACCTCTCGTGGCCCTATCCTGGTTACTTCGTCTTTGAGCGAATCAGAGGAACAAGTTTTAGTGAAGAATTCTCCAGTTGAAACATCAATCCAAGCAAGTCCCAAAAGGCCATCAACCAACTGGTTTGGACCCGAGGCGCTGTTCACAGCAAGAAGATAGTTGTTCTCGAAGTGGTTCAAAAATGGCTCGTCGATTAATGTGCCAGGAGTGATGACACGCGCGACTCGTCGCTCAAACTCAGGCTTCTGATTGAGCTCCGTCCGTCGAGGGTATTCCTCACACATAGCCACGAACAGCTTGTGTTGTTGAACCAGAACTTTGAGGTACCGTTCCAAGTGTATGATCGGGAAACCACACATGGCGATGTCTTTCTTGTCCCATACTCTGGAAGTTAGCTTTATGTTGAGAAGCCGAGCCACATCCACGGCTTGATCGAAATAGGACTACAAAGACCAATACCTTGAGAAAAAGAGCGCGGGTACAGCGCGACGGCTTACCTCGTAGAATTGTCCGACACGTGTGAGCAAGATGCAATGCGGGAACCGTTCGAGATTCGCCAGAATCTCAGTAGCCAGCATGTTTCGAGGTTGACTAGGCTTATTCGACACAGAGGGTGCTGGCTCATCGGCGTCGTCTTTCATTACTGACTTGCGAGAACGCCTGCGCTTGACAGGGGCCTCGGTTTCTGCGGTGGCATCTGTTATATTGTTGTTATTTCTGAGTGTATATCGCATCAATTGGCATACCTTGCGGAGTATCGGGCTGAGCAGAAGCTTTGACACGCGTACGTGGCTTTCTTTTCCGTATAGGAACATCATCCAAATTTGCAGGGGCATTTCCGGGCTCAATTTGGCCAGTGGCATGAGTAGCTAAGGACGTATTGTTACCCCCGAGGCCCAACGCAATGTCGTATATGATTCACCTGTATCAGATGACTCGGAGCCACCATCTGTGGCGGGCCTGGTTGGAAGCTCAGAGAACTTCTTCTTGGTGACTGTTACACCACGAGTGGACTTTGACGCAGAAGTGGTACCGCGAGACGCGTCCGTTGCGTGAAATTCACGGCGCGTGGCTTGTACAAGGACAGACTGCCGACTAGCGAGTAGTAATACAGAGTGGCGACATCGTAAGGTCGCCGAGAGCATGAACGGTGGGCTGTAATCTCTTGCTGCTACAGCTTGGAACGAAAGAGGGAAGGGAGGGCTGCCTGTGCTATGTCAAGCACAAAGGGGCCTCCGAGCAAGCGTGACATCGCGAAATAGGCGCGAAGCGCGCCAGTGGCGCAAAGCGGCGGAGTTCCAAACATCGTCCCAAGTTTCTCGCCGTTCTGTTTTGCCCTCCCCAAGCACCGCCAACAGTTGAACAAGCTCGCACAAAATGTCTTTCGCCGGCAGACGTAGGGGTAACAAGGTTAAGAAGGGTGTCCAGTTCACCCTCATGGTTGTCGGTACGCACCCTCGCTTTGCCTTCCCCGCATGCATAGGTGCTCAATCGTCGACGCGTTGCCCGACAAACATAGGTGCCTCCGGTACCGGTCGCACTACCTTCGTAAACACCCTTTGCGAGTCCGAGGTTCTCGCCCACAAGGTCTCTGACACCCCGGAGACTGCTCACGTTGAGGAGGGCATCAAGATCAAGCCCGTCAATGTTGGTGGGTAATAGGCAACTGTCCAGAGATACCCCTTCTCACTTTCTTGGTTCCTTCAGAACTCGAGGAAGACGGTGTTCGTATTGCACTGACCATCGTCGACACCCCCGGCTTCGGCGACAACATCGACAACGAGTTTGCGTGAGCCTTCTACCCCGGCTTTTCTGCCGACACGTGTCTAAGCCCAATACCCTAGCTTCCAGGAGATTGTCGGTCATCTCGAGCGCCAGTACGATGATATCCTCGCTGAGGAGTCCCGTATCAAGCGTAACCCTCGCTTCCGGGACAACCGTGTCCATGCCCTTCTCTACTTCATCCCTCCCACTGGCCACTCGTGCGTTCCTTGACAACAAGGCTTAAGCCACATATTGACAACTAAACAGTCTGAGGGAAATGGACATCGAACTCATGAGGCGCTTGTCTCCTCGTGTCAATGTCATCCCCGTCGTTGGGAAGGCCGATTCTTTGACCCCCTCTGAGTTGAAGGGTTTCAAGAAGAGAGTCAGTGGCTTCGTTATCAATGAGTATCGTACACACTAACATTTTACTCTAGATCATGGAGGATATTGAGCACTACGATATCCCCGTGTACAACTTCCCTTATGATGTGGAGGAAGATGACGAAGAGACCATTCAGGACAACAGCGAGCTTCGTGTACGTTCATATATGCGTTGGTGTGGTTTTCCGGCTCATGCTCTCTCTCCAGGCTTTGCTTCCCTTCGCTATCATTGGCTCTGAGGAAGAGGTCGACATTGACGGCAACCCTGTCCGGGCTAGGATATACCCTTGGGGTATTGCCGAGGTCGACAACCCCAAGCACTCTGACTTTAGCCGTCTTAGAAGCGCACTGTTGAAGTCAGGACGTTCTGCGTTTGTCTTGTACACCTACTAACTTTACCACCAGCTCTCACCTGGGCGATCTCAAGTCGTTGACCCACGATGTTTTGTACGAAACGTATCGTACTGAGAAGCTGTCGCGGACGGTTCACTCCGACATTCAGTATGTGCACCTAGTCGAGTTTCTTTTCATAGCACTGATGGAGAAACAGGGACTCGTCCATTCTTCCCGAGGACCTTGCCACGCAAAGTGTGCGTCTCAAGGAAGAGCAGCTCCGCAGGGAGGAGGAGAAGGTATGTGACATGATAGTTCAAAAGAACCGCAATCTTACAGTGGAACTATCAGCTCCGCGAGATCGAACTCAAGGTGCAACGCGAAATCAACGAGAAGCGGCAGGAATTGTTGGCCAAGGAGGAATCTCTCAGGTATGGTGGTGTTACTGCAATAACTTAAGTCCGTTATAATGTTGTGGCATTTAGGAACTTGGAGAGCCGCCTCGCTGCTCAGGGATCTCATGGGGAGCTCAGGGAGTGATCGAAGGGTGGTCAAGGCCGGCACGTTGGGCTTATTGGAAATCTGGTTTTTGCTTATACCCTTTACCTGAGCGCCGGCGATGGTGTTTCTTTCGCTCGTTTCTGGACACACTCGCTCTTCATTTTATTCACTGGATAATGCATTGACGTTCCTTCTTCTAGTTACCCTTTCTCATGGTTCTTATTTTGTCCTGACTGATCATGATAATTTGTGCAAGAAAGTGACTATAAATATAGCAGCAATGGCTGCCATCATAACAGGCATCATTGGAAGTATCTTGCTTGTTCGCTCGCTTGAAATTGTGTCACTGACATGAATTGCGGGATATGTAAGTAATCCGACCGATCTGGTGACTTTCTGAATTGTGCCAAAGGAAGTGGGTCGTCTGGTCTGGTGATACGATGTGTTTTATCGAAGCTTTGGGTACACATTTATGGCTCTTGTGCATAAAAACAGAACAGACCGCCCTATATATGGCTGCACTGCAATACGCCATACTCGGATGTGGCCCACGGTCCATGATGCATGAGACGTTACGACGGTGGATGTGTGCGGGGATCAGTGCATAGCCATCATCGAGAGTGAGATTGAAACGGAGGAAACGCCCGTAAGGTGAGCAACCCTGAGTATGCATGGATCGGGCGACGATCGGAACGGAGAGCACGTTTTGTCGTCCCTGCATTGTCTGCAGCCAAGACAACAGCGGGGCACGTAGTCCGCAGTCGGTCATGACGTTTTACGAGTTGAAAAAAGCGCTCGCTACATGGTAAAATTTGCATGAAGCGCCTGTAATATGAGGACTGCGTTCTAGTAATAGTGAGCGGGCTTTTTCTGAATCCGGGGTTGTTGGAGATACCAAATACGGGTATTCCAACTAATTGTCCGGCCAACACAACACTCCCAGAGAGAGTGTCTTGTCACAGCGTCTTCGTTCTCTCAGCTCCCCCTTGCCTCCCCCGACGGCGTCACAGGCTGCCCGTGTCCGCTGTGCTCGCTCCAGCCACCGTGTCTGTGCACAGTCCTAGCTACAGTCAGCAGCCGACCGAGGTGGACAGACGGTCGATACCCGCCAGCCGATTTGCTCTTGCAGCTCTCGACGCAGGGATCCACCTCTGCTTTTGATCTCTCTCGGCCGACTTCCCTTTTCATCATGGAACTCGATATTAATCCTGGGCCCTTCTCTATCCCCCACCGCGGCCGCCAATGGCACGACCAACAGACACTCAGCCCCCCATCAAACCTCGCATCTTCTCCACCCGCCGTACCCTCCGCCATCTCCCAGCGTCGTCGTTCTGCCGCCGCCCTCTATCCACCAGCTGCCGCTCCTCCCACCCAGCCTCTCCCCGACGTGCCCCCCTTACCCCCCCTCCAATTCACAAACGACCTACCTAACGCATTTTCTAACGAGGACCACCAGCCATCAAGACATCGTTTAGCCACTAACGGCACTCAGAACGGCCTCCAACCCGTCGCAGTACCAAACTCCAGTCCTGCGCCAAACTTTCCTCACGCACGTGTTGCACTCGCAGATAACGCTGGCCTTCCGAGTCTGCAGGTGCCTGACTATTCGGATCCACCTCCGCAATCGATGCTCCATCAAGGTCAGCCTCGCGAAAACGGCGCACACTTGGCGCTCCCTTCACAGGGCGGCTCCAACTCCCGACCACCGTCCTCTCGTCGTGCATTAACCAAGGCCTTGGAACTTGCAAGAGAGGCCGTTCAGCTCGATTCCACCAACGATGACCCTTACGCTGCCGTCGTCGCGTACGGCCGGAGCGTCGCCCTCTTGAGCGAGGTCATGGAAAGAGTCAGGAGAGGAGAGGATAGTACCGAAGCTGGTGGTAGGCGTCGAGGTGGCCGGAGAAGGAGTGTTATGGCTCAAGAAGAGGAAGTCAGACGGCTAAAGTCGATAGTAAGTCACAGTGCTAAAGCCTCCATTATTTTGCTTATCGTCCTCAACCGTTCAGCACGATACTTATGCTGACCGCATGAACATCTTGAGTCTGATCTATAGCATTCCTCCCATCCCACATTCACCTTCGTCCGTTCGAACGTCTACTATCTCTGTTTCCACAACATCTACTCAACCGCCATCACCTGCAAATTTCTCAGACACCCCCATGTCATATCATTTCAGCCTAGAGCATAGTCAAGATGACCCTCAGCATGATCTTCTTGACGAATATCTGCCGACCGATGACCATGGCGATGCACACGCAATGGGTTCCACTATGTTTGGTCTTGAGCCTCACTACTCGTCAGAGGACGAAAACGCCTCCCATCCATACGCCGCGTTTGCAGACCCAGGGTCTCCCGAACCCGTCAATCAGCCTATCGTCCCTCCCGTTCCACCCCGCAGCGCAACACTCACCCCTCGGACGGCAGCAGCTGCTTCATCCCGGCCTCGAGCCATGTCCAATCTGCCACCCCCACCCCCGCCTCCTTCTTCATCCCCACCTCCCCCGCCTGATATGCAACCTATCAATGCACCACCTAGCGCCAGCCAACCGACCAAGTATCTGGAAGTTGGACGTCCTCGAGGAGGTTCGGTCACCACCCACAGAAAGACAAACTCTGGCAGCAAGCTCACTTCCGTCACGGAAGAGCCGGTAAAGGATGGTAGCGCACATGCCTCGGAAGATCAAATGAACGGACAGGACGTTCTAGCTACTCTTCCACGTCGACCAGAAACGCCACGTACCGCGATACGCGATACCCATCCTTTGCCTCCTGTACCATCCCTTCCATCCTCTAACGCGGCAGGTGGACCCTTTGCCGGTGTAGATGGTGCACAATACGTCTCACGTACCCGTGGAAGCTCGATGGCGATCTCGAACCAACAACTCGTAAATAACACGATCAGCCAAGCCTCTATCATGCAGCGACGTAATAAAACTTCTGCACCACCATCAACTACACACACATCAGGTTCGTCTCCTACAGACACTGTTCCGCCACAATTCGGTCTCCAGAATGTGAGGTCCAATGGCTCATCCTCGCCGCACGGTGGTACGTCTTATGGCGGTCGGAGTCGAGCCCTATCTCAGCCTGGCCACCGTCCAGCGATTGTGAACGGCAGTGTTTCATTTGACTCTCAGCGACCTGTCCCCCACACAAGCATATCGGGCGGACGCAAGTCTTCGATTGCCTCGTCTAAGCTCAACCCACTAACAGGGCAGCCACAGCTCTTCATCCAGACTGATCTGTCATCACCTTTGCCTCCGACTGCCCTCGTACCCCCGCCGGCGATATTCGCCAATAACTTGCCTACCACTCCTACTTCGCCACTACCTCCTCAGCCTCCCTCAGACATCCAGCGGAAGCCTTATCACATGATGGACCTTCTTGCTGGAACGATGACCAACAAGAGTGGAGGCTATATCACGCGCCGGCTTCATGTTCCCCAGGAAGTGTGGTCGCAGGGAGGGGCGAAGCTCGCTAACGTACCGGAGAAAGTCAGGGTCGTCGAGGTACTATGTTCTGCGTTAGAAGAGATGCAGCAATGTAGCGCGGAGTCCTTTGGTGCGGGCAACGTGTGCAGTGGTCTCGCGCTGGGCATCGGCAGCGTCGGCCCGAAAGAGGCTGAGCTGTGGGTAGCGAAGCTGGACGAGCTCGGGCAGGTCTGTGATAGCGTCGTGGCGAGCTTTGGGAAGAAGCTCGGCGTCGGAGAAGGGTTTGTGATTAAGAAGAGCGGGGTGGTGCGTTATTTATATGCAGCCTTCGCGCGCGCGCGTATAATAGCCGGTTTATTGACGACGCGCGTTGTATAGGTCACCTCGTGGGGCGGGAAGTTAACGCGGCAATTTGACAAATTTACGAACGGCAAAAAGTGTGTTGCTCATTTTTGCATTCAATTATGATATTGTGTTGACTATGGGCTTCTTAGCCTTGATTCTCCTGTGGCATATGTAGCTGGACTGACCCGTCTGTTCCGGAATGTACAACTACTTGACGAGCACACAAAGGCGATGCTGTCGACGCCCATCGCCCCCATATATGCCGCCTTCCCCCCGGAGCTGCGGAACGCGGCGGAGGTGAAGCTGAAGAGAATATCCGAGTTCTTCGCGAGCGTTGTCTTGACATTCGTCATCCGGGATCTTGCTCAGCTACTGGACAAGTACGCCAAGCAATGCGAAAAATGGCTCGCCGAGTGAGCCGTTTGTTTTTTGGGCAATGTGTAGAGAAAGATATTATTTTATTGTATTCTATCCTCGGAACTTACTTGGCCGGAGCCCTCTCCCTCCCTCCCTCCTCTCTCGCCCTCTTTTTACCATACTGGCCTGTTCAACTCATCAAGGTGGTTGTTTGCTGGCCAGCCATATCCCCCTCCTTCGGACTTCGCTGCTCACGCCTTTTTTGCGTAATCACAGTTTACTCCTGCATATACTAGCTACCTCACATTTTGCGTAGGTCACGATACTGAATGTAAGATAATGTTTGCTTCATGGTTTGACATAGAGATTGGGTTGTAGTGAAGAATACAGTTTGGTGAACACACAACAAGAAAGTGGACTCGCGGATCGGACATGAATACAGCTAGTGCAAGCTCTGTACAGGGGCTAGCATCGCATTGTCTAGCTCAGGACTTGGTGTCGGTGGCCTGCCTCGTAGACGGGAGATGACGCTTAATCTTCGAGCTAACGGATGATGCATGAGCAATGGGCCAACGGACGCGAGACATGCGGTAGGCGGCGGCGCGCGCTGAACTCACTGTACTCGAGCCGGACGTGTCCGTCTGGGTTCTCTTCGTCGGAGTCGACTAATGGGTCGGAAGAAAGCGCGACATGCCACGCTTCTGTGATCGTCGCATCATGTTTGAAAACGGGATATTAGTTCTCTCAGTGTTCCGTTTCTGCGACCCGGTCTCGTAATAGTGGTCACTCACGCTGCAGCATCGAGCGCGGTGGTCCTGGGTCCCGCATGCTCGGTCGGTTCGTATTCGGATTTGGCTGGTTGTGGTCCCGGTCACGATCATGAGAGCCTGAGGTGCTCAGCCGCTGCGGACGCGGGTATTGGTGCGCTTCGGTATGGGAGGTCCGGGCTCGATGGCCGTGGTGCGGCTCCGGTGCGTGCGCGGGATGTCCATGTCCGTGCCCAGGCGGGTACGCGCGGGTCACGTTGCTGAACAATGGTTGCGGTTGCGAGTGGGGATGGGGATGGGGATGATGGACCGTCGGAACTGGGGCGGTGCTGCTCTGGTCAGCAGCGGGAACATTCACTTGCGGGGGAGCAGCTGGACAGTGTGCACTTACGCTCTGGCCGGGCGTGCGCCGTGTCTGCCGCGGGGGGAGCGATGATCATCTCGTTCTCGTGCATACTGTGCGTTGGCTGCGTCGTCGCCGCTTTGCGCTTTCTGCCCCGCTGGCTGGTGCTGCTGCCGCCGGGAGCTCGGTGAGGCTTACCGGCGGTGCCCCCCGACGAGCCGCTCTTTGCCTTGGCTGGTGCGCTGGACATGGATGGGGCTTTGTATGCACGCTTTGGCTGTAGGCCTGCCGACGTGCTCGTTGAAGGCGTGCTCACGGTGAGCGCGTGTCTGAGACGTGAGGCGCCTGGAGGCACTGGGTGTGCTTTAACCGGGGGCGGATGTATTGTTCTCGATCAAGTAGCTGTCAGATGCCGCTTGCAACACCCGTCGCCCTTGTTATCAACTATGACCTCAGCGTCTTTCACAGTAGCTTTTGTAAGTACTCTGCTGATATACTATAGGCGGACGTCGACTCCGAGCTTCAGACTGCAGAACACATAGCCATCGTTGGCTAGGTGAGATATGCAACGTTGACGCCTTTGTACTCCGGACCCGTAATGTGCATTGTGCCCGTGCCCGAGACACGCCAAGTTAATTGGCCTCCGAGTTTGAAGAGATGTCTCAAATCAACTTAAGAGCAGCGCAACACGCGAACCACTCGCACGGAACCAATCTGTCTCCTCGGTGGAACTCGTTCTGACCTGTGCCCTGAACAGATCCTGGGCTGTGCCATCGTGCAACGCAGTGGACGGGCGCTGCTTTCCCAAATATACCCGTGGGTCGACGTCGCCGCCGCCTCCTGCGCTCTCGTCTGCTCCATGTATACATAGAGCACCTCGCCGTCTCCTCTTTCCTTCCCTTTACTTTTCGTTTCGCGAGCTTGACGCTCGGCGTTGAGGGCTATGCGGGTCATCCTCAACTGCCTTTTCTTTATCTTTCCTTATTATGCTTTATTCTACACCCTGGTGGTTATAATCGGTTCTTGTCATCAGTTCCCAGTGGCCTATGCTGCTAGTATAGGTGTCAGGGACACCTACGGTAAGTCTATACGCCTATATACTTCCCTGGCTTGTCTTGCTGACACTTCTTAGCTTTGGACTGGGCTGAGGGATTGCCAGAATCATGTGTGGAACTTCTTGCGGAGGATGGTGTTTACGGTACGTCACCTATTTGAACCGCCAAACCTGACATTCATGACATCCTGCAGACCGTAGCGGTGACGCCGACCTCATCCCAATATCCTGTGGTGGTGATGTTGGTATGTATCCGCTCTCTGTGACACCCCGCAATGCCTGATCGCGTCCGTCCGCAGAACCGACCAGCTCGGGTCAATCTGGTGCAGCGACATCGCCCTTCGTGCCTCGGGGGCCTGCGACGGAGAGTTCAGCGGCATTCGAGGACTCCCTTCGTCATAGGCGTCCGCCTGCCCCGGTCCCGACGTCGACGCCGATTATCATCTCCGTCCTTCCTGTCCCTATACCCTTCCTCACGTTCACCTTTACCGCCCCAATTCCATTGTTTCCGAGCTCTACAGCGACTTCTTCGAGTCCTGCTACGACCACGAGCTCGATCACCTCGTCTGTCACCACCAGTGCATCGACAACATCCAGCACGTCCACGTCGTCCAGTACGTCGACGACTTCGACGGTATCTACGACAACAACAACCTCTCCGACAACGACACTCTCTAGCCCCTCGAGCACCACCGCTTCCACCACATCCACGTCCCCGGCATCATCAAGCACTCCCGAGAGTCTCTCCAGCGGTTCAAAGTTATCGGGCACTCTAATAGCCGTAATCACCATGCTGTCCTTCCTCGGCATACTCTCTCTCGCCCTGGGCATCATCGTCCTGCTCCGAACGCGCAAACGCCGCCTCGCCGCCATCCAGCGCATGCCCGACGTCGAAAGCCGAGGTCAACCTCAGACCCAGGCCCAGGCTCAGCTCAGCACCACCAGCGACTACACGCACACGAGGATGTCGAGCGCCGCGCACACGTACCTCGGCTCGCGCTTCTCGGTGACCACGATCGCCTCGGACGAGTCCGCCCCGACGCCCGAGATGAGCGTCGTCGAGCCCAGCCGATACTATGCTACGATGTTCTCGGGCCGGCGGTCGCTTGGGCCTTCTCTCCCGAACCCGTACGATGGCCGGGAGAGTGCGCATCAGGCTGGTTCGCGAAGCGATTCACGTTAACGGATAGTATAAGTTAGTGCTGTTGTACTGTTGTAAATAGATCCATTCGGACACCGCCTGTACAAACTCGAGTCTGGATAACAGTGCTTACAGTATACGTAGTAGAGGATTAATGGAGACATCGGGGATATACTGCAAGGCCATGATAAAGGGCCGCGGGTTTCGCGTTTAGTACCTAGGGGGTGTGTGGTAAAATGATAATGGTAGTGTAAGATCCAGAGAAGTGCGAATGGTATATATAGACAGCAAAAGGTAACGTAATAGCAATGCGGGGGTGAAGTGGAGGGAATCGTGGGGTAACCATAGTGAGAGATGTTGGAGATGTTGAAGGTATGCCAATATACACAAATAAAAATGACCGTGTAGGAACCAATGAAATAAAGAGAGACATAAAATAGAATTTTACCAGAACTCCCTGATGCGTTCCAGTACCTCGACGACGACCGAGCTTTTGTACATCAGAGAGTGGTCTGCGCCCTTGACGACCTTGACGGAGCACCGCTCGGCCGTCATGGTGCGCTCCATCCACCGCACCGCGTTTTCCGCGATCTTCTCGTCCCGGTCACCGTACCACATATGAACGTGGTGAGGATAGTCGGTGTACGAGAACCCCCACGGTCGGTTGTCGTGGTTGAGCACCTGCAGAAGATCGCTGTGCGTTCCTTTGGAGGCCTCTGCATGAGATGCCGCAATGAGAGCGCTTCCAAGGGCGGCCTGGAATGATATCGATGGTATAGGTGGGCTGATAGAGGGCGAAGAGAATGTGCTTGGAGGCGGGGAGGCGGGGAGACTCATCGACTGGGAATATTTACGCGAGCTAGCGGCGCTGAAAGATACAGACCTGCGACCACCATCCCGAGGGTTATTTGGCGGTCGGTGCTCAATTACTTTGTCTGACTTGGTGTGGTTTAATGAGGGGAACGCCACCGCGGATTTGTCGGCCTTGTTAGGTTCCCAGTCGATTTCGCCGAGACCTAGTCCGTCGAAAGCGCTAGGCTGAGGAAGCAGGGGGCTAACAAGATCCGCCTTTTTCATAGTTCCTGGTGCCGAGGATGAAGATGCCTTTGACTTTAGAGACCCCATTGATCGCAGGTTTTTTAACTTTCTGCCGACAGTAGGAGGGGGCGACTCCAGTGCGGGCGAAGATGGCTGGGAAGGCGGCTTTCCAGGAGACTTGCAGACCTTCAATTTGCCCAAGAAGCTACGTTTCGGTTTGGGCTGTTTCGGAGGACAAGCACCTAACGTACTCTGGCTCCCAAAGCGACCGTCAAAGTCACGAAGATCATCGTAGTCACTGAATGCGCTCGAGGTACTGACCCGTGGCTTGATATCATCAGAATCCTGTTCATTATTCCCATAGCTCATATCACGATGCAGGGACGGCGGGTCTTTCGCCGACTTTGAGGGTTGCGTCGTCGGTGACTTTCTGACTGTGTAGCCAATGCCTTTGTTATACGCAATAGTAGGAGGCTTGCCGATCATCCAAGCCTGAATCTTCCACTCCGCGGCCTGAGCGGTCTTCAATATACCATTGGGCACATATTTCAACCACTTATAACCACCTTAACGTACATGATATAAGTCAGTACCGTTGGCGACCAGAAACCAAGCCGACCTGACCTTCACCGCCACCCACCCAGGGGGCCAACAGACAAATGTCTCCACGAATACGCTCAGGGACACGATTTGCGAAGGAGAGTGCGTAGGGCGCTCCAGCCGAATGAGCCATGATGCTGCAGTCGTATATACCGAGAATGTCAAGAACTTCTTCAACTGCCGACGCCCATTCTGGTACTCCTCTGGACGATCTCAAAGAAGGTACGTCAGTTCGACCCAATCCCCACCTAGATCAGCAAGTTAGAGCCTAGCTCATCCCCAAGAAACCACGTACTTGCCTATCAATGGCGATAAGGCGAAGTCCCAGGCAATCGGCCATCTCGTCGTATAAACCAGTAACATGCCTCACGCAGCCTAGGCCTAGGAAGACAACGACCGGAAAGCCATTGGGGTCACCCATATCAGACAAACTGACTTGTAGAGGGTGATCTGGCGAAGCATGGGGACCTCTATGCAGTTTGAGGATGGTGGTGAGACGTGGCGAACGCAGATACTCTGCTATAGCCTGAGAGGCATCGACTGGATTTTCTTTGGGGGCCTCGGTAGAGTGCAATGACGTCCTGAGTGAAGCCGTAGAGCTCCCCTGTGAGTAATCATCCATGACAGCACCAGAACCATAAGGTCGGGAAGTCGAGTCCTCGGGAGTAGTTTGGAGTGAAGGAGGGTCGGGGAACGAGCGATCGCGAGGGGAGTTGAAGTTTTGTGAGCGCTTGTGTGAGCGAAGCGATCGACGGACTTCGTCAGCTATGCTGTCAATAGATGACCGAGTGAGCATCTCCGCTTCCTCGCCTGGAGTCAGGGGCTCGGGCTCTGACTCATCGTCCTCTACAACAGAAGGGGGAGACCTGGAGAAATGTTGATGGTCTGAACGAGTGGTGGATGAGTGTGACCATTGGCTAGGTGGTGCATGGGCTCGAACAATCTCAGATATCGAAGGAACAACACTCCGGTTGCTCCTGCTACTATGCTGCGAAGGAGCAACTGAATGTACGTCTGAATCGGTAGAACGCTTATGCCGTTCACGGGTCCGCGGTTCAGTGATAGACGCATGTGCATGACCGTATGCGGGCATCTTTTTCGCTGATCGTTGGTAGATCTTCCGCGAGGAACCACGAGAAGGTCTGCGAGGAGTATCGTCATCGTCATCCTCGTCAGAGTCTTCTCGACGGCCTTTGCCCTTGCCTAGGACAATCCCGGGGGGAGGTGTGGGCAGCGGAGGGTGATATGCGGGGTGGTGACTAGGAGCACCGAGCCGAGAACCCAAGTAGCTACGAGAGAAACAGCTTTCTGCTGAGAATACACCATTCATTCCATCCACCATCGCGTCCATGGCCTCTACACCCGCGACTGGAGCACTCACAACAGCTGGAAAATGATCGAACGAATATTGCCGTATTGACGAGCTATCGATAGGTGTCTGCGGAGGTGTATCGAGCAGGCTGGAAGCGCCGGAGAATCGTAGGGGTGGGATGGACGAGTCGGCATGGGAGGACCGGGTGGAAGGACCCGTCCTTGTTCGGGAGCGCGTATGTTTCTCGAGGAAATCTGTGTCCCTGAGGAATGAGGCACTGTCTGACGTCGGGAACGTATACAAGGTGGGCGTATGGTCCTTTGGCTCTGTGAGGTCTTCTAGACGCCACGAAGATGGAGATGGAGGGCTGTTATGAGAGGGCGAACGGGAGGTGGCCTTTGGGCGAGGGTCCGTCTTTGGACGAGGGTGGGCCTCAAAATAGCTTCCCTTCTTTACGTTCATGGTGGGCGCACCGGCCCTGTCGCTGGACTGCCTAAGTGAATGTTTGTCATGGCTGTGGGAACTGCTTGCGGAGGGTCGTGTCGAACGAGAGCGCTCTGCCACTAATGGGGCGGAGGACATAGAGTCGGTATAGAGCGGTGGGGGGTAGTGTTGCTTGAAAGCAGGGGGTATATACCGGGGTAGAGAGCGTCAAAAGGAGGGACGACGTGGTGCGCGTCGCGGGCGCAGGTGAGGGATGGCGGTCAACTGCAGAAGCGAACGCACGGCGGCTACTCAGTCGCGTATGTTCATTGGTTCGCGGCGGATCACCACTCCATTTATTCAATTGAATAATGATGGAAAATGAAATAACGGAGACAAATCTGGCCGGAATCCTGGGGCATCATACCCTTATCTGTTTCCCACCCCTAGCTCCGGTGTTCCTAGAATAGACATAGACATTTGCATCTCTGCCACGGCCCACTAGTGCATCTTCCTCCTGGGACCTGCAGAGATACGCAAATGAGTAACATTATGCTTATCCAGAGCTCAACCGCGTCCTTTTTTGCGGCCTCCGTATTCTTATAAATCACCGCCCCGACTTTCCTGTCCTTCTTAACCTTGCTCAAATGAACTTGCTATCTCTCACATGCTCGTCGCCTGCTCTTCCATCCACCTCGAGTGCCATGCATGACCAGACCGATAAGCCTTCTGCCACCAGTAAGACGGAGGATGTCTTCGTGGAGGTGGAAACTCACCAGATTCACTACAAGACACTCAGCTGGCAGGTAAGCTACGCTCATCACGGTGGTCTGCTCTACGCCTACTGCTTACTCACCCTGTGGTTTATTGGTTTGCCTAGCTTCTTGCTTTCCTCATGATAGCAGAAATTGTCAGCAACGGCATGTTGTCTCTCCCAAGTACCCTAGCTATCGTGGGTGAGTCGAGCTGCATTTGCTTGATAGTGTTAGTAACTCACGGAATTAATTGGAATGGCGTGGTTGAGGGATTGTACCTGCCGTGATCGTTCAAACGTTCCTAGGAATTTTTGCTCTGTACACTGCAAAATTACTGATAGACTTCAAGCTAAACCACCCTGAAGTGCATAACATGGGTATGTCTGGACACCTTGAGACGCGCATATACTCTGGACAATAGCTCCATAGGTGATGCTGGTCTTATCATATTCGGTCCATTGGGGCGCGAAGTGCTGTCACTTGGAACAGTAGTTTTTGCTGTTTTTGCGGCGGTAAGAAACAGTGATGCTATCTGTTCTACGCCCGGACTGAGAGGATGATTCCAGGGGTCCGAGTTACTGTCTGGGCAGCAGGCCCTTTCGACATTATCAGACAAAGGTCTATGCAGTGTCTATTTTGTCTTGATCATGGCTGCAGTGTCCTTCGTCGTAGCGCTTCCCAGGACTCTTGATGGGCTCAGTTGGCTGGGGATGCTCAGTGCGATCCTCATTGCACTCACTGGCGTCTTGGCAATGATTGGCGCTGGCCTCAATCCTGTGGAAGGCCGCGTCATAAACGTGACCATATCTGCTAGTTTCTACGAGGCGTTTTTGGCTATCACCAACCCTGTGAGTAGAGTCGATATAAGTCTGAGGAGGTTCAAATTTGATGGCCTTTAGGTATTCTCGTATGCGGGTGAGCAGATCCCGCTTTGATCAGGGCACGAAGCTCAGAGTAGCCAGGACATTTCATGTATGTTTGGCTGCAAGTAATACTTTGATAGTCCGGCGTTTCTCAAGGCACGCATAGGTTCTTCATCTTGATATCGGAGATGAAAGAGCCTCGAGACGCAATGAAGGTATGACTAGTATACTTATGCATGGAAGTTGCATGCTTTAACGTTCAATCAGGCGGCATGGTGCCTACAGACATTTGCCACCATATTCTACGTGGTATTCAGCGTAGTTCTCTATGTTTACATTGGAAACACAGTTCAATCTCCAGCTCTCTTCTCGTTACCGCCTATATGGGCGAAAGTCACCTTTGGCGTGGCCCTTGGTAACTTCATCTTGTAAGTCTAAGAAGTCTCAACTCGCATCCTCATTGAATCCAGTCCAGTTCAGCAGCAATTTGCTCCCATACCGCAGCAAAGCTGGTGTTCATACGGCTGTTCCGCCACTCTCACCATCTGTACTCGCATACGCTACTTGGATGGGGCGTGTGGACCCTCCTGTGCCTCGCTGCGATCGTCGCTGCCTTCATCTTGGCCGTAGCTGTCCCCGTATTTTCCTACCTCATAGGCATCGCAGCCTCCCTATTCGCAGCTTGGTACACCTATGGCATTGCGGGTGCCTTTTGGCTTCACGACACTTACCACATTGAAGGTGGTTTTGCGGCACTTAGAAGACGTCCGTTAGGTACTGCACTTGCTTCCTCGACCGTATTGGCGGGTGCCTTCATCTGCGTGGCTGGAACGTACGTCAGCATCAAGGTATGCTAGCTGTAACTTTTTATGTCAGAGCCCTGACAGAGTCGTGGTCACCGGACCATGGCTGTTCTGCAGCTGATTGTCGAAGCTTATGCCGACGGCGAGATTACCAAACCTTTCGCGTGCTAGAGATAAGCAGTACTTACACTTATATATGTACATGCTACATACATACTGCAAGCGTGCATGCTTCCGTTTGGTTACCCTCCGAGACAACACCGGGCAGGCACTTCGAAGTTCGCGTGTATAGAGTTACGTCACATATGGGATTGAGACACGAACGGGCCCGAGAGCCGCTTGCGGCATCACTCCCTCGTGAGGCGTGTCTTCGACGCGTCCACAGTTGACGTTTATAAACAGCATGTTAAAGTGCGGGCCCCCAAGGCTCCTCTTCCCTACTTCCCCCCGCTTGTAGCATGGGCGCCTCCCAGAACAGTGACCTGCACGAACTGAAGATCACAGAACGTCCACCAAGAACTTGGACACAGACGCTCAATGCCATATGCGCTGGCCTGGTGTTCGTCACGAGCGCCGTGCTCATCAACTCTTTCCAGCTTGTGGTCCTGCTCCCTTTGCGAGTCATCCCATTACAAGCGACGCAGAACCTCTATGACGAGGGAGTCAGATATTCGAAAGGCGCTTTCGCCTCGTTGATCAGTGAGTGCTGCCCCCGAGCTAATCGTGTGACCGTCGGCCGTTGAAACCCGCATCCTCCCCTAGATCTGATGAACCAGTGGTTTGCGCCTACACAGCTCAAGATCACGTTTGAGCGCGAAGGGCAAGGCAAGGTCTCCGAGGAGGACATTGAGCGATTCGTGGAGCGTGATGGGTCCGGGAAGATATCTTTCTTGAGGCTCCCGCAGAAGTCCGTAATAACCTCAAATCATCAAGTGCGTCTGCTAGAGAAGACTATTTCCTGAAGTGTACTGACGCATAACTTCCCAACACAAGGTATACAGTGACTGGTGGTATATCTGGGGTCTCACTTATTATATGGGAACACATAAGGATGTCTTCATTGTCTTGAAGAAGAGTCTCAAGTGGGTGCCCATCATAGGACCGGTAGGCCCCGCCTCTTTCACCGCATCAGACGCATCTGGAACTGTTTTCAGGGAATGCAGATATTCAGATTCATCTTCCTTGCACGGTCCTGGGCACACGACAAGTTGATTTTGTCCAGGAAGTTGGCCAAGCTAGGCAGACAGGCCGAGCTACAGGACAAACCATTCACTTTCATCCTTTTCCCAGAGGGAACGCTGGTTAGCAAGGACACCAAGCCTATATCGAAGAAGTATGCGGAAAAGATCGGCATTGTGAGCATTTATAACTATTTCTTCGAGCGAAGCATGTTTATGTTGTGGTACCAGTCGGATTTATCCAACCTCTTGCTGCCTCGATCTACCGGGCTTCTCTACAGCTTGCGTTCTTTGGCACCCCGGATGCCTAGCCTCAAACTCATTGATATTACAATGGTTTATCCTGGTGAGTTGACCAACGAGTTGCGAACACGCATCTCTTAATTCGTTGCAAGGTGTCCCTCCCATGGGCTACGGGCAGTCATGGTACACATTACGCTCAATATTCTGTGATCGTGTTCCACCGCCAGTGGTGAACATGCACATCCGTATATTTGACGTTTCGCAGGAAGTCCCTATCGGAGACATAAGCGGCACGAATCCAAAGACAATACCAAATGGTAGTGCTCGCGACACGGTGGAGATTGATGTTCCCGAATATGAAAGGGAGGCGTTCGACCTCTGGCTGCGGAAGCTGTGGACAGATAAGGACGAATTCATCACGAAATTCCATGCGACTGAGTCTGACGTTCTCGCTCGACGGGCTACGATTGATATCCCACTGGCACTGAAAAGCGATCGGGAAATACCCAATGCTTTCTGCTTTTTCGTACCTACGGTTGCTGTATTTTTGTGGGCAAAGCTGGCGGGACTTGTATGGCATTGATATGTTATTGCATTGTTGTAGTTGTGCAGCGTAATGTAGTGTAGTGTAATGCATAGTGGTGATGAAGCATGTGTGATTAGATGGAATGAGTGAATATGTGGTGATTAGAACGTCTCGGGCTGCGAAGCCTGCAGGCGCGCTCGCTGGTCTTGAATAGTCTTGGTCATGAAAATGCTGGCGTCGAGGAATCTGTCGACGCAGTTGGCTAAGCAGCTGGCTTCGCCTCGAGAGAAGCTGTTCCCGGGAGTACCCGTAACACACCTAAGTAGAAAGGCTGGTGAGCTGAAGGTGAACCTAAATGAGCGGGCGAACATACTTGTCCCAGCACATGCTGGTCATGTTCTGCACGGTGGAGTTGTAGCGAGACTGCGCCTGCTCCCTCTCAATGAAGGTCTGGAGCTCTTTCTAAAAAAAGGTAAGTATGGGTAGATGATGCAGGTTGGGAAGCGGACAAACCCTGGTCGGTTCGTCGAAGTTGAGGTTGTCCATGGCGGTTATGTGCAAATGCGTGCGAGGGGCAGTTTTTTTCGCGGCGGGCGTTTGACAGGATGGGAAGGAGGCGCGCCTGTTGTCTGGTTCGCACGACAGAATGACAGGCGGATAGAGTCCGCGAAGGTTGATCGGCAGACGAGCCTAATACGGAGACATTGGCCAAGAGGCAAGTCCGGAGATAGGGGTTGGTGCGAGGCAGCCACCATGTTAGCCACCGAGAATCGAGCTCTTCGTCCATCGTGTGTCATTTAGTCAATATTACTCGGCTGGCGTCGACAGATCGCTCCCACCCGACGCGTCTCTGGATAGCATTCTCCGCCCTTCTCGCCCTCTGGCCCATCCCGCCCCGCTGTCACAGACGCGTGCGAACGGCCAGCAGCCCAAAAAATCCACACGTGAGACCCGGCGATGAGCTTAGACAGTAACTCTCCATTGAATCTCTGATCCACAACTCCAGATATCAAAGCCTCATGTTTCCTCTTACCGCCCGCATCCAGCTTTCCTCTTCTTTCTCCACCTCCCATGTCCGCATCCTTTTCTGTCCACAACTCAACTTGGCCTCCAGATCCTCCAGCTCCCAAGTACGTACACTTCCTTCTCCCTCACCCACCTCCACACCCTCGCTCATCTCACTCCTTTTCAGTGTGGGATATCTCAGTCGCAAAGCCCTACCGATCAAGCGTGCTGATTCAGTGCCACTCTCCAGAGAAGACGTACAATACGATCTTCTCCAACATATATTTGCCGACAAGAACGTCGTCTTTACCAGCCAGGCCCCGGGCACCATTGGCAAAGTCCACTTCTGCGACTTATACGTGAATGCGATCTACCACTCGACCAGGTGCTCCAAAGTCCTCAAGGACAAGATGGTGGAAACACCTGCCTTTGCAGTGGAGCTCGCAAAGCTATCCCTCCTGACCAATGTGGGGCGCATAAACACCACCATGGCGTGTATGTGATCTCACCCCTTCTTCCGTCAATTGTGTCGACCTCTGCTTACGGTTACAATAGTCTTTCCTGAGATGAAAACGGCACTCCGGTCATATCATCCTGTGCCATCTCTTCAGAAGACGGACGGGAACGCTCAGGACGCGCCTCGTATCAAGAACTGCCTCAAGGCGGCCTTGCTTCCATCCGAATACAGGGTTATGCCGCCGTCAACACCTGAGGAAATATTGGAAAAGAGCGTGAGCTTTCTCCAGGCACTTATTGTGGAACGTTTCCTAATTGAATGTCAGCGGGCGCGAACTTTGCCTCCTACAAGTGTCGTGAATTTGATTTTCGTGCTTGCGAACCATGCCGCGGTAGGCGCCAATATACCCTCAAACTGACGAATCGTCCAAGGCTAACTTAGTAGCTCCGGCCTGGTCGTTGACAGCCCCTGGCGAATGTTCACTTCGAGTCGCCGCTTAACTTTTTGGACCTTTTCCTGCCCGTCAGACTGTCATCAGCTGATCGGGCTCGAGCATTTCTCTGGCTCATCTTCCATTATCTAGAAGGCCCAGACGAGCCTAATCCGTTCGACGACAGTTATTCTAGGCAACATCCAGGGAAAATTCCACGAATAAGACAATTAACCGAACCGGAGGCGGCGATTGAGAATTGCGATACCGAAGAGGAGCTTGAATGGGGCAGCATGATGTCTGCCAAGCGGCGCACATTTCTCAAGAGACTGATAGAAAATCAAGACCGTGAGGGGCCGTCGCCGGTATCAAGAGGTAAGGTTACCCAGCGTAGCCTCGACATCGAAATTGAACCACTACGCTCAGCTACCGTCAGCAGTACAAATATGAGCACATCGCAGTCTAAGGCTCGAAATAACCACGAACAGAATGGGGAGAGAGCATACATTCCCTATGTGCCTCACGTTGCTTCCCTTTCCATTCCAAACCAAGTGTGTAAGTACGATCTGCCACTGGTCTCGTTAGGTTTGCTTTAGTTATTCAAGGCACAAATGCAGCACCGGGCCAAACATCGGCACCCGTGCCTACATCTGCGGCTCCTTCACAGGGAACTCATTCGATGCTAGAGCGTGAGCATGTGTTTGCATTTTCACGGAAAACCCTGCTTATTAGACATTTATCTTGATTTAGATGCCTGGAACGTTATAAGATCGACGGATCCCCTCGCCGACTCAGACGAAGAGTTAATGGACGAACGTGTTCTGGCAGACTATTGTGAGTGTCCTTGCGCACTACATCACCTCCAGCTCGTCTGATATGCGATTACTAGCCCGTCGAGTGGAAGTGATTAGCCGACTCAGAGGGCGACCTCCGACTCCTCCTGTGACCTAACGGCCTTGAGACCAGCAACGTTCTTTGGTAGCCATACAGCAAGACTGTTGTGATCCAAGTGACCACTGGCGTAGATGAAGGGTCTCGATATTCTTTTGCAAAGATATAATAGTTCCGATGCATGACGCAGGGCCAGATTGCAGATGCAGACACACAGGTTTACTCGAGAGTCGCACATATTTACGCGTAGTCTATTATGATAATCCAACGTTGACGTTGCAGCACCCGGGCCACCCCCGCCACCACATACAGCAGACAGTGGAGACTTCGGTTATCTTTCAAGCTACGACTGGACTAAGAAATGCCGGAGCCACCTTCTCACCGATCATTAACATGCAGCGTGAATTATGATGCGGAGTATTAGTGTAAGCTTAAGGGCCTTCCTAAAGCATGTTGCAAGTAGTTGCAACACTGCGTGCTCATTGCAAGTGTTACTAGTTGTGAACGTGCGCAAACGTACGAGCAACTGAACAAATAAGAAGCTTTGGTTGACGATCACCCGACACGTTGTGGAACATTGCAGGCCGCCGAAGGCTAGGCGCAGGTGCCCGATCGTGGTTAGAGGATGTCTCGATCAGTGGACCGCTCCGCGTGTTTGGTGTCAGCGTTTCCTGCTCCAGCTGACGTCGTGGATAGCCAGGTTGATGACGGCCGAGCGTGCTTCGGGCTAAGCGTCGGGACGCTGCCTTTCTTGGAAAGAAGAGACACGGTATCCACCGCCGAACGCTCCGGTTTAGCGTCATACACGGCCGAGTGTGACATCAGGGCCCGGATTTCAACCTTCAAAATAAAGAGTATTTCGGCTCCCCTAGCGTCAACCGCGTTTACAATACCCTCACCTGTGCCCGCTGCGGGCCTCGTCTGCAAGTCATCCTCCTTTCTATCTCCCACTCTTTGTTCTCCCCTTTGACTCTTCTCATCTCCTCGTCCTCCCGTCTTTCCTAGTGCTGCTATTAATCTAACATGGCCTCTAACGGCGCCCCCATGAACGGGGACGCGCACCACGTTGAGCAGAAGGGCCATCACGAACTCCTTGGCCAGTTCAAGAAAGACGAGACCAAGGGTGCCACTGTGCACAAATTTGATCCCGATGCTTCGCCTCAAGAAAAGGCAGCAGCCGCTGGCAAAGCGCGCGACCAACTTCAGCCTACCGCTGCAAGCCAAGAAGGCAACTCTGGGGGCGGCAAAGGTATGTTTCAACGTCATCGCATGACGTGCCGCTAAACGCTCATGTTGTCTGTTCTATTTTAGCCATTGATATCGACACAGGACACTCGGGCGTTATTCCCACTATCACTATCGAGGATGCCGACAAGGCAACGCAAGAAGAACTGGACAAGACAGCTGGCCAGCCAGCTGCAGCTGCTCCCCAGAATGTTCCAGGCTCATTCCCCAACCAGCAGGCACCAACCATTCCAGATTGGTACAAAGTTGGATGGAGAGCCCTGTCCAACATCGACGCCGCTCCCTTGCAGGAGGGAGAGGAGAAGGACAAACATGTCCTACAGATGTTCTTGACCGAACAGTACTATGGGGCATGGTACCATAATGCTGCGATCATCGTGTTTGTATGTCGCGAACTCTAGCGCTCTCGGCAAATTCATCTGACGTCATACCTGCAGGCTGTCTTCGCTTCTCATTTTCTCACTCGTTTCAACTTCGGCTGGGGATGGCTCTTCATCATCCTCGCCGTGTGTAATACTTACTACACGACGTCGATGACGCGTGTGCGTCGCAATGCTCGGGATGACATTCAGCGCGAACTCGTCAAGACGCGTCTCGCGTCCGAGCACGAAAGCGCGGACTGGATCAACAACTTCCTCGATCGCTTCTGGCTTATTTATGAGCCTGTTCTGTCTGCAACGGTCGTTTCTTCCGTGGATCAGATTCTCAGCACCAGCTGCCCTCCGTTCCTAGATTCGCTGCGTCTGAGCACCTTCACACTTGGCACCAAAGCACCTCGAATTGAGAAAGTTCGCACGTTCCCCAACACGGAGGATGACGTCGTAATGATGGACTGGGGCATCTCCTTCGCCCCCAACGACGTTTCTGACATGACTCCTCGTCAAGCAGCTGGCAAAGTGAACCCCAAGATCGTACTTTCTGTCCGCGTTGGCAAGGGTGTGGCATCAGCGGCTATGCCCATCTTGATTGAAGACATCAGTTTCAGTGGCCTTATGAGGATCCGGATGAAGCTCATGACCAACTTTCCTCACGTTCAAATTGTCGACTTGAGTTTCTTGGAGAAACCTGTGTTCGACTACGTTCTGAAGCCGGTTGGAGGTGACACGTTCGGTTTCGATGTCGGGCATGTGAGTAAAAACCATGAACTTCTTGGGCTGACCGTCTGACTTCCGGCAGATGCCAGGTCTCTCTGCGTTCATCAGAGACCAAGTTCATGCTAACCTCGGACCGATGATGTACGACCCGAACAAGTTCACGCTTAATCTCGAGCAGCTTCTCTCCGGTACGCCTCTCGACGCGGCAATTGGTGTTCTCCAGGTTACTGTTGAGGCTGCACGTGGACTGAAGGGTAGCAAGATGGGTGGAGGTACACCCGATCCCTTCGTGTCACTGAGCATCAACAACCGCTCAGAGCTGGCTAGGACCAAGTATAAGCACAACACGTACGTCTTTCTACTGGTATTATATACACCCGGTACTCACTCAGTGCAGCTACAACCCGACCTGGATGGAAACGAAGTTTATTCTCATCAACTCGTTGCAGGAGTCGCTCGTTCTTGACGTTTTCGACTATAATTCAAAGCGCTCGAACACGACGCTGGGTGCTGCCACATTTGACATGCAGAAACTGCAAGAGGATGCTAAAATTGACGGCATTGAGCTCCCCATCCTAAAGGATGGCAAGGACAAGGGTTCTGTCCGTTTCAACCTTTCGTTCTTCCCTGTTCTCAAGCCTGAGCATGTCGACGGAACAGACGTCTTGCCCGAGACTAGTAAGTTTGTGAGATACGCGGATTCTCGTGTTTGGTTGTTGACAAAGACCGCAGAGACCGGCATTGTTCGACTTACCATTCACCAGGCCAAGGACCTTGATCACACAAAGTCGCTGTCTGGCGAGCTCAACCCCTTCGCGAAGGTCTACCTTGGTAACAGCACTACCGCGACCCACAGCACGGCCCTCATCAAACACACGAACAACCCTGTCTGGGAGTCAGCGACTGAGTTCCTCTGTGCTGACAAAACATCATCAATTATTACCATCAAGGTCACCGATGACCGCGATTTCCTCAAAGATCCTGTAGTCGGCCACATGTCTGTCCAACTCGGCTCCTTGTTGGAGGCCGAGACTTCTGCGGGCCGCGATTGGTGGCCGCTCAGTGGCTGCAAGAGTGGCAAACTGAGAATTACAACTGAGTGGAAGCCGCTGCAGATGGCCGGTGCTCTCCAGGGAGCTGACCAGTATGTTCCACCTATCGGTGTTGTTCGTTTGTGGTTGAAGAACGCCACCGACGTCAAGTAAGCATTGAGGCTAATATTGGAGAACATGGCTAACGTTGTCTCAAGGAATGTTGAGGCTGCTCTCGGTGGCAAGGTAGGACAAGTTCCATATGTATGAGCGCGTGTCAGTTATTCATGACTCCTTTTGTAGAGCGACCCCTACGTTCGTGTTCAGGTTAACAATATCACCCTCGGTCGGACCGAGGTCATCAACAATAGTGCGTTTACAGCTGTGATTTGTGCAAGACATGTCATTGACATGTTGTAGACCTCGACCCCGTATGGGACCAGATTATTTATGTTCCTGTGCATTCACTACGGGAGGTCGGTTTTGCAACCCTGTTAACATTGACACTGGCTCAATCCATCACAGTCTTTACAACTGGAAGTCATGGACTATCAACATCTCACCAAGGTAGATGGCACCTGGCTCTCTACCTTTATTATAACTAATCTGTTGGTAGGATCGTTCTTTGGGCTCGGTTGAGCTCAATGTTGGCGAACTAGCTCGCCCGTCCGCGGATGGCTCGGACTATAAACATGAGTCGACTGGCAAGAAAGAGGCTTCCGATCCCATCAAGCTCGATGGAAGTCACAGCAACCAGTACAAGGGGCAACTTCACTACGTTGCCGAATTCGTCCCTGCTTTGGCACTGAAGGGCGTCGAGTTTGCGAAAGATCAAAACGAGATTCAACGCGCGGCTCAAAACGGCGGAGAGGAGGGTGATTACCCGTCATCGCCGTCGACGACCTCCTTCTCCTCGCGTGATGGGGAGGAAGTACGGCATGTGACGGTCAGCGGGCCGATGACCGAAGAAGGTTTCACCCAGCCTCAACGGTCGAGTACCTTGGACACGACGAAAACGGACAAGTCAGGCAAGTCGGACAAGTCGGATAAGACGGACAAAACGAACGATACTGCTAGCATCATCGGCTCTGATGACGGTCAAGAGCCCGAGGGTGTGGAGCTTAGCAAAGAAGAGCTCTTGAAACACCGTAAGCTTAAATCAGACTATCGTCTGACATCTACTAACACGCTGCAGAATCTGGTGTCATTGTCTTTAACGTCGTTAGTGGCCAGCTCCACAAGAAAGCTCGCGTTGAGGTTCTCTTGGACGATGGTTACTGGCCTTGCTTCAGCACTCCCAAGGCTCGCAGCACTCGGGTTGAAATCCAGCACGTGGGAGAGGGCTTTATCAAGGAACTCGACTTCGGTCAAATTTGGCTGCGCCTGAACGAGAACGATGAAGGGGAGAAGGATGATATTATCGCTGAGTGGAAGGGCGAGGCCAAGCCTTTCCTGGAGGCTACTCTTGTGAGTTGTATTCTCTACATAAAGAGGCTGTATCACAACATCTTACCTCTCCTCTAGGATCGCCGCACAACCTTTACTCTGAAGAATGAAGAAGGCAACCACACGTCCACCATTGAACTGGAGGCCCGCTATGTACCCGTGCCTGTGACATTGGAAGCAAGAGAGAGCATCAATAGTACGATAATCTTTCGTAGCCATGCGCAGTCATCCTCATGGCACTTCTACAGATCAGGGTATCCTGCGTGTCGATCTCCTTGAGGGCAAAGACCTCCGCGCTGCAGATAGAGGAGGTATGTTGTACGCCACTACGCCTTGTCCTACCTAACTCTGATGGTTTTGCAGGCAAATCCGACCCCTTCGCGGTGTTCTCGCTTAACGGCCAGCGTGTCTTTAAGTCGCAGACAAAGAAGAAGACTCTTACTCCCGATTGGTCGGAGGACTTCACAGTCAATGTGGTGAGTATAGTCCGAACTGTGTGCTTGAATCCCCTGCTCAAGTACTTCAGCCCTCTCGAGTTGCCGCCGACTTTACTGTCGAGGTGTTGGACTGGAACCAGATTGAGCAAGCTAAGAGTCTGGGGACGGGCCGCATCAACCTGGCCGACCTGGAACCATTCCAAGGCACCCCTCAGGTCATCTCTTTGGCTGATAAGCACGGTCAGAAGGGTGAGATCCACGTCCGACTGTTGTTCCAACCCTCGATCATTGCCAAGAGCCGCAAGAACACCTCGACGTTCTCCGCTGCTGGAAGAGCGATGACTCAGATAGGCTCGATCCCCGTTGGTGCAGGCAAGGGTGTCGTCCATGGGATCGGCGGTATCTTCTCGCGCGATTTTGCCAAAAACAATCACTCAGGTAAACTTTCCGACAAGAATGATGATCCTCCTGCACCACCTGCACCTTCGGGTCAGGCTTCCCAGCCTGTTGGTGGTTCCACATTGGGCGCAGGAGGCGCTGTCTTGTCTTCTGCGAGCGGTACCCCTGCGAATGGTAACGGGGCTGCCAATGGCCCACCACAGCAGCCTGGAACTCTCCGCGTCACTGTTCTCGACGCCAAGGACTTGTCAACTGACGACGTTAAGCCTTACGCTATTGTTCGCGTAGGCGACAAGGAGCACAAGACTAAACATTCGCAGAAGACTACTACACCCGAATGGTATGCATTGATACCTCTTGAACAAGCTAAAACAGCAAACTTACACAATCCACATAGGAACGAATCCTTTGTGTTCGACGCAGGCGCTTCCACTCCCAAGGTCGAGGTGCACGTTTTCGACCATAAAACCTTGGGCAAGGACAAGTTGCTTGGTCAGGGCGAAATTGATGTACGTGTCATCCCAATTGTGCTGCCCGAGCATCGGCCTGACATTCATGGTAGATCTGGCGTCATATTCAACCTGGATCAGTCAACTCTAGAGAAGTATTCGCTGAACTTCGAGACCACGGTCACATGCGTGTGCGTCTGGAATTTGATGCCGATCCGTACAGTGCTATGCGCAACAATTCGGTCCCATCCATCGAGAGAACGCTGTCCAACCAGGGCACACCCTCGCGCTTCAGCATGCACAGGAAACGCACTACTGGTGGTTCGGACGACTAGGTTGCCATGAGTACATACACTTGCCTGGACGGACTCCATGACTCATCTACAAGAACATTTGCTCTCGACACTGAACTGCTCTAGCGTCTTTTCATATAATTTCCCAATCATTTACTTGGTGTACAGTAGTAATCTCGGATACAGCCTGCCTTGAGCTTGACCATGCTTTGTCATCCAACGTATTGCCTTTCGAACCGAAGAATGAACAAGTGCTCTCGACCTGCACGACGTTGGATTATTGTCTGAATCCCGTCAGCTGTTGACTTCGGTAGGCATGAGGGAGGGACTTGCTAACCTGGCTTTTCAGCCCAAATGCATCTTGCATCATAGCACATATAGCGGGAATGTCGTTTTGCTTTAACGCGACCAAGTAGAACAACCCCTTCGGCGACAAAAGATCCTGTATGCACTTAGGCTCAACCAATAGGTAAGGCCTGTAGATCACTCACATTGACTTCCTCCAGGAGTTTGTTGGTTATCTCCATGCCTGAGAGGCCACCCGCCCACGCACCAGAGATGTTACCGCTGGCCTGGGCATCGAGCGCCTCCTCGCCATCAGTTGGCACATACGGAGGGTTGAAGAGGAGAATGTCGATCGAATGTCGAAGACGTGGCAGTAACGAGCTTGTCAGGGAACAGTTGATAGCGTCTATAGGAATCTACTGGTGAACGATGAGTGGGTGTCAGATATGTGCACGCCCTTGGCCCACCTTGTTCTGTCTACCTGTGGCAACTGTGCAGCGTGCTGCATGCTGGTTGATGTCGGTGCACAAGTAGACTGAAGGAAATTGGCATCTAAGTGACCTAGATGTGTTGAAAAACGTACGTGCACCGGTGGGGCCGAGGATCGAGCCCATAAATGTTGATACACATCCGGAGCCTGACCTATTATTTCTTCAGTTAGATTGAAACGTGAAAAATCGTAAGTGCGAACCCGATCTCGAGGCAGACGGTGGGATGCAGAGATCTGATGTGTTCTGCGTCTTGCTCTAGTCCATCGAGAAACAAGAAAGTGTCTTCTAAGAAAAACATATGAGTTTCATGCTGGTGAAATGCTTCACACCGCACCTGCTGGCTCGTACACTCTATCGTAATCGACCTTCGTGAGGTGCGATAGGTCGGGGGTGGGGATCATGAAAGGGAGATATTTGCCACGTGACGAGACGCGTCGCGTGGTCGAGGGGGTTTCCGAACCCCGGTGGTGCCCCGATCGCGAGGCGACGCGTTGGTTCGATTTGAACGACTTGTAACAAACATCGACACTACCGATCTTACTGCTGAGACGATATGAACACACGGTCAACGAGAACCGCAGGTGCAGCGTCTCAGGCTACGCGTGCCTCGGCACGGACAAGGACACCTACGATCCCGGCGCCAAGCCCCAGTCCTCCACTCACCAAGTCGACGCGCACCAAGACTCCCGTTAATCAGAATGCAACAGCGCAAACTTCGACATTAAAACCAGCGGGGAGGAAACCACTTTCCAATCGGGCAAACTCACCAGACAAGCCTGTATCCTCAAAGAAGGCTCCTACTACGGCATCGAAGCCGCACAAGGGTGATGTGACTGAAAGGGAGCCTATCATGGTACGTCTTCCAGCGCTGGTGCGAGCTCAGATGCTGAAGGTGACCTAAGGCATACCTGCGGATCCGCCCTGCTCTCGGTGAAGAAGAGGCAACCACGCCCTATCTCGATCCTCTGTCGGATACCTCTGTTCGCATGACAGATCCTGCTTCAGACGCCATGGCCCAGTCGCGGTTTCATTATCGCATGTCTATGGCGGCACCTTCATCTATCTATAAGTTCTCCCACATCTTCCCCCCTTCCACGCAGCAACCCGATTTCTTCGCGAAGACCACGCTGCCGCTGGTAAAGGACGTGCTTGAGGGCCAGAATGGCCTGCTCTTTGCGTATGGCGTCACTAACTCCGGTAAGACTTACACGATCCAGGGAGGAAACAAGGGAGACTCCGCTGGCATTCTTCCGCGAACACTGGACGTCATCTTTAACAGTGTGAATGGCTTGCAGGGCGACGGAAGGGTGCGTAACATCTGATCCCACCTTGTTCTTATCTCATTTCCATTTTTGAAGTTCCGTCCTGTACGACTGTACGGCGCTGAAAGATGCGAGCCAGGAAACGATAATCTGTTTTATAACATCAGAGCCTCGGCAGGCGAGAGCTCTTTCGCCGCCGTTTTGAGTGATCTTGCAGAGTCAACGCCTGGGGACATCGACACCGACCCAACTACTCTGAAGCTTGACCGGAACTATGAGTACTCAATCTGGCTTTCCTATGCCGAGATATACAACGAGAAAGTCTATGATCTTTTAGGAACGATTGAGGACGACGATGGATCTACCCCCGGCTCATCTCGTCGAAACACCACTGCACAGACCTTTGGCGGCCAGACTGTGTTGACTCGGAAGGCGCTGACTGTCAAACCATCGCCTGCTTCAGACTCCATAGAAGGAATTACTGGAAAATACATCGCGGATCTACGGCATTTCCGGGTCACCAGCGCCACCGAAGCTAAGGAACTCGTCAAGCTAGGTCAAGTGCACAGGCGCGTCTTTGGAACACTCGCCAATGCTCAAAGCTCTCGGAGCCATGGCATGGTCACGATCAAGGTGCTCCGCAGTCACAGGGGAGAGCGCAACAATCCCGATGCCTTGCAGATGTCTCGGTTGACGCTGGTCGATCTTGCTGGTTCGGAGCGCACTAAGCACACTCACACTACGGGTGATAGGCTCAGGGAAGCGGGCAACATCAACAAATCTCTTATGGTCCTTGGTCAATGTATGGAGGTGCGTACATTGAGACATGTTATTTCTGAAAGATACTGACCTTCGACTGATAGGTAATGAGGTCGAATCAGAACCGCGTTGCCCAATCCCTTTCCGGGCCTGGGCGAAGTGACACGAAGGTCGTGCGGAAGGGATTGGCGCTCGTTCCTTTCCGGCATAGCAAGTTGACTGAGGTTCTCATGGACTACTTCGAGGGTGACGGGAGAGTGGTAGGTGTCAAGGAACCTCGCACAGCTATGAACAGTACTAACGACATCCAGGTCATGATCGTGAACGTCAACCCTTACGATACTGGCTACGACGAGAACTCCCATGTGATGAAGTTCTCTGCGCTCGCGCGAGAGGTCCACACCGCCACGAACAACGCGCCTGCTCCGCGCGTGTTGGCGGCCCCGACAAAACCGGGCCCCGCCCGTGGACCTTTGAAGTCGGGCCTGCCACCGCCCAATATGCCCACTCGAAAGGTCACCATTTCAAGTGTTGGTCCGAACCGGAGAGTGAGCGAGGCGCACCTCGAGATTGTGGAAGGTTTGCGATGATCTTCATATCCTTTACGCAGCCCGTCTAATATCGGTATTCGCAGAGGACGAGGAAAGTGGGCCTGATGATGAAGAGGACGATGAGGACGAGGAGCCCATAAACCCTCTCGTTGATGCACTCTTCGACGAGGTTGAGCAGCTGCGGATGAAAGTGAGCCCCCAGCTTTTGGACCACGCTTTCACCTGCTGACAGCTATGGTGTAGCTTCACGAAGCCGAGCTTCGCTGTGCGGTTGTGGAGGCTGAGACAAGGGAGGAGGTCATGAAGGAGATGGAGGAGCGTATGCTGGTGATGCAGCAGACATATTCGAGAAGGCTCATGAGCGAGGTATGTTCCTTTGGGCGCGTAGATCCCTGGAGTAAGCTGATCCGCTGCTGTAGTTGGAACGCAACGAGAAGAAAATGGATGCTAAGATCGACATGTTGCATCAAGCGGGCCTGTTTGGGCAGAATGGTACTCCACAACAAGGAGATATTGAAGACGAGGTACGTGGTAACATTACAAGTTACATCGCGCTTCTTATTTACCTCAGTCAACGTAGGACATGGAGGCTGATGAGTCTTATATGCAAGACAGAGAGCCAGGATTCAGCGATGAGAGTGGGATCGCGCCGTCTCCTCTTGCTGGAAAGACTGCCAAAACTAAAGCAGGATCAAGACCAAGACCCTCAGAAATCGAGGGAAGCGAAAGTGAGGTTGAGCGGTCGATAGCCATCGAAGATGATGATGAGGACGAGGTTCACGGTGAAGACGGTGAAGAAGAAGAGGAGCTAGACGAGGAACCATTAACGGAGGATGATGAAGAGGACGACTATGTTCCCTCTCCGCCTATCAAGCAGCCGAGTCGAGGGAAGCCAGCACCTCCCAGATTAGATCCTCCGTCAAAGGGGCCGCGGTCATCAAAGCCGGGCCAGAGAAAGGTGTCGACTCTGGTGGATGATATGGACCGACTGGGTCTCGATGGAGATGCTGATGACTCTGTAATCATTGTACCAGACCGCAAGGCGCGGAAAGCAGCTGTCCCGGAAGGGATTGAGTATGTTCCCCGTCCGGGCGTGACCGACGTGGGTAAGAAGAAGAAACGGTATGTTTTATTATTGATTCGTACAAGAGGTATTTCGTGACGTTCAACTTCAGAGTCCTTGGGAAGAAGGCAATGACAGAAGACCAAATGGCAAAAGTTGTAGGAGCTGTAGAAGAAAGCGCGACAAAGGGGGACACGGGCAAGGGTGTACGAAGGATGAGACTCAGCTAGAGTGCCCAGCAGCTTGTACTACGCGTGTTGTAGCTTTCTGTGTTTCTAATGATTTTTTGCTTTTGGCTACATGCTTGAACAACTTCGAGTCGGAGTGAATGGAGAGGAACGCGGTGTCATGTGATGATACGCGTTTGGTGTATCTCACGTGGGCTCGCGTGTTTGATGAAAGCTCGTGCCGGATTGTAACTTGAAGTACTACGACGTGCTAGTGCAACCTTCACAATGGTTGCCACGTCCTCCCCCGCCGCCACCAGGAGAAAGTCTGTTGCAGTTGCAGGGCCCTCGCAGCAGCCACATCCTGGCAGGAGACGACGCGTTCATTCGATAGCGCCGGGTGATCACCTCAGCCCGGGTTCGAAAGCGCGCCGGTCGCTCGTAAGGGCAACTTCCTGTTCGCGTCGTTCTCACCTCCATCTCTCCCCACCAGGTTCCTCGCAAGAGTATCCTCAAAGCCTCGATCAACTTTCCAGACGACACGGACGATGGTACACAGTCCATGGAACTGACACGCGAATACCGCGCCGACCTGCACGATAATACCACCCGCAAGTCCTTTGGCAGGCGCGTCAGCTTTGCAAATCACGCCCACGTTCGCCTCTTCGAGGTCCCAGAGCACAATACCAACAGCACCGGCACTCCCCAGTCTTCACCCGCTCAAGAGGCCGAAAGCCCATCCAAGAGGCCTCAAAACGATGAGAACGCGTATCCTGGCGCGGGTGCCTTCCGTAGGCGTAGCTCAACCAGGCGATCTCTCGCTTTCAGCGATGGCGAAGGCGAGGCCTCCATGGACATGGATCTCGACTCGAGCGGTTTGGGTCCCGCAGCATTCTTCGATAGGGGTGAGGATCCTATCTCAGATGACTTCGAGGATGAAGACGAGGACTTCCTGGGCGCCGATGAAGACATGGAGATAACTGAAGCCATTCAACAGAGTATCCTTCGCAAGCGATCTCTTTCCCTTGGTCGTCAGCCGCTGGCTAACTTGGGTACGCATGACGAACCCGGGTCGCCCGAGCCTCTGGAAGAGCAGGATGACCTGCAGCCGGAACAGGAGGAGCAGCCTCCGGAAGAGGAACCATCCTACCTTGAAGGTGACTCCGGTCAGTCTCAGTCGTTTGTGTCAGAGGGAGGAGATACGGATTCCGGCTCGCAACCAATGGAGTTCACAGTTCCTTTGGACAAACCTCCCCCGCCTCCCAGTGAAGCATGGCTTGCCTTGCGCTCTGTGACTCACTCAGGGGACACACCTTACGAGCCACCTCAATCAGACGATGATGGTGAGCAGGAGATGGACCTGACTTCTGCGGTGTCTCGTCTCCAAGCTGCTCGAGATTCGATGGGCATGGGTGCGAATGATGGTCAGCAGGATGACAGCTTCACCAGCACCGAAGACAGCTTCCAGGGCAACGAGGAGCCTGAAGCCGCAAGCGAGGGTAATTATACCATCAACGTCACACAGCTCATGCGCAGAGTGAGTATTGGCCCCGGTCAGTCGGAGGGAGGCAACTCGACGATGGACATCAGTGGCACGTATGATGCACTAGCTGCATCGGAGGACATCGAGGGGGAGGAAGGAGAGGTGGGTATTGATGAATCCACCTCTGCAGCCTCGCCCGAGGCATCTCAATCTGCACTCTCGCCACAAGATAAGCCTACTGCTCCCCAGGAACCGCGACCCAATGTCTTCAGTGCACCATCGGCATCTAGCGGTTCTCAAACTAGGCCACCAAATACAACCGCTCCCAAGCCCTTCAACTTCTCCACTCGATCACCTGCACCCCCTTCGCCCGCCAAACCGACGTCCCGTCCCACTTCGCCCACCAAACCGACATCCCGCCCTGCCTCCCCCGTTAAACCCACCTTCTCCGCTGCCTTTGCTCCCCCTGTGAATCGTCCTACCCCAAAGAAGCGAACGGCCAGCGATGCTCTTGATGCCAGACTTAGTCCAGCAAAAAAGTCCACCGGCCCTTCGAAACTCACCGCCAGTACCCCGAGTCAAAGCCAACGGACTCCTTCTACGTCCCCTGTCAAACGTCCAGCGCCGGTGTCCGCGCAGCCGACACCAAACAAACAGGCTGAGCGAGAAGGAAGCACTATTCCGGGCACAGCGGATACTCAGAATGCGCGGCGATCGACAGGGTTTCGACGTCCATCGGGGTACTTTGCTCAACGCAAGAGTCTGGGTGGCGCATCTTTGACGCCTGCTGCTGCTAGCAAGCCGAGTCCAGCCAAGAAGCCCTCCATCGCGGCGGGGAGGCAAAGCGTTGGTTTCACTGGAGACGGTGACACGAGCGCTTGGATGAGGTTCGATGCTACTGCTGAGAAGGAAGTTGTCCAAAGACAAACGCCCGAGGCAGAGCAACCTCCTGCCGAAGAGCTCCCTGCCGAAGAGGATGAGCCTATGCCAGCTGAGGAACCCCCGGCCGAAGAGTCTTCACAGTCGTTACGTTCATCGCTACCCGCTACACCAGAGCTCTCTGCACAACGTTCACCAGCGACCAAACGACGCCCGTCAAGGACTCCGATCGCGAAGCCGATCGCCGCGAATGATGAGGAGCCAGAGCAGCCCGAAGCTCCCGCGTCCGGTTCCGCAGAAGAATGGCGGGAAGGCGTCGAAGACGCCGAAGAAGACGACGGCCCGCAGATCTCCATCGCCGAGTTCATGGAGCTCACAGGCATCCGCTTCATGGACGAGATCACCGCGCCACGGCGGTCGACGATCCACCCGTCCGCGCACCGGCCGCCGCGGCGCTCGTCGACGGAGATGGAGATCCCGCTGGCGGAGTACGTCGTGGCGATGGCGATCGACGTGCCGCAGTTGGAGCTGTACACGCACGTGAGCCGGGACCTGCAGACGACGATCGAGCGCATCAAGACGATCTACACGGAGGCGGAGGCGGAGGCTGCGAAGATGACGCCGGAGCTGTTTATGGAGTTTTTGAACGCGGACGAGGACGGGCAGGCGGAGCTGCTGCATCAGCTGAAGCTGATCAAGGTCCATAATCATGGACAGGCCAAGTCGGGGTGGTACGATTGGAAGCTCAAGTGGGTCGAGCAGCTCTTCCAGAAGGCTGACGAGGGGTTCACACATCTTGAAGCTGTGAGTTGCGTGATCTGTATGAGAAATATTTGCTGATGGAACGTAGGATGCTCGGACGCTCGAAGAGTTCACGCGGGATGCTCAGCAAATCGTTCCCGGTCTTAGAGAAGAGTACGAGCAGATCATGCGCGAGCTCGAGCAAGATCAGGCAGACATTGCTGAACTCGAGAACTGCGATCAAGACTACCTGAACGAGCTCAAGACGACGATCAACGAGCAGACGTGAGTTGCGTGGCGTAGATATACTATAGGTGATACTGATGCGTAGTGTATTTCAGTGCTTCGCTCGAGCTGTTCCGAGGAGATGTGGAAGAGAGCAAATCCAAGCTCGCTCACCTCCAGAGCCGAATGGATGACATCAACGCGCAGAAGCAGGAGCAAACCACCGCCATTCAGGACGCGGAGTACCAGTTAAACAAGCAGAAAAACAACACGCGCGCCGAAGTTCTCCGGCTACAAGGTAAGAGGCCGCATACAAAATAGGGAGACATTCCGCTGACGAGCCAACGCCGCAGACGAACTTACTGCCCTCCAGACCTTGCATACTTGGAAGGCGTCAAAGATCGCACCGGACATGTTTGAATTCATTTATGCCTCAACTTATCGCGTTTCCGTTCCTTGTGTTAAATTCCGCCCCTTGGTTAACGACGTTGAGATCATCCGCCTGGACGAGGCAAAGACAAAGTACAAGGACCCGTTTCCCGCGCTCAGCCCGCTCTCATTGGACACCGCCCGGCGCCTCGTGCACACGCTGGACAAGGACGTCGGCGTCCGGCAGGTAAGCGCCTCCTCAGCACACCGGACGCAGCCCATGCTCACACGCACACGCACAGATCGTCGAGCTGCTCGGCGACTACTGGACGTCCTGTGCGCAGATCCGCTCGCAGCTCCGGCAAGTCGCGATCAAGTACCCGGTCACGATCGACGCGCCCCCCTCCGGCGCGCCCTCGGAAACCTCCCCCGTCTTCACCGCCACCGCCACGCTCATGTTCCCCTCCGTCAGAGGGAAGGCGACCGTCTCGTTTATCTTCAATACCCGCACCGTCCAGTCGTGGCCGATGAGCATCGCATCGCTAGGATGCGATGTCAAAGTATGCTACGGCGCCATGGAGTGCGTACCGCCGACGTTCCTCTTCCGAAATAAACATGCTCATCTTTTCCGCAGCCGCCACACTCTACACAACGCCATCCTAGGCCGCCTTGGACAGGCGACCCCATCGGACAACTATGCTTGCTTACTCGACGCTTGTATGGACGCCATGGACTGCTATGTATAAAACCATATTTCGTGGATTAAGAGGATCATGATCGCAGCACGTCTAATGTACTACCTATATACTTATATAATACACATGAATGGAAATGGAAAAGATCAAAAGGAAGGTATGGATCATGCACATGACCGAATCACTCGAGGCGAGAGGGAGAGGGTAAAAGGGTAATACTAGAAGTACACGAGGTCCATTACATACATGACGAATCATAAGTAGAGGTGAACGAATGCAATAAACTAGGGATGCTAAACTGCAGGCACAACAAGTCCAGTCAGCGACGCCGGCTAAGAACGAAGAGAACACCCACATCACTCAGGCCTTCATACCGCGCACCCGTCTCCGGCTCTGCTCCAGCATACCGAGGAGAACCTGCAGCGTCGCCCGATCCGCCTTAACATCGCCGAGATCCGCCTCGGCCTTATCGCGCACGACCTCCCAGCGCAGCCCCGCCGTCTGCGCAACCTGCACCGCATCCCACCGCACCCGCGCACCGCCGATCGTCTCCCTCATCCGCCGGCGCGCCTCCTCCTGCGCGCGCGCAACCGCCGCCTGCACCGCGCCGTCGCGCGCCGCCTCCGCGTGGCGCAGCTGGTCCTCGAGCGAGAGCGTGTACGCCGCGTGGTCCTCCTCGCGGCGCTCTCGCGCCTCGACGCTGCCGTGCAGCTGCTGCTGGAGCGCGGCCAGCTGCGCGGCGAGGTCCTCCGCCTCCGCCGCGCGCGCGTGCTGAGCGCGCTGCAGCTGCTCCTCGACGTCCTGCAGCCGCTCGAGCCGCTCGCTCGCTAGGTTCTCGGCGAACGCGATCTGCAGCCGCAGGCGGGTGACGGTGCCCAAGTCGATGCCGGGCGAGCCGTTCGGCGTGTGGTCGAACGTCTGGTGGTGCACGGCTGGCGACGGTGTTACTTCTGGGAGGAGGACCTGCGAGATCGATGCAAAGTCTCCGGGAGAGGGTAGAGGACAGAGGTTCGGGCTTTCGAGACCGAGGACGGCGGTCATCATGGGCGAGGCGGGACCGGGAGTGAATGGGGCAGGGACATCGTGGAGCATGTGCCCGACCTCGTCTGGCGAGAGCAGCTTAGAAGCGTCCTTGGCCATCTGGTCCCATGAGAGAATCGACCCCCGCTCTACGCCCTGAAGGGGACGTAGGTGCCGCGGCGAAGGGTCAGAGCCCTTGGGAAGAATTAGAGGTGAATGTGAGTAGCTGGTCGAGCGGGGCATGCCATCGGTGGCTTTGGTGGGTGTCTGGAATTCAGGCTGGTCTGTCCGCGTTCTGCGATGTGTTTGGGTACGAGGAATAGAAGGCGTCGGGGCGTCGGGCGAGGCGACAGGAGCCAGCAACAGCTCGACATCGTCGGCTTCGGTGCTGTCTTCGCTGTCGGCGTCGCGAGATGACTGACCAGGCGTCCGCGGACCAAGAGTAGAGTCAGAACCGTTCCGCGAGCGGCGTGCGAGCGGGGATTCGGGCGGCTGGCTGCTCTGACGCAGCGGGCTCTTCCGCAATGGGGTAGACTTGTGAGAATCAGTGCTGGCCTTTAGCAAAGAGGACGATGTGGCCTTGGAGGTAGACCCATGAGGTGAAGGAGTGGGCCTGCCCGATGATATAGATGACCGCCGAGGGACTGCTGCGGCATGCCGCCCGATGGTGGAGGGAGGGGTCGCAGAGGACGGCGTGGTAGACGAGCGTGTTGGCGGCTTCGTAGCCGGCAGCTTGGATTTTGACTTTGGCGGTTGCGAAGGCGACACCTTGCCACCTTTGCGGGTGGGCGTGATGTCGATCGTCGTCGTTGTCGGGGGCGCCGACCCGGGCAGACTGACTTTGACGGCAAGGGTGCTGTGCGACAGAGGGCTGATGCGCCCCTTGCGGTCGCGGGAGTGGTCATGGTCGTCGTCGGTGGCCTGGCTGTCGAGCAGCTTCCCCTTGGACGCACCCGGGGAGCTGCTGTCCTCGTCCTTGTCGTCATCGGAGCTGCTCGTCTGGCGACGCACAGGCGGCTTGACGGGTATCGCCGACCTCTTCGCAGCTGCGGTGTCCTTGACATCATCGGCGAGCACAGATCTGGGGCGATACTTGGGCAACGGCAACGCGCTCGTGCCCTGCGACGTGCGAGGCCGGAGTGATGCCCGACGTGCTGGAGGGTGGGCCGGAGCCTCCGGAGTCTTCTTGCCCTCGTCCGTGGTTGCATGGCCGGGGCCGGTCTTCTCCGCGGAGGGGATGGCAGACCGCCTCCTAGAGGTGCGGGTAAGTGTCTTAGCCGTGGTGGCCGTGTCCGTCATCATCCCGTCCTCCTTCGCCCTCTGATCCCGAGCGTCTTTTGCAGGATGAGCCGGGCCCGGAGCGTCCAGTCGGGAAGAAGCAGTGGCGCTGTGTGGTATGGCAGACTGCATAGCATGTAGTGCGCTGAGACGGCGGGTGCCAGAAGATGATTCTCTGGGTTTCTTGAGAGGCTTGTCGGTGGGTGATGTCTGATGGGGTTCCCGGTCCTTGTTCATGACATCGGCGAAGGCCTTGCCAATAGACTGGCGGATAGAGGTGGACCTCGTCACCGACTTGGCCGACATTGACGACTGCCTCGTTTCTGGGGGCATGGTCGGGGTAGAGCTGTAGGATGTAAGTAAGTGGCAGGTTAGTAGCCGGTCGCTACAGTTTTGTTATGTATAGGGACCCGTTTCAACAACGACCCCTTTGGTCACACGCCCCTCCCCTCCCAACACGCGCCCCCTTCACTCCGTCACAGTACCTTCCATAAATTAATAAACTCCCCCTCTTAAACTATCACCACAAAGTCTAAATCTTGGTCCTACGCTCTACTACAACCACGCGTTCACCACATGAACCGCCCTACGCCCTCCCGTGCACAGTACAAAAACACAAACATCGTCGCTCCATTGACCGCCGCATACCACACCGCTTCCACGGCCACCCCAACCGTGCTCATGTCAACCACCTGCGCGCGCATCAGGAAATACGGTATCAAGAAATACCGCGGCTCTAGCAACGGCGTCGGGAGAAGCGTCGGCACGATCAGAATAGGTAAAAGCAACGTCTGCAGCAGCGTCTGATCTTGCGCTGTTCATATCAGGGGCAAACGGTTGAGTAATCGCCCGCGGCGCGGCGCCGAAGAAGGGGGCTCTCACCAGTTCGTAACCACCAAGCCCATGCACACACCTGGTACCCAGGAATGAACAGATACGGCACGACGGGATGGAGCATGAATATCCTGCGCCACACGTAGAAGGTGTAGTGCCGATTGTCCGATAGCAAGAACGGGTGGTGAATCCTAAAACACACATGTTCATCAGACAAGTGTCATAGGACTGGTAGCAAGCATAAGAAGAGACAAACGTGAACTTGTGGACTGCGACCGCCATCAGCACCGAGACAAGCCCGGTGACAAGTGTCCTCCTGTAACACACGTTCAGCCATCTATCGAATCTGGGGCAGCCGAGTGGATCAACGAACCCTCTGCTCCCAAACATGCGTCTGGCCACCTCACGAGCCAGCGCAATCCCGCCACCGCCCTCTTGGCCGAACACCAGAGCAGGCCAGCCCATCACCGTGGAGAAAGCCACAAAGTAGAACAGCTGGGGGACATGAAACACCGGCACATGATTCGACTTGTCTCCTGCATAAGAACATTTAGCCTCTGTTAGCGCGCTGCGGTGTGTATCAGATCCCCGCAAACACGCACCCAGCACGATGCCCCCGTTCCACCACACGAAGGCCCCAAAGAGGGCAAGGACAAACGTGTACGGCACCAGCGGCCGCGCGAGCTCGGACAGCACGTACGGCGCGCTCGCTACCGAGCGGAGAAGATCGACTAAAGCAGGAATAAGCAGAGGACGTCAAGGTATCAGCGTTTCATTAATGTGAACTGTGAGCGCAGCAGCAGCAGGAGGTTCGGAACGGGTGGGGTTATGCAATGGGGGCCGGTACTCACGCGGGCCTGCCTCGAGGGCTGGTGGGTCGTGGAGCTTCGTCGTCGTGTCCTTGGCGCGCTTGAAGCGGAGACGCATCAGCTGGCTCGCGGCATACGCGTAGAGCACCCAGACGATGTTCGTCTGGCGGAAGAGACAGCTCAGGGCTCCTAGCTACAAATGGCAGCGTAAACGCTTCATCATCACCAGCCCGATTCACAGCACCATTGAGAGCAAAAGTAGGAAGGAAGCGTACCAGCGCAGCGAGCCCGTGCCTGTTCTGCGACGCCGCGACGACGGTGCAGAGCACCGCGACGAGACTGGGCACCTCGGTGTAATACAGGAAGCCAAAGAACCACGCGATGGGGAAACAAGCGACCGCGAGGGCCTCGGGGCGCGGCTCGAGCAGCGGGGGCGGGCGCACGCGCTGGTGGAACGCGAGCAGGCGCGAGACGACGACGGGGAGGCCGAGGAGCGTCAGCGTGGTCGTGAGGCGGAGCATGGGGATCGTGCAGCGGAACATGAAGATGCGGTGCAGGAGGACGCTCCATATGTATCTGGGGATGGAGCTTGGGATGAGTTGTGTGCATCTAGAGCGCGAAGTTGGAGACGCACAAGCCGGGAGGGGTGGTTATCTTGGGATCCCAGGTCGACCATTCGCCCTTGCAGTATGCTATCGCTTGAGGAATGTGGAATGGTTCGTCCTAGGAGTATTCATCAGTATGTTGTCCGGGCTCAAGCCATTTGGTCCGACCATGTAAGGCTCCATAACAAAGGTGTTCATCTCCTTGAGCACGGTGACCGCGACACCCGCGTACACGACGTACAACAGTCGCGACTCGGACGACATGGTGGCGTCAAGACAAAGGACAGTAAGTGGTTGTTATCTATAAAGCAGAGGAAAGTGACATTAGGTTGCAGACGTGTTCAGCGACGCGCAGACTTGGGAAAGTTATGAGCGCTAAATTTAGAGCGCTCAACGCGTCTATTTCCGCGCCGCGGCAACTTCCACTTGAAGCAACGAACTTGGCAATTCGACAGACTGGCTCAGCTCAAATGCGACGTCAAGCATCTTTGACACACATTTACAAGTAACAGGACTTCTATAATACATATTCGACCCTTTACAGTTACAGGGTAGGGAGTTCCAAGCCCTCGAGCGCGGGGATCGGCCGCTCAGCCTGGGGCGTGATGCGAAGACCGTGACGGCGCTCCTTGAGCTCGCCGTAGTCTACAATGGCGGACTGATAGCACGACAGGTCAGCACGTCAAAACCATCTCTCAGAGAAAACGTGCACTCACATGAGCGGTGACACGGTTGTCCCACAGGACGACGGTGCCAGGCTCCCACTTCACGCGCGCCTGGAGGTCCCCAGCCTTGCTGACGTGGTCATACAAAAAGTTGAGCAGTGTTTCTAACGCGGAATAAATCTTCATCAGTCCAAGGTAATCTCAACGACGCCGACAGAGGCCTACCCGACTCCTCCTTCTTCAAACCCACGATCCGCCTCGTGAACTGCCGATTCACATACAGCGCCTCCTCCCCAGTGACAGGGTGCCGCCTCACGAGCGGGTGGACATGCTCGACGGGCTCGCGGCGCACGACGCCGCCGCGCCTGCCCGAGCGCGAGAAGGCGGCCTGCTCAACGCCCGAGTGCACCGCGCTGAGCGTGCGCAGGAACGCGACGAACGGCGCCGAGAGCCGGCGGAGCGTCGACGCCTGCGACGTGAAGAGTGTGTCGCCGCCCGTGCTCGGCACGGAGAGCAGGAAGAACGTGGTGAGCCCGGGCGGCTGCAGCTCGTAGGACACGTCCGAGTGCCAGACGGTCGTGGTTATGCTCTCGTCGACTTCGAAGTTGAAGGTCGAGTTCGCGTCTCTGTGTTCCGTTCCGAGTTCGCGTCTCAGTAGGTGATCTCGGATTAGTTGAGCCACGAGGTAACGCACTTGTACACCAGATGGAACTCGGGATGATTCTTGGGGTGGCCGGACGTGGGGTGGACATGAAGCCTACGAAGCAGGTGTCACCATGGGCACAGGCACACTGGATGAGTCGAACAATAGGCTTCGTGCCTGTGCGTACACACCTTCCAAAGTGACGTCCCCACTCAAGGTATGACTCAGGGCCCGCGTCTATAAATTCGTGCTGGTCCCTGAACACCATCAACCCTCGCCTCGCAACCTACGCGGCGTAAGTTCATTAAGTCCAAGTAGCCGTCGAGACAATAACAGCCAAGCCTGGAACCAATCTCACCTCGAGCGCCAACTGGTCACGGCCGTCGCCATCGAGCGAGAGCAAGCTCACACCGCGCACCTCCGTGCCGAGTCTGGGCGTGAGCTGGACCACCCGGGCCGCATTCTTCAAGAACGCGAGCGGATCGGCGTGCTTGAGCGCGCGCGAGCCCGGATCGACGTGCTCGAACGGGGTGAGCGCGGGGAACTTCTCCGACGGGTCGAAGTGCGGCAGCAGGTGGGCGTAACGGTATTCTTCTTGGTCCTTTTGTTCGCCCGTCTTGAGCGTGAGGCTCGAGACGGCTTCGCTGGCCTGGTTGATGGTCTCGGTGGTGGACATGGCTGGGCCTGATGATATGAACCTGAGAAGCTGGTCTTCTGGATGGCTTGGTCAGGTCTGCTCATTGTAGGCCTTATTAATACGAGCGGTGGTGTTGCGACACTCGTGACTGGAGTTCGTCATACGTATCGGTGGAGGCGCAATCAAGCTCGTGACTGTGTATTCCTGGTTATCTGAAGGGGTAGGTCAGAGCTATCGGTGTGAACGCAATCCCAAGCGGCCCGGGTGCTTGTACCTGATGTGCTTGAAGCGGTGTTCGAGAAGCATTTCTATGGAAATATTAGATCATGGGCGAAGAACGAAGTCATCATCAGTCTAACTGCAATGGCCGATGGAACCTTTGGATAGGCAGTGAACGTAAGCTGAACGTTGAAACGTTGGGGTTGCTTGTACTTTGACGTGATGGACCAGTGACTTTGTCAGTGACTACTCACTGCCTGACAATCACGACCTGATCGTCATACACCACTCGTATTTGGCCAAGCAGAGAATGCTATCATCTGGACAGAGGTAACGCAATTAATTGCGCATTGACTGAACATGGATTCGGGAACAGAGTCATCTAGCCCTTGCCGGAGTTCTGCCGGCGGCAATTATGTAATGCGATGACAATGGTAGTCACGAGCCCTAGAGGGTCGCGGGGTTTGAAATGGAGCGATAAGATTTGACTTTCGGTGGGTTCGGCGAAAGGGTCCGAGGCGGCTTATTGTCTTTGTGTCCCAGTTGGACTGTCACTCATGCACATGTGTCGCCCTCTCCCTCACAATAAACATTCGGTTTCGCTTCTCAATTGTCCTGAATCCTCGGCGGATCGATGCATACAGTCGCCCTTGCCATTCTATCACCGCTCGGGAAACGTCTGAGGCCTCGTCACTCGTCCACTTCTCGACACAGTGGGCTAGGGTAAAACATATGTCAAAGTTGTGCAGGCTTTGACTTTTCACAGAGACACCTAGTCACTGAATGCAGTGACGCATAGACACGCTCGTGAGTGCTTTGTCTGACCAAATCAGTCGTCACAAGAAGGCCGCCATCAGGTTCACTTCCCAGCTTTTTGTCTTGCATATTGACCCGGAACTAATTCCGCCTATTGTCTTCCAATTGTCTCGCTCCCCTCAGGGCAGACTCTGCCATCTTGGCTCCCGTTCTGTCCAACGCTAGAATGGACGAACAATCGTCCAACGCTCGAGACTCTAGCCGACACACTTTAAAGCACTCCGCCTCGATCTGTCCAATCCCAAAAATTCCCTCCCTCTCTCCTCCTCCCCGCCCCCTTCCCTCGTGGTTCGTCCACTCCCGGCGCTCCAGTCGCGCATCGCCGTCGTCGCTGCTATACTCTCTCCACTCCCTCGACGACAAGAACCCGTCTTCGACATGGAGACGCCTCCCTACTCCAGCGCGACCAACACCAACTTCTCCGAGTTGCGGGCACGCAGGGTCCCTGACGTGCCCGAAGATGTCGACTTCTTCATGGAGCATCTTAACGACCCCAACTGGAACTACACCAACGTCCCCTCCTCTCCTTCGACCTCGGGCTCGAGCACCGACGTCTATGAGCTCGGCGAGGGCAAGAAGAAGTTCAGCTCGGATTATGATACCGAATCTCGCGTCGACTCGACGAGGTTCTCCACTGCTTCGGGGATCACTGATTCGCCTTCAAACTTCGAATATGATGAGTGCGTGTCTTGTCGTCTAGCCTTCTTTACCTCACACTGACCGACGTGTTTTAGCGAGTCTCCTTATCCCGAGGTCCGTGCCGCAGTGTCCAGCACCGACGACCCTTGCATGCCGGTCAACACATTCCGCATGTGGGTCATCGGTCTGTTCTACACTGTCATCATCTCTGGTTTGAACCAGTTCTTCTCTATGCGATGTAAGTTTTCATGGCCAACCAAATTGTCGCGATGCTTACGTTGCCGTAGACCCGTCCGTCATCATCACTGGCATCGTCGCTCAGTTGACCGCTCTGCCTATCGGTAGGCTCATGGAGCGCGTTCTCCCGATGACCCGCTTCACGACCCTCGGCTACACGTGGTCGTTCAACCCCGGCCCGTTCAACATCAAGGAGCACGTCCTTGTCACTGTTATGGCCAACGTCGTCGTTAGCGGTGCTTACGCCACGGATATCGTCGCCACCCAGAGGATCTTCTACAACCAGACCCCCAGCCTAACGTACCAAATCTTCCTCACCCTCTCCACGCAGCTGCTCGGTTTCTCGCTCGGTGGTCTCCTCCGCCGGCTGCTCGTGTATCCGAGTTCGATGATCTGGCCCGGCGCCCTCGTCAACTGCGCGCTGTTCAATACGCTCCACCAGAACTACGGCAAGAAGGAGAACAAGCACATCTCCAGGGAGAAGTTCTTTGGGTTCGCTGTCCTCGGCAGCTTCCTGTGGTACTGGTTCCCCGGGTTCCTCTGGACCGGCCTCAGCGTGTTCAACTGGGCGTGCTGGATTGCCCCGAACAACATCGTCGTCAACCAGCTCTTCGGCACGAGCTCTGGTCTCGGCATGGGTCTCCTGACCTTTGACTGGTCCCAGATCGCGTATATCAGCAATCCGCTTGTTTCACCTGTAAGTGCCTTTGCTTCTTTGTGCGAGGCTATTGCTTATATTGCCGTATAGTGGTGGTCAGAGGCCAACACTGGTGCTGGTCTCGTTATTTGCGTTTGGATTATTGCCCCAGTCTTGTATTGTACGTTGCTCACCCACTAGTCTGCCGATCGGTGTTCTGACCTCTGTGTAGATACTAACTCGTGGTACATGAAGTACCTCCCGATGTCGTCGTACCAGGCGTTCGACAACACCGGCCTTCCTTATGATGTCACTAGGATCATCACCAACAACCAGTTTGACGAGGCCAAGTACATAGGTTACTCGCCCGTCTTTATCTCGGCTACGCTGGCCGTCGCTTATGGCGTTGCTTTTGCCGCGTTTTCGTCTGTCGTTGTGCACACTTTCCGTACGTGATCCTTGCATCTCTCTCTTACTTCCGTTTTCTGACCTTTCCATAGTTTGGTACCGCAAGGATATCATGAGACGTGTCCGTTATGGCCTCAAGGACGAGCGCGACGTGCATTCCCGCCTCATGCAGTCCTACGCTGAGGTCCCTCAGTGGTGATACGCTGCCCTCGGCGCCGTCATGTTCATTCTCCTCTTCGTCACCATCGAGATCTTCCCTACGGAGCTGCCCATCTGGGGTGCCATCCTCGCCTTCGTCATCGCCGCCCTCCTCTCAGTCCCCGTCGGCATGATCCAGGCCATCACCAACCAGCAGATCGCTCTCCAGGTCATGCACGAGATGATCGGTGGTTACGTCCTCCCTGGACGCCCCGTCGCCGTCATGATCTTCAAGGCGATCGCGTACATTGGCACCAACCAGGCCGTCGGCTTCAGCGGAGACTTGAAGCTCGGCCACTACATGAAGATCCCACCGCGCCTCATGTACGTTGCACAGGTCGTCGCGGCCTGCCTGAGCAGCGTCGTCGTCATCCTGGTGCAGAACTGGATGTTCAGCAACATCGTGGACATGTGCGCGCTCGACCAGCCGCAAGGCTTCTCCTGCCCCTCGACCGGCGTCTTCGCAACGTCCTCGCTGCTCTGGGGTGGAATCGGGCCGCGCCGGCTGTTCAGCCCAGGGAGCATGTTCAACGCGCTGCTGTTCTTCTTCCTGATCGGCGCGCTGCTGCCCATCCCGTTCTACTACCTCGCGCGGCGCTACCCGCTCTCGTACTGGCGCTACGTGAACATCCCGATCTTCTTCGCGGGCATCGGCGCGCTCCCGCCCGCGACGGGCATCAACTACTCGTCGTGGGTCGCCGTCGGGTTCTTCTTCCAGTGGTTCATGCGCCGGTACCACTTCCGCTGGTGGATGCGGTACAACTATATTCTCTCGGCGGGGCTGGACGCGGGCGTCGCGATCAGCATGATCGTGATCTTCTTCTGTTTGCAGTTCCCCAAGGGCGGGGTGAATCTGTCCTGGTGGGGCAACGACTTTTGGCAGACGACGGCGGACGTGATGGGCCTGCCGCTGCTCATGCCGCCTGTGAACGGGACGTTTGGTCCCGGCTCGTGGTCATAAGGATCGGGCTGGCACGCACGCGGACTTTTTTCTTTCTTTCTATCTTTCTTTCCTATTTCTCTCTTGGTTACCTCCTGCGCAAACTGGTTAAAACACACCCCACTTGTATCTCTAGACGACGGGTCCCTCCCCTACATCCTACTTCACACGCACGATCGACGAGACGATGATGATGAAACCCTTATAGTGATATCCCCACCCCCTTTCTTGACTATGCACCGACCGCACGACCTGTCCTTGACGGAGATACCGAGCTGTATGTTTTGGATGCATACACCCCCCTTTTCTTATATCTTTCATTCTTTACTGAATACCTTTTTGACGATCAAACCGTTTTACGTTATTCCATTTCGGTTCCGCGACGCATTTTCTTTCACGCATCTTACCTGCTATTGTTTGTTGTACCGACTACATACCCAATGAAACATCATCGACAGACAAAATGAGCGATCTTAAGAAATTTGAAACCATGCAAACTCGAACATCTGTGGACGGAGAAGTCTTAAGTGGAGATTTCACCATAAAAGCAAAGACATGAGAGCCGCTGTTTGACTTAGCCCTCGCGGAAAGATTTTTCTTTTCTTCCGCTCAAGAAATACGACAGCGGAATTATGGCTAGCATTGCGACGATGCGCGAGATTTGAGCACAAAGACGAACAGGGAGATACCGTATGCAAAACACAAGATATCAACAACATCTACTGCGGCAGCCCCCAGATCCTGACCTCGCGCCCGCTCGTTCCCCACACCTCCTTGCCCTGCGCGCCAAACACGATCGACGACACATCGCCCGCCTCCTCGAAGCGCGCGAGCTCGTCCCACGTCTTGTGCGCAAACAGGCGCACGCCCTCGGAGCCCGCGACGCCGAGGAACTGCGCGCTGTAGTCGTACGCGACGCGCCCGATCTTGAAGCCGTCGCCGAGCGCGATGCTGTGCGCCGCCTTCATCTTGCGCAGGTCCCAGATCGCGACCGAGGACGTGCTGTCCGGCGCGAGGAGGTGGTAGCCGTTCTCGGAGAACGAGAGCGAGTTCACCGCGAACGGCGTCTCCACGTCCGGCGGGCTGATCGTCGCGGCGACGGAGCCCGTCCTGACGTCGCAGATCTGGATCTTGGAGTTGGCCGTGCCGAGGGCGAGCAGCGCGCCGTCGGGGTGGACAGCGAGCGAGCTGAAGGGGTCGTCGAACGGCGAGGACTGGTAGATCTGCGTGAAGTTGGTGAGCTCGTGTAGCGAGTAGGTTTTATCGGCCGAGCCGAGGATGGCGACGGTCGACGTTGGGTGCACGGCGAGGCCGGTGAGCTCGCCCTTGTGCAAACGGATGGTCGCCTTGGGGAGGAACTCGCCCGAGGCGGAGTCGTGCGACCAGATCTTGGCGACCTTGTCGGCGCCTGCGGAGAGGATGAGGGTGTTGTCACCCTCCTTCTCGCGGAAGCTGACGTGGTTGACCTTCTTGGTGTGTCCCTTGAGGGAAGCAAGGACCTTGTCCGTGCTGCGGTCATAGAGCTGGACAATCTTGTCGTTGCCCCCAGTCAAGAACTGCGAAGGGTTGGCGGACGAGACAGCAAGCGAGTTGATACCGGCGGGCGAGGCAGAGTGAAGGGAGGGGATGGTGTGAATCGCAGTGAAGGTCTTGACCTCTGCGGGAGTGGCCCAGCCTGCGGGAGCCTTGCGCTTCTTGCGTGCCGCGGAGAGGGCAGCCTGAGTCTCGTTCATCTGGTCGACAATCTCCTTGGGAAGTCCTTCCTGTGCTCCGTTCTCCTCAGCCATCTCAACATCACCGCCAGCGGGTGCAGGAGTAATGCCCATGGATGCCTGGACGTTTGACAAAGCCCTAGTGAACGAAAAAATAAGTTACACGTCCACATGCGCAAGAACTGGACGTACTCTCTCGAGGAATCGCGTTCGCGGATGAGACGAGCGACGACACGGTTGGCAGCGTCCTGAGCGTATAGAGCATAGCTCAGCTCTTGGCGAAGAGAGTTATTTTGCTGCCTGAGGTTAGACATTTCAAGGACGAGGGCGTCCCACTCATTTTGGAACGTGTGGAGAAGAGCGGGTATGGACGTCGCAGTCGGTGGTCGTGGGGCGGCAGCTTTTGCACCTGAACAAAACCATAAGTACCTCCCGGTTCACGAGGAAAATGTATGCAACGCACTAGCTTTAATGCTGATGAGGTCCGCCTCCTCGAGCTTCTCTCCGCTGACTGGGTCAGTGCCGTTGTCTGCGAGATACTTGAGGATGAGACGACGCTCGTAGACGTGGCCGGTCTTGGTGGAGACGACGGGGTCCTGGGGGGGCTCTCCGGAGATGGAGCAGGTGAGGGACATGGCGAGTTGCGAGTGGCCGACGACGACGCGCGCCTCAACAAGAAACAGCAAACCACGCGTCGACTTCTTTGTTGGTGCATGTTTGCTTCCGCTCCTTTCTTTCCTTGTTAGAATATTTGTTATCTTTCTTGCTACTGTATTATAGAAGTCAAATATCAGATGGCAGACAGGAAACAGCAGCTCGTCCTCGCCATCCTCGACTTCCTCAACGACTCCGTCGCGGATGGCACGGTCAAGCAGGACGACAAGGAGAGTCTCGACGTCGCCAGTGCGCCTCACCATCTCTCTGTCTACCCTTCGCCCCCATCCTGATCTTTCCCCACCTCGCCGTTATTCTAGTACAGTGCATCGGCGAGGCCTTTGGCGTTGATCACGCAGACGACGCCCAGCGCGAGCGGCTGAGCATCAAGCCCGCCAAGCTGCAGACCATCTTTGATGTCTTCCTCAAGACGCGCGACAAGGTCGGCAGCGGGCCGTCAGCCGGTGGTGCAGCCGCCGTCCCCTCCGCAGCTGCCGCCTCCCCCTCGCCGCGCGCTGCATCCGCCGCCGACAAGGCAGAGGCCGAGAAGCGCAAGACGGAGGGCAACACGCATATGACGGGCAAGCGCCACGATCAGGCCATCCAGTCGTACACCCAGGCCATCGAGCTCGACGGCGCCAACCCGGTCTACTACTCGAATCGCGCAGCCGCGTACGCGAGCAAGGGTGACCACGCCTCTGCTGTGCTCGACGCCGAGAAGGCGATCGAGGTCGACCCGTCGTTCGTCAAGGCGTACTCGCGTCTGGGGTACGCGATATCTCCTCCCTGTACGATCTTGATCGTTCGTGCGCTCACTGACCCCTGTTTGTGATTGCACACAGACACGCACACTACACGCTCGGCGACTACAAGGCCGCCGCCGCCTCCTTCCGCCGCGGCGTTGAGCTCGACCCCACAAACGCGAACCTCAAGTCCGGCCTGAAGAGCGCTGAAGACCACATCACCTCAGAAAACAATGACGACGACGACGACAGCCTGCCGCCTCTCGTGCCCGACACCGCCTCCGCGCGCGGTGCCGGCGCAGGCGCAGGCGCAGGCGCAGGTGCAGGCGGCATGCCAGATCTCTCAGGCATGGCCGACATGCTGCGCGGCATGGGCGGTGGTGCAGGCGCAGGCGGCGCGGGCGGGGGCATGCCCGACATCGCGAGTATGATGAACAACCCGATGATGATGCAGATGGCGCAGCAGATGATGGCCGGCGGCGGCCTGGACCGCCTCATGCAGAACCCCGCGGTCGCGAACATGGTCAGTGCAATATACAATGTGTTGAAGCTCGATTGAGAAACAGCCACTGACAACTATGCTTTATTTGACGCACAGATGAACCGCGTCCAGTCTGGCGGATCGATGCCGTCGATGCAGGAGATCATGGCGGACCCGAGTCTCCGGGATCTGTGAGTCGCCTAGAATCCCTCGTGCCCTAACTAGAGTCACTGATGTCTGAAATAATCAACAGCGCAAACCAGTTTGGAGGCGCAGGAGGCGCAGGAGGTGCGGGAGGTGCAGGTGGCAGATGATAGACAGCGTAAACGCCGAGGACGTTGAATGTCTTTCCAGAAATCATCTTGAGAACATACTAAAATCAAGTAATCAGTGGACCATGTTGAGGATGCAGGATATTTCCAGCTCGCTTTTTGCATATTCGACGGAAAAGACACTCAAACCTGTCCCAGTGTTTACATTACGAGACAAAACGTGATTTATTCTCACTTTGGTATAAAACGGGTGGTCTACAATCTGTGATACGGTAATAACAATACGAGCATCCACGAATGACCAAAAATGGGTTGAGATCCAGCTGGGGAGGGACGAATCCGAGGGATCAAATAAGCAGTCTAGGTAGGCTGAATGATAATGTACACCGAGAGGAGAGCACGAGAGGAGGAAAAATGAACATGCGAATGAATATGGAGTGTGGAATGCCGTTGCGTCAGATCAAAAATGCAACCCAAGTATGTACGAACGAAGTCCGGAGTGGTATTATAATAAGGATAAAGGCCGTGTTGTGTAGTGGAGCTGCCAGTGCCAAAAGAAAAGGACAGAGAAAGATAAGATAAGACAAACAAACAAGAGAAATACGCAGAACGGCCAAGTTACACGGGGTGCAAGAGGTCAAGCCGGGCGAAGATGGGGTGGAGCAGACAAGGAGTGAACAGCGGCGGCTATTAGGCCTCGCCGCGCAGGCAATGCATGTACAAGGAGAGGAAGCCGATGCAGACAACAGAGGAAGCAAAAGCACGAATGATAATCGATAAACGGGGGTGGGGGGAGCGCGGCGTGCGATGCCAATTAACGGCCAGTGTTGGACGATAAGATAAACGAGACCTTCCAGGACGACAGAATCCAGAGGACGAACAAGGCGGCGATCGATCAGCAACACAAGTCGTCGCACACCGCCTCTATAGCAAGACGGGGCGCCGCCGCCCGGCCGCTGCTAGCCTGCAGCTTCTCGTTCAGCCGGCGAGAGAGCGCAGGCGGGACGAGATCGAGCTGCACAGGCATGTCCACGGGGTGGCCCTGCGAGCGCGAGCGTGAGATGCGGCTTGGCAAAACGCAAAAGGCGACGTTATTACGTACATGAGCAAGATGGTACCGCAGACCGCTGAGCTGCTTGTACCGATTGAAGCAGTTATCGTGCGGACACACATACTGCTTCTTGCCCTTATCCTCGCCGTCCTCCGGCGAGCCGCCGCCGCCGCTGCTAGCGGAACTCTGGGCCGCTTCGACGCTAGCGTTGAACGACGTGCGCATGATCGTCGTGGAGATGGCGTGCTGGAAGTGCGCCTTCGAACTGTCAAATCAAGCCAAGGTTAGAGTTCGGCAATGGCGATGGGGGTGAATTGAATGCAAAACACACGCACATTTGCAAATGGTACTGGAGCCCATTGATGCTCTATTTTTTGGGAAATAAACCCGGTTAGCGTCGTCCAGGTACGTGCTGATCGACAGCGCAAGAATGTGGAGTAAGACGCTCACCTTCCATGACTTGCCGCATCCTTCGAGACCGCATCGATACGGACGGTCACCGCCAGCGTCGTCGGGGTGGGCCGCCTTGTTGTGGTCCGAGAGGCCGCGGGACGTGCGGAACATGTGCGAGCTCTGCTTGGCCTCCGCGGGCCAACACGTCTCATGACCGCACGCATAAGGTTTGACGTTCGGACTATGCCGCGCAGGTGAGACAGAAAAGGGGGGTCGTCTGCATTAGGCAGGGTGAACAGATGACAACATCATGACCACTCACTCATTGGTCGCGGGCAGATCCGAAGAAAGCCGCAGCGGTGCCTGAAGATCCGGTCGGCGCCGGTTGCCCATTGGCCGGGGCCTTGGCCTCGGTCCGCCACGAGGGTAGTCGCCCGCCGCACCAGGGAAGCCTCCGTCGGGCTGTGTGTCCGAGGACGCGGCCCCGCCTTGTTCCAACTGAGACGTGGAGCCGGACTCAGACTTTGGCGTGGGGGGCGGTGCCATCGAAGACGAAGAAGACGAGCCCCGCATGTAGCCAGGATACGGACTCCCAGCGCCGGCAGCTCTCTGCCCGTTCTGAGCTAGCGATGCCGAGTTGTACGAGTTCTGCCGTTCGCCTGGTTGCATATACGTCCGGTGGGCGCCCGCCTCGCGAGAAAGTGCACGCTCGCTGGGATGAATGTACGTCCTGTGAACAGGGAAGTTTGCCGAGTTGCGAATCTGGACCGGGGGAATGGGTGGGTAAAACCCGGGCTTCGTCCCAGCCTGCTGTTGCTGCTGTTCGCCACACGGGGTAGCAGACTGCGCGCGCTCTGGCATCGGCTGCTGAGAAGCGCGATTAGGAGCTTGACCACCATGGTAGTAGGGGCCTTGATGAAGCGCCGAGACATCGACATTGTTCTGATGCTCATATTGGGACTGAGGGGTCAGGTACACCGAGTGACTAGAGTGGCCAGAGTGATCATGAGCACTGTGCAAGTGGGGCATGTTCATCTGCGAGTGACTCTGCTGGGAGCCAGAGAAGTGCATCATATCGCCCTCTGGACGCGTCGAGGCCTGAGGTAGTTGATGCTGAGGGGTTGGCGCATTCTGGACATGCTCGGCCTGAGGGGTATAGTACGAGTGACTAGAGACGTGCTCCTGGGTCTGAGGCTGGGGTATGTACGAATCAAAGTGCGAATTCGCAGGGCTCGGCAGGGTGACCTCGTTAGACTGCCCGACATGGAGCTGTTGTTGCTGGTACGACAGGTTGTCAGTTACAGCAGGCGTGCTCGGTGTAGAGAAGTCCGAGTGATAGTCAAAGTGCAGCGAGTACCCCTGGTGAGCAGCGTCAGGAGTGCGATGATCGGTGTTGTAGCCTGGCAGAGTAACAGTCAAAGGTTGTTGCCGCTGCGACGAGTGATGTTCGTGTTGCTGATGTTGGTGAGTACTGGGGCCAGCGCCAAAGTCGGACGAGGAGGGATGTGGCGAAGACAGCGCAGAGCTCAGGGACGAAGATGAGTACTGGAACGAGACATCGGTGGCAAGTGGAGCACCAGTGTTTTGAAAACTGTGCCGGAGGGTGGTGTCGTCGATCGATGGAATGTCCCACTGCGGCGTTTGAGAGTAGACGGGAGTGTGGGACCATGGAGCAGGCTGGTACTCGACCAAGGGGCTTGGCGCCTCGCTGGGGGGCAGCGACGAAGGGAGGGGCTGCTGGACGCGTTGGTCAGTGGAGGCGGACATGGCGGTTGAACGCTTGCGCTCGAGGAGCCTCCACCTATGGGCGCGAAGGGAAGGGGAGAGGGCATTAGCATCAGGCGGGTGCTATTATTATAGGCGAAAGCGAGGGAAAGCACCTGTTACGGCAAGCGAGACCGCTTCGCTGAAGCTCTTGGCCAACGACGCCCCAGCGACCACCGAGGCGAAGGAAGGCTTCGGCGAGCTTATCGTCCTCTTCCTGGGTCCACTCGTCGCGTTTGAGAGAGGGGTCAAGAGCCTCGCGATAGCGTTTGGAGCAGGCATCATCTGTGCGACCGGGAATGTGGCGGGCTATGACGGACCACTTGGTGTGGTGGATTTTGTAGAGGTCGAGCAGAACCCTGTCCTCCTCTGGGGTCCACGCCGATTTTCTAATGTTGGGAGAGAGGGAGTGTAACCAGCGCTGGAAAGAAGTATTTGAGCTGGAGGGGCCGGCGGGGTTGTCGCGGGGACAGACCTTTCTGCATGCCTTATTGGTGCGACCAGGCACTGCACGAGCGATGGCCTTCCAGTTGTCTGATTCGCCGTGGAGAGCGACTGCCTGTACGAGTAGGTCGTCTTCGTTGGCCGTCCACGGTCTGCCGGCGCTGCGTTCCATGGTGTGGTCGCGTCCCCTGAGGAGTGTGGTGGAGAAGAGGAGGATGGGAGGACAGCGGATAGTTGTGTTGCGACCAGCAATGGACTGGGCTTGGGCTGTCACTCGGCGGACAAGACCTTCTCACACACCGTATCCCTTGATGCCCCTATGTACGTAACATTCTCACGTGCTCCTCCTTCCGCGACTTACACGCGCTCAAACCGGCCACCACTCCCTCCACAACATGTCTCTCCTTCCAGAATACTCTTCAGACGAGGATGCGGCAAAGGATGCCTTCAGCCTCTCAAAGCTGCCCACAACAAAGAAGCAGCGCACAGAGTACATTCCCACAACAGTAACAGACTCGGCCCCTCATGTGCTCTCCGAGGTATGTCGTACAACAGCTACATTGTACTTGTGCTAAACCATGTTCGATGTGCGCAGGACCCGCTCAACCAGACCTCGCTGGTCATCCGGCCCACAGACACCCAGATGAACGTCAACATCCCCTACCAGGACATGCTCCTCCCAATACAGGGCCCCGACAACCCCTTTGGCGACCGCAATCGCTTCGTGAACCAGAACGCGCTCGCGGGCCACGTCGAGGAGCAGTCCATGGACGACAACGCCTTCAAGGAGCAGCACCTCACCCACGCCATCCTCGGCTACTCCGTCAACCCCTCCATCGACCCCAGCGCCCCCGCCATCCTCGGCTCCGCTGAAAAAGCACAGCAAAACGGGTTCGCCACCATCACCTCCATCCGCACGTCCAATGCCGAAAAGAAGGATCTGAAGCGAAAACGGCAGAAGAAGGGCGATGTGGATATTGTCGATGGCGACGGCGCCTATGTGGGCCCGTGGGCATCGTGGGATGGCGACGAGAAGCAGGGCACGATCCCCGGTGCGGACGCGAACGCAGAGGCAGAGGCAGAAGAAGAAGAAGAGGAAGAAGAGGAGGAGGAGGAGCCGGGGCCCCAGGTCCAGCGGAGGCGGGCCAAGCCCAAGCGCGGGGGCGTGGGCCAGGAGTCGTCCGTCTTCCATGGCAAGTCTATGACCGACTACCAGGGCCGGACGTACATGCACCCCCCGGTCGCCGAGGCGCCGAACCTCACGGCCGAGCCGGGCTCGCAGGAGACGTTCATCCCCAAGGTGTGCATCCACACATGGACGGGCCACACCCAGGGCGTGTCCGTCATCCGGCTCTTCCCCGATACGGGGCACCTTCTGCTCAGCGGGTCGATGGACACCAAAATCAAGGTGAGCGTCAATTGAATGAAACGCGCTTTTGTTGCGGTTCCGCGCGCACGTATGCTAATTCCGTGCTGCAGCTCTGGGACGTGTACACTCATGGCAACTGCCTCCGTACGTTCCACGGGCACACGCAGGCCGTCAAGGACGTTACGTTTTCAAACGATGGGCGCAGGTTCTTGTCGTGCGGCTATGATCGGCAGATGAAGCTGTGGGACACGGAGACGGGCCAGTGCATCAAGCGCTTCAGCAACGGGAAGACGCCGTATGTCATTCGGTTCCACCCGGACGAGGACAAGCAGCACATCTTCCTCGCCGGCATGTCGGACAAGAAAATCATACAGGTAGGCGTTAGCACAAATTTAACCGTGCTAAGAATGTGCTCAACACCCGATGCTAGTACGATATGGACTCTGGGGAGATCACGCAAGAATACGACCAGCACCTCGGGCCTGTGAACACGATCACATTCGTCGATGAGAACCGACGGTTCGTGACGACGTCAGACGACAAGACTATTCGCGCGTGGGACTACGACATTCCCGTCGTCATCAAGTACATCGCGGAGCCGCACATGCACTCGATGCCCGCTGTGACGCTGCACCCCTCCAGTGCGTATATTTACCCCGCCCCGTGATGCATCGCCAATCTAACCTCTTTTTCTCCTCGAATGAACGCAACTCTACCACTCCCCCACTGTGGATCCTTTCCCACCCATACCTTATTTCTGAACGCCTGATTGCCCCGCGCAGAAAAATACTTCGCCGCGCAGTCGCTCGACAACCAGATCCTGATCTACAGCACAGACAACTTCCGGCAGAACCGCAAGAAGCGGTTCGCGGGGCACTCTGTGGCGGGGTACGCGTGCCAGGTCGGGTTCTCGCCCGACGGGAAGTGGATCAGCAGCGGGGACAGCGAGGGCAGCGTCGTGTTCTGGGACTGGAAGACGGGGCGCATCAAGTCGCGGCTCAAGGCGCACAACAAGGTCGTCATCGCGCACGAGTGGCTCCCGCACGAGTCGGTGCGTTTTCGTTTTATTTTGGTGTTGTTTATTCCTGGGTTTGCTCACGGGTTGTATTTTTTATAGAGCAAAGTCGTGACGGCTTCGTGGGACGGGTTGATCAAGCTCTGGGTACGTTGTGGTATTTCTGGGCTCCAGTCGTATGTCTGCATGCTGACGGTGATCTTCTTCGACGTTTACAGGATTAGACCAACTGTATTGTACTACACACACACATCTTTGCAAATTACACTGCGAATCGTTCGCGCTTAATGACATCACGCATGTGCTTCTACACTTGTAGGCTCTGGGCTGATGGGTGACAAGCTTGCGGTGAGGCGTTGGGCAACTCCACCAACGATAAGCTTAAGCATAAGGTTCCGTGCCGAGGAGCCACTGAACTTGTCAGCAGAAAATGAACGGGGCGCTGAGTTTACGTTTATGTTTGGACGGCGTCAAACGGCGTCAACAAGGTTGGGACAATGAATTCCGTGGCGCGCTGTGTCCCGGATGGAATGCAGGCGATAACAAGATTAGAACCGCTGCTGGGGCGTTGCGAACACGTTATATGAAACCGGGATTCAGCTGGTGGTGCGTCGCGGTGACATGAAATGCTGCGTTGTATATGGGTGTGGTAGGTATATATGCGTGATGGGATAAGTGTGATGCGTTCACGGAGGATCAGATGACAAGGGATCATGGGAACGATGGCGGGATGATGAGATTCACAGGTGGGGCTGGATGGAGAATGTGAGTGGCTGGCCAGCGCGGCGTTGTGCAAAGATAGGCACGCTGGCGTGCTGCTGCGCATTTTCTTGTGCATAGAATGGGGTGGGCGGGCACAGTTAACTGGGAGTCACACATATGTGAGGGCGTGGCCAGGTACCGGCAGTCCGGTGACGTCTTGCCAGCTTATCGAGTGCGTTGTCGGGTGGGGACTCGTCTGCTGCCGGGCGTCACCGAGTCTGAGCGAGAGTGCGCGAGTTTCGTGCGAGGGCCAGGCTGTGTTCGGCTCGGAGGGTTGGGGGGTCGACGGGTGATGAGGTGACTGAGATGGGGTGGAGGAGGCGAGAAGGGAGCGGGCCAGGGGGAGGGATCCAGAGGCCGGAATGGGATGTTGACGTCGAGGCGAGGATGCTACTGTTTTGTATCATTTATTATAAGCGGGGCCCGATTCTTGTGCCTGGAGCGCGTGCCCAGCGTACCGGATTCGTTCCCTTCCTTATAGCTATTTAACATCGTCCCTCCCATTCCCCACCACGCTTCCTTTTCCTCCCCGACCTGAGCGCACACAGTACAATGTACACAACAAAGTTCATCCTCGCAGTCGTCCTCGCAGCCGTCGCCTTCGTGTCTGCTGCACCCGCACCCGTGCGTATATCACCGCGTCTCTCTCAACCGACTTATCGCTCACCCACCGTTTCCCTTTTACACAGTTGCCACGCCTCGATGTAAGCCGAGTGCCTTGATGCCAATGAACCATTCAAAGCTTAAACTTTTATTCCTTCCCCTCGTAGAACCAGGACCGTGCCGGTCCCAAGACCGACAACTGGGGCGGAGGAGGTGGCCCAGGTGGTCCCGACTGGTAGATGACGTACCAGTCGTATGTCGCTATCGACAACCACACATCGTGAGTCCCCCTCCCTCCCCCTTTCGCCCGACACCACATCACAAGGTGCTAACGCCGCATATCTTCTGCCCTCCTTGCGGTATTCTGTTATTTCCGACGCTGCGCACCAGCTCTCTCCCGGCCAGACGCACAAAGTTTACCCTGTTCGCCGAGTTCCGTCCTAGTTTGCGCCCACGATCCACTATTGGATAGCGCCATCTGCAGTATACTTACTTCTACATCACCACTGCGCCCACCCATACCCACATCAACCCTCTTTTTTATCTTACTCAATCTGACCTGGGTGGGCTGCACGCTATTTTGCCAACTGTCTCCCCAGTGTATCCAAATTGTATATGCGTTCTCCCATCCCATCCCATTCCACCCGACACCCCACCCGCCATATTCACTCGCAACATCTTGTTGGCTTGGTCTATGGATATATCCGTCTGGACTGCAGCCGCATTATTGATTATTCGCTTTCAAGTGCATTCTGACTGGCATTGACATAGGTAGCCATTTTTCGTTGTATCTTTCGTTGGCATCCTTTTCTTGGTATTTAGAAAAGGGTACTAGTCTCGAGTGACCTGTTGCCCTTTTCTTGCTTTTCAATGAGTACATTGATCTGTCCTCGACTGCATGTCGTGTGTCTGCCCAGAAGTAACAGTAGGCCGATATGTCATGACCCGTGAGACAATGAGCCACTCACGCGACTGGAGCGTTTCAATGAGTGTCGCGTCGCGTGTTTTTTCCCAACCGCGTCCTCCTCCCTCCCTCCTCCCCTCACTACCATGTCCATGCTCGATGAGCCCGTTCCCCAAGATGATCTCATGCGAGATCGCACGCGTATATTCGAAGAGTTTCTCATTTCCGAATCAGCAGTGTACAACTACAGAGACGACATCGCCCGCCTCCTCCGCACAGATCAGACTCGCCTCGTCATCAACATCGACGACCTCCGCGACTACAACCGCGAATACGCAGATGGCCTCCTCAAGCAGCCGGGTGACTTTCTCCCCGCGTTCGACGACGCCCTTTCCGAGATAGTGAAGCAAGTGCACGACCCCGACAAGCACGACCCCTCCAGCAAGAACTACCGCGTCGGCTTCAGCGGCTCGTTCGGCGACCACCATGTGAGCCCGCGCACGCTCAAGTCGGAGCACCTGGGCAGGATGATCTCGCTCGAGGGCATCATCACGCGGTGCTCGCTCGTGCGCCCGAAGCTGCTCAAGTCGGTGCACTACTGCGACGAGACGAGCATGTTCCACTCGCGCGAGTACCGCGACGCGACGTCGTCGACGTCCAACCTGCCCCCGACGTCGAACGTCACGCCGCAGACGGACGACGAGGGGCGCGCGCTCCAGATCGAGTATGGGCTGTGCACGTTCCGCGACCACCAGCGGATAAGTATCCAGGAGATGCCGGAGCGTGCGCCGGCGGGGCAGCTGCCGCGGAGCACTGATATTATCCTGGACGATGATCTGGTGGACAAGTGTAAGCCCGGTGACCGGGTGCAGCTCGTCGGTCTGTTCCGCAGCGTGGGCGGCGGCGGCAGCGGTGCTTTCAAGTGCGTACAAGCAGCTCTAAACGCGTCTTTTCACGCTCGCTCACTCACCCCCCGCTGCATCGCGCAGGTCCCTCATCCTCGCCAACAACATCAACCTCCTCTCGTCCAAAATCGGCGGCGGAATCGCACAGACGCCGATCACAGACACCGACATTCGGCAGATCAACCAGCTCGCAAAGCGCGCCGACATCTTCTCGCTCCTCTCCAAGTCGCTCGCGCCGTCCATCTTCGGACACGACAAGATCAAAGAGGCCGTCCTGCTCCTGCTCCTCGGCGGCGCGGAGAAGAACCTGCCGAACGGGACGCACATCCGCGGCGACATCAACATGCTCATGGTCGGCGACCCGTCCACCGCCAAGTCGCAGATGCTGCGCTTCATCCTGGGCACGGCGCCGCTCGCGATCGCGACGACGGGCCGCGGGAGCTCCGGCGTGGGTCTGACGGCGGCGGTGACGACGGATCGCGATACGGGCGAGCGGCGGCTCGAGGCGGGCGCGATGGTGCTTGCGGACCGCGGGGTGGTGTGTATCGACGAGTTCGACAAGATGTCGGATATCGATAGGGTGGCGATTCACGAGGTGATGGAGCAGCAGACGGTCACGATCGCCAAGGCCGGTATCCACACGAGCTTGAACGCGCGGTGCAGCGTCGTCGCTGCCGCCAACCCCATCTACGGCCAGGTAAATATCTTGCATTTCTCTATAGTGGTTTCGCACTGCTCATGGTGGGCGCGATAGTACGACATCCACAAGGACCCGCACAAGAACATCGCGCTGCCCGACTCGCTCCTCTCGCGTTTCGACCTGCTCTTCATCGTGACAGACGACGTCGACGAGACGCGCGACCGGCAGATCGCAGACCACGTCCTCCGCATGCACCGCTACGTCCCGCCCGGAGTCGAGGACGGCACGCCCGTCTCAGACAACCTCACACAGCCGCTCGCGATCGACGGCCCGGGCGTCGCTGCGGCGGCGGCAGCGGCGGACGGCGACGGCGCGGACGCGGGCCCGTTCGAGAAGTTCGATCCGCTGCTGCACGTAGGGTTTACGCAGCCCAAGTCGCGCACGAGGAGGGGCAGGCAGACCAAGGTCGAGGTGCTGAGTATCGCGTTTGTGAAGAAGTATATTCAGTATGCGAAGGGGCGGCCCGCGCCCGCGCTGGCCAAGGGCGCGGCGGACTATATCGTGAATGTGTATGCGAACCTGCGGAACGAGAACGAGGGCCAGGCGAACCAGAAGAGGGTGCGTGGCCCCTGCGTCTCTTTTGTCGTTCCCTCGATTGATGGTCTTATTTTTGTCAGACCGCGCCGCTCACGGCGCGCACGCTCGAGACGCTCATCCGGCTGTCCACCGCGCACGCGAAAGCGCGCCTGTCGAACAAGGTCGAGCAGCAGGACGCGATCGCGGCGGAGGAGATCATGCGCTTCGCGCTGTACAAGGAGGTCGCGCGGCGCCAGCGCCGCAAGAAGCGCAAGCCGCACACCGCGAAGGCGGGTGGCGGGGGCAAAGACGGCTCGCAGGACAGCGAGGACGAGAGCGAGGAGGACGAGGACGCCGATGGGGAGGAGGACACGCAGCCCGCGGCGCCGGAGCGCATGGGCATGCCGCAGGCCAATGGGCTGGCTAGCCAGGACAGCACGCAGGACGCGGCGATGGACGACGGGCCGTCGTCCGCGGCGCCGGTGGTCCCTCCAGCGGCCGATGGTTCACTGAGCCAGCAGAGGTGCGTCTGCGCGTTCCGTTGCTTTTGCTTCTCATGATGGCTGACATTGCATGTATTGCTGCAGGCTCCAGCTGTTCCGCAGTCGCCTCGCCAACCTGTTCTCCACGCGTCTGCAGGACGAGGAGCAGATCTTCCTCCGCGATCTTCTGGAGATGATCAACGAGGGTCTGCCCACGGACGCGCTCTTCGGGACCGCCGAGGCAACGGCCGTGTGTCAGGCCATGTCGGAGGCAGACGAGCTGATGCTTAGTGATGGAATCGTGTACAAGGTTTAAGTAAACTGGGTCCTGCTTGTCTTGGTTTTCTCTGCGTATCTGATGCATTGCTTTCTTGCTGTAACCCGGCGTAGAGTCGCTTTCCCCCCATATTGTACACTTACTCAAAAAAATGTATACCAATAATGTTGCCAGAACCTATGAACAGGGACATAACACTGCAGAGCCAGCAGACCAGGACTAATCCTCACGTATCCTCAAAATCGTCTGAATCTCCTCCATCTCAAACCCCCCAGACCCCACCTGCGTGACCCCATCAATCGCCTCCTTCAGCGCGTCCGCCTCCCCATACAACGCCTTCTCAACGCGCCCGAAACTCGCGTCGTCCGCATCGAGCAGACGCCCCGCGACCAGCAGCTTCCCCCACGGCGCCTCCGCGCGCGCGCGCGTCGTGCGCAGCGCGACGAGGCACGTCTCCGCCCACAGCTCGCACTCGGCGTGCAGCGCGTGCGTCTGCGCGCGGGGCAGCGTGCGGTGCTGGCCGCGCGTCAGGCTCGGGCGGTACAGGACCTCGCGCTGGAGAATGTGCTCGGCGAGGCGCGCGGCGATGCGCCGGTACACGCGCGTGGTCGTCGCCGGGGGGAGGACGCTCTGCAGTAGCTTGAGGATGGAGGAGAGGAGCGCGACGGCGGGCAGGAGTGTAGGCGGCACGGTGGTGTTGTCTGTGTCTTCGTGTTGCTGGGATCCGTCCTTTGGCCTTGAGAGCTGTTCAGGGACACGTTCGGAGACTTGGGCGGGTCGGTACTTACGTTATGATGGCCTGGATATGTGGCTTCAGCAGACCTTCGATCTCGCTGCACGCGTGGCTGACGAGTATGTCTTCTGCTCGAGATGCGAGCTTGGAATACTGGATGATCAGCTCCTCAAAGATGGTTCCTTCCCCTTCGGGAGGTGCCTCGCTGCTTGAAGAATCTCGTCGTCCATGCGGGTGGTTTGGATCGGGCAAGGATGGATGTTTCTCAGCGTATCCGCGAAGGAACGCCCGCCGGTTAATCTCAGACCAGAGTTCGACGAAGAACTGGAAGGCCTTCGGTCAGCACAGCCAGTGAAGCTTTCAGAACGCGGAGACCGGACTTGCCATATCTTCGCCCCAGCTTTCCATCGCAGCTTCTATGTACTTGGCGCTCAAAAGTGCTTTGCATAGACGCTGGCTGCCTTCTACGCCGCTTGTCAACCGCCTCGTGTCCATCCTTGGACCATCCACACCAAGAGCGCCCGGAACAGCACGTAAAAGTGCTGATGACAAGGTCTCGAAGGCATCCAGAGACGAAGCTATACGCGAGTGATACGACTCGAGTATAGGGAGTTGAACATGAATGAGGAAGCGCGTTTTCTGGGGGAAAGAGGGCAAGGGCGAGTAGCGATCTTGACACGGTGTGATTAAGACAACACGAGGTCGGTACGAAGTCTCTTACCTGTGACCTGTTCCACCAACGACTTTACTCTGCGGGCAGAGTTCGTCGGCTTGAGGTCGGCGCTCACATGGGCACGAGTATCATCCTCATCTTTGGCTTCGTCATCAGCAATGAGCCAGGCGTCAGAAGCACTAATGATCTCATGGTACTGATCGTCACCGACTAAACAAAAAAGGCTGGGTAAGGTTCAGTTCTGAGGCAAAGATCCACCTTGACTTACACTTCTTCTCGCCTTCTAACCAGGCATCAAACCATTCCTTCTTGTCCAGTATAATTCTACTAACCCCAGCGGGTTCGTCGGACGATGGCGTGCCCTGAGCATCATCCGTAGGGAACTCAAAACCCATCTCCCTCAAACTTGAGTCGAACACCAGCGTCTGATAGACCGTATGAGCTAGCAGAGCAGGACGTGTGCGGAGCGTCGGAATAGTGCGCCGGAGCTTTCGTTCGAGAACGGGTAGAAGTAGGTACGTGAAGTTTTGCCAGGCATTAACGGCCTTGTATGAAGTCCTCTGGATTAGCCTTTGAACGACAGTGTCCATAAACGGTCGGTGGTCGTGGGCAGAGTTGATGATGTGCGTAAAGAACCATTCGGGCTGTCATACACATAAGCAATCATCCCAGCAGCTTTTAGAACCGACGACTCACTTTATCAACACGGTTGGTCTCCCGAGTGCCGTCGAAGTGAAACTTGAACCGGAGTGCTATAGGCTGCACGAGTGCCTCAAGAGGGTACAGACCAACAACTTTGGGAGGGCGTTCCGAAGCTGTGCCATCTATACGCAACTGTTTCGAACTATGATGCTTTGAGTGAACAAATCGGGGCTCAGCATCGATGCACCCACATATCTTGCAGTCTAGCAAGGTCAGCAAAGGCAGCCTCAAACGCTGTTCTGTCCTTCACGTCTGCCGCAACATAGTCCACAGGCATTGGCCATTTGAGCTTTTCGGCCGCAGAAATGAGGTTGCTTCCCAGAGATCAGTTCCACGACCAGTAGAGAACAAGGTCTTGGACTTACTTGGACAGCGCCGCCTTGATCTCAGCCCACGTCCTATCCTTGACATTTTTAAGAAATTTGACGAGATGCAGCGGCCCATCCCCATTGCCCAAGTCTTCCGTCGCAGAACACGCCTGTGTCACATCTTCGACGAAAGCCTGAAGCGCTTGGAACTCCGAAGTGGAAGACAGCGTCAACGGCGACGAGGCGGTGCTCATCTGCTTCACAGCCGCTTCGCTATCAGACCCACGCCCTGTCAGCACGCGCTTGTGAGCTTGGCGTATGTTACGCACCTCAGGACGAGGGCGCGCTCGGCTACACCGACGTAAGCTCTGACGCTCTCGAGCTCCTTAAGGGACCGGTGCATAGTCTCCAGATCCTCGAGCAGCGTGGGCTCCCTCTCGGCACCGTCCGTTGACATCGAGGAGACGAGCTCGAGGGAGAGTCCCTCGAGATCCGCTGCCAGACTCTCCTGTTGCGAAATGAGGTCATTCGTCGTGTCGAGGTGTCCTTGTGCGGTCGAGCGCGTATTCCGTATGAGCTCGTCGATGTCCTTGGTCGATGCTGAGAGCTAACTGAGTTGCGGTCATGGTGTGCCTTTAGGCTTCTGGAAGTGCACGGACCTGGTCCTTGAGTGCGTCCCTGCTCGTGCTGGCTTCATGGAGTGCATCATCGAGCGTGCTCAGCTGGGTACAGTCCGGGAACTGCGCGTTTATCTTGTCCAGGGCATGTTTGTGCGCGTCAGATAAACTGGGTGGCTCGCGCAGATTGTGGATGCGGACGGATGTCATAAGTGGTCTAGTAACTGCCAGTGGGGAAGTCGGGGCGCGGCAAGTCGACGCACATAACGTGTAAGCACGTGGCATGCACTCGAAAGCGTCATTAGCCCCTGAGTACGAACTTGTAGAGCGCAATAAACGGCGTCGACATTGGTGACAGAACTGAGGTGATCTAAGCTATTCGAAAGGGAGCCAATGTACATTATAGATTCCTTACAGACACCACACAAGGACCGCTTCTCGCCGTATTTTAGCAGACATTCACTACCCACATCTGTCAAGATGACTCCTTCGAGGTGTCAGGTGCACCGCTGAGTGAGCGCAGGTGAGCGCCTGGGAGAAGGCGGCATTGAGATTGCATCAGCTAGCGTTGAAATGACACTAGCAGAGCGGAAGACGAACTCAGAAAGAGCTCCACACCGCACGTACTTATAAACAGGCCGTCTTCTGCAAGTAGCACACATAGGAGTAGATAGCAGCGTTCCCTTCAACGTCATGGCTGAGATCAACTTCATCCAGAACAACGAACAATATGCCTCCAACTTCGGCGACAGAGGTAAACTGGCCCTTCCTCCGAGCAAGAAACTCATTGTTGGTGAGCCAAGTGCGAACGGTTATCCCGATATAGACGTTGAGCTTTACACCCACAGTAACTTGTATGGATGCTCGTATCAAGTGACTGTTCATATATCTGTTTGACGATTGGAGATTGACGATGTTGTTCAGCCCGGCAGAGGCCCTTGGCATCAAGGATGGCGAAGCCCACGTTATCCGCAACGCTGGCGGCCTGACGTAAGTTCCTCGTCTTGCCATCTAGCAAGTCCAGACTAAAGCACCTCCTTATCAGCAAGGAAGCGGTGCGATCCGTCGTTATCTCTCAGCGCCTCCTCGGCACCAAGGACATTCTTGTGATCCAGCACACCGATTGCGGAATGCTCACCTTCACCGATCCTAGTCTCCGCGAACAAATCACGCAGGCGCATTCGGGAAACGACGGAGTCACCAATGCTGTCAAAAACTTTGAGTTCGGGCCCTTTGATGATCTTGACCAGAGCATCAAGAACAACGTACAGTTCTTGAAAGAGGATCCACTCGTCCTGACTGGCGGCAGTATCACCGGATATGCATACGCAGTTGAGACAGGGAAGCTCAGACGAGTTGCTTGAGGGAGACGCACAATAAACTTGAGGGCAAAAGTATACATTGCTCAGATGTACGATACTTTGTGACACTCGTCAATCCAAAGCACTAACTGAGAAAAGTTGGATACACACCTTATGCCTACAGCCTCCCAGCATCACTTTCGGCTCTGATCCACTTAACCACGGCGCTCCAATCCTTCACCCGACAAATACGAGTCTTGCCAAAATTGACATCGTCTAGTTCTAGCTGCGCTGCAGCCTGATCCTCATCTAGAAATGAAGTTCCTCCCGTACGCTCGACACGGCTATCGTAGGCCATGTCCTCACGCTCGTCCGTGGACTGCGAAGAAATTCGCGAATTCCACTGATACGCGCCAAACAACAGGACAGTCGGAGGACCCAGCGTGTTCTGTGACGATTCCTGCATCGGCTTATGCCTTGCACATGACAACGCGTTTTCGATCGAGTCGTCGATGAGCACCTTCGCGCCGAGGTCGATGCAGACATCCGCTTTGCTAAGCTTCGTCGCGGTAAACACCGACCCATTCGCTTGCTTAGGGCCAGAGTTGGCGAATTGACCTGTACATATCAGGCTGTGGAAAAGGCCAGGGAAGTGCTTCTCGACCCAAGCCCATGACGAGGTATGCCAGTCGTTGCCTCGCGCCGTGACGACCACGAGGCGGTATCCCATGTTCCTGAGGGCCATGACGCCTTCCTTTGCACCAGGCACAGGGATGGCATCGAATATTCGACCGGTTGTGTAGAAATCGCGAACTTTGGTATGGGTTTCTAGTGGTGTGCCCCAGTAGGGATTCTGGTCAAGTTTAGGTGCAAGATCTAGTAGAAAGGACCGTTGCACCTTGCCTTCCAGTAGTAGTAGTCTAGAAGTCCGTGAGAATCAGTTCCCGCACTGATCTCCAGATTTCAGGATGACTTGAAGACTCACAGTAGAAGTTATCCAGAGTTACTTTACTCCCAAACGCTTCATTGTGCCCTAGTATTTGTCCAATCGACCGTAGGGGAGATCAGTTGCAAGTTAGCGATCGACATATACGGGCTAAATAACTCCACAAGGTAAAGCGAGCTGGAGTATGCAAACGTACATTGGCTTACAACTTCGTTGGTTTGACTCAATACATCATCGAGATCGACCGCGATGACTGGGCCATCCTCCGGGGCAACAAGGTCTCTAAGCTTTGACATCTGACTTGAGCTCACGGAGGTTTGGGCGTCCTCCACTGGAGACAAGGTAGCGGAGAGACTGTCAGAAGAGGTATCTTCCCCGAACATGGTGGTATGTGGATGCGGGGTCTGACGCTCTCAGCAAGCGAGCAGTGGGGACGTCGGACGCGATTGGCTCCATGTTGCTGAGGAACGTTGATCGCATCGCCCAAATGGCCTGCGATTGGCTGGCTCGCCGCGGATCTCGGAATGCTGCAGCGGCTGGATAGGTGTTATCACATGCGACTTACCCCACATGCTGCTCATCCGCATTGACGAACGAATACACCAGCCATTCCACCGCCCTCGCACGACTCGTCACCTGCTCCTCTGCCTTGGATCAGATTCGCTGGGTTGAAGGAGAAGCCAGAACCACATCACTTCCCTCCGAACGGCCCTCACTTGGAGCAAAGCTCTTGTACCGACTGTCCCCATGGCTGCCTTCTCCAAGCTTCGGCCCTCGGAGAAGCAGATCGCTCAATTGACGAAGGCTTACTTGAGACACCAGCCTCTCGTTCAGCGCTCTCTGACATTTGGGTTCATCTTCTATGTCTTGACGACGACATACCGCGGCCTCGCTGGCCGTTCGTCTCCCCGCAGCAAGAGCAAGTCCAAGGGCACTTCCGATGCCAAGGATGGGAAGCCTCAGCGAGTAGCAGTACGTGATCCGACACCCGCGTCTTGCCTTATGTCTTATGCTAATCAATCGACGGTGATGTCTGCTATGCACATAGGTTGACGAGGTGTTCTATAAGCGACTAGGGGCTATACTTCGCATCGTCATCCCAAGCCTTCGTTCAAAGGAAGCCCTGCTGTTGCTGATGCACTCCAGTCTTCTGATATTCAGAACCGCCATCTCTCTTTATGTCGCTGCTCTTGATGGAAAGTCAGTGACTTCTCATTCTTCCGAAATGCATTTTGCTGACGTCCTGTCCGAAGGATCGTCGCGTCATTAGTTCGGGGTCAGACTGTTCAGTTCCTATTGAACATCGTTCGGTGGCTACTCGTGGCTATCCCGGCTACATGGACCAACAGCTGGCTAAGCTATGTACAAAATAAACTTGCCATAGCCTACCGCACCCGTCTTACCAAAGAAGTCATCAAACAATACCTTGGTGAGGGTGGCGAGGGCCCGGAGGGCAAAGTGTATTATAAACTGTGTATGTTTCTCATTAACCCGTACCCAAATCCGTGATTGACTTGCGCCTTCAGCGAATTTGGACGACAGGATCAAGAACCCGGACCAGTTAGTTTGCTTATCGTTACCTCATAATGCCCGTTTTAACCTTGCTTATAGGATGATCACTCACGATATTCAACGCTTTTCGACACATCTAGCTGCTATTTATGCTAATATTGCCAAACCTATATTGGACGTCATCTTGTACAACTATCAACTTTCCCAGAACGTTGGCGCAGAAGGTCTCTTCGTCCTCACCATCTTCATCCAATTATCTTCCGCCCTTCGTAAGTCACCTTACCTCAGAGGTCAGCTATTTGCTGAACCTAGTTTTTTAGTGAGGGCTGTAACACCATCCTTCGGCACATACACTGCCCAGTCCGCTGCACTCGCCGGTTCTCTTCGGCATACTCACTTCCGACTATCCGAGTTCTCGGAAGAGGTGGCGTTCTTTGGTGGTGAGGAGGCCGAGAAGCAGCTGCTCGAGAGAGAATATGCTGCACTTGTCAAGCATGAAGAGAACGTGATGACCAAACGGTGGTGGTACTTCTGTGCAGAAGAGGGCATCATCAAATGGTTGTGGGGAAGCTTTGGTGTAAGTTCTATTTTGCATCACTCATGGACCTGTATCTCACATATTTCCTCAAGCTCATGGTGTGCGCGATACCAGTGTTCTTCAAACTACCAGGCATATCAAGCTTCGACCTCGGTAGCCGGACAGAAGGTAGAGATATACTAATATTTCCCAATTTATTGATCTGACATGCCTTTTAGGTTTCGTCACAAACCGACGTCTTCTGCTGTCGTCATCAGGTTAGAATAATTTTCATTCCATCGGAAGTTTACACTAACGTTACCCTAGATGCCATTGGACGAGTAATGTACTCGTACAAAGACCTTGCTGAACTTGCCGGATACACCTCTCGTGTTTCTCAGCTGCTTGATACCATGGCGGATGTGAAGAAAGGCAAATTTGAGAAAGCCCTCGTCAGTGGAGCTAGGGAAGGGGAGAACGGAAGAAGTACGAGTTCATTTGTATGCATCTGTTCTGGTAACCGCTGATAAAACTACCCTAGTTCTTCGTGGACGGGGCCAAGTTTTCGAGTCGGAGGAGATCAGCTTCGAAAATGTGCCTATCGTGACTCCAAATGGCGACATCCTCGTCAAGTCGCTCAGCTTCTACGTCAGGCCTGGGGTAAGACTGCTTCCGCAAATCGCCTGCTGGAGACTGATTGTAATCCTCTACAGAAACATCTCCTCATTGTTGGCCCGAATGGTGAGCGGTCATCTTGGCTAAGATGAGCTTTCCGTGACTTAAGCCAATGGTTAGGTGCCGGAAAATCCTCATTGTTCCGTATCCTTGGTGGTCTGTGGCCGGTTTACGGTGGCATCGTGCGCAAGCCACCAGCGTCAGAATTTATCCTCATTCCTCAGCGGCCCTATCTTACGGTCGGCACCCTACGAGATCAAATCATCTACCCTCATTCTGAGAAAGAGATGAGATCCCGTTCGTCTTTCTCTCTTTCTCGAAGGTTTACGAATTGCTGAAACTATGTCGCAGGGGGCGTTACTGACGAAGAGCTGCTTAAAGTTCTGGTCATGGTACAGATGGATCACATCGTGGAGCGTGAAGGTGGTTGGGATGTCACGAGGGAATGGCGAGATACACTAAGTGGAGGTGATAAGCAAAAGGTTGCCTGGGCACGGCTATTCTATCATCAGCCGAAAGTAAGTTATGCACGCTTCAGATGCGTCGCGTTTCCTGAACAAGACTTGCAGTATGCTATACTTGACGAGGCAACTTCGCTGGTACCCCCTGATATGGAGGGTCTGATGATGGAACATGCGACAGAAATGGGGATTACTCTGCTCACTGTGTCGCATCGACCGTCATTGTGGAAATACCACTCCATGATTTTACAGTACGATGGCCAGGGCGGATATGTGTTGTGAGTGTTTATCTCCACCTCGCCTGACGAGGCGATAATGACGCGTGTGCGCAGTACCAAACTGGATGCGGAGAAACGCCTGGCGCTCCAAGAGGAGAAGCAGGATCTTGAAGCTAAGCTACTTGAGCTGTAAGCACGTTTTACCCTTACGCCGGCCACCTTACTCATCCGGGCCATTGTAGGCCGAAGTTGAAAGCGCGTTTGAACGAGCTGCGTCTCATGACGAACATGAGTACTAGTGACCTATAGGAGCATCTAGGGACAATATTTATAGAGATTGTGCTACTTGTTGGCCAAAATAATCTCGAGGAGGATTTCGGCTAACATAGGATCCGATCTCATACGAGCATTGCGTTCGGCGTTCCTTGTCCAATAGGGAAGTAGGAGCGAGGAGTAAGAGCGTAAGTTGGCTCGCACTAAGCCCGAATGGCAATAAGGCCGACGCTCTTGCTTGCCGAAATGCCGAATGCACTCCGGCTAATCGGAACCAATCGGAAGTGGCGGAGATCTTGATATTACCCAAGGGTTTCCAAACTTTGACACAGGTGATTTTTCGTTGCCCCGCTCACTGCCGCCTGCCGCCATAGACTCTGCACACGACCACCATCTTCCAGACATGCATTTCTTCTCGCAGAACCACACTTACGAGTGAGTATGCGTTTTGACTGTCTTGCAGCACATTCTGACAGCCCCTGTAGTCACCCATGGTCCCATGTCATTATCGGCATGTGGCACAAATACCCGAACCCTCACTGCACGCATGTCATCACGGTAGATGTCGTCGACCGCTCCGTCGACCCACAGACGGGCGTCATACGCACAGAGCGGATACTGGGCTGCAAGCAAAAGGCGCCCACATGGGTCGTCAAGGTACGTCTCACTCAGCTAACCCCTCGATGACCCACCAGGCGCTCACACAACGGATCCACCTCCTGTAGCTCTTTGGCGGCTCAGAAGATGCCTTTGTGCGGGAAATATCATTCGTAGACCCATCGACGCAACGCGCCACGATATCCTCCCAAAACCTCTCCTTGTCCCAGTTCGCGAGCTGCTTCGAGCAGATATCCTACACGCCCGCATCGGCAACCCAGACGTCGTTCGTGCAGACCGCAGAGATACAGGCCCGCATGAACATGTGGCGGACAGCCGCAGACAAGTTTGAGGGCTGGCTGGTGCAGCGCTTTGAGCAAAACGCTCACCTCGGCAAGGTGGGCTTCGCGGACGTCCTCCGGACGATGTGGGAAAATAAGAGCCCACAGAACGCATAGACGACATAGACTTTCATCCTCGGCTTTTGTTTCATTGCTCGTCTTTTCCTTGTTCATCCTGCATTTTAGATGGGTTATTTGGAGTTACCCCCCTAGACTACTTAAAGCTTCGTTTTATCATCGTTATCCTCATGACATTCTATCATACGCATCATGTACTTATTATCACAATCATTGCATCGAAGCCCCTCATTTGTACCCTCCTGTCGATAATTATCTCTCCTCTTACGACTTCGCGTGATGTGCTGAAATAGCGCGATGAGCTGGGTATGAAACATAGCCATGGAGATATCATAACAATAAAATGAGCGACAGATGGAGTCCGCCCTCACACCTCCTGCTCGTATGCATCTTCCCATCCTATATCTATAACTTCATCTTCATCGCCCTTGTCACTAGCGTCTCCATCTTCATCATTCGCATGTGCATCCTGATCATCAGTGTCATCACGGACGTTAACCTTGCCATGACGTGATGTCTGCTGGCTCTTAGTCCCAATAACTCCACCGCCCTCTTCGATGACGATCATACCCTCGTTGTCGTCTTTTTCGTCCATACTGTACAAATCGTCGTCCTTGTTATCGAATCCGGACCCTGACCCTTGGTCGACGAAGAGGTTTTTGAGCGCATCGTAGTTTATCCGCTTGCTGTACCTCGAGTTTTTCTTGATTAGATTCTGAACCGACTCAGCAGCAGTGCTGCCCGAAGGCGTCGATGCGTCTCGGGGCTTGGTGTTTGTTTTTCGTCTCTGTGATTGCGACATAGTTCAGCATTTTGTTCTATAGCGAACATGGGAGAAGAAAGGGCGAGTGGAAAAAAGACATGATTGTGGGCGTGAGCGGGATACGAACCTTCCGCGTCTTGACAGTGGTCGTACCCTTCTCAAGTTGCTCCGCTTTGGCTGCAAGGCTACTTAGCAAAGAATATACACTTAAATATACTGTCAACACAAACCTGCCAGTGCTTCCAAATATTCACGGTTCATCTCCACCCAGATTCGCTCCTTGAGCCTGACTTCGTCTTCGCTCAAGATGAATCCGTCCAGTTCATCTTCATCCAGGTTCATAAGCTCGTCAACCTCGGTAAACTGAGCAAGACGGCGCTCCTCGGCTTCTTGCAATGCCGCAGAGAGCGAGGAACCTTGTGAGTTCTGCAAGAAATTCGAGACTTCTTCCGCCAGGGCTTGGTTAACATTCTCCTCAAGCTGTGATCGTGGCTCTGTTGTCGTGGGTGGTGCAGCGCCAGGTTGGCGCAACGCAGGGTCAATGTTGCTAAGTTCAGCATCTTCCTCGTCTGGGTAGAATAGAGGTGGAGGAGCTATTGTGCCAGCAAGAATGCCCTGATTGAAAAGAGCGGGATCAATCATGGGCATATTTGTCTCAGGCAGAGGTGGATTCATGTTCTCGGCTTCGGATTCGTCGCTATCCACTCGTTTTTTTCGTTTCTTCTTCTTCTTCTTTTCGATAGGCTGTATTGAAACGTTGCCAGAAGCTATATCCCTTTCTCGTTCTTCCTTATCCTTCCCTTCCGTAAATGCGGGAGGGTCCATCTCCTCGTCAAGCCATACGGTACGAAAGTCTGCCAGGGTGAGTGAGCCACTCGGCGTTTTCCGGAACTCCTCTAACCGTTTCTTCAGTGTGGTATCAGCTATCTTCACCACTTGAACAATCTCTTCGATGGAGCGCCTGAAGTTGTTCATCCTAGCCGCCAGCAGAAGCGCAGCCCCGCATATACCCGCTGGGCGACGACCTCTCGTCATCCAGTCGCGGTCAAAGCGTTGTACGAGGCGCACAGCATCGGTTGCAACCTTGTGAGTCTCATCGCCGAACTCAAGAAGAGCGGAGAACCGGGAGATATAATGGGATGGGTCTACGACAGGAAGTCGTAGGTTCAAAGTCTGGACCAACTGGAGGTATATGTGGCCGAGCTCGAAGACATTCACCTGACAAATGCATCTGTGTTATGATGCGCATATATCAGTCTGAAGACACACTCACCTGTAAGAGATCTGAGAAATCAATGAGCATGTAATTACGCGTCTCCTTCTGCCTGCATGCAACATACAGACAGACCGCAGCTACATTTATGCTCTTTCGTCCCTTCGTGAATTTGTGCTCCACTGCGAGGGTATACAGCCTCGTAGCTGCTAGAGCAACAATATCAGAAAGGCGTAAAGCAGAGGCAAAGCTTTGAATCTTCCGACTTGCTAGTATACGGCGCTCGTTATCTCATCGAGTGAGGATGTTCTAAGCGTGACGCACCATTTGCTATAGTCTGCTCTCGGGATTCGCTACTCCCGCGGTTACCGAAGGGGCCGCTCATACGCGCATGAGCTGAAAGACAATCAGTCTTGTTCGAGTTCTTTGTTCGAATGCTCACTTGATCCCTGCCCAACATAGGATCCCTGCACCATAGCCGCTCCAGCAGAAGTCTCCCCGAAGGTAACTTCATTCACGATGGTATTTTCTTCCACAACGGTACCACATTTTACACAGAAGCCATTTCCAGCCGCATCGTTGTATTCGATTACAGTTCCACCACAGTCGGTGCAGGTCGGCTAGAACATAGCGTGAGTCTTATCCACTCAGGGGAAGTAACTGAACCATACCATGATGTGACAAGCTACGAGCGTTTAATGATCGATCTTGAGAAGGACACAAAAGTGCTGGATGCTATAAGTTATTGCGAGGGAGTCTCTGCCTAAGTGTTAATTCATATGTACAGGTATGTGCTTTGAGTGATGCTTTGGATCCTGGAACGCGACTTGGTTTTTGTCAGGTGCTGGTCTTGTCACACGTCACCGCTGGCTATCGCTCCGAGTCACCCTGATCTCATGCGATCTCGGTCACGTTTAGCGGGTCACAACCCGAAGCCCTCTGTCCCGACGCGGTGTCCACGAGTCCTTGCAAGACGTCGGCAGTCACGAAACGCAAAACTTTCAACTTTTGAATTGCAGGCACGCCACCACAACGTACTGAGCCAACGTTTGCCTGTGGTTGTCTTCTTATCGCCTCCTCAACTTAGCTTGGAACCTTTGATGCTAGACCTTGTCTGAACGGATGGACGAGCTCGTTCACCATTGTCTTCGTGAACTGTCGTTTGACGGTGATCTCGGTACGTTTTTTCTTCTTCCGATCATGTCAGTGAGTAGTACGTTTGGCTTCTCATGGTCCTTGGCCGTGATTGCCCCGCGAGCCGTGTTCGACCCCCACTCGGTCCAAATTTCTCGTGTGCAGTTGACTGAATTTCTTCTTGTAGGGTGTGACGTTTCGCGTTTACAAGAGTTTATCACAGGCTTTTATAATGGTGCCTCATCCGGCGCTCAAGTGATCGACGATGATTTTTGTGCATTTGTGTGGTCCATCCTCTTGCAAAACCTTACTGTTCGAGTTGGGGTCGTGCCGCCTGGTGTCTCGTCTGAGGTTTACATAGCACCGCAAAACAGTACAAGGCGGAAAGCTCAGTCCAACGGTGAAGAGCATGTTGAGGCATCCGCTCCCAACCTCGCGCTCATTCCCGATGCACGCCTGCGACCTTTGGGTGACCTGAAGGTCGAGTTTGGGGATGCATTACGTATAGCGGTAGATCCTGAGACTTCTTTTGCCGCCATAACCGGTTCTCATGTCAGGGTGAGGGCTTTGCTGCTGAACATGAGACACTTGCTAAGCTTTTGTAGCCGTCGAAGTTGACACCCATGGTTTACAGCGCCCTTCAGCTCATCACTCGGGGCAGAGAAGAAGGTATTAGCACCGTTGAGCTTGGAAAGAAAACAAGTTACGATCAGAAGACCTGTTTTTATCTCATCAAACAGCTTCAAGAACTTGATCTTGTGTAAGACCCTTCATGGTGCGTTACAAGCCTTGTAAATTGACCTCTTTGCAGCGTGAAAGTCCGTCGAGGCGGGGTCGGCAACCATTGTTGCATCCACAGGTTTTTCGTGGAGCGTAGTTCTTTTTGGCAGCAGCTTCGAGCAGAAGAAGCCTCATTAGAAGGCATATCAGAAAACAAATTAGCTGAAGGATCCGAAGTTACTCAAGAAGACGGCGAAAGCGACGCTGATGAAGATCAGACACCCCTTACAGATCTACAGTTCGAAGCTATAGATTCTAGACATCTATCAAGCCTCATCCTCGTTCGAAGCCGTCTTGTGAAGCTGTTGAAAGCCTCGAAAAATAACGTGCATCCCTCGAACAATTTATTGGTTGCTATTGTAAGATCGAATTTAATTCCCTTTTGATAAGAAGCCTGACAAGAACTAGGGATTTGCCAATCCAACTAAAACTGATCGGAGGTTTTTTCAAACACGGCTGCGTGAACTCATCACCCAGGGAATAGTAGAACGAGTTCTCATTCCCAACAGCAAACTTCAAAATCGCATGGTAAAATGTATCCGTTTACTCGACGCCAATGCTGCAGAACTTCCAGAGAACAATCATCAGGGTGATGAAATAGTTGCTGAGGAAAATATCGATGTAAAGCATACTGGTCAGTGGTATCTCGCTCCTTCATAAGCTCCTTCATCTTTGTTCCAGAATTTGAACTTCCAGGAGTGATGTGCAACCGCAGCCTTTACAAGCAGATCATTGACTTGATAGAGTCCTCGGGATCAGCAGGGATGACACTGCATGTACGCACCCTTCTCAAACAACATTGTGCTACCAACGTTGATATTTCTCTCCCACAGGGAATCTGCTCCACCCTTGGTAACTTTGATAAGCGCACCGTCGAGCTGATACTCGCTCGAGCTTTCAAGAGTTCATTTCCAAGCCATTTGAGCGATTTGGGCGTAGCAGATGTCATGGAGACCTTTGGACGTGAACGTCGACACAGGTTCTATACAGTGGCGGCTTACAGAACACTCATGGAGAGCGAACAGCTAAACGATTCAACTTCGACTTACGGTTCCGTCGACCTCTCAAATGCGGGGGGCTTCGCTCCTGTGGAGCTAGAGTCGTTTTATGGCGATACTACCACGTTGATTCGCCATCAGGACACATATGTAGGAAGTACTCAAGGTACAAAAACGCAGCAGAAATCCGTCTCAAAAAGCAAGAAACGAAAGCGAGTTGACAATACCTTCACCAAAGACGATGGTCCGTCTGCTTCTTCGTCCAAACCGCGCAAAAAATCTCGCATCCAGGAGCCTCATACCCCAAGCGAACCGACCATTGAAGATGTTGTGCAACCTCAACCGACTCCTAAGAAGAGGGGACGACCACGGAAGAACCCCGAACAAGCCGAAACAGCGATCGAGGAATCGCACCCTAAAAAACGCGGGCGTCCGCCGAAGGAGCTTCCCAGTATAGCCAGCACATCAGCTGCGAGTGTCGGTGGTACCCAAGGGCAGTTAATCGAGGCGCCAGCACCCTCTCCTAAGGAGAAGGCTCCAGAGAAGCCTCGACGAAGGTCACAAAGAGATAGAAAGGACGTGGAAAACACTTCAAATCCGGATGTTTCTGAAACACAACATCAGCACATCCAATCACCAGTCACAGAAGCAAGGATACCAGGGGAGCGCACCCCAAATGCACCGTCACCGGTCAAAGATGGTTCTGAAAACCTCAACATGGTTCCGACTAATGATGTTGAGGCTCCCTCAACTGTCCCACCGGCAGTGACGGACATAGCCATAGATCCCGCACTGATGCAGGTAAGTCTGTTTTCTCATTGTGATGTAATATTCTCATTGCGTAGATTCCTGCCACCGGTACCACGCTAGACACAATTCCTCCACCGCCTGTCGATGATGCATTGTCTATTGCAAAGCCGACGCCGGTAAAAGGGAAACATCGCGCGAGAGGTGGGCGAGCTACTCGAGTGAACATGAACATTTCTCATCTTCGACGTGAAAACGAACTTCTGCGAGTCATCCGCGAGTCCGGTGGAATTGTGAACCTACATACAAGGAACTTTTGGGATGCTCACCTTGCTCTACTTGACACATTATATCAGGAAGGCGAAGCCGCTAGCGCGCCGCCAGGCGCCCGGCTCGACAAGCGAACTCTCGATAACGCTGTTAAAAACATGGAGAACAGTGGCAGTATCAAGGTTCTCAAGACTTCCATCATGGCGCATACAGGAGTCAGCCGTCAGACGACCGTGATGTACCTTCCGGACCTCCCCCAAGAGACCATCAACGAATATCTTCTGCACATTAGTCAAAATGCACCAGCTTATAACATCCCGCAGATCAGGACCTACGAGGAGCCTATAGACTTCGGACGAGAGACATCTGTTGCTCAACGCTCGGCCCTCCCTCTGCAGCTTCTTCAAAGGGATGACCCTGGAGATGACCCTAACGAAAAGTGGACTAGGAACATTGCAAGGGCTGAGCAGCTTTTTGCGTACGATGCTGAAACCGTTCGGCAAGTTCTTCTGACGGAGAGGACCACTGTTGCCCAACTCTACGGATATGTAGTCGCCAAAGCCATCCGGACGCGGGACATGCACCTCTTGAGCGTTGATCTCTTCAGTCCCGAAGTATCTGCAGCGAATGTGGTTTCAAAGGAGCACCGCATCGTCCATGTATCATACTATCATCAAGACATCCCTCTTGTGCAATATTGTGCCTTGGTATCCGTTCTCGCTGATGACATGGAGTTGAAGGAATGCTTGGATAAGGAAGGTGGCCTATCCGCCGTTCAGGACTACCCCCAATTCGACGCATCCCTCCAACCTGGACGATCGCGATGTCGGTCCCGAATTTTGGACATGCTGGTGACACTACACTCGCTTGGCATTGTCACTCCTTTGGAACCCGTCGATGCTGCTGATGCGGAGATAACCTGTACTTCGACGACGCATCCATCCACGTATAAAGCAGCATCTATGCATGGATGGACTGCCAACACTCCGCAGACAGCCCCTCAGTATTGGAAGTTTGCTACCTCAGCGCCTATTCATTTGTGGGCTCTGTCGGATACGCTTCCGCCGTTTTGGAAAATTATGCCGGTGTCTACTAGAGAAGAGGTCGCAGCGTACTGGAAAGAACTTCAAGAGGTTTGTTTGAACCGCGATCATGCCGAATCGATCGTCTGTCCCGGTCAAGCTGCAACGGGTGGACGGCGACCTGGCATAGGAGCTGCACGAACTCTCCGGCGCAAAGCGTCGTGGGACCGTGCGTATGTGCTCACTTGGCACCAAAAGCAGTTCATGAACAATGTCTTTAAAAGTGGCTCATCCGCTTCGGAAGTCGAAGACTTTGCAGAGCAAACCTGTTATGTCACAGGTGCGCCTCGGCAAACTGTAGTAGACTATCTCTCGAACCCGAAGCATGCTGCACGTCGTCAGGACGCGAAGCGGAAGAGGAAAGTCCAGACAGCAGAAGAAGAGGCCCAACGGGATGCCGAAGGCAGACAAAGTCTTCGAGACAAGGCTCAGCAGATTAAACGACAACGAGAAAAAGGCTGGGATGATCTCTTGCAGCGCATTCATCCAGAACCAATTATTGAGAGTGCCACTGTTCGCCTCAGAGCTGTACGCGGCCGTTTTCTTCAATCTGGGTCCACGAAGAATGCCGAAAAGTGGGAAAAAGAGGTCAAAGAAGCACTGGATGAGGGAGCCGCAGTAAAGGTCATCGCAGGCCCAAGTCGAGTTCGCCGCTTTAAGCCTCTTAACGTCACAAAGCCTTCCCGTCTTGATTCGCTTGAAGGTACAATCAGCAGAGCACCCTTCCAATCAATTCTGCCGCCGCCTGCATCCAATCCACCCGAAAAGAGTGTTGAACAGCTCGTCGCACAACAAGGAACGCCACTCGAACCCCAAGCGCATAAGAAGATTCGGCGGAAACCGAAGGGCAAGGGAAAGGAAAAGGCAAGGGAAGAAGACCCTGAGGGTATGCGCTTTTATATTTTGCTTTCCGACCTCAACAACCCTTGACCCTTAACTCAGACACGTCTAAGGCTCGTCGACCCAAGTTCCATTGGACCCGCGAGTATGATGAACTAGTGCGAGACGCCTCAGCCATCATTCGGGCGCGGTGTCGTGTGGCAAACAGATCCGACCTGAGCGCATATGACCAAGTTTTTCCTGCTGTTCCGCGTAACTCTGTCCGACAACGAGTGACCCACTTGCGAGAGAACCCAGTTGATGACTCGTATCAAAAACGGCTTGAGGATCGTTGGTACGAACTCTGGAGTCGATACAGAGGGACGGATATTCTACCAGATGAAGATCCTTTCAGCCCGTCGAACTTCGAACTTCCCAATCACATCGAATTCCTGCGTAAACACGTGGACAAAAATGCTATGTTAGCCTCCTTTCATTGTTCAATATTTGCAGAAGTAAGCTAATGCCGCATCACCAGACGCATAGGGTTTGTAGAGCGCAAACACACTGTTGCGCTACCTGCTTCGGTTGAAGAGACTTTGAAACAATACGAAATCATAGAAGAAGAACCAACGGCGCCAGACTGGGACTTCTTGTGGAATGCACACATCGACGAAGGCAGAGAAAAGGTCTTTTCTCAGCAAGCCTTCAGTGCGCGTCCAAATTTCTCGCCTCAAGTTATCACAGAAAGTGAGGATATCGTTGCAGTGGCAGAAGCAGCGGTCAAGGTGTGGTGTCCTTCAATCGTGTGGTTGTGTGATATTGAGTCCACCTTTAGATGGTATTCAGCACCCCCAATGAACGATATGACTCCGAGAGAGCGTCTCAACTTCTTTACAGCGCCGGCGAACACGCAGTTTCGGTAGCCATCCCGAACTTACTTCGTCGCGGGGTTCTGTCGAAACTAGTACGCGACCCAAAGAAACCAAAACCTGGCCGTACCTTCAAGATATCTGAGATGTGAGCAGTGTGGTCATATACTATCAGCCATTTCTAACAGTGGATTATAGCAACCAAAACGCTCTGGGAGGTACCATTGCCCAGGATACATTCGAGAATGCTGTCGCTCTTCCTGACGTTTTGAGCGAGGATGGATGGGCGGATTGGCCTCTTGTTGTCGAGGATGGCGACGTCGCTGGACTACTTCAGCTTGTATCAGATGACAAAGTAAGTGGAACCGATATTGTCTAAACTCTTGACGCTTATTTCTGCTCAGGTTGACTTCAACTTCGATTTAAACCAAAAGCACGAAGCTAGGGAGAGACTCGATTTCAACAGCAAAAAAGCCGGTATGTGTTTTCTGCTTACGACCCAGAGTCAAGGTCACCAATGCACCTATTCTCGTTAGACGATGAGGATGTCGAGATATTAACTCAAGTCCGTCTCAAGCCTATCCCACAAGAATTTCCCGACGCCCTCGAACCATCCCCAGAGGTAGAGTCCGAGATCCTTGAACCAGTTGCAATCGATGGCGTAGACGACGATCGACACGGGAAAACTCGTGGCGGCGAAGAGGCGACATGCTGTCGATCATCATTTTATAGTCTTGTTGACTGTTCTGCCTGCGTGGATGAGAACATTGCAAAGTTGACCTCTCAGATGCCTTCGCCTGAAGTAACGGTAACTTTGCAAATCGCTGAAGTCGTACGTGAGGCTGGTCAGCATGGAATCGATAGGGAAGGCCTAAAGGTCAGTCATAATCTTCTAGCCCACGCCGACATCGGATTCGATTCACTCCTCTTCTTGTTAGTTCGCTGTAGCAAGCGATGATCAAGACTTATCGTCGTCGGTTGTGGATAAGATGGTCACGGCACCATTTCCTCTCTTGTTTTGGGCCGGTTATTCCACCGCAACGTTGGTTTCTTGCGACTACCTCCGGGCATGGACAATCATCACCGATGACGGTCTGAAGACACGCGCGTTTCCACGAAGGTGGTTGGATATCAAGGGTGTCAAAGTGACCGCTACCTGGGAGGCTGCACTAAGAGCTGTGATGGGTGTTGTTCTTTTCCGACCAGGAATATCTCAGGTGCGTTGTTCCGATGGTTCGTAAGCTGAAGCTCAGCCGAACTTTTCCCAAGTTTGAACTACGATGGCGTTTGAGGGCTGTGTACGACCGCCAAGAGATTGCAGAGGTCATGGAACACCTGAAGTACGGTGGTTTCGTGGAGGCGCGTCCCCACACGGCGGAGATTTCTACGCGTGATTCTTTAGAAGTTTACGGACTCAAGAATCTCGGCGACGACGACGGGCGACATGTGTTCTGGTTTGTTGTCAGCGGGAAGGAGAGGTTTTGGTACGAGCTCGTCTGATAGTTAACTTGCTTGAAGCCACAAAGACTCGTACTATATCAAATCCTTGATTGTATGCTTATTTTAGGCTAGCATCTCCTTCATTCATCATAATGTTTTGGACAGACCATCAGCATCGCCCTCGCGGCGGCCACACAAATGCTGCATGTACTTATCAACACGGTGATGACCTCACAGAGTCTGTCACTCGTGGGAGAGACGCGACGCAACTCAGAGTTAGCTTCCCCTATCTCGACAACATGAACGCGACCATGACCTTGTCTTCGCAACGAACTCTTTCTTGGAAAGCAACCATTGAAGATCCCGCCAGACAACCGTCGACCAGAGCGGATAAGTTCGAACGGGACGTCGACGAGCCGAGCACCTCGTCTGCCAATTGTGAAGCTTACTCTTATAAATAGCAGCGTGTTTAGCCTGGTGACTTTGCTGGTCGTCGTTCCCAGCATCATAAGGCAGCAACCTCTGGATTCGATTTTACCATGACAACTAAGTACTTGCACTGACAAGAAAACGCTCCTTATTTAAATTCTATCCTCCTCACCGTTCCCCATCTCCCTCTGTCACTGCAGCCCGGCAGGACCGTCTTCGCAGTCGCGGTCATTCCTCCACCCGACAGCCCGCTATCGGTCCTCTCTCGGAGTATCTGCAACGGGCTTTCGTGTCTTTGCGCTCTTTATTCTTCTTCTCTTTTCTTTCGCCAGGGGTTAACATTCATTTGCTTCAGTAGTGTGAGTGACTAAGGTTTCACCGATCTCCAACGGCGTTGCGGGTGAGCTGAACGTGTTCCTCTGCCTCCAGACCGTGTCATGCAGGTCAAGCAGCTGGTCTCGCCCATACCTGGCAAAGTCAGATTACTTGTACGTCACCTTTGTTCATGTTGCTGATGGATGTTTGCATTCCACCAATAATGAGGAACCACACCATACTAAGGTTCATTACAGTGGAACCGGATAACTCTTTCACGGCTAACAACGACATATTTCATCTTCTCTCTTGTTCATTGTATCATCCAAGTCATCCTCCAGGTCCGAGCGTATACCATCAACCTCGCTGCCGACGATTTCCTGGTTTCAATCACTGACCAGGGGAATGCCAGTGCCTCAAACGGCTTCTTTGTTCTGCAGGATGATCTGCTCTTCTGCGACCAAGTCCCAAACACACTGAGCACAAGTTCCTGTCAAGTCATTTGGGGTGGAGGAAGCGTCAGCGGAAATTCGATATCGTCCTCTGTGAACACCTCGATTGATAATGTGGCCTCCGACTCCTCGACCACCAGCGTCATCACTTCTACACCGTTCCCCACGTCCACGCCTCCGGTTATTTCCAGTCCAGCTACGAGCGTATCGTCTACCTCAAAGAGCACCGGTACCTCCGCAACCCCCACTCAGGTCTCCAGTGTACAGTCTCTAGAGAGTGTGACGGTCTCTGGGCAAGTTACTAAAACCACCGTTGTTGTCAAGACGGTTGTTGTGACGCCCACCCCAGCTCCCCCCAAACCGGATAATGATGATGATGATGACGACAAGGATGAGGACATTGAAGTCCACGACAATGTCGAAAAGCCCTCCGCATTTGAGGTGTTGCCCCCTGACTGGATTGAAGTGGACAACAATGAAGACGCCGACGATGAGGAAGTACGCTCTTTCGTGACTCGCAATGCAAAACCGGTGCTGATGACTGTGCCAGACATGGAAACGATCTTCGCTTGAGATTGAGCAAATTGACTCTATTAACGCGAATGGGTCTGTCACTGTGACCTTTAGTGGGATGGGGTGGAGCGATCAGACAGCCACCCTGGATCGTCAGTGCTTGTACGCGTTGGACTACCCAGTTCAGGTGTACGTATCCTTCAGTGCTAAGTAGCTTGACCGACCATTTACTTACGTTCTAACTCAGGCTGCGAAACACAAAGCGAGAAGATGCTGCCCTGATTACGTTCCAAATCTGGACCCTTGGCATGTCGATCGTCGCGGTGAGTTCATTCAACGTTATTACTTACTTCGAGAATCTAACGCCTCCCATCTAGATTCTGAACGAGTCGGTCCCTCACATGTAAGCACTTCGCGTACATGCTGTCCCTCTACATTATCTAATCTGCACTGCAGTTTGGCTTCATTGCTCACGCACTTGGTTGCCACGGGCGGGACCGCTTTCCAGCTCTTTAACACGAATCAGTTCCGCGAACAGTTCAGCTACCTGACTACCAACGGCGCGTGCCAACCCCTCAATCTGCTGCCAGATTACTGGCATAGCAGAGCATCTGTCGAGATCCCGAGCTTGGTCTTCAACATCGTGGCCTTGTTGGCGTCTGCTATCTTGTCCTGGATGATGACGAAGGTAAGGCAATCCCGCTATTAGGTCTCGAAACTACGCGAGGCTGAATCAGGGACTCGGCAGACTTTTGGATGGCAGACGTTCAAGCGTGTCGGTGCCTGCATTACCATCTCTCGCATCTACAAACTCGTGCTTCTCCTTTCCGTTGCAATCCAGTTGTCGTTGTTCTTCATGGTCGTATCTGTCGCCCTTTGGCTTGATCAGCTGTGGAATGGTGCCATTGGTCACCTCGCAAATGCTAGCTACCGGCCTGCTCTCATCGTCGTTCTCATCGTAAGTAGTGTATTGATCAAAAGCTGTGAGAACTCATTCCCACCTTTGTTTAGCTGATGATTCCATGGCTCATGACAGTAAGGTATCGCGATCACACGTAGCCTCCTCCCGTTGAGTATCTTTGTTTTAGGGATGGTTTGGTGTCCGTAAAGAACTCAAGGTTATGACATGGGTTTTCCTTGTCCTGTGTCTTGGGTATTTGGCTGGTTGGGCAGCGATGTTCCTTTCCCGTCACTTCCGTTGGACGTTCGTCACCTGGACGTACTTCGCCCTCATGACCTCCGCCTCTGTCTTCCTAACTGTCGTATGCTTCGTCTTGGGAGTTGTGTGCGCGATGAACTTCAACAAAGGCTTATTGCACTATCGTGAGTCCATCCTTGGAACACATGCACACGAATCCTAACTATGCTACGTACAGTGCACTCGGACGACCCCGGTCAGGAAGACTTCTACCCTGTCACGTTAGGCGAGGATCCAGAGAAGGTCGATTTCCCCTCCAAGGAACGGCCGCTCACCACCTACTCTGGAATATATGGCGATGACTTCAAATACCCTATTCCTCCTCCTGGCATCTACCAAGGCGCTCCCGTACATTCCCAGCTTCCTTCCGAAGATTTTGCCAAGCGCGTATCGCTAGCCGAAACCACCGCCCCTTCGATCCGACCACCACCTTTTGCCCCCCGTCGCACTTTGTCTCAGAGCAGTACCCGCAGCGCATCAAGTACCCTCACCCACACCACCACGGGTTCGCACCAGATTCAAAAGGCGACGCGCTGGGTCATTGAATGACCCAACGCGCATTTGTAGATAATGTATCTCCTAGTATATTTATTGTTTCTTGGGAGTATGGGGGACCCCAAAACATGTGTCAGGTACACCTTTAGTTTCGTGTATGGTAGATGCGACGAAGACAATACATGGGAGCTGTGAAAGCTCAAAACAACATTGCATAATGTACAGTGCGTGAAAGAAAGAAAGGCGACATAAACCCTGATCTATACCAAGGAAAATCAGACCGGCTGGCTGGTTTACTCCTCACCCTCTGGCGTCGGGGTGCCAATGGAGGACATTGAGGGGGAAGGTATCTGGATTGCCTCTACCTCTTTCTCCTGAGCGATCGCAGCTTGATGTGCTACTCGTGCAAGCTCATAGTCCTCTTCGGGAGGTACTTCGACCGGTGGACTAGTCACTAACTGTTCGTCGCGATAGCCCAAAAGTTGCTCGCCGAACTCAACCATCCATGGATGGTCGAGAAGCTCTACGGCAGAAGGCCTTAACATAGGATCGATGGTGAGGCATTGCTTGATGAAACTAATGCCCAATTCGCTCAGTTGACCCGGCTCTGGAAGAGGAGGGTGTTGGGTTGCAACGCCGATGCGGAACATAATGGCCCTGGAGGCGAGCGAGGGTCAGATGCGATATATATCGATAGGATGGGAATGCACAGAGGACATACCATTCGTTATCTAGGTTGCTCCAGGGTTTCTTGCCCGTCGCGAACTCCAGAACCACACAACCCAAGGACCACACGTCCATAGCGCCGTGCCGGCCTCTCTTATCGTTCTTGATAACCTCGGGGGACATGTACATCGGTGTTCCTGTCAAACTGTTTACACCAAGGCCACCACCAAGTTGGCCTGCCGGTCCAAGAGGGCCTTCTGGAGCACGGCGAGACTTCTGCAGTGTGCGATTCTTGGCAAGGATCTTGGATGCGCCAAAGTCGACATACTTGATGACACCGCGATGGTCGAGAAGAATGTCTGGGTGGTGAGATTTAGTTTATATTCGATGAGGAAAACAAAGAAAACTGACTGTCGGGTTTGATATCACGATGCACGATGCCTTTGGAGTGCAGGTACGCAAGACCTTCAAGCATCTGCATGGTATAAAGCTGGATGATACTCTCGTCTTCAATCCGTCCGTGTTCAAGCAACGAAGCCAAACTGCCGCCCTGACAGTACTCTTCGAAAATGTAGACTTTGTCGCGGTGAACTTCGATGCCGTAGTACTCCACGACATTTGGATGATGCAGCAGCTCCATGACGCTCAGCTCGTCTCGGATCTGGGCGTAGAGGCTGGTGATCCCGGACGCTTCTTGGAACTTGATCTCCTTGACGGCCATCAAGGATCCCGAGTCAAGATTGACAGCGAGATACACAGAGCCGTACGCGCCAGCACCAATGAACCGCCGCTGCTGCCACCGAATGGATATGTTAGAACTGGAGGAAGCGAGGAAGACAAGCGACCGGTCTTCAGGTTTCTCGTCGTCCAGGACACGGCCGACAGCTCTTTGCTCAGCGCCAGCCTCAGCACGGGTAGAGTCCAAGTAGGATACCGCTCGGGATATCTTGTCCCAATAGACTCGCAAGTCGAGGTCGGTGTAAGCAAGGTGTACGCCTTTCAAAAGTTCTTCTTCATTGGCGGGAACGATGGCCGGCTCTTCTTCTGCTCGTCGGATGGAGGCTTGCTCCCGGAGAAGTTCGTCTTGTCTTTCCTTCTCTTTCTTCGCCACGAGGTTTGACCTGGCGCCCAGGATGTCGAAGTGACTGATGAGAAGAGTCATGCAACTGGCCACCTTTTGCCGAAGCATCTCGAATTGTTCATCATGCATCCGCAGGATATTATTCCGCCGTGTCCGATGCAGCGTAAATTCCAAAGCGTTGACTGCCCAACGAAAAGTTTTCCTATCGGTCGGGTCACAATCGTCGCAGATGAATGAAACCCACGAGATGGCCAATCTGATAAGAAGCCGGTCGAATTTATCCAAAGCTCCCCGCTCCATGTATTTCTGGGCATGTTGACCGTGTTCTGTTGCGAATAGGAACCAGTTCTCCAGAAGCTCCTGATACCCTTCAGAGTCGCGGAGGGAATTGCGGACGTGCGACACAGAGTCGACGATGGACTCTGCAAGCTTGTTCGTAGCTCGAGCAATTTTGCGCAGCTCGCGGTTGACTGCTGGCAAATGTGCCTGCTGTTCAATAAGGCAGGGAAGTGCAGAGAGCTGAGGTTCCAGTGCCTCCTCATCCTCATCAATGGGAAGGAAAATGTCGGTGAACTGCTGCTTGGCAAGCGCAAGCCGCCTTTGTGGACCTTCCGCAATCAAGCGAACCCGGTTATCCTTGAGCTCCAAGTCCAGCTTCGGAAGCTCAAGCATCAGGACAAGCCCATTCCAGAGGAATTGACTGCGTGGAGAGAGAACGAGGAGGTAGCCGATTCCCTCCTCGTCACTCCCATCATAGTCGGGATTCTCGAGAACGGGCAAGCCGTCGTCTGTCATGATTTCGTTGACATGGAACGATTCGAAGAGAATTCGCCTAATAGCTTCAGGCCGTTCGCGCAGGTAACTTGGAGCGACGATGTACGTGCCATCTTCCTCGTAGGTTTGTGTATAGACGAGAAAGTGATCCGAAGCGACGAGGTTCGATATAAAGGAGTCAAGCATAATGTTCTCGAGGTTATACTCGGCTGAGTTGCTGAACCTTTGAGTGAGCGCTCTGTCCGTTCCATCAGTGATGTCCATGGTGTAGGTTTAAGTGGGCATACCTCGCAAACCGTTGCAGCTTACGGTACCGCAACCGTACGTTGTCCAAAACTTTGCTGTACCATGAAACCTTCTGTTCCTCACTCATGCTGTCTCCCGAATCGCTTGAAAATGATGAGGTATGCCGATGTTTTATAGGCGAGTCGGTCACGAAGGGGACGCGAACCTGCGTCTCAAAGTAGTTGGCCACACGAACCATGAGCTTATTCGTCAATGCACTGCACGCCCCTTGTCAGCACTCCCAATCATGACCATTGTTAGCACGTACCAGACTTGCTCCGCCACAACGGCCGAGCCCCCAACGACGGTCATACTGACGTCGTTTAGAGTTGCCCATTGCGCCTCGAGGACATCAGTCTCCTTGAAGTAGATGCCTTTCACGCCGCTCTTGAGCTTCCAATGAATGAGTCTGAAAAAGACAGAAATCGCTTCTAAGATAGTAGAGTCATAGTCTTCGCTTATACATCGTGGCAGCGCCCACTTCCCACCGGGATCCGGGGACAGAAATGCTTCGTACTGGCGTTTCAGTGTACAAGCAAGCCCCAAGCTAAGCTTCAAATCTTCCGTGACCTGATCGATGATGAGGACCTCCGGTTCGCGAAGGCGTTGCACGTAGTCGAGCCGGACGCGCAATACGGCCTGAGCAAGCTTGGTGGGGAATGAGATAAGTGGAACAAGCTCGTTCTCGAAGGTTGGTAGATTCATCTCCTCAAACAGCAGCGCTAGATTGACCTGCGCATCACGGGCAGCGCCAATAAACGCGTGGACAGTAGTCAAGAAACCCTTCTCGAAAGTCTTCTGGATGGAATCCTCTTTGAGAACTCTTTCTACGAAGGTCGTGCTATCCGCCTTGTCGGCAGACCCGTTGGCCTCTGGATGCATTGGGAAATTAGTGATCGGGACTTCATTGCTGGTGTTGGGAGCTGTGACATCGAGCGTATCACTGCCCGTCCAGCGCTGCAGCAAGGCGATATGACGTCTCAGAGAGAGAAGTACAGTGGACCAAGTGTTCAGGGTATCGCAGCGGGACTGAAACGTTGGATGCATGGCCGGCGCCTTGTCCATATAGAAGGCTTTGAGGTTGGGATACAATGACTCGGCCGCATCTAGGCGGAGGAGGATGGCGTTGACGCGCTTAAGAGCTACCGTAGGGTCCTGCTCATCATCGCGAAGGCAAAAAGTGTTGATTTCTTGTATGACTGGGTCAACGATCCGTATTCGGCGTTCCTCCAAACGTTTGCGCTCTTCAACCTCCGAGCGGCCGGCGAACTTGGCGCGGAGACCGAGCCATATGTTGAGATGGGGATTGTTCTGCTCTTCCGAGGACGATTCAAGGGCGACGGCGATACGCGTCTTCTCGGATCTAAGCACGTCGCCGTCTAGCACGGAGGCAAGCATAGTCTGCCATTCGAGCCGCTCGCGCTCCTGTGCGGTCTCTGGGAGGGCGGCGTCCAGATCGAGGCCATGAGAGGGGTGGCCATCGATGGAGTCTGAAAGGATGGATGGGCGGGGGTCTTCGTCATCACTGTCGCCCGCGTCTGTGAGCTGGCCAAGACCGCGGTGAAAGTAATTACTATCTGGGTCGTTATGTAGGTCATCGTCTAGAGCGGGATCTGCCGACCTATATCTGCGGACAAACTGGGAATATATGTCTGAGTACTGGGGTGCGCCTGGTGTGATGGCGTAGGGAGAGGGCTTCTGACTCCTCGGAGTCTTGGTTGATCTGCGAATGGTGGGAGGGATAGATAAACGGTTCGAGGAGAGCGATCGCGTGGGAACGGGGGGCTGGTCCCAGTCCGCGTCCTCGTCTTCGTTCGCTTCCTGCTCCGTGAGGGAGAAAAGCGTTGGTTGGTGTCTCCGCATCTTCCTCTCTAAAATGCTGGCGGTGGAACCGGAAGGCAATAGGTGATCACGATCCTAATGCTCTCTTCTTCCACGTGATCACCTGCTTGGTGACCTCATACATTGAGCCTGCCCGTCGTCAGTCGTCGGACTCTTTTCTTCCCTAATCAAGAACACTATTTCCTGCTGTCTTCCAGGAACGCGGTGCGCGTTAATCAGCTGCCACCATGGGTATCGTCGAGAAAGTGAGTTGAGAAATAAACATACATTCGAGAGTCCTGCGACTGATCATGTCGTGACGCGGATACAAAGATCAAAGAGATCGAGGGTGAGATGACCGATTGAACATTATGTGATCTTCACTGAGCGAGTCTCCCTAACTCAGAGGAGATGGCGAGGAGTAAGTTGCATTTTAAGCTCGTATGCAAGAGTTCCGACATACAACTACGTTTGAAGCCCAGAAGAACAAGGTAGCCATTTATACTGTACCCTCACGTCCACCGACTCAGCCATCCCTTGGCAACTAGGCCACTGAGTACCATCTGGGTCTCCTCAAGGCCAAGCTTGCTCGCTATCGAGCGCAGCTCCTCGAGCCTGCCAGCAAGTCTGGACCTGCTGGCGTAGGATTTGACGTCCAAAAGTCCGGCGATGCTCGTGTCGCGCTGATAGGGTTCCCGTCCGTTGGCAAGGTTGGCTGAATCCTTCAACGGTTGAAACCGACTTAACATTCGCGGGATTAGTCGACGCTTTTGAGCAAAGCTACCAATACCGCGTCCGAAACTGCGGCCTATGAGTTCACGACACTAACGGTGAGTATGATTTTTGAAGCGTATATCCATCTAAGACTTAGTTGCGTAGGCAATTCCAGGCGTTATTGAATACCAGGGCGCTCGCATTCAGCTTCTCGATCTCCCAGGTATTGTCGAGGGTGCCAGTCAAGGTGGGTTCTTTGCTGGCTTAGGGTACTCAAAGCCCTCATCATTTCTCTCAGGTCGTGGACGAGGACGACAAGTGGTCGCAAGTAACATCGAGATCTCCTCTTCACTCTTGACTCAGTGGCTAATCTAAGCGTTATCTAGCTGCCAAGACCGCAGACGTGATCCTCGTCATGCTGGATGCAACCAAGTCAGAAGAGCAGCGCACGTTACTTGAGCATGAACTCGATGCTGTGGGCATCCGACTTAACAAGCGAAGACCAGACGTCGTATTCAAGCGTAAAACGACTGGCGGCGTGAGTGGATCGATCCTTCAAACATATTGCCCACTGAGATGATTCAATATGTAGATAACGGTATGTAGCAAAGTCTTTGAAACACGATGTTTTGGTTCGATACGGCTCAACAGCTCAACACCACCGTCAAGCTGACCAAAACCGATGAGAAGACGATCCGTACCATCTTGGCCAGCTGTAGCTAGATCATTATCCCTCTACCAACGTCGCGCTGAAAAATCACAGATAAGCTTCACAATTGTGATGTGATGATTCGTGAGGATGTACGTTTTATCTTCGTAGCGGCGGCCAGGGTGGAAGCTAAATAGTAAAATAGATCACCACGGACGAATTTATCGACGTGCTTATTGGTATGTCTCCGACTTACAGGACCCATACGAATCGGCTGACGAGTGTTTGCAGGAACGCGGAAATACATTCCATGTCTCTGTAAGATATCACAATGTTCCTTTAGATCTCATCAACCTCATCTTTGGTGACTCGAATTTAGACGTGTATAACAAGATTGACGCGATCAGCTTGGAACAAGCATGTAGCCATTTTGAAGAACATCCAGTATTGACACTAACTTACATACAAGGTCGACAAGCTCGCACGAACGGATCATACCGTTGTTATCAGCTGTGAACTGGATTTGAAGTAAAAACTCTTTCCCTTCAGCAGTGTTCCGTGTCTGACTGATGATCAGTTTGGACTACCTTATTGATCGCATCTGGGAGAGCCTAGGGCTAGTGAAGGTGTACACCAAGAAACGAGGTGTTCGTCCGGACCTGTCAGACCCGGTTTGCTTACGGAAAGGCGCGACTGTCGAGGTATGGGGTCTGTCGGCCTGATCGTTAAGCCGAGCGTTCACGCGATTATCCAAAGGACGTGTGTATCGGCATCCATAGGTCCCTGGCCGCGAACTTCCGATATGGTTTAGTATGGTCAGTCGGTCACTTCCGCACCCTTCGCCTCGATCCTCGTTGCTGATTGTTCATTTGTAGGGTAAGGATCTAACCCTGATGCCGTGAGGGCATACTTATGGTAGTAGCATTGACAATCATCTATTCTCAGGGTCGTTCTTCCAAGTTCTCGCCGCATGCACAGAAAGTGAGCTTGAATCATCAAGTCCAAGACGAAGATGTTGTTTCAAGTAAGTCTATATTTATTGTCTGGATGTATCGAGTTTCATTGAGTTTCGATAGTATTTACAAAGTGATGCCTGTAAAATGGAGGGATGAAGCATACCTTGGATTCATGATCATGAAGATAGATCTAGTAAATGTATGGATGTTATGCTATACCACCGCCCTCTGGCGATAGCCCTTGACGAGCCCTTGACAATCTGGCTGCGATAGTGGGTTGAAACGTTGAAGTGTGAGCGCGTGTGTTCCGCACGGGTCGGAGTTTTCGTGCATCTCTCCGCGGGTGTCATCAATCGCGGCACGTAAGTCCAGTAGGTAACGCATCACTGCATAACGCAAGTCCAAAGAGGATGGCGCCGAATCGTTTCACCACCACATATAAGGTGATATCGCCAGCCGGGGCTTGGGTTTCCTGACTCGACGCCCGTTCGCTCTTAATCCAACGTCAAGAGGATACCCACAATGTCTAGTGCTAGCACACCATCTTCATCGACGGAATTCATCTTCCTCGGCACCGGCACCTCGTCGAGTATACCTCATCTAGACTGTCTCACAGCACCTCCCAACAAACGCCCGTGCAAGACCTGTTTGTCTACTCTTACACCCGAGGGCAAGCACAATATACGCAGGAATACATCGGCCGTGCTTCGAGTTCCAGCGAAGGACGGGCAGAAGCTGTGAGTCAAGAAATTTAGCTTTCGCACATATCACATCATCCCCTCTTGAATATTCGGCTGACATACTCTAGGACGGTCGTCGTAGACGTTGGAAAGAACTTTCAAGCTGCTGCCTGCGAGTGGTTCCCTAAGTATGGCCTTCGACGAATAGACGCTGTGCTTATCACCCATGCCCATGCTGATGGTGAGTCTTGAGCAAAATCTTTTATCTGTCATAGTTATTAAACCCATTTCGTTAGCTATGAATGGTCTGGACGATCTGCGAGGTACGAAAGCACGTTCATCTGTCATAGAAGAAGTCATTCAATGCGTCATCGCGCCAATCAGGTTGGACCTTGGGAGGCGCAATCCAGAAGCACGTCGATGTCTATATCTCTCAGTCGACATTCAAGGAAGTCCAGCGCGCCTTTCCTTATCTTGTCTCGAAAGAGTTTGCTTCTGGCGGAGGTGATGTCCGTGAATATGCACGCCTTGTGTTTCATGCGACGTACTAACTTTTCTTAGGTCCCTGAATTCGTCTGGCATATCTTCGAGGACAAGGTTCCATTCGAGATCGGAGACTCCGGCATATCGGTAACACCAATATCGGGTGAGATAGAAGCAGCATGCGACGCACCATTTTGTTCTGAGCTCTCATCCATTCAGTGCACCATGGCCGCCTATTCTCGACAAGCTCGACTCCACCTCCTGCTTTCACGCCCACCCCAGCCGTCTCGCAGCCGGGCACTCCTGCTGAATCAGAGCAGACTTCTCCCACTTCTCCCGTTCGGCCGCTCCCAGAGCTTCGCGCCAACGGAGTCAAATCCAAGATCCATCCTTTGATCGCGTTTGGGTTTATCATCCAGCGGTCCATCGTCTACATCTCGGACGTGTCTCTCATCCCTGATGAAACCTGGGCTGTCTTGGAGCGTGAAGTGACGACCAAGTCGGTATTTATCGTTGACTGCCTCCGGCTGGAGGCGCATACGTCGCACTACGGGCTAGGAGAAGCCCTCGCATCGATCCGTAGGTTTGGCGCCCCGCGGAACTATATGACTGGATTCAGCCACAATATTACTCACGACGAGTTTGTGACCATGAGCAAGGCTGCGGGGGGCGATCAATTTCGCGAGGAAGAACTGACGGCCACCGAGAAAAAGGGCTTGGAGGTGATCAAAGATGGAACGCCGGTATGGGTGCGACCTGCACACGATGGGCTTAGGGTGCTCGTGTCGAGTGAAGGGGTGGTAGAAGACGACACGTACGGCCGATAGACCGGCCGCCAGGATGCAGCGTGGCATCTGTTTAGATTCTGCGTGGCGCAGAATTGAAGTGATCATGATATTGGATGCAGATACATGTAGCACGGGGTACATTATCATAGAAAGGTTAATGCAAAGCCGATAGAAAGCATAGCTGTTCTTGGAACGAAGACGTAAACGCGAAGGAAGATCTAGAGGGGTCGGTCTGTCGGGAGCAGTACGCGGTCATCTGCTCAGGGGAATGCGGGGTTGGATCACGCTATGTGGCTTACATGAAATAAATATCCGAGGGGCCACATAAGACTTGCCGACGCTCTACAGGGCCCAGCTGCTTCCATCCCCCTCCCCCGTTTTGCGCCCTTGCTTCGACTCACAACCATCAGTCTCTTCTAAGCAAAACGACACCTTCTTAGTATTCTACTCACCAGCCGGGATCGTTGCCCATGAAGTTTTTCAGCCAGTCCTTCCTGTATGAGTAAGTCACATTTTTTCTCATTTATTGGAAAGTACGTCCCAGGTGGCGGTACTCAATTTCGGCACGCGCCCCTCTTCCTCTTACCAGCGATCCCTGGTCTATCGTGTCGCTCGCGTTCTTCCTGCGGTACCCGAACCCTTACGCTGCGCATGTTCTCTCCTGCGACGTAATTTCTCGGCAGCAAACGGAATCTGGCTCGCTCGTGACGACTCGGCTCATCCTCAAGCGCGGTGCTCTTCCCAGATGGGCCCCTCAGGGTATCATCTCCAAGACGGAATCGTGGGTCATTGAGGAGAGTGAGGTGGATCCTTTTGGCAAGGAGGTGCGTTGCAGCACGAAGAACCTCGACCATGTGAAGGTGCTGCAAGTTGAGGAAAGGCAGCATTTCCGCCAGGCCGAGAACGGGTAAGCAAATTTGCCCTGTGCTATCCTACTGTTTATTGACCGTGTCATTCTTCTTTAGGGGAACTTTGCAGACTACGGAAGCCTATATTACTTCCAAGTTCGGCTGGGGTTTGACCAAGAGGATTGAGAGCCATGGCCTCGCGCGGTTTAAGACACACATCCAACGAGTGAGTTCTGCGTGTGACATTATAATGTATGAGACAAGAACGCTAAATCTCGTGTTTTAGTCCCGGGAGGGCGTCTCTCTCATCGTTAATCTCTTGCGCCAAGCAAGACAACAACCCATGGCACTAGGGTCATATATGGGCAATTTGCGCTCTGACCTCGCGGAGAATCCCATCCCTCATTCCTCGGCTTCTCTGCACTGCGAGGATGATGAGCACAATGTGGACGATCAAGCCTCACAACCTCAAAATAACTCATGGGTGAGCAAATTCTGGGGGCCGTAGCTGATGCTTTCACTTGGTGCACCGCTCCGTTATTTCTGTCTTGTCGTTTTCCGTCTTGGTGATCATTCTAGTAGCTCACTTCACATACCTCCACTGACTTATCCACGCATTGCACTGCTCCATAATTGTATCATTAGTTGCCAGTAAACTACCACATATCCAATAACACACTCCCCCTGATTTCCTCCGTCGGCATGGCTTTCAGCCATGCTGTGAGCAATCGCGGAGATGATAGTTTCCAATTTACACCTAGTTCTCAGCTGTTATCGCGCTCTTGAGAACCGTCAGCTGATCGAACCGCTTGAAGGACAACTGAGAGCAAGGCGCTTGTTCATGATCTTACTTCCCGCCGTGGTGGCCTGACGCAACCAAGGAAGTAGCACGCGCGCCTGAGCGGGCGAACATGTACTTCCCCACATCAGCCGCAAAACAGCTATCCACTGCGCCTGCACTCCCTGATGTATTCCCGGAGCCCATCATCGGCCTTGAGGAAAGCCCAAGAAAGTCGCTGTTCTGTGCGGTTACGAACGATGCGCTCTCCGTCTGGCGAGTTCGAGTGAGTCTCAGGAACTTACCTCGCATTCAACGAATTTCCGGTCATGTCCTGACGCGTTGTTTATCTCTTGAGCCCCCAGCAATCCTTGCCCACTTTGCCAGGACGCCTGCTTCCGTAGTAGAACATGGCGATAATGTGGGCGCGACATGGGCACCCGACGGGAGTCGGATTGTCATTCAGGTGTGTTTCATGCAACTTATCCTCGTCCGCGAGAGTCACACATCTCCTCCGAAAGACATCCAAGTCATTTCTGGTGCTAGTCACGATTGATTACGTCCCAGAGACCTCGGCGTACCAGCCTCCAGATCTACCACAGGGGACACAACACAACTTTCTGACAGGGGCGGGTGAGGGCATCCCCTTCCAATCCCTCAGTCTTGCCTTCGAGGGCGTTATACGTGCTGAGGGCCAGATTCTCTGGTTGGCATTCATCGTCTTGAATATATGCGCGGAAGCTGATGATCTGTAGCGTCTCGCCTCGCAAGCATTATCTTGTATTCTCGACGAGAAGCCCGCCAGCCGTTCAGCGTATACCCTGGCCGATATACGACGAGAATGGTGAAGAGGATGCGAATCATGCTATACAAGGATACGGAACATGGGTTTTAGCCGAACAAGATCTATCCTGGTTAGTTGAACCAGAGAGTGAGTCCGCCCTTGTCGTATGCTTGGTCCGACACATCTCATGAGGCCCAGTCACTATCTCGAAGCTACGGCACATATCCGGCGACGTGGAAGCGTGGGTTACGTCGGACGGCCGAGCATACTTCGTTCAGCTTGTAGAGTACGCAGACTCCGCAGGTGGCTCTCGCAGCGGCCTAGAGGTACGTTTGTACACGTCCAATCTGATGGAATGAGTGATTGAATGGTACCTTCAGAGTACATCGAGTGTGCACTTTAGCTCTCGGACATCGAATGAAAGCTCTGGCTTGCACCGCTGGCAAGGCACCTGTGTACATAACTACGAGTTTCCTCGCTGGGTCCAGAAGCAGCGACATGTCGAAGAGGGCCAACCGGGATACGAGAGAGCCTATGCTGAACCTCGACGAGCCGTTGATATTGCGGTCAACTCCAGGTACTCCCTCATCGCCGTAGGCACTCAGAGGTAAATCCTCCTATGTCTTAAACCCGTGCGATGCACCTCAGAAGTGACCTGACAGCGGTGCGGTCGAGCTGACGAGTTTTCCAACACAAGAGCGACCGACGCCTCAGCCACAGGTATTGTCCCAGCCTAACCCTCACAATAGACCAACGGGACCCGTCTCAGCTATGCAGTGGAGCTCGGATGGCTACGTCCTAGCTGTGGGTTGGAGACACGGCTGGGCAACCTTCAGCGTAGGGGGCCGGTGTTTAGCGTCTAGCCTTGGCATTGTCGACAACTTGGACTCGGAAAAGTAAGTGTACTGGACAGCAGGGCAACATCTTTAGCTGAATGTTACATTCAGGTTTGAAGATACTTTTATGCTCGGAATTAGGGACCTCGTAAATTTAACTCCCTTTTTTCTTCAAGGAAAGTTGCATGACTGAGATCAACAGTTTTGGGCGCCAGGAAATTTCGAACTTGTGGTATTGACACATCCAGTAGAGAATAGTGAGCGCAGCTACTGTTGTACCAAGCCGCTGATACTAATATCGGACCAGAGACCGAAGGGCAGATATTTATCATACCGTTTGCCAAAAGTGCTACGACGTGCCAGTTGTCTCCTGACAACACACAGCATGCGTTTCTGCTGCTCGATGATCGTGCTTTAGTATACCGTGGAGCAGATCAACCAGACATGAGTGTCATCAATCCCGAGTCAGATGTCTGGCAGCACGTCAAGGTGCGCATACATTCACATAAAAAACCAACAAGCACCTTGATAAAACTTGAGTAGATACCTCAGGCATATCTAGCGACGAACTGGCCTATACGCTACTCGGCATTAAGTTCCGATGGTCGTTTGATTGCATTTGCTGGCCGGCGAGGGCTAGTACATTACAGCTCTGCATCAGGAAGGTGGAAACTGTTCGCAAATGTCACTCAGGAGCAGGCTTTTTGCGTAAAGGGGGGTCTTCTATGGTTCCACCATGTGTTGATTGCTGCAGTGGAGATTTCGAAATCATACCAGGTATTCTCTCTTTTCTTGGGTTTACGATGACCCATCTGATGCGCTACTACTCTAGATACGGCTATATTCGAGAGATATGGAGCTCAGCAATCAAAATGTTCTCTACCGTGAAGTTGTCACTTCGCCTGTTGTCACGCTCTCCCTTGTGGACAACTCGTTGCTGGTTTATACAGCTGAGAACATGCTGATACACTACCTCATTGTACCCACTGCCGATACTATCAAGCTTCATTTATGTGGAAGTATCTCGTTCAACGGCATTATCGCTTCGCCTAGTGCTGTCTCAGCCGTGAGCTGGATGATCCCAAGTGCTCAGAAACGTAAGGCCGAATACTTGCGTGGGCTTTGTGCGCCAATTATTGAACTTCATGTTTAGACATCGGCGACCCTGTGGACGATTTGGCCGTCGCCACCGTATTGATGATGATTGGAGGGCAGCTCATTCTTCTCCGTCCTCGCAAGGTAAGTATCGTCATCTGTGTGCGCATCCAAGTATATTGCTCAATGACATGTAGGCTGGTAACCAAGAGGTCAAATATGACATGCAAATATTCGCCGAACGCATCGAGTTTTGTTGGATACATCTACACGGCATCGGTTCCCTCGAGAACTCACTGTGGGGATACGACGGACACGGCATCAGGGTCTGGCTGAATGCACTTACGATTGAGTCTACCTCGGCTGGGGCACATGAGAGTGTTAAGGAGAGTGTCTTCATCCCATTGGAGTTTTATCCGCTGTGTAAGTGTCTCGCTGAATTGATCTGAATCAGAACTAAGCGTACATTAGCTGTCCTTATGGACAAAGGAATTATCATCGGTGCAGAGCACGAAGCTGCTGCCCGGGCTAATCTACCTTTCGTCATGTTTCGGCATGCTACAAGCGTAAGCTGTCGAACGTCCCGAAACCACTTGTCTCTAACATCACCCATATCACAGTCCCACATGTTCATCCATCATATCCTTCGATATCACCTCGAAGCAGGGCAGGTTCGTGAAGCAGTTGATCTGGCGACGCATTACCAGAATCTGGTTTACTTTGCGCACGCTTTGGAAATCCTTCTGCATTACATTGTCGAGTCCGAATTCTCATCCAACGACGAAGATGAAGAACCCAAAGAAGGCTCCGCATTGACGGCTGTCGTTGAATTTCTGGATCATTTCGATGCTGCGCTGGACGTAGTCGTTGGATGTGCTAGAAAGACGGAAGTCAGCAGGTGGAAGCGGCTTTTCAATATCGTCGGCAATCCCCAAGAGTTATTTGAGGTGCGCTGGACTTGTCGAGTTTCCTTTCGCCTTCTCCATATGATACCTTCCAGACTTGTTTGGCATCGAAGAGGCTGAAGACCGCAGGTTCTTATCTGTTAATTCTGCACAATCTTCAGCCGCTGGATGAGAAGAATGAAGACGCTGTCAAGCTGCTCCGCCTTGCCGTGCAAGAGCAGGAGTGGCAGCTGTGCCGGGAGCTGTTGCGCTTTTTGCGTTCCGTCGATGATAGCGGCAAAGTTCTCCAACATGCATTGAGAGAAAGCAACTTGGTCGATACCGATGATCTTTGATCGTCTCGATTCTTGAAAGTGAGCGCTGTAGACAATCCATTCGACCCAGGCTTGGAATTCTGTAAAATATGTGACCATGCTATCGTTGCCTAATACCTTGCAATCTTGATTGTATTCAGCACATTTCCCTTTGATAGAAGCAGTGCTATCTGGGCTTCGCCTACTTCCTTGACCATACTAAGAACCTGTCAAGGTACAAAAACCATATGTATTGAGAGGACTGCCTCCGCACCGGCTGTAATTAAGGGATTTCACCTGATCGTTCCTTCGGATCTAAGTCTCCTGTTGCATAAGACGTCCGTCAAGCTCGGTGTTTGAAGCTTTCCATCTGTGCGTTCACTAACACCTCTCAGAGGACGGGGCACCATGATTGCCGTCCTTTCGCGACGTTCTTGTGCCTCACTCACGCGACGTTTGCAGAGCTTTTCCACCATGACATCTTCAGGGGTCATCACTATCTCTTACCCAACTCTGGTCTCCTCCCCGCTGTCCCTTGAACGCGAAATCGGTAACACGCAGCTCCCTCAAGAGTATTCTAAACACACATTGACTTTTCGTGGTACTTTCCAGAGCAAGCCTTTGGATCCCACCCTCAAGCTCTTGGTATAATCCTGGTCAAAGACTTACCTGCTGCCTATAACTCGCAAAGGGAGAACCTCCTTCGATTGGCTCATACATTTGCCAATCTCGATGAAGGTATCAGAGAGAAATACACAGACCCAAGGACTTCTTACAGGCAAGTTTACGGTTTCAGACGAACTTATGTAACTGATACCATCCCTAGTTTCGGATGGTCTCATGGCAAAGTACAGTTGAACTGGCTTCCTCCGTGCTCCTTGCTTATATGATTTGCTACTTAGGAAATTATGAATGGCAAGCCAGGCACGCTCACCCCTCAATCACGGCAAGCATAAGCTGATAACTGAGTTTCATGAAGATACGCTCAAGGGCTCCTACTATGCCAACCCTGTAGTAGACACACCAGATGTCGCTTCTCAGCTGAAGGAGGAGTATCGCGAATATTACGGAAACAATATATGTACGTGGAATGATAGGTTCTTGCCAATGCAGCTAAAGTGAGTGGTCCGATATGTAGGGCCGAGTGCGGATGAGCCATCGATTGGCGGGTTTGAAGCTGCTTTCAAAGATCTTGGTCGGTAAGTCTCGAATTCATAACAATTCATTGCCCAACCGTGATCTTCATTGTTACCAGCTTTGTGTTTAAGGTGGGCTGCGAGATCGCCGCAGCCTGTCAACCATTTGGTCTGTCGCTTCCTTGGTGACTCTTCGGGCTTGGCTCACCATCCAGCTCTCCAAAACAGTGGCCAAAAACCTGTCCGACAAGTCCATTTCCCTGCCTCAGCTCATAAGCACCTCTCAAACTACCAAGGCTCGCTTACTTCATTACTTCCCCCCAACCTCCGACGTTCGCGACGATGGACCAGTGGATAGTTGGTGCGGCTTCCATCTAGACCACTCCCTGTTGACCGGCTTGTGCTCAGTAAGGAACTTACTTATATTGATCGTGAAATATCCATTGGCACTCATACTTATTGACAACCCATAGGCTATGTTCCTGAAGCAGGGAAATGTCTCAAATGCGCCTATTGCTATCTCATCACCTTCCCCAGAGTCCGGCCTCTACATCAAAACTCGGGGAGGTGAGTTGACAAAGGTGTCTATCCCGCCAGATTGCCTAGCATTCCAGACCGGAGAGGCGCTCGAGCTGGTGACTGATGGCAGACTGCGAGCGACGCCTCACTGCGTTCGCGTTGGCTCTGGCAAAGACATGCAGAGTATCTCCCGCGAGACATTTGCATTGTTCATGCAGCCCAACACAGATCAACGCATCTCCTCCACAGAGACCTTTGGTCAGTTTAGTAAACGGATTTTAGCTGAACACTACGACAAGCCGTCGGCTATGTAGTTCTAACATACTGGGTTCACTTCCAGCTACTGCTGTAGATTTCTAGGAACCGTGAGCGCATCTCATCCATTAAGTCAATTGGACGCATATCTATGAAGACATTCGTAGATGTATGTATTATTATTATGATATATGCGTATGATACAGGTGCCACTAAGCATGGAAACACTGAAAGTCCTTGAGTAGATTAGGGGTTGACCATAGGCTTAGATTGCGAAGGGGTAGAACCAGATCGTCGATGAGTCGCCGAGGGCAAAACAGACATCACAGCTGCTGTTAAGCCAGTCCTCTTCGCTGTAGGGGACCTTTCTATCTTGCCTTCGCTGCTTCGTCTGCTATTTCGCCGAGAGCTTGGTGATGACCGGGGTTCCTCCTGGTCAGAGATCACGCTCCAGTCCTCGCTAGGAGTTTTGCGGTGAGAGCCACGGGAGCTTCTGTGGGATCTGGAGAGAGAGCGATCCATCAACGACTGAGAAGGTTGGGGGAATTGCTCTTGGTCTGGAGATTCAACGTTCGGCTCGTCGTCTAGGGTTCGGTCTGCGGTCCGCTTGATCAAAGAACGTGCATAATCTAGGTCTCGATAAATAGCTTCTATAGCTGTCGCCACGCCGTTTTCCTGTAGGGCAGTGTTCATGAAAGATACCAATGGACAGGAGAGCAGCACTGACCGAACGAATTTGTTCCCCAATTATTCTTGCTCGATCAATTTGCTTGATATCAGTGGTGGCAGAGGTGAGTGCATCTGTCAAGGCCTCTACGGTAAGCTTGCGAACTCCGGTGCCAATCCCAAGAGCTTCAACTCGGTCAGCCCAGAAAAATTGATCTCCGAAGAAAGGCCTGATGATAGTTGGTTTTCCAGCTACAAAGTGTTGTTAGACATTATCCGGAAAGCGCCAAAGTCACGAACCTCTCAGACTAGCACCTGTTGTCCCGGCTCCACCATGGTGACAAACAGCATCAATTCGTTGGAACAGCCAGTCGTGAGGAATAGATGATATGGAATAGATCTGAGGAGGGAGAGGTTCTTTAGGTTCGGAAGCCTCTGCAGTCTTCGTGTGAAGTCGGTCGGACCACCCCTTGGAAAGAATGGCATAGACGCCACTTCGAACGACTGCCTCGATGACGCAACGTGTCATGGCCTGAGG